AGTGAAATGGGGTTTAACGTCGCGTCCAAGATTATTGCACTTATATTGCGACGTGCATGCGCGCGCGCGTGTGTGTGTCTACTTGTACTGGTGCGGACTGATGCCGATTTATAGTCCTAGCCCACTGAGGTAGCATGCCGCAGTTTAACATGAATACCCCACTCAGACATAGTATACTGATTCGGGGCCGACCAGTCCTTGTGTTAGCCCTTAATGCTGAATGCCAGGGAGGGTAACAACAAGTACCATCTTTTAGCGTATTTTGGTATGACGCGGCCGGGGATCAAACCCCGGACCTCCCACCCTCCGGGCAGACGCTCTACCGCTAGACCACGGAGGCGGTCAGATTGCAGCAAGCATGTCAACATGTTGTCAACATTGTTAACAGGAAACATTGATTGATTTGAAATATTCACCGGACAACACTGGGTTGTAACAGGAATATCAGCTGCTTTCGCACACAAGATGCACACATTTGGTAACAGAATGCAAGAATAGACTAAGTCGGTTTATTGTTTACACATTGAGTGAGATCCAACTGATGTATGTACATATTTAGTGTAAAAAATGTTTTAAAAAATTGTTTGCAGGGTTTGTTTGTAAATTTTCAATGGTGATTAAGCTCTCACATAGGCCTATACCTCTTACCTTGTAAACGGTCCTTCCTTCAGTGTAATGGTCTATATCGTGAACTATGTATTCTAGTGGTGTGTTATCATTGATGTGTGTTATCTTGCGTGCAGCTACAGTTTACTGTATATGTATATACCTTCCCTCCACATCGCTGTCACAATCCATAGTTACTCTTATTTCTGCTGGTGTAATGTTTAGCTGTTTATTAACGGCGGCCTGAAATAATCGACTCTAGGCTAGACAGACAGGTTGATTACAACATGAGCAGCGCATCACCAGTCGGGGCATGATGACGCACAATCCTCCAAGGCACGGCTGTACATACTCAGGTCTGCTCTCACAAACTTGCATGGGGACCTGTTCCCTAATCAAATATCACTAGATATCATATTCCTGTATGATTTTTGAAAGTTTGTAAAATACGTTCATGAAACGTTTGTCTCATTACTATCGTGTTTGTCAATAAAACTTGTTTAAATCAAACAATGACACATGTTGATTTAATCCCGTTGCTGCTTTGGAGCTGTGTTTGGTCGAGTCTTCCAATCACTATATACATTAACGATTGTGAGCAACAAATTTGCGAGGGGCCGCTTGGTCACATCTTCGCGACCCAAGAGTGTCCACTATAGCCTATATTAAAGCCTAGTTTCCTCCCTTGCCATTTCAAGCCTTTTTTCTTGGCTCGATCTTGGCGCCATCCGGTGTAGAACACGAGATGTGTCCCTTGTGATGAAAACGCAATGTCCAATCAGATCGCTGCTCATATTTCTAATGGCTTCACAAAGATGACTACCATGCTGACCTTGTCGATCAGATAACGAAACGAATTTGAGATTTCATCCCTGCCAGACAAACAACATGACAGATCACCACCGTAAAGACACTATTACTGCCGCATTTCGTTCTTGCAATAACAGAGGCATACAGACTACACGGTATCCAGTACCACTGCACATAGCGGTAAAATGGAACGCTCATCATTGGTCGTCTAAAACTAGCACAGCAATGAAGTTTGCACTCAAATATATAAAAGTACTTGGGTGAGTTGACTGAACACTTGGAACCACTTATAAAATACTTATCTTCGCTTACGTTTTGGAACAATTTCAGCGCACTTTTCACTCGACAGGCGATTGCTGTGGTCATAGCATCGACCACGTTTTCGGATCCCGGATGTTGATTTTGTAAAACCTTCTCTGATTGGACTATCGATGCGTGCGATGGTCCTCTCGTAATTTACCACAGAACAGTAGGCTGGGATGGGTGAAAAACTAGACTTTGGTGTAGGCTAGTGGACACTCTAGCTTGCCTCGGGAAGACGGCTTGGTCCATGTCTTTCAGTTGGCCACACGGATAAACTCATGGCTTGTGTGGTAGGTCAGAGATACATACATCCTTTATGGAGTGCGAATTGTAAAAAGATAAATATAAATGGCAAAATTAACTGTTTTGGAAGTCTGAAAGATTTGTATATTTTCTCATGGTAAACTCAGTACTAGAACATTTGATACTTTATCTTGGTACTTCACTTTATTTGTTGTTTTGCAACGAATAACTTGTGGATAAGTTACATGTATTTATAATGCAAGTTGCGTCTCTGATGATGTGACAACAAACTGAAATGTTACCCAAAACAATCACTGTACTGGAACCGCCTGTGGAGGGAGTCCGTGTACTGTGTCTGAGTAGGATATTCATTGCCGCTAGCATTGGGCTAGCACTATAAAATCGGCATTAGTCCTGACTAGTACTCTCTCACACACACGTGCATGCAAGTAGTGTAATTATCTTGAAAGCTACGTTAAACCCCATTTGTCCCCACCCATACAATAAGGCATTAAAACATTTAATGTCAATATGTATTACCGAAAGCGGCTGTACAAGTATAGGAAGTGGGCGTAAAATATATTTAGGAACGCATGACAAACAATTACTTCTGATGATAGCTGTGTGTGCTGAACCGAGTTACTGGGATGCCTTTTAGAACAGTTCACACCAAACAGACCAAACACAAGCAGACCCGCATCATATGTCTGAAAAAGACACGTCACAAAGATATATCCCCATCACGTTCTGGGCACGTTCCGGGTATCCGCAAAAAACTAATGCAGAGACCAAGCTTTTATTTCGAGACAAATGTAAGTTCGACAGTTCAAAGTTCGACACAATGGTGTTTGACTGTATCATTCATGCACAGATAGGTAGATAGGTAGATAGGTATATCTTCAGGGTAGAGTGACGGTATACAGAACTTTAAATGTCCACCTTACAATGAGGCGCCGGTTTAATATTTATTCCCTATGTCACGATATCAGTAATTCATTAATTGCTGTCACAAATGTGGTTTTTAGATACAGAAAAACGATGCCGTTGTTGTATAAATATGGTGAACAGCATTTGCCATCGCACAATAATTGTCCTGCATTTCCTGACCGGTAAAGGCCAGGATTCTGCATGATGCAGTCAAGTGTAGGTGCATGTACATCTAACGTTGCTGGTACGTGTGGGTCACCCTCGGTCATCCAGTGTGACATGTATCCATTTTATCAGGATAAATACCTCGACCCATTCGCCGCCATGGCTTTGTTTGAGACCGATTCGAATGACAGGATGCTATAAATAGTCGCCCAATCACATACCCCACTGAGTGACAGAAACTGGAAAGTCGGTAAAAGAGATGAAGATTCTTATGTCGGTTTCGAAACGAAGGCTTGGGGGCGAATGAGTCCCTAGTATTTATTTATTTATAGAATGGAGAGAGAGAGAGAGAGAGAGAGAAAGAGAGAGAGAGAGAGAGAGAGATATTCTTTATTTCCTCCAGATGTCATTCCGAAGATTACAATGAAAATATATCCAATTACACGCAGTTAACACAATAAAAAAAGGCATAACATATTTACAATTACACACAGTTTATCAAATTCAAATACCTAAATGAAGACAGATATTCACTAGAAGATATATATATCAAAAGATGCCTTAGTTTTTCAGATACGAAGCGAATTGTAGTATAATAGCTTCCCAGGTGTGTTGATCCAGATTGTGAGTCAATTTTGTTTCAGCCCAAATAAGACTGATAACATATCTGTTTCGTCTTGCATTTCAAAATCAACATATTTTTGAACGTCAAGTACGTCAATGAGAGAAGAGAAAAACGCATTTCTTACTGATATCAGTGCTTCAGGATGTAAAATAATGTGGCTGTCATAGTCGAAAGCATGCCTATTACAGAGCATGCATTCTTTCGAAAGTTTACTGCGTGATGAGACTTTCACACAAAGTTGTAAAGCAGGTCGATATTCCGGGTACAGAAAAGCTAATTGCCAAAGTACATGGTATGTTAATTTCGTATGAATTCTCTTATAACGGGACATGCTTGCGTTATTTGATACATTTGTGAGCCATGATTGTTCTTCGTATTTGCATATAGTTTCGTTAACACGATTTCTCCATTTCAATTTTGGAGGGAAAGTACCGTACTGAGTATATGTACGAAGGAAGGGACCCAGATTGTATTTATCAAGTGTTGATTTCAGTTCTCCACAGATTGTCTTTGAATTGACAGGGCTTGCAATGGACGCGCAAAAAATATCTTTTGCAAAGTTATTACAGTTCAGATTGCATAAACGACCAAGAAATAAAAGTTTGCATTTATCAATATATGCAGTAAATTAATGTACCAACAATATTGCGAGTCGAGCTTGCTGGAGGTGTCAGCGACTGCGCGTGCCCAGACATGTTTAGTTACATTCGCGGAGACGCACGTTGTACACGCGCTGTCCGTGAACCAAGATCATGATTTTATTTCAACTACAGTAACATATTCATTTTGACCATCTGACATTGAAACATGGTCTGCTTTAATAGCATAAAGCGAGACAAATACTAGCATACATGCTTTCATGTCACAAACACATTCCGAATAAACGTTTTTGAAAGGAATTGTTTTCAGAAAACTTATTTGCTCAAAGAACATAATCTCCGTGACATCTATGCCTAAACAAAATAACCATGAAATAATGTCGCCAGTCACAACAGTTAGGGAGAATATTGGATGAGATTTAGTGAATAATTTCCACAGTTATGCCTTCAGAGGACAATATATAGGGTTGTTGTTAAAGATGATTGTAGGTAGTTCTTATTGAACTGCAAGTTAGTGTAAAAATACGAAGTTTAACTCTTGTTTTTCTCGGTTTAATCTTGGATTTATCTTGGATTTGTAGAATGAAAAAAATATTAAGAGACAGGAACAATCATTAACAACATCGTTTCACAATGTAACCAATAGGTGTATTATTATGACGCCCTGTTGGTCTCAATGTGTCAATCAGTACACTGGTGACCAATGACAGCCCAGACAAGCACGCGCACTTGTTGGCCCGGGTAGACTACCTCGAACATTGCACAGTTGCAGAACTTGGGTGCAGATAGAGGCTGTGTGTGTGCGTGGTTGTTAGTCAAGGAAAGGGTATGTAATTTATTAATTCTGGTTAATGAAATATATCAGTCGATTCAAATAATATGTCAGATTCCAATATGTCCTACAATCCCACAATCTCACAATCTATAGCTCATTTTGTATTCAAACAGAACACCAATAATATAGGCCTTATTATAAACTTCATTTGTTCCTCTCTATCAGTTGAGTTTTAGGTCTGCGCACACGGTCATGGATGCGCAGTGGCAACATACAAACGGCGCTTACTCTCGGTATTACTCTCAAAACCAAATGGGACAACAGGTAGGTTGAATTTAGCCAGTCTGTTGTCGAAACACTTCACTATACTAAATGTTTAGCATAGCTTCAGATAGGTTTGTACATAATAATGTACCCTCAATTTAGACAGCGTTGTCAAGTATCTGGTGTCCCGCGAAAAAAAGTTCTGTCCCTGAAAAAACAGAAGTACATTTTAAGGGTCTTCGTCTTGTGTTCAATCTAGCTTCCCGTGCAAACAGACAATTCGATCCAAGTTGTACGTCCAGGGGCCGTCTCCATTTCTATATACAGTGTACTGCAGTAGGACTAGTCCTTTACAAAGTTTAGCAGCTACGGTTTAGCGGGAAAATTTTAAGATTAATAAGAATCATAAATAGCACCATATCTTCGAACACCTAACAGTCCTGAGTGAGTGAGCATTCATCCGAAGAGAAGCTTGTCTACTGCAGTGCAGCAAGTTTTGACGGTGCCATTTTAGCATACAATTCTAGTGTAGGCCTATAGTGTTCTCATCGTGGGGCATGATATATATATATAAAAGCCGGAATGACCCACTAGATATATATATATATAAGCCGGAATGACACACGCCAAATGTTACAACGTACGGATTATGTAGTCGACCTGTCACATAGTCCCAGCCTCTTTTACAGTGCATGAATATTCATAATATTACAATATTGCAAAGCAGCATAATGTATGGTCCTTGCATGCACGTCAAAAGGGAAATTCAATTTGATGTTTAACTTTACAAAGTATCCTGTCAAATGCAAGGGGTATTTCTTTGCAACAAACCAAGTACCAGCGTGCATCACCCAAAGACAAAAGATGTCCTACTTTATTTAGGTCACCTAGGCGTGTCACACAATATATACATGTATAACTTGTAGCCCTTCGGTCAAGGTCATGCACGAAATACAACGCTCTGAGTGGCTGAAATACACAGGGACTGATTGACAGCCTGTTTACCAGATCTCCCAAAATCAACATTGTATCTATAACTCTGGAACTTTGTCAAATGTGTTTTTGAAAATGTCAAATTTGTTAGAGAGTTTACTAAATGTTGTGAGGAAGAGAGTTCGATAGAAATGGAGCTGGGTGAGTAAGTTAAATTGGGTCTAACTCTGTTTTGAACAGTATTTCAGTAATATCACGGGGTGCCAGCTGGATATAAAAGGAAAGCATAAACTGGTGCTGCGTGAGAAAAGCATTGTTAAGAACTTTCATGTTCTCTTCCCAGAGTTGGAGTGGAGTGAACCCTGCAGGCAGCGACACCAAGCACCAGTGTCAGCAAGGTGAGCTGGAAATAAACCGATCAGCAAATAAAACATTTCAGTTGATATTATTATTTGTTGATTTTCAATTGAAAATGTCTAAAGTTAGCGATATCAATAACCATATCCAAATTGTGAGCTGTACTTAATTGCGCCTAGTCAACAATCGAAGTATATCCTGGGATACTGCTATACATAGAGGTTATCAAGAGAGTGTGTTTAGGGATGGCTTGCTAAACACATAGTGTTTATTCCTAATACAGGATATTTATCATCCCCAAACACACAAGCGTGATAACCTCTTTTTCATATGATGTCATTTTCAATTCTGTGCTCGAAATCACCTCCCATCTCTCACAAACATATAACCTAAACATTACATGTTTTCCTGGAATATGCGCATTAATATATATTACGTCAGAAGGTATACTCGGACCCCGTGGTACCGCGGCATTCATCGTATCGCTAAGTGATATGTCAGTACTGAGTAGGGCAATGACAACAGTCAATATAGTTCCAACTGAAACCTATTTCTTAGACAGTGGCGTAACTAGACATAGGCAAAACAACAATTGCCTACACTAACTGTGTCTACTACTTGCCTTTCGCGACAACCAGTCGGTCTGTCCGCAACGGCCCTTTATCGAAGGGAAGCTACTCTGACTCTAGTCTGTGAGACGTCACGTTTGTTTAGAGTCTGCCTGTCCTGTCATAACGTTACGAAGTGCAATCAGATGTACACACAACGACAAAACGAAATAAGGTAACAATTAGGACATATTTCGGCCAAATCCAACTATTTTAATTTGTAGAAAAGGTTCCAAGCCGCAGAGGTCAACAAGCACAGATATGGAAACTGATCCCGCTAGGCTGGTGTCCTCGCAAAATTGTTTCGCAATTTATGTCTCCAATGTTACCCAAACTTGTAAAACGCCTTAGCTACTTCACAGTTAGACACTGATTTTCAGTATATTAGACTGCTGCTCTTTTGTAAAAGATAGCAATTATCACAGTAGTTTCTCCAGATTCCCGATAGTTAATTCTGACGGGCGACGCCATGTTTGTTTGTACACAGAAAGTAGTCCCCAGTCCCATATTTGCATCTATATCCGCATATGACCCAAATGGATATCGTTTTTATCTGTTGACTTTATCCTGCCGAGAATACTGCCGGTAATATGATAAATGTTTTTATTTTTTAATAAATGCGTCTTTTCGGGACAAATTTACAACATTTCAAACATGGTAAGGCACTCTCCTACCCAGAGTTCCATGCGGCCGGCACCCAGCCAGCATAGATTTAGTAGATCTACGTGGTGTTATGCTGAGTCACAACTGCGCCGGAGTTTGATGGTAAGGGGCATGCGGTTGCAAATTCATTTCTTACCAAAGTCCTCATTGAATCAATTTATATTTACACAAAAGTACCCAGCCACAGTTTTAGATTACTTTTTTACAAACTGTTGCAGGAATGAGCAATGGTTAAATTCAATACCACCATCCTATTGTCATCAGTGGTGGTACACCCAGTACCACCATCCTAAAGTCAGCTGTAGTGGTACACCAAGTGCCTCCATCTTATAGTCAGCTGTAGTGGTACACCCAGTACAACCATCCTATAGTCAGCTGTAGTGGTACACCCAGTACCACCATCCTATAGTCAGCTGTAGTGGTACACCCAGTACCAAAACCCTATAGTCAGCTGTAGTGGTACACCCTGTACCACCACCCTATAGTCAGCTGTAGTGGTACACCCAGTACCTCCATCCTATAGTCAGCTGTAGTGGTACACCCAGTACCTCCATCCTATAGTCAGCTGTAGTGGTACACCCAGTACCTCCATCCTATAGTCAGCTGTAGTGGTACACCCTGTACCACCATCCTATAGTCAGCTGTAGTGGTACACCCAGTACCTCCATCCTATAGTCAGCTGTAGGGGTACTTCCAGTACCTCCATCCTATAGTCAGCTGTAGTGGTACACCCTGTACCACCACCCTATAGTCAGCTGTAGTGGTACACCCAGTACCTCCATCCTATAGTCAGCTGTAGTGGTACACCCAGTACCTCCATCCTATAGTCAGCTGTAGTGGTACACCCAGTACCTCCATGCTATAGTCAGCTGTAGTGGTACACCCAGTACCTCCATCCTATAGTAATCTGTAGTGGTACACCTTGTACCTCCATCCTATAGTCAGCTGTAGTGGTACACCCAGTACCACCATCCTATAGTCAACTGTAGTGGTACACCCAGTACCACCATGCTATAGTCAGCTGTAGTGGTACACCCAGTACCTCCATCCTATAGTCAGCTGTAGTGGTACACCCAGTACCTCCATCCTATAGTCAGCTGTAGTGGTACACCCAGTACCTCCATCCTATAGTCAGCTGTAGTGGTACTTCCAGTACCTCCATCCTATAGTCAGCTGTAGTGGTACACCCAGTACCTCCATCCTATAGTCAGCTGTAGTGGTACACCCAGTACCACAACCCTATAGTCAGCTGTAGTGGTACACCCAGTACCTCCATCCTATAGTCAGCTGTAGTGGTACACCCAGTACCTCCATCCTATAGTCAGCTGTAGTGGTACACCCAGTACCACCATCCTATAGTCAGCTGTAGTGGTACACCCTGTACCACCACCCTATAGTCAGCTGTAGTGGTACCCCTTGTACCTCCATCCTATAGTCAGCGGTAGTGGTACACCCTGTACCACCATCCTATAGTCAGCTGTAGTGGTACACCCAGTACCACCATCCTATAGTCAGCTGTAGGGGTACACCCAGTACAACCATCCTATAGTCAGCTGTAGGGGTACACCCAGTACAACCATCCTATAGTCAGCTGTAGTGGTACACCCAGTACCTCCATCCTATAGTCAGCTGTAGTGGTACACCCAGTACAACCATCCTATAGTCAGCTGTAGTGGTACACCCAGTACCACCATGCTATAGTCAGCTGTAGTGGTACACCCAGTACCTCCATCCTATAGTCAGCTGTAGTGGTACACCCTGTACCACCATCCTATAGTCAGCTGTAGTGGTACACCCAGTACCTCCATCCTATAGTCAGCTGTAGGGGTACTTCCAGTACCTCCATCCTATAGTCAGCTGTAGTGGTACACCCTGTACCACCACCCTATAGTCAGCTGTAGTGGTACACCCAGTACCTCCATCCTATAGTCAGCTGTAGTGGTACACCCAGTACCTCCATCCTATAGTCAGCTGTAGTGGTACACCCAGTACCTCCATGCTATAGTCAGCTGTAGTGGTACACCCAGTACCTCCATCCTATAGTAATCTGTAGTGGTACACCTTGTACCTCCATCCTATAGTCAGCTGTAGTGGTACACCCAGTACCCATCCTATAGTCAGCTGTAGTGGTACTTCCAGTACCTCCATCCTATAGTCAGCTGTAGTGGTACACCCAGTACCTCCATCCTATAGTCAGCTGTAGTGGTACACCCAGTACCACAACCCTATAGTCAGCTGTAGTGGTACACCCAGTACCTCCATCCTATAGTCAGCTGTAGTGGTACACCCAGTACCTCCATCCTATAGTCAGCTGTAGTGGTACACCCAGTACCACCATCCTATAGTCAGCTGTAGTGGTACACCCTGTACCACCACCCTATAGTCAGCTGAAGTGGTACCCCTTGTACCTCCATCCTATAGTCAGCGGTAGTGGTACACCCTGTACCACCATCCTATAGTCAGCTGTAGTGGTACACCCAGTACCACCATCCTATAGTCAGCTGTAGGGGTACACCCAGTACAACCATCCTATAGTCAGCTGTAGGGGTACACCCAGTACAACCATCCTATAGTCAGCTGTAGTGGTACACCCAGTACCTCCATCCTATAGTCAGCTGTAGTGGTACACCCAGTACAACCATCCTATAGTCAGCTGTAGTGGTACACCCAGTACCACCATGCTATAGTCAGCTGTAGTGGTACACCCAGTACCTCCATCCTATAGTCAGCTGTAGGGGTACACCCAGTACAACCATCCTATAGTCAGCTGTAGTGGTACACCCAGTACCGCCATGCTATAGTCAGCTGTAGTGGTACACCCAGTACCTCCATGCTATAGTCAGCTGTAGTGGTACACCCAGTACCACCATGCTATAGTCAGCTGTAGTGGTACACCCAGTACCTCCATCCTATAGTCAGCTGTAGTGGTACACCCAGTACAACCATCCTATAGTCAGCTGTAGTGGTACACCCAGTACCTCCATCCTATAGTCAGCTGTAGGGGTACACCCAGTACCACCATGCTATAGTCAGCTGTAGTGGTACACCCAGTACCACCACCCTATAGTCAGCTGTAGTGGTACACCCAGTACCTCCATCCTATAGTCAGCTGTAGGGGTACACCCAGTACAACCATCCTATAGTCAGCGGTAGTGGTACACCCAGTACCACCACCCTATAGTCAGCTGTAGTGGTACACCCAGTACCTCCATCCTATAGTCAGCTGTAGGGGTACACCCAGTACAACCATCCTATAGTCAGCTGTAGGGGTACACCCAGTACAACCATCCTATAGTCAGCTGTAGGGGTACACCCAGTACAACCATCCTATAGTCAGCGGTAGTGGTACACCCTGTACCACCACCCTATAGTCAGCTGTAGTGGTACACCCTGTACCACCATCCTATAGTCAGCTGTAGTGGTACACCCAGTACCACCATCCTATAGTCAGCTGTAGGGGTACACCCAGTACAACCATCCTATAGTCAGCTGTAGGGGTACACCCAGTACAACCATCCTATAGTCAGCTGTAGTGGTACACCCAGTACCTCCATCCTATAGTCAGCTGTAGTGGTACACCCAGTACAACCATCCTATAGTCAGCTGCAGTGGTACACCCAGTACCACCATGCTATAGTCAGCTGTAGTGGTACACCCAGTACCTCCATCCTATAGTCAGCTGTAGGGGTACACCCAGTACAACCATCCTATAGTCAGATGTAGTGGTACACCCAGTACCACCATGCTATAGTCAGCTGTAGTGGTACACCCAGTACCTCCATGCTATAGTCAGCTGTAGTGGTACACCCAGTACCACCATGCTATAGTCAGCTGTAGTGGTACACCCAGTACCTCCATCCTATAGTCAGCTGTAGTGGTACACCCAGTACAACCATCCTATAGTCAGCTGTAGTGGTACACCCAGTACCTCCATCCTATAGTCAGCTGTAGGGGTACACCCAGTACCACCATGCTATAGTCAGCTGTAGTGGTACACCCAGTACCACCACCCTATAGTCAGCTGTAGTGGTACACCCAGTACCTCCATCCTATAGTCAGCTGTAGGGGTACACCCAGTACAACCATCCTATAGTCAGCGGTAGTGGTACACCCTGTACCACCACCCTATAGTCAGCTGATGTGGTACACCCAGTACCTCCATCCTATAGTCAGCTGTAGGGGTACACCCAGTACAACCATCCTATAGTCAGCTGTAGTGGTACACCCAGTACACCCAATTTTATCATGCCCCTATATTCACCAAAAATGCAATTCCTCACACTATAACCGACATCTCATCTGACACCAAAGGGCCATTGAAACTTCACACTTTTACTCGTACTTTTCCTACCAATGATGACACCTGACTTTGGCCAAGAGGTTCCAATCACATTTTGAATATGGCCGCCAGGTCAGACATTGAAATAGCTATCTATGACCATTATTTGAAGTCATTTTTGAAGTGTTGTAAGATTTGTAGGCAGTAGTCAGGCTCAAAATATACATACCGTATCCTGTTGCAATATTTTACATTTGAATAGTAGTTTGAACCTGTAAACTTTTTCTCATCTGAGATTGCCATACTGAGAGATTAGACCATGGCCTGTATGTTCCTCCTTATGGTTACATCCTGTTTGAGTCAAATTATTTGAATGTCAACTTTTGTGAAGTGACCATTTTGTTGGCGTTTTAAGTTTTAAACTGATGACTACATATCAAGGAGAGGTACAGAGCGGTGGGACTATTTTAAAGCATTTTTTGGTGTATGTTGCATTTATTTGTGTGGCCTTCCATTCCAGCATCCTCTGTGGGTCCTGGCACTGGGGCGAAACATGAATGGGTAGGTCACTTCTTTACATGTCCATTAGGGTTGTGAATACTCATAATACCTGGTTAGGCAATAGATCATGGAACAGGCCCCGGAAGTGACTGTGCGGAGTTCCTACCTTAGCCTACCAGGATCTGCTGATCACGGCTTGGACTTAGATTCCCCCATATCAGTAATCTGGGTCTTTGGGTTTACCTGTTAATCGGTCATGAAAAGATGAGTTCAACTTACTGTATTTCCTAATTTAGACGCCGGTGCCTCTTTTAGATGCAGATCTGGTGTCTATTCTTTTTAATACTGGCACAGTGGCAACTCACTACCTTACCAAATCCCAAATTCCACAGCCATACAAAGGAAACGGTCAGTATTAATCACCAGCCAGTGCCGTATCCAGCCCCCTGGATTTTTTTATAGAAAACATTTTCCTTGTGAAAGTTAACTTGAAATAGAAATGAAAAATCTTATTTGCCCCCCCCCCCCCCCCACACACACACAGAGTATTAGTGACCCTGCATCTAATAGGGGCAGGCGTGTAAAGGAATTTGGCAGATACCCCAGTTGTTAGAGGTTCCCTGACTGAGGAAATAAGTTATAAAAAAGAACTTGCCCATATTTATACAGAGATTGACCATTCTATATGCTGTTCACATACATTTGCTTTGCATTTTCTGACATGTACGCCACTATGCAGATCCCAGGTCAGAGCGAGACTCTAAAATCATCATGACAATCAAAGTTTTTATTTCTGTTTCAGGTCAATTGTTTTGATGACTTCTACAGTGACGTCTTTCTGAATGATTTTGAAAATGTTGATTTAGCAAAATATAATGTGGTGAGTTTACATATATATATTTCTTCAGAGTACAATATTGTCGTATTTATGTTTGTTTGTTTATTGTTTAACACCGCACTTAGCAATATTCCAGCTATATGACGGCGGTCTGTAAATAATCGTGTCTTGACCAGACATTCCAGTGATTGATGTCATTAGCATTGTTCCACGCTATCGGAATATGATGATATGCATCAACCAAGCCAGGGTGAGCCTGACCACCCGATCCCGTTAGTCTTACGACAAGCGTAGTGGCTATATATAAATGTCAATTAACAACTTCTCACGTCGCCGGATCTTACGCATGTACAGGCACGTGAGTCATTGACCTTGTTCCAAGTTATGTAATACCTCTATCTACAAAACCTGACTGACATGGTCGATCAGAGAGACGGGCCCAGGTCATCCACAGAAGCGGATGGATTGTACAGCTCGTCGTGGATGAAAAATCGACTCCCTGCTGTGCGGAAATGACAGAGCGGGGTTCTGCAACCGGGAACATTGGCCACTCGGTCTGGTGTGCGTTCTGTTACGCTATTATCAACCCATCCACAATGGGACAGTCGGGTAGCCTAGTGGTTAAAGCGTTCGCTCCTCGTGCCGAAGACCCGGTTCGATTCCCGAGATGGGTACAATGTGTGAAGCCCATTTCTGGTGTCACCCGCCGTGATATTGCTCGAATATTGCTAAAAGTGGTGTAAAATCATACCCACTCACTCCCCATCGACAATATACATGGCTGCTGTGGTCTTAAACTTCACCCCTGGGTTTTGTCTTCCGTCTCCATCCTGAACTACCATGACCCGAGGGCAAAAAAACGTACTTGGACAATATGACAATATGATTTGATGTTTATTACCAAACGCAAAGAGGTTACACTGAAACACCACGAACACCATGGCGATCAACAAATCCATACTGAAGTACGTAAGTTCATCCTGGTAACAACGCGTGTCCGTCTGACGTTGATTAATGAACAATTTGCATACTCATATATGCAAGAGGCCGACGTATGGTTCTCAGTAGGAAGTGACAACTTGGAGACGATGACTTGCGGTATATACAGTTTTACTTTATACATGTAGATATATACATACAAAAAACACTTTGTGCCATGTCAGCACATAGTGGTTGTGGTTGTTGTCTTGGTGCCCTGGAGCACCCAGCCTAACCCTAGCTAGGCTAAGGGTAAGACCTTTCTTTCTCTCCTCTCCTCTCTGGACCAAGGCTTATAAAGCCAAGGTCACATGACATTTAGTTAGTAATAAATATAAATGTAAACAGTAAATCATCAGTGACATACTTGCACATCTCGTTCAGGATGGCAGACGGTCGATGTACACAAAAATGGGGATTAACCAATAGGATTAGCATCTTATAAATAACAGCAATTAAGTGTTTCAAGGCATAAAGATGTCATGGCTCCAGGGTAATGAGCCTTTGCAATTAAATGTTCTTCAGACAATGGGTGTCGTAAATCAGTCGCTATGACAACTTCCCTCCGTTACGTGAAGCTTGGATCCCAAGCTTACATGAGTACAAATTGATATGTGTGAACTTTTTCACCAACGAAAACAACCTTGCAAATGTGAACAAAATCAGTTACATGAAATCCTTATGCAACAAATATATCTATGCAATGACAGTATGAAAGTGATCATCTAGCCATTTTTATTTAGTGCCAGTTTGAAAACTAACGAGGTCATCTTTGTAATGTGCAATTTCACTACAAGGTAATTACTGCTTTGCACAGATTCAATAAATATATCACTGAAGGTTCTTTGAATTCAGGAGTCTAGTTTGGCAGTGCGACTCAGTACCAAATGATAATAATGAGTAATGTCATAAAAAGTACACATTAAACATCTCAGCAAATATTTCGCATAAAGAAATTTGAAACCAGGAGTCTAGCTTTACCGCGTGACTCAAACGGTGCTTGTGGGTACTATTGCCCTTTTAAGTACAATGGGTGCTCTTCCTGTGTCTTTGACGGAGCTTGCCCATATATTGTGGGTGTGATGCCCAAGAAAAAAATCCTTAATTCCGACATCAAAACTCTGAAATGCTGAATACTGCTGTGCTGTTAATTACTTAATACTGACATACAATAAACATATGTGTGGGGGTGGCTCACCCAAGAATATCCCTAATCTGAATTCAAAGTCCTAGACAATACATTCAATTTTGTACCAAACTGTGCACATTAATAACGTGTAACAAATGACAAATTTTGTCGTTTAGATTTTTGAAATTACAAGTCGAGCTTTAAGGTGTGACTCAATAACCCTTACAGCTTAGGTTTGTCTGGGCCCTAACTGCAACTATATGTCTGGCGTGGCCTGGAGACATTTCAAAGATTCCCTACACAATAACTTCAAAGATCTAGCTTGACTAAAGATGTAATTTGGAGTATATTGCACATATACAAAACTGAATATTGTAAAGACACATTTTGGCATTAATATACTGGCTTTGATTAAACATACCTGCTTGCACTATTCAACAGTCACACAATATATATGCTTGATTGAGTCCATGTAAGTAAACACAAATTAGTAAGTCCCAATGAGATATCTTGTACACAGTGTCCATCTTGTAGGTGCCTGTAAGGCGGTTTCTGTATTGAGCAGGGTCTGCATGAAGATGGCTGTGGTCGGATCCCTGTGGGATATGCGTGTATACTTCTTTTCTTAGGTCATGTGCAGGAACGACATCTTGAAGGGGAAGACTTAGCAGTGTTGCTAAGATATTCGAGCAGGGAAGGTTTGGGATCGGAGAACTTGTTCTTGATCAGAGAGGTTCTTGTTCTTTCTTCAATCTTGTTACAGGACGTTTCTTCGTTCTTGGTGATTGGCCTTCAGGAAGGTAGTATATCCTTTTAATAAGAGACTGTCACTTCCTACAGTTTTGTGAACCATATGCCATGCTGCAAAGAGGTACAGGAAAGGACAGACTAAGAAGTCTGTCATACCCGATAGCTCCACCAAATTAACATGGTATGTTCGGATAAACAATACCTTCCAAATGGAGTGCTGGTTTTCTTGGGGAATTAGTCAGCAAAGAGCCGGAGTCCCAGGAGACTAATCACGATTTTATTTACAAGAACAATTAACAATTTACAATATACTTAGAAAATAACTGAGGGTGCCACAGAGAGTCGGTACAACACTCTGGGCTGTGGGAGAGAGAGGTCTGCTTGGTAAGAGAGTCAAACCCCTTCTCTGCTAAAACTTTGCTACCGTATGTATTAAACAAAAATTGAACAATAAAAAGGAATATGATTGGTTGATACACGATTGGTTGTGCCCTATGCTAAATGAATGGCTAGACAGAGAGGAATACTTAATCCTGTTAATCCTGTTGGACTGGCACTAATCTTGTTGACATATTTACTGGATGCTTTTGGAAAGAGATTATGGTGTCACTATAGACGAGGTTGTGTTGGGGCTAATCCTTAATGCACTATAGACGAGCTTGTATGGGGGCTAATCCTTAATGAGTCTAAAATTGCTGAATGTTATTCTAATATAGGTGATGACAGATTTACTTAAATAAAATAGTTCAAGGTAATCTATAAGACTATGTAGACATATCTTTTGTCTGGAAGATGGGATCTTGATACCTTAGGCTAGCATTTATCTAAAAGCTTCAAATCTATTAAACTATGTAGACATAACTCTTGTCTTATTGAATAGTATGTCTAGGAGATGCGCTCCCATTACCTTAGGCTAGCATCTATCTAAAAAGCTTTAACTGAAACTACTGATATTTTATATATACATTTTACCTGATGATAAGTATTACTTGCTAAACTATAATTATATGAAATGATGTATAAATATTACACCATGATAACTGATTAAAGCACTTGATGTGGATCTAATTATTATAGGATAACTTAGTATAAATGTTATACCATGATACTTCCAACAGTGAAATGTCAAACGGTGCACTACGACAAATATATCAACCAATACATGAAAATGATAGGAGAGTGTAAGGAACATGTCTCGCGCTGGGAAGGGGCTTGAGAAATTGTGAGAACAGCTGATTAGTTGAGTGAGTGAGAAAATGATTGTACAGCTGATTGATTGATTGAGAAAATGTGTGTACAGCTGATTGAGTGAGTGAGTTACTGAGTTAGGGTTGCAACCGGGGACACCAGAAAAGTGTAGCTGGTTAATCTCTGCATGTAAAACAATACTCATGACAGGACATACATGGAATGGTAATCTACAGGTCTATTTTCACTGACCATCTTTGAAATAATATTTTGAACACTCGCCAGATCTGATAAGGATGGCGGTTTTCTTTATCTTTTCTTTTCTAATTTTATATTTTTGAAAGTCCGCGTTTTTCTAAAATAATTAATAAAATAAAACAAATAGACTTATACAGGCTGCAAGTTCTTTGATTGGTAGGTATACTTATTAACTAAAATATCTTTTAACAGTTGAAATTTTCAGTGAATCCATGAAAATGTTTGTAAGCCATTCCAAATGACGTTTAAAAAGATTCCCTAAATCATCAATAAATGGTTTTAAAAAAATTCTTTTCGTAGTATTGATAACCAATAAATATCAAGTATTCCTAAAACCTCACATTTACCATGATGCCATATTCCTTTAATGGCAATGTTCTTTCGAACAATATCTGCTATAAGCAGAAATAGGTTGGGTGAGATCGGATCACCTTGCCTACAACCCCTTATATTAAAAAAAATGGAAAGGAGTCATTTTCAGTAAAAATTGATACTCACTCTAACTTTTTCATAACTAAATACGTGAATTGTGTAAATACTTAGTTTAAAATATTATACGACGGGAGTCTTATGTTTCTTAGTTTCAAATATTGTATGATACACGAGTCTTCTGTTTTCACTGATGCATATGCTCATGATATTCTCATGAATGACTGTCCAAAGTACATTTTAGTCTGATGGTTGTGCATGGGCTTATTATTCTATATCCCGAGTTTAGCCAGTTACTAGTTTTCGGTGTTTTCCACTCACTGATAGTAACTATGTCACTCCATCATAGCCATCTCTGTCTGCCTGCAGGTGTGCACGCTGGAGATGCAAGGCGGCTGGTACAGTGTTCCCAGCAGCACCACCTCTGTGTACAGCTCTGTGATCAACCCCTCCACCTACAGTGGCTGGAACAACCCACCTACCAACCTCCCCACCCTCACATCAGACAAACTGTATCTCAAGGGGGGCCTCCCACACTCACTGACCAGGGAACACTTCCCACCTGGGGCTCATGAACCTCCACTGGGACATCTGCAGACAATCGGTGGAGAACACCCACAGGGACATCTGCAGACAGTCGCAGAGGAACACCCACAGGGACATCTGCAGACAGTCGCAGGGGAACACCCACAGGGACATCTGCAGACAATCGCAGGGGAACACCCACAGGGAAATCTGCAGACAATCGCAGGGGAACACCCACAGGGATATCCGCAGACAGTCACAGGGGAACACCCACAGGGACATCTGCAGACAGTCGCAGGGGAACACCCACAGGGAAATCTGCAGACAACCACAAGGAAACACCCACAGGGACATCTGCAGACAGTCGCAAGGGAACACTCACAGGGACATAAACAGATAGTCGCAGTGGAACATCCACAGGGATATCTGCAGACAGTTGCAGAGGAACACCCACAGGGATATTTTCAGACAGTAGCAGGGGAACACCCACAGGGACATCAGCAGACAGTTGCAGGGGAACACCCACTGGGATATCTGCAGACAATCGGCAGGGAACACCCTCAGGGAAATCTACAGACAGTCGGTAGGGAACACCCTCAGGGATATCTACAGACAATCGGCGGGAAACACCCTCAGGGGCATCTACAGACAGTCGGCGGGGAACGCCCCAAGCATGTGTCTCAGCTAGCACAGGACCGTGTTGTTGGGGCACCACAACAGCCTGAAGAAGAGAAGGTTTTCTCCACTCTTGGCCAGAAGCTGAATCTAGGCACCCGGTGTCTTCAGAACGCAGATGTCGTGTTTCTACAGACTTCTTCAACCAGTAAACTTAGCGGTTTGACAAAGGCAGGTTCAGGTCTCCCAGAAGCAGGATCAACACTGCCTTCAATATCAATTATCATCAATACTTACGATGAGAAGGGCGAGTCAACAAAAGCATGCCAATTTGACTCAACAGAGAATCTTGTGAGTGATGGATCAGTCGGAGATGTGACGTCATCAGAGGACCGCTGGCAGACAACTGCATCAACGTATGTATCGCTTAGTTCATCACCGACGTCGGGTCCCACCAGCAGCGACCACGTCTCATCATCTTCTGATTCCAAGGACAGCAGCAAACATGTTAGGAACAGGGAGGTTCGGCGGGCAGGTGGGCGACCAAGATTTCTTTCCAAATTTAAATCTAGAGTTTATTTAGTACCCGTATGTAGGCCACTGGCCTATACAGCGATGAGTACACACATACATTTAAAACATTGCATCAAAGTGGTTGGAATATCATGTTAACCAAATCGTCACATTGTTCACATGCATGCACTAGGCACTTTGCAGAAATGTCTCATAGTTTTTTAATTGTTGTCCTCAAGAAAGAACTATCTTTGTAGTTTTCTTTTGGCAACATGCAAAGGGTAAATATTTCATTATTATTTTTGTTATCATAAAATAAAACGAAATTGAAATAGGCTTCTGTACCCAAATTACTCTGTGTGCAAGAAACTTGTGTTGCATCAATATCAACCATCTCCCTTCTTTGTTCCCTTAATAAACCACAGCTTAACCTAATCAAAATATGCGCTTTGTCTCATATTGCAGTTGATGAACCGCGGCGACCTAAGAATGGTTTCATCCGTTTTTCCATTGAGCACCGACAGCAGATCGCTGTAAAGCACCCGAGACTGGACAACCGCGAGATCTCGCGAATGCTCGGCTGCAAGTGGAGAAAGCTGAGCAATGAGGAGAAGAAGCCATATGAGTAAGACTCCCTTCTCCTGCCATCCTCACAACTGTGTCAAGAGATCTTCAAATTGTGCTGGGGGTTTGTAAGACAAATACAAGGCACGATCATAACGTTCCTATGTTATTGGCAACACCCTGTATCCACCTGAATTTCCAATTTTCAAAATACCACAATCTCCAAAGTTGATCTGTGTTTTTAGGACATAGATCTACATCTTTAAAGCAAAATCTTCAAGCTTTACGTTTCTTTCAATTAAGTGTTGTTAGTTTATCCTTCAGACTATGGATAACTCTATTTTCAATTAAGTTGGTAAAACAAGATCATGCTGTGTAGGTTTTACCTATAGTTTGCTGGCAGTTCCACTGTCATTTCAGGGTTGAGTTCGAGAAGGATATCCAGGCTATCCGGGAGGTGAACCCAGAGTGGCGCTACGCCCCGGCCAGGCAGCTGGTTGAGGAGCTGATAGAACCAATGCCCAGTCGCCTCCGACCCAGGAACAGCCTCAAGCGGAAGAAGGTACTACTGGACAAATGCTATTGTAGACATACCCAGGCAGTTTGTTGTTTAACCGCACACAGCAATATTTCAGCTATATGGCGCAGCCTAGATTAGACAGTCCAGAGATTTTATGTACAACCATGTACCCTGTCAGAGTACAGTGTAACCTGGTCAACCAAGTCACAAGGCCTGACCACCTGATCCATTAAGCATCTTTCAACCAGCTTTGGTTGCTGGGAACCTATTCTATCCTGGGACCATCAGTTATTTTGGGGGTGGGGGGTGGTGATATTTCTTCTTCAGTGGGGCTGGTTGTTGGTCCCTATTGGATGGTACAGTCGAAAATGATCTATGGAAATAAATTTACCACACCAGCCATTTTGAAATTGTCTAGTGTAGGCAACTGGATTGATCAAGTGAAAGTTGAAATGCAATTGTTTCAATCATAAAACCTGAGACTGTTCCCCACAGCTTCCCAGCCTCGTGAGAACATACAGTCGCCGCCAGAACTCCGGCAAGTCTTCCAAGACCAGCAGGAAAAAATGCCCTGTAGTCCAATCAGAGATGCTTGATCCAGCTGCCACACCCTTAAGTGAGGAGGACCCATCAACCACCTGGGTGCAGTGTGATCTGTGTGGAAAGTGGCGATGTCTGCCCGGCTTCATCCAACCAGAGGCACTGTGTGACATATGGTGAGTGGAGGTCATGGTGGCGATGTCTGCCCGGCTTCATCCCACCCAACGGCACTGTGACATGTTGTAAGTGGAGTTCAGGGTGGCGATGTCTGCCCGGCTTCATCCCACCCAACGGCACTGTGTGACATATGGTGAGTGGAGGTCAGGGTGGCGATGTCTGCCCGGCTTCATCCCACCAGAGGCAATGTGTGACATGGTGAGTGGAGGTCAGGGTGGCGATGTCTGCCCGGCTTCATCCCACCAGAGGCACTGTGTGACATATGGTGAGTGGAGGTCAGGGTGGCGATGTCTGCCCGGCTTCATCCCACCAGAGGCACTGTGCGACATGTTGTTAGTGGAGGTCAGGGTGGCGATGTCTGCCCGGCTTCATCGAACCAGAGGTACTGTGTGACATGTTGTTAGTGGAGGTCAGGGTGGCGATGTCTGCCCGGCTTCATCCCACCCAACGGCACTGTGTGACATATGGTGAGTGGAGGTCAGCGTTGCGATGTCTGCCCCGCTTCATCCCACCAGAGGCACTGTGTGACATGTTGTTAGTGGAGGTCAGGGTGGCGATGTCTGCCCGGCTTCATCCAACCAGAGGCAATGTGTGACATGGTGAGTGGAGGTCAGGGTGGCGATGTCTGCCTGGCTTCATCCCACCAGTGGCACTGTGTGACATCTTGTTATTGGAGGTCAGGGTGGCGATGTCTGCCCGGCTTCATCCCACCAAGACAGTGTGTGACATGTTGTTAGTGGAGGTCAGGGTGGCGATGTCTGCCCGGCTTCATCCTACCAAGACAGTGTGTGACATGTTGTTAGTGGAGGTCAGGGTGGCTATGTCTGCCTGGCTTCATCCCTCCAAGACAGTGTGTGACATGTTGTTAGTGGAGGTCAGGGTGGCGATGTCTGCCCGGCTTCATCCCACCAAGACAGTGTGTGACATGTTGTTAGTGGAGGTCAGGGTGGCGATGTCTGACCGGCTTCATCCCTCCAAGACAGTGTGTGACATGTTGTTAGTGGAGGTCAGGGTGGCGATGTCTGCCTGGCTTCATCCTACCAAGACAGTGTGTGACATGTTGTTAGTGGAGGTCAGGGTGGCGATGTCTGCCCGGCTTCATCCCACCAGGACACTGTGTGACATGTTGTGAGTGGAGGTGAAGGTGGTGATGTCTGCCTGGCTTCATCCCACCAAGACACTGTGTGACATGTTTGTGATTGGAGGTCAGGGTGGCGATGTCTGCCCGGCTTCATCCCACCAGAGGCACTGTGTGACATGTTGTGAGTGGAGGTCAACTACTGCTGACTTCAAAGCTAATGTGTGTACCCTATGTTTCAGGTTTTGCTACTTCAACCCCGACAATCGGTACAACTCCTGCTCCATCAAGGAGGAGCTGGACCCCGACGATGCCTCTGCCCCTCCACATCTGCCTGTCCCCCCAAACTCCACATGTACAGCATACAGTGGTGGCCATGTGCTGTCCCGGGAACCCTCCTGGTAGTGCTCCAGGTACAGCACACTGGTGAAGAGCATAAACAAAGACCAACTTGTTTCACGTCAAGTAGGCAGTGTTACTACTGAAAAATATAGACAGTTGGATTCCCCTGTCTAACTTGCTTGCCAAATGTTCTTTCAAAATAATGACTTGAAATGCTACTTCTTGTATCTGAATGGAGTGGCATGAAATAACTAGAATAACTGGAATAACTAGATGCAATAAAATGCTCTAACTTGTCCATCCACTGATGAGAAACTAAGCAATGACAGATCTGTACAAGTGTTGGCAATTCTGTAGGAGCTGAACAAGCGTTGGTGAGTCTGTAGGAGCTGAACAAGTGTTGGTGAGTCTGTAGGAGCTGAATAAGTGTTGGTTAGGAGCTGAACAAGTGTTGGCTAGTCTGTAGGAGCTGAACAAGTGTTGGCGAGTCTGTAGGATCTGAACAAGTGTTGGTGAGTGTAGCAGCTGAACAAGTGTTGGCTAGTCTGTAGGAGCTGAACAAGTGTTGGCTAGTCTGTAGGAGCTGAACAAGTGTTGGTTAGTCTGTAGGAGCTGAACAAGTGTTGGCTAGTCTGTAGGAGCTGAACAAGTGTTGGCTAGTCTGTAGGAGCTGAATAAGTGTTGGTTAGTCTGTAGGAGCTGAATAAGTGTTGGCGAGTCTGTAGGAGCTGAACAAGTGTTGGCTAGTCTGTAGAAGCTGAACTAGTGTTGGCTAGTCTGTAGGAGCTGAACAAGTGTTGGCTAGTCTGTAGGAGCTGAATAAGTGTTGGTTAGTCTGTAGGAGCTGAATAAGTGTTGGTTAGTCTGTAGGAGCTGAACAAGTGTTGGCTAGTCTGTAGGAGCTGAACTAGTGTTGGCTAGTCTGCAGGAGCTGAACTAGTGTTGGCTAGTCTGTAGGAGCTGAACTAGTGTTGGCTAGTCTGTAGGAGCTGAACAAGTGTTGGCGAGTCTGTAGGAGCTGAACAAGCACTGGCAAGTTTGGAGGAGCTGTCTGTCAAACATACTTTTCTAAAGCACCACATAGATTAAACATCTTGAAAAGGGTAGTGGTTGTTGTACCCCAAGGAACTATCTTTTTCTTTACATGGTCATAAGTGAGACTGCTAAAGACCCAGTCATGCTCTAAATGTTTTGGGTTCTTTTTACCTCTTTCCATTTTTTATCTATTAGGACAGGTCATGCTACTTTCACAGGGGATTAGTCTGAGAAGCTTAACGTTTAATGGAGAACTCACATCAAACCTTACACCTTGAGCAGTTCTGGTCACTTAGCCTGGAATCTTGGATGGTCTTACTTTTCCCATTTACCTTGAAAGGAGGCGTCTTACCAACAGCTTCACGATAAGCAGACAATGGCCCGGAAATAAAGACCTTTTCCCAAAAATTTACATAATGTAAAAACTGTCCATCAAAATGTCTTTTTCTAGCACACATTATGGGGATTACTTATCAATGTGGGTCACTTGATACTGGCTACAAATGCACTGATCTGCAAGAGTACTGGTGTTTTGTAAACTATTAACTTTGCCACTAAACATTGTTTACTTATTGTCATTGTTTTGTTTGGTAACTAGAAATGTGTTGTGTTTAATCAGAAACTGTAGCAACCCCATTATCGCACTGACCTGAATATATGCCACCAACATTTTAACATAGGATATTAATACATTTAAATGCACGCCTGTTGCACCAAGATGTAAACACAAAAAATCACATGCCTGGCTTTCACATTGACATTTTATATGAAAACAAAAACTGGCTGACACATGGCTGTATAATTCATTGTAACTGGACAATATTGCACAATCACTTAGCAGCATGTTGTCAACAAGCATTCTTCAAGTAAATCCCTATTGTGGCTGGACCTTAGCAGCATGTCGTCAACAAGCATTCTTCAAGTAGATCACTATTGTGGCTGGACCTTAGCAGCATGTCATCAACAAGCATTCTTCAAGTAGATCACTATTGTGGCTGGACCTTAGCAGCATATCGTCAACAAGGATTCTTCAAGTGGATCCCTATTGTGGCTGGACCTGAGCAGCATATCGTCAACAAGCATTCTTCAAGTGGATCCCTATTGTGGCTGGACCTTAGCAGCATGTCGTCAACAGGCATTCTTCAAGTGGATCCCTATTGTGGCAACAAGCATTCTTCAAGTAGATCACTATTGTGGCTGGACTTTAGCAGCATGTCATCAACAAGCATTCTTCAAGTAGATCACTATTGTGGCTGGACCTTAGCAGCATATCGTCAACAAGGATTCTTCAAGTGGATCCCTATTGTGGCTGGACCTGAGCAGCATATCGTCAACAAGCATTCTTCAAGTGGATCCCTATTGTGGCTGGACCTTAGCAGCATGTCGTCAACAGGCATTCTTCAAGTGGATCCCTATTGTGGCAACAAGCATTCTTCAAGTAGATCACTATTGTGGCTGGACCTTAGCAGCATGTCATCAACAAGCATTCTTCAAGTAGATCACTATTGTGGCTGGACCTTAGCAGCATATCGTCAACAAGGATTCTTCAAGTGGATCCCTATTGTGGCTGGACCTGAGCAGCATATCGTCAACAAGCATTCTTTAAGTGGATCCCTATTGTGGCTGGACCTTAGCAGCATGTCGTCAACAGGCATTCTTCAAGTGGATCCCTATTGTGGCAACAAGCATTCTTCAAGTAGATCACTATTGTGGCTGGACCTTAGCAGCATGTCATCAACAAGCATTCTTCAAGTAGATCACTATTGTGGCTGGACCTTAGCAGCATATCGTCAACAAGGATTCTTCAAGTGGATCCCTATTGTGGCTGGACCTTAGCAGCATGTCGTCAACAGGCATTCTTTAAGTGGATCCCTATTGTGGCTGGACCTTAGCAGCATGTCGTCAACAGGCATTCTTTAAGTGGATCTCTTTTGTGGCAACAAGGATTCTTCAAGTAGATCACTATTGTGGCAAGACACAAGCAGCATGTTGTCAACAAGCGTTCTTCAAGTGGATCCCTATTTTGGCAACATACCTTAGCAGCGTGTCATCAACAACCATTCTTCGAGTGGATCCCTAATGTGGCTAGACCATAGCAACAGGTCGTCAACAAGTTTTCTTCCAGTGGATCCATATTCTGGCAACAGTCATTCTTCAAGTGGATCCCTATTGTGGCAACAAGACACAAGCAGCATGTCGTCAACAAGCATTCTTCAAGTGGATCTCTATTGTGGCAAGACACAAGCAGCATTTCATCAACAAGCATTCTTCAAGTGAATCCCTATTGTGGCAACAAGACACAAGCAGCATGTCGTCAACAAGCATTCTTCAAGTGAATCCCTATTGTGGCAACAAGACACAAGCAGCATGTCGTCAACAAGCATTCTTCAAGTGGATCCCTATTGTGGCAACAAGACACAAGCAGCATGTCGTCAACAAGCATTCTTCAAGTGAATCCCTATTGTGGCAACAAGACACAAGCAGCATGTCGTCAACAAGCGTTCTTCAAGTGAATCCCTATTGTGGCAACAAGACACAAGCAGCATGTCGTCAACAAGCATTCTTCAAATTGATCCCTATTGTTGCAACAAGACACAAGCAGCATGTCGTCAACAAGCATTCTTCAAATTGATCCCTATTGTTGCAACAAGACACAAGCAGCATGTCGTCAACAAGCATTCTTCAAGTGAATCCCTATTGTGGCAACAAGACACAAGCAGCATGTCGTCAACAAGCGTTCTTCAAGTGAATCCCTATTGTGGCAACAAGACACAAGCAGCATGTCGTCAACAAGCATTCTTCGAATTGATCCCTATTGTTGCAACAAGACACAAGCAGCATGTCGTCAACAAGCATTCTTCAAGTCGATCCCTATTGTGGCAACAAGACACAAGCAGCATGTCGTCAACAAGCATTCTTCAAGTGAATCCCTATTGTGGCAACAAGACACAAGCAGCATGTCATCAACAAGCGTTCTTCAAATTGATCCCTATTGTGGCAACAAGACACAAGCAGCATGTCGTCAACAAGCATTCTTCAAATTGATCCCTATTGTTGCAACAAGACACAAGCAGCATGTATTCAACAAGCATTCTTCAAGTGGATCTCTATTGTTGCAACAAGACACAAGCAGCATGTATTCAACAAGCGTTCTTCAAGTGGATCCATATTGTGGCAAGACACAAGCAGCATGTCATCAACAAGCGTTCTTCAAGTGGATCCCTATTGTGGCAACAAGACACAAGCAGCATGTATTCAACAAGCATTCTTCAAGTGAATCCCTATTGTGGCAAGACACAAGCAGCATGTCGTCAACAAGCGTTCTTCAAGTGGATCCCTATTGTGGCAACAAGACACAAGCAGCATGTATTCAACAAGCGTTCTTCAAGTGGATCCCTATTGTGGCAACAAGACACAAGCAGCATGTATTCAACAAGCATTCTTCAAGTGAATCCCTATTGTGGCAACAAGACACAAGCAGCATGTATTCAACAAGCGTTCTTCAAGTGGATCTCTATTGTGGCAACAAGACACAAGCAGCATGTATTCAACAAGCGTTCTTCAAGTGGATCCCTATTGTGGCAAGACACAAGCAGCATTTCATACACCACAATGTATATGTCACAAAAAAGTGTTACTTCAGTTTAAATAGTGACCTCATTACATTTTATAATTACTGTGTGTGTGTGTGTGTATATATAAAAGCACAGTAAAGTTCTAACTCTCAGGCACAATATAGTAATAATTAAATAAGTGGAGTAAGATTGAACAGTTTTAATTGGCTAGCGCTTTCAACTCGTACCACGTACGAGTCTCATCAGGCCATAACTGAATAACGGACATGAAGTAGTAACATATAGTTATGTGACGTCATAACATTTAGGAAAACTATGACGTCACAAAACCAAGGCGACAATGGACAAATAACTTACGCCTTTACGCGGGAGAGAAAAATATTTGGAAGACTTTTGTGATAGACTTGAAAGTGCTCCTATTCATGTAAAACAAACAAAACAAAACCTATCTGAATGTGAATTGAAAGGCCTTACTAATCTTAAAAATAATACAGACATCGTTATTAAAGAAGCCGATAAAGGGGGTGCTATTGTTAGTATGAATAAATCATTTTATCAAAAAAAGGTAATGTCCATTTTAAATGATGATCAATATTATAGCAATTCTAGTAAAAGAAGAAAAATCTGTCCAGAATGATGGTTAAGAAATTGTTAGATAAGTATGATGACAAAATTCTAAAGAAAGAAAAGGACTATCTTACTAATTTTGAACCTAAAACCGCTAATTTTTATGGCCTACCCAAAGTGCATAAAAGTAAATGTATTCAAAAGGAAATTAATGATAAAAATTGTGAAGTTATTTCTATTGAAAATCTCGAAGATTTACCGTTTAGACCAATTGTGGGAGGACCCGAGAGCTGTACTCAGCGTCTTAGCAATTTCATAGATAATATTCTTAAGCCTTTATGTAAACATGTAAAAAGTTTTCTCAGAGATGACATTGATTTTTTATGTAAATTACCTACTGAGGTACCAGAAGGATCTATGTTAGTTAGTTTTGATGTTGTTAGTTTGTATAGTAATATTGAAACTGAGCTCGGACTGGAAGCTATCAGATACTGGCTGAAAGAATACCGCCATGAAATACCAGATACATTTTAGGATGAGTTTATCATTGATGCATTGAAGTTGGTTATTACCAATAACATGTTTTATTTTGATGGATCTTATTATTCACAAAAGAAAGGAGTAGCCATGGGTACTAAGGTAGCCCCTACGTATGCAACCCTTGTATTGGGATTTTTAGAGAATATCTTTTATGATAAGGTGAGAGATACTCTTGGTGAATCTATGAAAGAACAAATTGAATATTCATGGAAAAGGTTTTTAGACGACTGTTTTATCATATTAAAAACCAGTGAAAGTCAACTTACAGCTGTTCATGAAATTTTAAATTCACTTAATGCGTCACTCAATTTCACTATGGAAAAAAGCGAATCCAGTTTAACCTTTCTCGATGTAAGAATCAATTTAATATCTGGGAGATTTGTACAAACTGATATCTTTTATAAAGATACTGATACGCACCAATATTTGGATTTTGGATCATGTCACCCGTATTATACAAAACGTAATATCCCTTACTGTCTCGCAAGACGTATTTGTACCATTGTTTCTGTGAAGGATGTTAAAACTACTCGCCTTGCTGAACTTAAGAGTTTCCTACTGCATCAAAATTATCCCGCAAAGCTAATTGAAGAAAGCATACATAAGGCGCTAAGTATTGAGCAACTAAAACTGAGAGAAAAGTCTCAAGAAAACAATGTGGGGAATAATTTAACTCTAGTATCTACCTTCAACCCTAATCATGAAAAAACATTATCCATGGTTAAACGATACCTGCCTATTTTGAATCAAAGTATTAAAATGGAAAAGATATTGAGCAAATACAAAATTATCAACAGCCAAAGACAACCCAAAAATCTTTGAAAGATTTTGACAAGTTCTAAATTTGATTCTGTTGTCATTGTAAGTTATTTGTCCATTGTCGCCTTGGTATTGTGACGTCATAGTTTTCCTAAATGTTATGACGTCACGTATGTATGTGTTACTACTTCATGTCCGTTATTCAGTTATGGCCTGATGAGACTCATACGTGGTACGAGTTGAAAGCGCTAGCCAATTAAAACTGTGTACAATCAAACTCCACTTATTTAATTATTAGTATATATATATATATTCATTCTTGGCACAAAAAAATAAAAACGGTTTTTTTAATGTTGGACTAATTCACATTACACCTGGAATCAATATGATAAAAGCTGAGTGAGAGCCATAATAGATTAATTATTTGATTTCCTCCCTGCCCACCTCATCATACTATTCATGTTTCATGTGAATCACATCCGTTGTTGGTAGTGTATACAGATGCATTAACAGTTGAAAAAAGAAAGGATGAAAATCTAATAGTTAATTTAGTGTGGCTCTATACGCAAATGTTTTTCACAAACACATTTTTTATGGACAAGATGTCTTGTATCACATTTTAAAGTCCTCATGCAAAAAACACTGATGATGCAATCATTGCAATTCAAATTCATCTTTAGTCACATTCATTCCAAACGAAGCCAGTACAGTCATACATCAAACCATGGACATCAATTAAACGTGACAGTCCTTCCATCATGTAGACCTACAGCCTGGAATTCTCTACAAGGACTGAAGAAACAGTATTACTCATCATTCATATAATAACAAGGAGTGAAATAACAGAAGACGGAGGAAAGGATGCAGCTTCTTTCAAATGTGCTCCATTAAAAGTAACCGTACAACATGTACAATTAAGTTTATTCTTAAACCCTAAAATAAATTCAATTCTAATCTATGGCAAAATGACACAGTTAGACAAAAAAGTTTTCATGTACATGAGTCCAAGTCTTGACTACGAAATTTCTCTTTTAAAATATTTCTTTTTGTAAAAGACACATATAGAAAACACTCCTGAAGCCTTTAAAGTGATGCTTGAACTATTGAATGACAGCAACATATAATGCCAGTCAAATGTCAGTACCAAACAATCCCAGGAAGGGTACAAACAATACTGTAGATAAATGCTGGTTTGAATGTCCTTCCTTCATCCCTGTCTCTGTAGCTGACATCATCAACAACTAGCCCACTGTCAAGCCTGCATTCTGCAGATTGCATTTCCCAGCCAGTGAGTTCTCCAGCAGGTTCTCATTCTGGTCAAACTGGAGGGACAAAGTTGGGAGCGAGCAGTCATCAGTTTCACTGTTTAGATATTTCATTGTGTCCGTCGCCACAACACACTCCTGGCATCACCTTTTGCTCTTACTCAGACGAAGAGATTTCTCTAATTCAAACTGACGTACATCTGCACGGTTTAGAAAGGCCATTCTTTCCAGGTATCTGTAAATAGGATAGAGAGATATGAGGACCTTGAACTGAAGTCAGACCACAAGTCTACTTTCAACTGGTGCTGTACTGTACACTTTCACAAAAGGAGTCCTTTACATCGCAGTTACAGCTTCAACTTGGTGATAACTTTGTTGTCTTTGTCCAACAACAGATCGTACCATACACCACACTATAAATCTGCCTGATTACTTGAGAGGACATCATTTCGCAGATAATCTTTGTTTAACATCAAAACAAATGTGACAGTTAGACACAAACATGCAGTTTCTGTCTATAGTTTCCAATGTTCAGCCTTTCTTAACTGATGGTTTTAAGTTTCATAAAAAAATAATACACTGAAGCATTTGCCTATAACGCTGTTCAAGAGGTCATGGATGCCTAGCTTACAGTGGCAGCGGAGTGACCTTTCCCAGTGAAATTTGAATGTAATCTGTGATGACAGAAAAAACCCTACAAACTTCTACAAAACCCCTAAATTATAAGGCACATTACTTACGACTCTTTTCCTCTATTGTGGATCTGAAGATCATCCTCAATTCCTTCATCCTTCTTAAAAGTGTTCCAGTCCATCTTAGACTTCTCCTGTAATATCATACCATAATCTTACAGTGCTGTGGTCCACTAGACTGGGGTGTATGTTGCAGTGCTGTGGTCCACTAGACAGGGGTGTATGTTACAGTGCTGTGGTCCACTAGACAGGGGTGTATGTTACAGTGCTGTGGTCCACTAGACAGGGGTGTATGTTACAGTTCTGTGGTCCACTAGACAGGGGTGTATGTTACAGTGCTGTGGTCCACTAGACAGGGGTGTATGTTACAGTGCTGTGGTCCACTAGACTGGGGTGTATGTTGCAGTGATGTGGTCCACTGGACTGGGGTGTATGTTACAGTGCTGTGGTCCACTAGACTGGGGTGTATGTTGCAGTGATGTGGTCCACTAGACAGGGGTGTATGTTGCAGTGATGTGGTCCACTAGACTGGGGTGTATGTTGCAGTGATGTGGTCCACTAGACTGGGGTGTATGTTACAGTGCTGTGGTCCACTAGACTGGGGTGTATGTTGCAGTGCTGTGGTCCACTAGACAGGGGTAGGGGTGTATGTTACAGTTCTGTGGTCCACTAGACGGGTGTATGTTACAGTTCTGTGGTCCACTAGACAGGAGTGTATGTTACAGTTCTGTGGTCCACTAGACGGGTGTATGTTACAGTTCTATGGTCCACTAGACAGGAGTGTATGTTACAGTGCTGTGGTCCACTAGACAGGGGTGTATGTTACAGTGCTGTGGTCCACTAGACAGGGGTGTATGTTACAGTTCTGTGGTCCACTAGACGGGTGTATGTTACAGTGCTGTGGTCCACTAGACAGGGGTGTATGTTACAGTGCTGTGGTCCACTAGACTGGGGTGTATGTTGCAGTGATGTGGTCCACTAGACTGGGGTGTATGTTACAGTGCTGTGGTCCACTAGACTGGGGTGAATGTTACAGTGCTGTGGTCCACTAGACTGGGGTGTATGTTACAGTGCTGTGGTCCACTAGACTGGGGTGCATGTTACATTGCTGTGGTCCACTGGTCATGGTAATTAAAATGATTATTAAACCTTACAGTACAGTTCACGATATACTATTTCATTTCTTACCAGGATCCTCATATTTCCTGTAAGGACCCTTGAAATTAATTAAAAGGAGTCCCTTGTCTATTTATAGAAGTATGTCATGGTATGGCAGGCACATTGACTTCTGAGCACTATTCATCTCCAAACTAAAACTTGACATCCTAGTTCCATCTGAAAACTGTATAATAAAGCCATGGCACTTTATGCGGACACACTATGGTCGGCCAGTTGAATCAATATGCTGATTTTGACCCAGTCATATTATCTGAGTGAATTATAGAATTCGACAAAAGGGACAAATTGGATGCTCCAACCTGCGTCGATTGTCATGAGTTGGAGGTGGTGTGACCAATCAAATTGGTGTCATCTGATATTTGTTTACACGCAATTGCGAAACATGCCTTCGTCTGCTGCGAAGAAACCACGCCTCGACTTTTTAAGAGAGGAAACTGAGCCTTTTGTGGCTCACTATCTGAGTCACGCAACCCTGTCAAATGTCTCAAGCTTTAGGTGAGCCGCTTCTTGTCTTCACTTACCAGCACACTCATCTTGGGTTTCTTGCCCATCTTGTTGAGGAGCCCACCCAGCCCTCCTGCAGCCGGCCTCTTCACACCACTGCTGACAGAAGAGCAATCTTAATAATGAATAATAATAGGCCATTTATATTGCAACATATTTCCACACCACACAGGGGCATGCTGAAAGCACTATCATTACCCTGGTCACTGGTCCAGAGTGCACTCAACAATCATTCTCTGCTCCCTCAAGAGCATACAACCCAAGCTGCCTGTTAGTCTCTCTGCGACCAATGTTGCTTAACTTTACCTGATTTGTGACCTGTGCACTGTGCACAGGAACTCATGCCACGACAATCCATCTACACACACACAACTATGCCACCTTCTACAGGGTCCCAGCTATATACATTAAGTGTGCCACCTGCAATGGATATGTAGTCAACAGCATAAATCTAGACCACCAGATGTCAGACTTTCATTGGTTGCTGAGTGGGTTAGATTGCTGACCATGTTTGCTGGCGATTAGGTGGCGTGGGGATCAACCCTAAAATGTACTAGAATTTAGTAAAATCTAAATATTTTTTTACATTTGTATACTTATCCTGCATTACACCGTATTGCATTTACTGCTGTCTTTTGACAGAGAGACAAACTATGTGAGATTCAGCTGCTGAAGAAAGTTGTCCCAACCAGTAAAGGAAGCAGCGCCTTCTCACAGTCGGCAGTTGACCCAGAAGTCATGACGTCACATCAAAACACATAACTGCTTTAAACATATAACATCTGAAACTTTGTGGGGAGGCAGCGTAGCGAAGGGAGGGCACTTAGACTTCGTAATGCAGGATAAGTATACAAATGTAAAAAATATTTAGATTTTACTAATTTTTTTAACTTATCCTGCATTACTCCTTAATGCACCTCTATCCGACGGCATGGCAGGTGGGCATACCTTCAGATGTGATCCATAATAAACCCTCGTCAAGGTCCGATGAATCCGCACCACATACAAGTGATGACCGGAACATCCATTCCTGTGGAATTTGGAAGTTCAGCCATGTTGAAAATCGCATTTGAACCTCTTGAACAGACTTGGGTGTCATCTTTGGTGTGAACAAGTATGTGAAGTTAATTTGAAGATAATTTGGTCCAGTGGTTTCTGAGCAGAAGATATTTAGGACACAGAACGGATGCTGGAGAAACAGACCATGACATTAGCTCACTTGCCTTTCATTCAGACGAGTTTACAATATACATAATGATACATGCCACACTTCAGTCTGCATTGATTCATCTCATTTCACAAATTTCATTTCAGATGGTAAGAAGTCCATTATGTAGTCCCCTCATGTATTAGGTTGTCTTAATATAACATGAAACTTTGTGATAAGAACCTTATTTGGTAAAATGGTCAGCTTTCTAGTGGTCCTCTGTACATGCTGTACTACCCAATAACTTTTACAAACCTGTAGAGGTTATGAATTCTCTGATGTAATCCTCCTTGGGGCACTTATTGCATTTTCCTGGCTCAAGAAAATCTACATGACATAGTTGTAACCATTTTCCTTAATAAAACTGTTACCACACAAAAAACTTTGTTTTTGTATGATATACGACCACCCTTACGGGGCCTCACCCTCCACGGCGCATCACGCCAAGGGAAGCAACTCTCACCCAAATCACTTTCCATATGTCTAATGCTGACGGAATATGGGGAGGTGGGTGGCCGTGCCCCAAAGAGGATTTCATCAGAGAATTCATAACCTCTACAGGTTTGTAAAATTCTCTTTCAGATTAAATCCTCCTTGGGGCACTTATTGCATCAAGACAGACTCCTAAAGATAATCTAGGAAGTGGCATCCGTCAGCAACAAGCGTAATAAATACATCGTATTTTGAATATTCAGTGAATAAACTAAGAGTTCGATAAAATGGAACCAACCTTATCGTGAGGCACCACCGTCGAGAGGCGGGGGCTGGAGACAGGGCGTGGTCGACCATATACTATGATATTAGCCTTTATTCGTGGCTGATCATATTTTGAGAACTCAAAACATCCTCCCCCCCCTTTTTTTAACGAGTGATATAGGGGCGTAGATCACGAGAGACTATAACTGCGCTGAGCAAGGCCAGAGGGTCTCCAAGGATCTGAGGAGTGCTGTGCAATACGAGTATTATCGAGTAGTATGGACGGATAATTTATCGACCGTAGAAGATAGAATCCGGACCGTTACTGAGCAGTTGTATAACCGGTCCGGGCGATCTAAAATCTCGAAGGCTCAATCGGCTAAAGATTAGAACTTTGCCCAGACTGACCAAACCGAGCACGCTCGCTTGAGTGTTTGTCGAGTTGGTAATGTTTGATGAACGTGCTCGGCTGGCTCCATATAGGCGCGTACGCTTGTAACGTAGCCACTGCTCTAACCAAATGAGCCTTCAACCTGGTAGGGGGGTCCCTGCCTTGAAGGGTGTACGACGTACAGATAGTAGAGACTATCCACCTGGAGATAGTTTGTTTGCTCGCAGGTGAGCCAGCCTTCCTACCGCCATAACAGCAAAATAGTTGGTTATCCTTACGGATACCCTTAGTTCTGCTGATATAGGCCTTGAGGGTCCTGCGGACATCCAAGACATGAGCCTGTCTTGCAGTGGTCCCCGACGAGGAAAGCTGTGAAAGAGCAGGTAGCTCAATAGGAGCCGTCACGTGGAAGGCGTGTGCGACCTTAGGATGGTAAGAATCCGGCAGCCGAATACTGACCCTGTCCCGGTGGAAGACAGTTAGCTCAGGATCGGCTGACATTGCGTGAATGTCGCCTACCCGTCTGCCGGACGTTACCGCCACAAGGAACACCGTCTTCCAGCTCAACAGCTGAAGAGAGAGAGACGACAGATCCCGAAAGGAAGGACCGGACAGCCAATCAAGAACAATTGACCAGTCCCAAGGGGGACTGATCCGCCGTACAGGTGGTCTGATCCTGTCAACACCTGCTAAAAAACACTGTACTAATGGGTGCGCACCCAGAATTCCCCGTCGACAGGGACGTGAAAAGCTGCGATAGCTGTAGAGTACCCCCGGACTGTCGATGCGGCCAGGCCTTCATCTAGTCCCGACTGGAGGAACTCAAGCACGGCTACGAGATCTGCAGAAAAGGGATCGGCAATCCCTCTTTCGACACACCAGCGTGCATAGCAGGCCCATCTATCCTCGTACTGAACGTTTGTCGAATCCCTCCGCGAAGCCAGTATTGTGTCTGCAACTCGTGCAGGAATACCGCTCTTCTGGAGGCGATTCCTGACAGTGGCCAAACCACCCACTGAATCCTGGGATTTGGGTGGAGGGCCCCGTTTTGGGATAGGAGGTCCGGTCGTAAGGGTAATAGAACAGGAGGCTGAGCCAGAAACCTGAGTATTACTGGAAACCATCTCTGCACCGACCAAAGAGGTGCCAGGAGCACAAGTAGTCGCGCAGGCTGAGTGGCTAGCTGAGATAGGACCTTGGGGATCAGAGGTACTGGGGGGAATGCCCACAGTATTCTGTCCGTCCTTTGAAGGCGTCCGGTGCCACCGACCTCGGGTCTCATTCTCAAATGCGCCCGCCAAACCACATCCACTGTCGCCGCCATGTTGCCCAGTAACTGGAGCCATGTACGAGCAGTGTGTCTCATGGACAGAAGAAACTGGGAAGTAACACTTCTGACCTTGACTATGCGGTCTTGTGATAGAGATACAAGTCCGCTCACTGTATTGAAGTTCGCCCCTAAGAAGACAAGATTCTGAGTAGGGCTCAGCTCTGACTTCTTGAGATTGACTATCCACCCTAGAGTGATCAACTTGTCTATCACAGCTTGTGTAGCTATCTGACTGAGGGATTGCGATAGAGCTCTTAGTAACCAGTCGTCGAGGTATGGGTGGCAGAACCTACCTTTCGACCTGGCTACTTGGGCAGGAATCAACATCAGCTTGGTGAACACCCTCGGGGCCGTGGCGATCCTGAATGGTAGAACCCTGAACTGATAACACCTCCCGTCAAAAGAAAACCTGAGGTATTTCTTGAACTCGGGGTGTATGGGTACGTGGAGATAGGCGTCTTTTAGGTCTATTGACGTTAGCCATTCTCCTGTCTCGACCGCTGAGATAACTGAGCGCAGTGTCTCCATCCCGAAGGACGGTACCTCTATAAGATTGTTCAACCTTCTCAGATTGAGAATAGGTCTGAACCCTCCGTCTTTTTTGGTGACTAGGAAATGTGTCAAGTAGAAGCCCTCGCTTTCCTGTTCCACGGGAACCGGTTCGATCGCCGCCTTCATAAGAAGTGCGTCGACCTCGGCACGGAGGAATTCCGCCTTCTCTCGGGTAGCAGGCACCGGAGTGTGCTTTATCCCGGAGAAGGGGGGCGGATGATGTTTCCACCGAGGCAAGTGGCCATCCCTGAGAGTGGACAGGGTCTAGGGATTTGAGGTGACTGTCTCCCATTCCCTCAGGAATAAAGCCAGACGGCCGCCTACAGGGACATCCGGTTTGAGGCAGTGGACCCCTGCTGTCTGCAGTTCGATAACTTGCGACTGTGGGTCCGCCCGGGACGCTTCGGGCGCTAATGGGAACCCGATGGGTTCCCAGGCCCGCGAAAAGGCTGCTGGCCTCGACCAGCTGCCTTGCCCCGGCCCCTGCCTCCCTTGCTCCTTCCGGCGCCCTTAACTGAAGGAAGCGGCTGCTTCCAAGCAGGTGTGGACTTCTGAGCCGGCGCGTCAGCATGGGAGGAGTCAAGCGGAGAGGCCCGCTTACGCGGTTTCACGCTAGGTATCTCAAACAAGGCCTTAGAGTCCTTGATGGAGGCATACATTTGAGCGGCCTCTCTGACCACCTGCTGAGCCCCAGGGAAGAGGGTAGAACCCATCTTATATGGCAAAGCTAGGAGATCCTGGCGTGGGGACTTAGTACTTAGATACTGACATCCACAGCCTGCGCATGCCCATAACTGCGCACATCATCTGCGAGGCACAGCTACGAATAGCATCCCGCGCGAGATGTCTATGCACCGCCAACTCCGAAGAGTCGTCCGGCCCCTCTCCCACTAGCTCCCTCTGTACAGCAGACAGATAAGCGGAGTGTACGGATATGCGAAACTGTTGGCCTGCATTACGGTATTGCTCCTCAAAGCAAATGTAAGCAGCCTTCAACTCCGCGCTGCACATGGGAAAGGGGGGCAACCGCCGTCCCTGCTTGGCCTTAGCCAAGGCGAGGGTCGAAGACCCCCCCAGGGTGACAGAAGTCCAGACGCACTCGTCGACCACTGGCACCTCAAAATCAGCGTCCTCTGCCAACGGGTACCGCTTAATAAGTTCTGGTTGGTCGAACTTCCTGCGGGCACCTGAGAGCAGAGGGTCGATGACCTCGTGTGTCAGGGAGGACAAGATACGGAGCCGCACCTGGGGTGCCTTGCTAGGAGCAAAGGCGTCACCCGGAAGAGGAACTCAGTCGGATCCGACTTGGGCATAGGTGCAGCCACCCGAGGCAGTACCTGGACAATCTTGTCCCGTACGTGCCTCAACGAGGATGCGATGGAAAAAAATCCCGAAGCCTCCGAGTCATCCCCTCCCTCCTCCATCCACTCCTCATCTCTCGATTCCGAGCCAACCGTAATCGACTTGTCCTCAAGAGAGTGAGCGGACGAGGTAGGAAAAGGCCCGAAGCCGAGTCCCGGTCCCTAGGTGCTGGGGGTTCAAGAGAACCCACCTGGCTCTGGGCCATAAATCCGCTAGTGGGAGCCTCGGCCTCGGAGAAGGCGTCTGACTCCGCTAGGGATAAAGGTGCTCAGGTAGTGAACGAGCTAGCGCTCGCCACCCCTCCGCTGGGGAGCGACCTCGAGCCGGAGCCGAAGCCCGGTCTCGGATCATCCCCGAGGTCGGATGGCCTGCCTCGGCCGATGCCGGGCATTCCACAAGACCTCAAAACCGCGCCTCTCGGAGCTGGGACTTGACCTCCTCCATAATCGACGCCATCTGCAACTTGAACAGAGCAGATATATCTGCTAAAGAGTGAGTGAGTGAGTGAGTGAGTGAGTGAGAGTGAGTATGGTTTTACGCCGCTTTTAGCAATATTCCAGCAATTCCGGGGGACACCAGAAATGGGCTTCACACATTGTACCCATGTCGAGAATCGAACCCGGGTCTTCGGCGTGACAAGCGAACGCTTTAACCACCAGGCTACCAGACCGCCCCTATCTGCTAAAGAAGGTGCAGAAGAGGGTGCAATTAAGGGAACCTCGGGGACCTTAGAGCCTTCACCCCTGGCCCCTGGCGGAGGAGACCGTAGCGGAGGGCTTAGTTGCCTTAGCTTTACTTTAACTCTTTTTAGATGGGGGGGGGGGGGGGGGGGGGAATGGCCTTTTTGGAGTGAATATCCAACCCCGCCTCGAGTAGGCTCTTATAGTGTAAGAGATCGGCATGCCGCCGCTTCATCGTCTTAGGCGTAAAAGCCCTGCATGTGGGGCATGATTGATCATCATGTCCGTTCTCCACCAAGCACTTTAGGCAAAAAGCATGTTGGTCTTCGGGCGGAATGTTAAGCCCGCATCCCGTACAAAGTTTGAAGGTCTGTAAAAGGACCGTAAATATTGAGTTGGGTTGGGCGGGAAAAGTGTATCAGTGCGATTAAAGATCGGAGATTGAAGATTATTGCACTTATATAGCGACGTGCATGCACGTGTGTGTGTGTGTGTGTGTGTGTGTGTGTGGCTGCTTGTACTAGAACGGACTGATGCTGATTTATAGTGCTAGCCCACTGAGATACCATGCCGCAGTTTAACATTAATACCCCACTCAGACACAGTATACTGACTCCGAGCCGACCAGTCCTTGCTTTAACCCCTTAATGCCGAGCGCCAGACAGGGTAACAACAAGTACCATCTTTTAACGTCTTTTGGTATGACGCGGCCGGGGATTGAACCCCGGACCTTCCGCTCTCCGGGCAGACGCTCTACCACTAGACCACGGAGGCGGTCTATTAAAGATCGGAAAGATATGTGCTTTTAACAATTGTGAAAACAGAAGCAAAGGCGTAATGTATAATGCGACTTGTAGCGCGATACTAATAGCCATTGTCCGTAGTTTAATTCTTTTTAAAAACACCAAGTGGGCGTGTTACGCGCTAAGGTGTAAAAAACTCTTAAAAAAGGTAAGTGTAGTTATAATCTAGTACATCACCTTGGGTTTTGTAAAGGAAAAACGTGCAGTTGAAATCTGTATGATATAACAAAACCCCAAGCCATTTTGTTGGCCTTGGTGTTACATGTGTCAGACAGTGGAACTGCACAATGGACGCCATTACGGACATTTGAGTTCTCATGCACCGTACACGTGGCGTTTCTTCTATGAGAATTACAACCTTATAACTTTACAATGCGAGGTATTACGCCTTTGCAAGGTAATAAATGTACCATACATACAGTTTGGTCAGTCATGCTGTCTCAGGTCAAGATTTCGTACTTTGAAACTTTTCTCTGAATAGTCACAAGTCTTGTCAGGTGAATGACATAAAGGAAAGTGATTTGGGTGAGAGTTGCTTCCCTTGGCGTGACACGCAGTGGAGGGTGAGGCACCGTAAGGGTGGTCGTATATCATACAAAAACGAAGTTTTTTGTGTGGTTACATTTTTTATTAAGGAAAATGGTTACAACTATGTCATGTATATTTTCTTGAGCCAGGAAAATGCAATAAGTGCCCCAAGGAGGATTTAACCTGAAAGAGAATCTATAATACTTCCATGTCCTGAAACCTATTGTTGTTGATGAGCCTCCCTGCAGTCAGTAATGTACTCACATGCCAGATAAACCTGATGGCTTCTCCGATGTGGTTGGTGTACTGCTTTTAGCTTCTTCAGATGAAGTCTGTTGTTTCTTAATTTCTTCCTGAGCCTCTCTTGATGAGACATCAACCTCTTTCGTTACCCTGTGAAAGTTGAGACAATCCCCTTTAGGTGTGCCACACTAAAGCTTTGTATCAATGTACTTGTATTTGACTCTTAAGTAATTCTACAATAGAGATATCAGCAACCATTATATCTTATAATGTAACCATGGTAACCATGTTTTTGTTTGCAAGATAAAATAAATGCTCTTTGAAAAGAATATTTATTCTTTGCAGTCCCATCTGAAACATCTTCAACAGTATAGTTTGTCTGCATCATTAAACCCATTATCACTTCAGTACATGTCAACCCATTTATCCAAATGTGACATACTTGACCTCCTCTCCAGCAAAATCAAAAACCTTTGTGATGGTCATTTTCCCTGACGTGGTGGTCCCAGATTCAGATGCTGCTTGTGATGGTGATTGTTTGGGAGTGGTCTTGGTTGGCTGAAACAGTTTCTATTAAATGTGCACCATTTCACACATAACATTGCTAGGACTGTCTTACCCTCTACACAAACACGGCTACAGCATCAAGCAGCTGCTGAAAGACACCAAACCTCAGGGCATGAGACAGAGAAAGGAGAAGGAAGCCTGTTTAGGGACTCAGTGTGTGCCATATTTCCGACACTGAACAGTTAACACTGTAAATGTATCACAACAAAGACAAATGATGATGTTCTTTGTGCTGAACAGATATGTACCGTACCGTATAAACCCGATCATACCGTACACCCCAGGGGACCCTCATAATGAACCAAAGTATTAGCATGTAAGTGGGACAATGCAGGCACTCTAGGTATCTACATTAAATGTTGCAATTATTAAACGAAGGCAACAAAAAAGTCTTTCAGTCTGGAAAGTTGTCAATTTCTTTTATGGCCTACAGTTATTCATTTTATCTGATAAACTTAGGTAGGCCTTACAGTGTGTCTGGGTCAGTCAGGGTTAAGGAAGAAGGGACAAAGTGTAGTGTATTGACTGCTGCAACACAATGTATCTATTTCCAGGTGTTAATTTTTGACAAAGAACAGTTTATCTCACTTTATTTCAATAATAATGTTAATGTTTGCAGATGCAAGAGAAAATACAATCACTGAGATTTCTGTTCAGATTATCAACCTTTGAATTTTGATCACTTTACAGAAGGCAGAGATTTTGCTCATTAAATTTGTTGTTGTTTTATGCCGCACAGTGCACTCAGCAAGATTCCAGCTATACAGCTCGAAACAACATTCACTGAATATAAGCATACTAAAATGAGGTCATGAATCAGTGAGCTAAAATACCAATGTCTGAATTATCATAAGGTTGAAGCTGTCACCTTTGCCATACTAGTCAGGGCACCAAGTCCTATGGAGGAAATCTTTTTTGGAGGTGGTGTTTTCATGTCAGACATGAAGCTTGACCATAGGTCATCTGCCTTCTTCTTCTCCTGTTCCTCCTTCTTTGCCTCCTTCTCCTTGGCAATCTCCTGCATCATATCCCGGCTGTTAGGCTCTCCATGTGGGAGCTCACCTGTCTCCTCCTCACCATCCAGCTTGATGCCTCCCTGCCTCTTTCTAAACAAGGAAAGTCCCTCATGATAAACACCTGTACGGGATATCACATGACAATATCCATCTGATGGTTTCAAAAGATCAAAATTACATTATTTCAAAATGATCCCCAGCTTTCTCACAATGCCGGTATTGTCCTGCAATAATAAATGATCTTTACATGCTGCGCTACTAGTGCAGGCTGTAACTAGTAGTCGCAGAAATACATCTTTCATGGCCTAGGCTCGGGAGTCAGGGGAGTTCTGTTGGGGCTGTAGGGGACATGCCCTTATATTATAACTGCCTTGCTCAAGTTGTTGGTTGTAGACAAACATGGAGAGGGAACTAGGAATATCACAGAAAGCATAGTTTTGTGCACTGACTAACATATTTCAAAGCATATTTTACTAGCAGTTATAACCATACAGTTTAGATAGAGTATCACCTTGGTATCAGGTCATTTTTCTTTTTGCATCTTTCTTTTCTTCCTCCAACTTTGCCATCTTGTTTTGCATCTTCATTCAGGGCATCGAGATCTTCCTCATCTCCGGACCCTTCCTCCTCACTCACTTCCTCTCCCACTGTAATCATTTGATAACAAGCATATAGTCAATGACTGTGTGTTTATTTTCTTATTCACCTAAATAGTGTGTAGAGACGTGTTTGTGCTGCATGCAGAAGTCTGTGGTCCACCGACAGGCACAATACCTTGTGATGCCATGAACGCAATCCTGGTCATCATGATCATGTCACTAGCTATTGTTGACAAGTTTGAAAAGGTTATTACTGAGAAGATAATGTGCAATTGAATAGATGGCTGAAATAACGATATTACAGTACAAACTTATGTTTGATGTTCTGATTGTACAGGCACTGGTTACAGAGAGGTTATCACGCGAGAGTGTTTGGGGATGGTAAATATCCACATTAGGAATAAACATTGTATTTAGCGAGCCTTGGCGAGCTAAATACATATAGTTTATTCCTAATACAGGATATTTACCATCCCCAAACACACAAGCGTGATAACCTCTTTATTATATAATGTCATTCTTCAAATCCGTGCTTGAAAATCGCTTTCCTTCTCTCACAAATATTACCGAAACATTGCAAGTTTTCCTGGAATGTGCGCATTAATATATGTTACGTCACAGGGTAAGTGATGTTGCAGTCGGACAGTGACAGTAGCCAATATAGTTTCAACTGAAATATGTTTCTTATACAGTGGCGAAAGAACATACATGCAAAACAACAATTGCCTACACGAATTGTTTTTACTTGCCTTTCGCAGCAATCCATCAGTCTGTCCTCTAGAGTAACTGCCCTTTGACAAAGGGAAGCAACTCTAACCCTAGTCTATGAGACGTCACGGCCACGGTCAGACGTTGTTGACAGTCTGTCCTGTCATAACGTTACGAAGTGCGGTCATATGTACACACAGCACCAAACGATATAAGGTATCATTTCAGACATATTTCGGAAAAATCCAACTATTTTAAATTGTGGAAAAGGTTCCAAGCCGCAGAGGTCAACAAGCACAGATATGGAAACTGATCCCGCTAGGCTGGTGTCCTCGCAAAATTGTTTCGCAATTTATGTCTCCAAAGTTGCCCAAACTTGTAAAACGCCTTAGCTACGTCACAGTTAGACACTGATTTTCAGTATATTAGACTGCTCTTTTGTAAAATATATCAATCATCACAGTAGTTTCTCCAGATTCCCGATGGTTAAATCTGACTCGATCTCGGAATGACAAGGGCGACGCCATGTTTGTTTGTAAACAGTGAAAGTAGACCCTACTTGACCTTTGATATTTGTGTAGCGGCCATAAAATTTCCGAGTCCTATGATGGGATTCGAACCACGGACCTTCTGATCCGAGGTTGGACGCCTTGTCCACATGACCAAATAGGTTAACCCCGTCAGCAAGCTGACAAGGTAAGGATGTCATCTGTGGGATGACTCAACGCCCTGCTACATTTGCATCTCTATCCGCTTATGACCCCAATGGATATCGTTTTTATCTGTTGGCTTTATCCAGCAGAGAAACCCACCCATTATATGATAAATCCCTTTATTGGCGTGTTGATCAGCCACTTATACTGGAGACAGTATGCGCAGTTTCGAAGAAAGTAAACATGTTTCAATGCGATGGCAAACAAGTGTGCATGAACAATTACAGATAGTTTGCAACAATACGATGAAAAAGCTTTAAAAAAATATTAAATGTACATTTCTTAAAAATATGTACATAGGAGAAATTTGCTGTCAAAACAGGATATTTTGCTCAAAGTTTGCGCATTTTTCTCCAAATTTGACCATTTATTTTTTTTCTTTAGGACAGCTTTTTCATGTCAATTGATAAGTGCTATAATGATCAATAACTGTACTTAATTTTGTTTCATTATTTTCATAAATAACACATGAGGAGACATTTTTTTGTTACATGCAGAAATCTGTGTCAGTCAGTGAGTATGGTTTTACGCCGCTTTTAGCAATATTTCAGCAATATCACGGCGGGGGACACCAGAAATGGGCTTCACACATTGTACCCATGTCGGGAATCGAACCCGGGTCTTCGGTGTGACGAGCGAACGCTTAAACCACTAGGCTACCCGACCGCCCCGCAGGAATCTGTGATCTCAGGTGGTCATTTGTACACAGGGGACCCGTCTCGTGTACATGTTACGTCCTCTACAACTGATATAATATTTGCATCATGTTACAAGCTACAATTCATGACAGTTTCTTCTTTCATTATGTGTGTGGCACATTATTTAATTTCAATTTTGGAAACTGAAAATGAGCATGATGTCATTGATGAGTGACTTGTGCCTGTTGGTGATGTGACTCATCACACTAGACCTGTTGTGATACAAGATGAGCTGATGTCATTGATGAGTGACTTGTGCCTGTTGGTGATGTGACTCATCACACTAGACCTGTTGTGATACAAGATGAGCTGATGTCATTGATGAGTGACTTGTGCCTGTTGGTGATGTGACTCATCACACTAGACCTGTTGTGATACAAGATGAGCTGATGTTGATGGTATGACTGTAGTCCCATCACCTTATACCCAGGGTTTCTACAGTCTTAGTTTTGCTGTCTTCACATTCCCCACCATCAACATGGCCGCTCACCCAATGCAATACAAATAACATGTTCCAAACTTAGATTTTATTGAAGTGGTCAAGACGAAATAAGTTACACAGATGCAGGACACGGGAGATGTTAATTTGAACTACATAAAGAAAAATGGAGAGCTGTAGGTAGAAAAACAACCTGGGTGCAAAGTGATTGACAATGACACATAATTATGATAAGATATATAGACCACTGTCCTCTGTACATTTAGATGTCAAATTCTAAGCAGGGTACATAGAGGTCTATACGATGTAAATATGACCTTTGTATGTTTGTTTATAAATGTGTTTGTCCTAATGAAACATGTATAGTGTGTGTAGCAATGCTCATGGCAAGAGGAGGTAACTCTTCCTGCAATTATTCCCAAAGCTGGTTTACCACACCTCGGAGGGTCGGTTCAAAATCCCATCTCTAAACTCACTGATTAACGCAGAAAGCGGGAAAATCAGCGTACATCACAAACTAGGGTAAAGGTTCCATGCGTATTTCATAAGCTGCTATTTTTAGAATGTTCTTCGAAGTTGAGTTACTTTGATGAAGTCAACAGTTATTCTCAAAACTATCAAAACAGCTGAATACGCGATTGTAAATAGGTTTATTCTATTCTGCAATCATTTGTTATAATTTTCAGTGTGTTGTAGACGTAATTAATAAGGGACAATATATCAAAAAATAATTAAATCGGACCTCACCCTACTTCTATTAGCGGTATGCAGTTTTTACATAACTACGCAGTTACTTCCCTTCGGACATGTTTCACAAACACTACAGTATTTGTTTTTAATAATCCTCGTAATTTGAGGCAGTATATGTAAGAATGTTGTATTGGAGAATATATTTATGACATTGAGGTATTTTTTGCGTTGACAGTTTAAAGTTTTAAAAATACTAAAATAACTGTCAGGCTGAACCATTTCACATTGTCAATGTCATGTGTTTTAACGTAGGTAGGAGGAACAATTAAGATGTCATGTATGTGTGTTACAATAAGTAACTAAATGTATGTTTTAATTAATGTAAAGTACAGTAAACTTGTATGAAATATTGAACACCAATCGGATGATTGGAATAATCTTCTTGATACTTACAGAAAATTGAGAGATTGTGAATCTGTAACATCAATTCATGCTCTGTGTTTGGCAGAAAATAATAAGGTTGCACAGTGGCTTCATGATCATTTTGAGTGTGAACTTAATGAGCGAAAAATTTCTTCACGAGAAACATTGCATCACTTTTTCAATTCAGCCGTTTTAGTAGTAGTAGTGGGTCTGGTTCCTTTTCATTGCTGAGATCAAGATCCAGAAACATAGCATATAAAAAAGCAAAGAAAAGGTTTGGAAAATGTTCCCATTAATTGAACAGTTGCAACTTACTGACAGCATGAAAGCACAGCTTGATGTGAGTGTAGCTCCGACTAAATTTCAAACAAATGGGTTAGTATTTAAAATTCACAAATTTGCCCCCAGAAACCGTCAAATGTTTGCTACGTGGGTTGGACAGGTTTTTAATGTTCCCCTTCAGCAGCTTAATTTTAATGCCTTAATGAGTAAGTTTCACCGAATACAGCAAGAAGATAAAAGGAAAAAAGGACAAGTTAAGGAAAAATATAGAGCTGAGCATTTCATTGTGCCAGTACAAACTCCTGAGAGAACGAGGTCATATTATGACATTGTAAGGCCTTGGACATGAAGGTCTGAAGGATGAAGTAAGCAAGTTAAACCCACTAATGCAAAACAAGAAAGAAAAAATGATATCTCTAGAAAGGGAAAATTACAATTTAAAAAGAAAATTCAAAAGAGCCACTGATGAATTTGCTGTAAAGAGACAAATTGGAAACCCTTAAGCCAAATATGAGAGGAAAATATTTCAGCCTTAACAGGAGAGAAAAGAGTGCCCATGCTCAAACTAAAACCGGCCTGGCCAAAAATGCTTCAAAAGTCAAGAAAATTGGGAAGGAATTTGAATACAACCAACAAGAGCTGAAATCTTCAAAGGAATATATCAAAATGTCAACTGAAGCTTTGGAAGATTCTATTTGCACATTGGAAGAGGCAGCACAAAAAGAGAAAAAGCATGAAAAATGACTTTGAGTGCTGTGAAGAACTGTTGAAAGACAAAAGAAAGTTTAATACAGACTCCTTATGTTTCTTTTCATATTTTGTTGTTGTAGGTAAGACATTTCAAGCCCATACTGACAGGCACAGTTGATGCTGTACTAGAAACGGTGCCTGGAAGCTCAGATGTGTCACAAGTTATTAACTTAACCCCCAAAATGGACATTTTCGCCACATTTCAAAGTCATTTTTCTATTCCCAAAATTCAGTTGAGATGAATATGCACCAAACTTGGCCCTGGATTACTGCTGTTATGCTACTAAAATATTATGGTTTTATTCAAATAAACATTTTCTTAAAATGTTCCCCTTTTTCATTTGTTGCCATTTTTTAGACCAAAATGAAATTTCTGGCTCTCCACGGTGGTGTCAAAAAGAGTTTTTCTGAGAGATAATCAGACAAGTGGGAGAAAAACCATCCTGTGATATGTATTTCTGAAGGATTTCTGAAGCTAAATCAGTGATTTGTTAACACAATATGCAAAATTCTAAATTTGACTGAGCATTGCTAGTGTGTGAACTAGTTAAGGTTTCTTACTTTACAACAAATCCTGGGTGACAAAATAATAAATAATCTCAAACATATAACAATGTGGATCAAGCTAGATCTACTCCTTATAATATTTATGGATGCAGTACCTTCACGTGTTATTCAGTTATTCATCCGGATTCTTTGCATTTAGTAAATTGCCATGTATGCATGCAGAACTACATACGGGTGTGGGCTGACTCTTCTTTGGCAAATTTTGATTTGTAGACTACCAAGTCTCTGGAACTACCCTCTGTAAGTTAACCAAGAAAAAAACAACACTCACACTTTACCCTGGTCACCAAAACATAATCATGTTTATATATAAAATACCTGTCGGGACATAATCCAAATCGTCTTCAGAACTGTAATCTTCTTCGTCTGACATCTTTCCTCTCTCAGAGCAAATCCAAACAGTCAGCCTTTCCCCAACACTCCGTACAATGGCGGAAGAGGGCGAGGGGATGGGTTATCTCCCTTGTGAGTGCAATGCGGGTGGTGTTCAGCGCGGAAGACAGTCCGTGTTTTTACGAACTTTATGCAATTCAAGTTAAGGGGATTTGGAATACAAAATGACATTACACGTGATCATTATCGTAGTCATACATTATATATTAGAACATGTCTCTCTTATACCGCCAGTTATGTACTATAACATCTCATAGAACCAAAAAGTATTCAGATTCAGCTAGATATCTATAAACGGATTATTATATATACTGTCAAAACGTGATTCTAAAACCTGTACAGCAATATGAGAAACTTATGTTTTTAGTTATGAAGTACTATCTTAATCTCCAACATACAATTTATATTTCACTCGCGTGAAATACATGTTATTTGACAATAAAATACAAATATTACCGAAAAGGGTAGAACGACTATGTGTAATAACTTTCCAATATTTGCACATGTGCATTTTAGCGATTCCCATTGCTGACTGGTTAGTTGAAAAACATATGACGTCACATTGCTTCATTGTTGAGAAAAAATTATGACGTTACCCATTGTTCATGACGTCACAAAATGATTACATATGAGACCATCTAAACAATAGGCTGTCTTCTCTGAAGTTTCGCTGTGGGGTTGATATTACATACGTTTTTCTTCATTTTCTCTCCTTTTCATGTCAGTGGGTAATATGCAAAATAACCCAATCGAAACAGAATAACCTATCTGTCTTCGTGAATGAATGCTGTTAGTCCCTCGCCAAAAGGCCATTCATTGACTCGAGACAGAAAATAAACTGACGGCCAAAAGAAACGTTACCAACGATATTTCTAGGATAAAATATGACCAACACAATTTGAAGCAGCAATAACAATTGTATTGTAGAAATTCATCATTCAGAACAGTAAAATGCGAATTTACTAATTCAACAACAAAGCCATTGACCTCCAACAGGGATATTTCTTGACAAGGGGTCATTCGTCCAGTATTCGATCAACAACATTGATTACAACTTTAAGGTGACGACGGCCCAGACCGTTCAATACGGGATATGACCGTCTAAGACGCCGCAACTAGATGTGCGAGTCCCTGCGGCACCATACCCTTGCTCGTGGGTTTCACCGAAGTGGTAATTAAACATGTTTTACTGCTTGGGACCTGCTTTACCTCGGGATTTCCGGACATGACTCGCCATGATATAATGATATAACTGGAATACTGACTCACTCGATCACTCGTACTCACACGTTGGGTATTCTCTAAATATCCTCTATGTAAACAAATTATTATTATTTCACGAGCCCGACAGGTTGTTTGCTAATGCTGACAGCAATGTTGAAGTAATACAACCATCATTGATGCCGTCATGTGCACGTTTTCCGCTTCAAGATGCGGGTGTATACCACTTATTTATATATATTTATTTATTATTTCGGCAAATACAACCTTTAGGCCCAAAAGACAATTAATAATTCTAACATGAATTTGGAAATTACTCGATTCTGATTGGTCCATTGGTCATCAATCAAGAACTGACTTGAACTTTGTGTGAGCTCATAGGAGTATATGCACCTTGACAGAGTTTAGTGAAATCTTTTGTTGTGTCCATTACATGTCATTGAAGTATATCCACAAACACTTGAGTCATTTGAGCAAATTGTTTCTCCGTAAACTATGCACGTGTGCGTGCGTGCTCTTCTTGCTGCCATTGTTTGCCCATCCCGGTCTAATCGTCAATCCGCGTCATCAAAGTAGTCCGCTTTTCCCACCCGATACCATGTCGGGTTAGAAGATGACTTGGTTATGCATGCGTGGATCGATGTACGAAAAGTATGATGATATTGTCTTTGTTGAATGATTATTAAGGACTGATAATCAAATGAAAGTAAAAATGTTAGAATGACTAAGAGACCGTTGTCTTTGTTAAATGATTTTAATTATTCAATGAAAGTAAGAATGATGGAATGACGCAGGGAATGTTGTCTTTGTTGAAATGGATGTATGAATAGATACACCAAAGACGTATTTATACTGAGTCAAATTAAAAACTTAACATTTTTAAAAGTAATCCCATATATGATATACAACGGACAAATGTATCAGAGAAGGTAATTTTTAATCATCAATGTCCAAAGAAGGATTTTAATTAACGGTGGTAACCATAATTTGTTCCAAGCACCTACGGTATTCGGTAATAACATCAACAGTTTAAATCATAAGTCCCAAGCACGAGAATCTGATGGAACACAAGTTCAGTAGCGTGTATGGCCACCATGTGCGTTGACAACTGCCACACAACGCCTCCGCATGGACCTTGTGATGCTTGTGAACACATGATTGGGAAGAAGACGCCATTGTTGCTGCAAAATGGTGCCAAGATCTTGTAAATTCTGTGGTTGGTTCTGGAGAGTGCGCAGACTTCTGCCAAGAGCATCCCAGACGTGTTCGATGGAATTGAGGTCGGGAGACCTTGACGGCCAGTCCATGACGTTGACTCCCGCATTCTGAAGGAAATTCCTTGTCAAAATTGCTGTGTGGGGTCTGGCATTGTCGTGTTGGAAGATCAAACCGGGTCCATGTGCTGCCATAATAGGCAGAAGTTCTGGTGCCAGTACCTGGTCGCGGTAAGCAAGAAGCCTGGAACGTGCATTGCCACAGAAAGCACCCCACACCATGACACTTCCGCCTCGAATCTGTCAACTTCCTGTACACAACACTGGGCGTAACGTTCATGACGGCGCCTCCACACCCTCGCCCTACCATCAGCAAATCGAAGATTAAATCGGGATTCATCACTGAAGACGACTTGATTCCAATTCCTCTGAGTCCATCGTAAGTGTCGCTGTGCCCACAATTGACGTTGACGTCTGTGTAATTGAGAGTCAGAATCGGCCCGCAGTATGGCCGTCGTGCTTGAAGGTGAGCAGTTCTCAGACGGTTTCGAACAGTTTGCGCACTCAGTCTACCCCTAAACAGTTCATATCTGGTTGATGTAGCCGACAAAAATCGGTTACGGAGGTGACGTAAGATAATCTGACGATCCTATATATGTGACGTCACACGTGGACGACCTGGCCGAGGGCGATCAGCGGTGGTACCCGTTTGCTGTAGACGCGTCTGTAAATCATAAACAGTCCGTCGACTACAACCCATCGTCCTTGCGACTTCAGCTACGGACGTTCCCGTCTGCAACATGCCAATGGCACGTTCACGTTGCACATTTGAAGGCGTGGCATGACAAATGGCCGTAAAGACTTTTGTTTTCTTGTGTTTTTCTTTTTTGTTAATGACTGCTAACAAGTATGGCTGAAAACACTAGCGGTATTATGGCCACGTGACCAGTTGCACGTGAAAAACCACTTTTGCCACTATAGTACTGTGCACATGATTTTGATCGATTCACCTGCACAAAAACGGGTGTTATCTGAAGACAATACGTGGCCATTACTGTTTAAATACACAATAAGGGCCCACTGGTCAAAATGTTAAAATTTTAGGATTGTGAAGTTTTTTAATTTGGTTCAGTATAGATTGTACGTCTTTGGATAAACGTATATAGATCTACCAGTATGGCTTTAACGTTTTTGATAACAGCCTTGTGAATGTTAGGCAAGTATTGTCTTTTTTTAAAGGAATTTTCACCGATATGACATTAAATTCATTAGAATTATATGTGTCTCCAACTGTCAATGAAATATATTACTGGCTTCTGGACCTCAGTGAGGTTCGTTTCGGTTCAACTCTCCAAAACGACACCTTTGCCCGGATTTTATTTACTTCCGGCTACAAAGCTTGCTTCAGCGCTAGCGCTTGTTTGTATTGATTACTTGTACATGCTTTTCGTCGCCGTAAACTATGGAGACCATAGCCAATAAGTCTAAAGTGTTAATTGAAAATACTTGAACAAAACGTCATAGGCGGACAGTACTATGGCCATGTGAATGTCACAGCTAGTTGGGTGTTACTCAGGTGTTGGAGAAGCGAGTCTGCTCTCTGATAGCGTGTCAGTGATGCAAAATGTAGTCATTTTGCTACCTGTAGGCTGCATCCAACTTGTCCATGTACAATTGACAATCTAAAGGTTGTTGTTGGGTATAACGCATCAATATATTGTTATGACTGCTACAAAGGATTTTCAAACGGACGAGCTGGATTCAATTCTAAATGTCTTGTGGCTGTCTGCAAATGACGCCCTGGACAGTTTTGGAGGTGAGAGTACAATCAGTCTATAAGTTGTGTGTAGGGGTGTTTTTACTGTCAGCAATGTAACATAAGGTAAACTGTAACAGTATAAGGAATGTCGGTAAACAAAACCAGTCAAATGACCACTTACATTTACAGGAGATCATGGCATATATATATATGTTATAAGTTGTAGCACGATCACGAGGGGTACATGGGGTTTAATGCGTCCCAGTTATGGGACGCATAAAACCCCTTGTACCCTTCGTGATCCTGCTACAACAAATTTATCTTACCCCATGTACTCCTCGTGATCCTGCTACAACAAATTTATCTTACCAACATCTTTTAATGTGACACTGTAAAAGAATAAACACAAATTCAAAATTAATAGAAAACAGCTGTTTAGCTATGTCACATGACTTCCATTGACTTGGGGTGTGGGGTTTGTGGCTTTTGAAAGTGGGGTATGAGGTTTTTTTTCTGCCTCTCGGTGCAGCCTGCATTGCTTGTGGCGGGGTATAAGAGATTTATTCCCCCGCTGAGAAATTTATTACCCGCCAAGGGCCAAGGCGGGTAAGGCAGTATTTTATCCAGATGATGTGTACCAATCAGATCTCATCATTCTGACATGGACATGACTGATGAAGGTTTGATAATATCATTAATACCCCAGTTGGAGTAAAAAAAAGTTAGACCGAGGTATAAATAATGAACAACAGATAATTTGTGATGTTTCACTTTGGGAAACATATCCAACTTTTAGCGCTAATCATGCAGTTGTGTTATGGATATATTTACCATGCCATTCATGGATAAATTCTACACTTTGAACCAACATTATTTTTAGGAAATGTTCACCTCATAAACAAAGGAATCGCCTATGACTGGGTGAGCAACATTACCAGTTACTATAGAGACAATTTCGCATTTGGGAAATTAGTGCTATTGAAAATAGAGGACAATACAGGAGACTGACAAAGCATCATTGGGGGTACACTGTATAATACTTCATTTGATGTATTCAATGCCAATCTGTGGTTACCCCAACCTTATTATAGCACACAAGTTTATTCATTTGACCTACGTTTTTTTTATCTAAATCCTTTATCCATGTTAACCGCCCATTTTTGAAATGTGAGCAGTATTTGATGGTATTTGAACTGCAGCCTCAAGTGAGCAACTATCATGTTGTTGAACATGTGATGCTGTTCATTGGATAGAGAGAATATTTCAACTTACCTATTGCATTAACCCATAAATGAATACCAATGCATGTATGTGTTTGTGTTAGTTTAGCAGACATATAGTTACTTAGATACTTCAAGTACCTGAAACTCAGTGTTTTGCTTTCATTTATTAATAGCATGTTTCAGCATGTGTGTCCCCTGGCTCTGTGTTTAGCTCAGACTATGGCCAGTTCATGTGTGTCCCCTGGCTCTGTGTTTAGCTCAGACTATGGCTAGTTCATGTGTCCCCTGGCTCTGTGTTTAGCTCAGACTATGGCCAGTTCATGTGTGTCCCCTGGCTCTGTGTTTAGCTCAGACTATGGCCAGTTCATGTGTGTCCCCTGGCTCTGTGTTTAGTTCAGACTATGGCCAGTTCATGTGTGTCCCCTGGCTCTGTGTTTAGTTCAGACTATGGCCATTTCATGTGTGTCCCCTGGCTCTGTGTTTAGCTCAGACTATGGCCAGTTCATGTGTGTCCCCTGGCTCTGTGTTTAGTTCAGACTATGGCCAGTTCATGTGTGTCCCCTGGCTCTGTGTTTAGCTCAGACTATGGCCAGTTCATGTGTGTCCCCTGGCTCTGTGTTTAGTTCAGACTATGGCCAGTTCATATGTGTCCCCTGGCACTGTGTTTAGCTCAGACTATGGCCAGTTCATGTGTGTCCCCTGGCTCTGTGTTTAGCTCAGACTATGGCCAGTTCATGTGTGTCCCCTGGCTCTGTGTTTAGTTCAGACTATGGCCAGTTCATGTGTGTCCCCTCACTCTGTGTTTAGCTCAGACTATGGCCAGTTCATGTGTCCCCGGGCTCTGTGTTTAGCTCAGACTATGGCCAGTTCATGTGTGTCCCCTCACTCTGTGTTTAGCTCAGACTATGGCCAGTTCACTTGTGTCCCCGGGCTCTGTGTTTAGCTCAGACTATGGCCAGTTCATGTGTGTCCCCTGGCTCTGTGTTTAGCTCAGACTATGGCCAGTTCACGTGTGTCCCTGGTGAGCAACTCTGAATATTAATTTAACACGAAGCTGAGTGGACACAAGACTCAACATCAGTTGTTTGCAACATGTTGAATAAGAATGCAGGGGACTACCTGTAGTGTCTTCTGTTGTCAAAAACTGGTCCTCTCACTAGTCAAATACTATACAAGTATATGTGAGTGGGCACATTTGGCTATTAACAATAAGATTTTCTACATGATGGAAACATTCACCGATCTTTATTATTTGTCATGATGTTTTGTTTAGTGGAAGGTGGTGTTTTTTTTCTTCGTGGTGACTAGTTCTCTCAACATACAGCTTGTCATGGGCAAATCAGCAGGACATGGAGACTTTTAATACTTCATTAGCAATGGTCTGGTGGGTGAGTGTTATTGTCTATCTCTATTCCTGCCATTATGTTAGATGAAATAATTGATGAAAACAGGTCAAAAGATGAAAACTCGTCATTGTTTCAGAAATGTGGTACCAGATCTTCTTGTGGGCCCTGTTCTCCTCAATGTTTGTCCATGTGATAGCTTCTCTTATTGCTGTGTGCAGACTGAGGAAGCACAAACTGGGCCGGTGGATTCCAGTTGTGATTGTGGCAATGGGAGTCTTATCTCCTCTCACTGGAGGTGTCGTTACAAGTAGGTCTTACACACCATTCATGCAAAGTAGTTAACAAAGTTAGTCATCGTGCATCATGAACGTCTTGGATATATTTAGATAAAAAAAATTTAATAAAATGATTTTTTTTAAATATGAATATTTAATTGGGAATTTAATAGTAAATAATTAGAGATAAACACACTGTCTTCAATTTAAAATTTGTACATGATGTATATTTCCATTGTACCATAAGAAAGTTACATGCAAACTTCTTGGTGTTGGCGAAGATCTTGAGTAAAGCAGATTTGGTAGAGCTCAGTGTTTTGTGTGAGGCTTCGATCTGAATTAAGGAAACACTGACACTTGCCTGTCAAAAAGTATGGTGCTGTGCTCAAGCATTCTTGTTTTACATCATAATTTACCCATATGTATTTCAGGCTTGAAAGTGTAGCAAAGCAACTCCCTAAGCTAAGACAAAGTTATCATCCCTAAAGAAAATGAAGCAAGACTTGCATGGTTTAGTACTAAATGTATACACTGCACATCACTATTATAACATCACACTGCTTATTATGATGCATAGGATATGACACAACAGTCTGGTGTTGACACCAACTTTCAAGCTCACGGTTGTCTCCAAACTTGAGATACCTATTATGTTTTCTTTTCAACATCTGTTGCCACACAAACTTTGAATATTGAAACTATATTTTGTAACCTATAATTGTATAAGCACTATTTCTATATGCCTACTGACAATGATTTGGAATTTTTTATTTTATATGAATGTTTGTTTCCGTTGTGATGTGGTAGTCAAATCAGCTGTTTGACCAGTCAGAATTTCAAATTTTCCAAATTCATGATTGATTCACAGTTAATGCATCCTTTCCTTGTCATAGTTCTGTAAAAATGTTTAAAATAGTCATGGTCAAAATAACTAAGTACATGCAATACTTTTGTTTCAACACTATTAGTTGAGGCTCAAATAAGCAGATTTACAAAGTGAAGGTACTGTCTTTAATTCTGCTTATTCTGTCTTTTAGGTGCTGTTATTGCAGGAGTGTTCCGAGCTTCAGACTTTGTCATAACACCGTTCTATGCCCTTGTGTGTGGAGTGGGTCAGACTATCATTGTCATGTTTATATCCTTCACCAGGATCCTGGCTACATTGTGAATGTCATACAAGCAGTAGTCAAGTACTAAATGGACATTAGTGTATGTGATGCCAGATATGTTGGGTGGTTAATGAAGGGCTTGTGATATTGGTGAGACTTGGACATGCCTCACTGAACCACGTCTACCTAGCTGTAGAAGTTAAGAACTGGTGTTGTCAATTAACTGAAGTTCTGTTGTTTAGTTGGATCAATAACTCTTCCCCCATCTTCACAAGGTGGCATTAGGACGTGCTCTTGTGAATGCTCTCGAAGGTAGAGGTCCAACTCAACTTGACCAACATTGGTCAACAAGATGAACATTTAAATTCCAAATGACATTAATTGTATTTGGAGAAATTTCCAGAAATAACATGGGAGAAGAATTCATATTAAATTGGGGAGTGATGATGGTGATGTAGCTTTGCTTCCAACTACATGTATTTGTGAAATCATTGTACAGTGAAGTCATTGTACCAGAGATATGCAAGTGTAGTAAATTCAAATGTATGGATGCTTGTACATTGAATAAATATCTGTAATATACTGATACAGTGTTATTTTGTGTAGCTGAACATGGCAACCATGAAAAGTGACCTGTTTATGGCTGATGTGGTCAACATATTGAAAATTTGATTTGACCCTCTTGAACAAATGCAGGTGTCATCATTGTTGGGAACAAGTGAGTTTCAGCTTCAGTGGAAAATTGGTTTATGAGGTGATTAAGTTTAAAGTGTAGGAGATAAATAGAATTTCAAACTGGTCACTAATACTGTATGACTCACGAGGCGTCCTCAGATTTTCATGATTTCATGCAGAGAGGCATTGTTTCAGAGTAAGAGGTCTCCTATTAATGAGATTGGGTAACACATAATCAAATAATGAAACAAATGGCATCTCACTTGGAAGTATTTAATTCATGTAGTTAGGTCACAATACATGACAATGAACAATGCAAGAGACTTGAAGCTGTAACAGAACAAAGATATGCTATGTCAAAATAATGACTTCTTGCTTTTTCCACTATTGCCACCATACAGAAAATACTCTCAAATCTGGACAATGTTTTGAAAAAAAAGTCTTCAGAATTGAATATCTGAGATTCTTATGATGTTGGACAATGTGATAATACCTTTGAATACATTTATTTTATTTGTGGGAATACTGCACATAAATTAAATAAAATAATTAAAGGATGAATGGTTGATAATAATACTACAACCGGTAAATAAATTATGTTCATGTGTCATAAGCAACTACATTTTGGAGCTGATGAAAAATGAATTTCTTAACATGATTATTTTTTACTCTCAATAATAAAGTATCATCAATGTTTTTTTGTATTAAGTGAATTTGTTTTATACTGTGGCAGGAATGATTGGCTAAGTAACGGAAAGTTTCGAATACTGTACATGAAAAAAATCATATCATAAACAGTATTTGTCGCACATAGTAGCAGCCCGACATATTAAGTATGTAAAGTCGGGTATCTTGAGCATACTGGCTCTCCAGTTACTGTTGGTGATATGAGCAATGATCAAGTTGATAAGGAATTCTACACAGGACTGCCTAAATAAGATAAAGCACTGCTTAGATAATAACTATTTACAAATGGAAATTTCTTTGGTTAGTCATTTTCAATAAATCTAGAAAGCCACGATATATCAAGAATGATGATATAATATTATGGCCCTGACATGTCAAAGAGCATACCTGAAAGAGACCAAATAATGAGGCTTTGCTTTAAGCTGTAAATATTGTTATACCTGTATGTCCTTTTATATGTGTACCATAGAAACCTTTATATCATTTAACTATGTGTTATTGCACTATTGTTCCAGAATATCTACAAAACACTGGCACGTTTTGAATGGTCAAGGGGAGACAACTCACATTTTATTTGTTCACCCCTTGTTCTTCAGATTTCTTTCCAAGGTCTTTCCTTTGGCTGCCTCACATTTTATGCCAGTAACCTTTAGCAAAGTAGATGTGTAAGTACAGGTAGCTAAATATGGTAAACCTGATTCTGTCTATGAAACCAATAAAGTATTCCATCTTTTTTGTCCCAAATGAACTCACATGGAAGTCAGCTTATTCTTTTCTTGCTAATGGATATCAAGTACACATATTTGCTGATCTTTCTATCATTTCAAATATCCTTTGTCTCCTACATGTATATGTGTTCAGCTGTTGGAATGTCCTGCAGACTCCTGGTCATTGCACGGTCCAGCGGCAAGCACTAATGGCAAACAAAAAAACTACAGACATGACACATCATCTAGTCGGTTTCCTAAGCGTACAATACAGACAATATATACAACATAATTCACAGACAAATGTCTCCCTGTGGCACAGTTGGTATTACCCTGGCCCACAGCTAGCTTACAGATCCTGGGTACAAGAACTGGCACAGGACCTCGGATACATGGGCTATCAGTCCTCTGTATTACAGTGTGTTTATAGTCCGATGACATTTGGTGGAGTCAGATCAGGCAGGCAATACACCCTGGCCCTGTTCTTACTATATGGTCAGGGGGGGAAATAAGTAAATACTGATGTTCTTAGTTGAGGGAACTAGTGTTTTGTAGTTGCCAAGAGTTGTTCAAAAGAACTCATCTGCTTTGACAAAATAGAATAAGCTTGTAAATGTATGAACTGGAATGGCTTGTCCCCCAAACCTTGGCAAGAAACTGAGAACATGTTATTTGATCCTCCTGTTTCTCTTAGTAGTTGTAAACATACCAGCATGTCAGCTAGGGCTCAGACTGGAGCAACATGCACACTCACACACACTTCCTAGAGATTGTACTTCTAAACCGTGGAACTGTCTTACCTGCTTCACCAATCACTGACATTATCAAATCCAATGACAGTTTGAAATGACAGATATAAAATAAAGTGAATGTCGTTCATATTTCCTCTTTATGATATCTGGAGGTCCTGTGTGAAATTCCATCTTTCCAACTTTTAGCAGTAGACAGGAAGTTTTCCTAGATACTGAAACTTGTTCATACACAACTTTCAAGGATCCCCATTTCTTTACAGTATACAACAGTGTACCATGTCACATATATACAGCATAGTCAGCACCGATAGTTGTAACCATAGTAACAATCATGTCAAAGTACAATACAGCAATGAATAGTATGCTACAATACATTCTCATGTTAAAATCAACATCATATTTACACAAAAGCAATTATGAAATATATTTTGCCATTTTTTCATTTGTTAGTATGATCAACAAAGATAACTGTGTGTCTAAAATTAGAAATTTGAGAATTTTACATTTTCAGTTTAAGTATAATGAAATATGTCCGTTTTAGCAAAACTACTGTCATTGCCATTCATTGATAAGAAATATTGTTCCCTGAAATATGAGTGTGAAAATGTAACCAATCACTCAGAGTTTGAAAAGTAAACTAATATTTCATGCTATGGGAGTATTTTCCAATATTTACAAAGAAAAAGCATCCAAAATTAATTTCAAACTGAAATTACATCCTTGTTCTGTATGTAGACATCCTTAAAACCCAGATGCTCCCTACCTGCTTTATGTATGAGGAATGCTTTGTAAATAAGTGAACCAACCTCAATTTTTTCTAGAAAATAGACCAATGTTTAATGTGAAATATTTTGATCAGTAAACTACAGCAAGAAACACATAACTCTGTCTCTGCAATCAAAGCCTACACATTAAAGATAAGATAGATTGGTTCTATTTATAACCACATCAAAATCTATAAGGTCAGAACATTTCAAACTATTTAGCAATCCAAAGTTACTTAGATTTTTTTTCAAGGAGTAGACCTGAAGAGAATAGTTGAATTCAAACAAATGGGCTTCAAGGATTGCTAATACATTGCTGTAAATATTGATTTAGCATATTCAAATCAGTTGCTTTTCCTTCATTTTACTGAAAAGTAGATAATTTCTTTTGTTATCAGCTCATGGTTCCTAGAAGAAAGAAAACTTCAGCTGGATACCATGCCACTTTCTAGCATGATACCTCATCATAAGGAGAAATATAGTGTGTTTAGAACAGAATAGGGATGTATCTCAGAGCTGAAATACTGTACATGGATTTATCATAACATAACCCAGACTTTGAAGGCAGGAACAAACAAACTCATTAACAATATGTAAAAGCATAATACCGAGGCAGCACATGTAAGTAATAAAAATATATATAAAAACACTTGAATTTGTACCTAAATTGAAGACTAGAAAGTCACAGAGACCATTGGCTTAATGGTCATAAAACCATAGACCATGATAGACCCAGCAGATTACATAATGTATAACATGTATAAAGACAGGGTTTTTCAATCACCTTCCTGACATAATATAAAAAGTACGTTGTCAATTAATTGCCATAAACTAAAAAAACATTCTGGTTTCTTTGTATACATGTGTAGTGGTCAGCCATTAATTCTATTGATTTGAAGAAAAAGAGTAAGTATTTTTCAGTATTTTTAAATCTTAAAATGCTCATAGTTGTTTTGGATGGTATGGCCATAATTTGGAGACGTCTCTGATCGTACTCCAGTGTTTATGCTTGAATGAATCATTGTCTTGTCAAGAAGAGCTTGGCAATCAACAGTTTCTATACTGTACCCGTTACTGTATAGGAAGCTTAGGCGGAGTGGACACTCACCTAAATATCTCAAAATGTCAACCCGTGTGGACTCAATGATTTTAATAATATCTTCAAACCACACAAGAAACCAGAGCACTTTGAAGATACAGGACTACCATAGTGGCACAACCTAAGTTGCCCTTGGGTCGACAAGAAAAGACCAGTCAAATAAAGTTGAAACTAGATAATAGTTTGTGTAACATCTCTGACCAGGCCTGGACCTGCCCAGCTTGGATGCAGTGGTACCAGGCATCCTCAACTGTGGAAGCTATAACCTAAGGTGTCATGTAGCAATGCTTTTAATTATAGCTAAAATGGATAGAATTATCATTAAACCGCCTGCATGTTATCAGAAATAAGCGGGCAACTGTAACTTGATAATGCCCTCATATTGCTTGAAAACGGGCCATTATCACTCCTGTTGTTAGGTGACGTCATAGGATAGGAATGGGTGACGTCACGTTCAATAGTGACGTCATCTGGTTTGTTCTATGATGTTTCCATATTTGTAAAAGTGGGTCAGTGACATTCCTGTTGATTGCAGTAAATGTTTCAAAACCGATATTGTTGTTTCTTTTTATTTGATAACAAATTCCATCCATTTTATCTATAATAACGGTAACGCTATTTATCAGGGCATTATCATGTGCAGAAGCCCTCAGTCTTTTCAACTGCCCTCCTTCGTCAGGCAGTTAATGGAAGACCTCAGGCTTCTGCAAATGATAAGGCCCTGAAAATAGCGATACCCTTATATGATTCACACAGTGCAACTCACTAGAAGTCACTGATTAAGTTTTAAGATCTTTTATTGAAGCTTTACCAAATGAGTAGAAAATGTGGTATGACCGTATGGAAGTTCATGGCTGGAGAATATATTAAATGCTTAAAACATCTGCACAAAAGATGCTACTCCTCTCCGCCTCAGAATATGGTGTTTTGCACCCCAAGAAGTATCAAAGGATAAATAAATACCCTGCATGGATCAAGACGAATGAGAAACGTCAGCAGTTCAACAAAATGTTTCAACTCCTGGGCAGAGATAGGGATTTTAAGTTGGAAGACAGTCAAAAATAAGAAATATAATAACATACATTACACAAGGACTGTTCTGTTGAGATACAAACAGTTATGTCAACATTTATATTGTAAATACATATGGTAAAGGAATACAATTCTATTTCTTTGTTTTCAATAACTGTATCATATATTAAACAAATAAAACATGTAAATATTATCTGAACCTCATGATAGATATGTCGGGGTCATGCATGGAGGATATGTAGCAGGTAGTATGTAAAACTAAACCATTAAATATGATATGGGTTTGAACTGAACACAAGTGGTGTAAAACAATGCATGTACACTTGTTCTTAAATGCTGCTGAATTTAGTAAGACATACAATGTATTTGTAGGGATGTTCTTGCAAACAGCTGACTGGGAGTCGGAGATGAATCAGGCCTGGATATAATATGTCATTTTATATTTCAATCTGTTAAAAAAAATATCACTGTAAAACAAGAAAGGGAAAAAGAGATATGAATGCTAACATCAGTATTCTACATTCTGTAATGAAAACCTCCCAAACCAGCTTCATCATTCAAAATTAGTTTGAATGTACAGTAAACTACCTTTATAATGAACACGCTTATAACGAACTGATGGATATAATGAACTGTTTTGGACCCCATCCATTTGCTATAATTATGCTGTATATGTGCTTATAACAAACAATGGATATTACAGACTAAATTTAGTGGTCCCTTTAAGTTTGTTATAACCATAGTTTACTGTACAACCCCAGGAACCTATGCTGGTTGTAGGAGGCGACTGACTTACTGGTGCTCAGGAGTATAATGTCACATAATCAACCAAATCATTGAGTCTCACCACCTACATGTATCTATCAAGTTGCCTCGCATCACAAGCATAGATTGCTGAGAACCCACTCTAACCTGGAATCTCCATGAAGGACTTCAGGAGGTAAATTTGGGGCACTGAATTAATCCATTATCATCTGGCAAGGCCCATGCTGAAATGTACTGGCCCACATGCTAGCAAACTTTACTGTCAATAACAAGGACAGCTACATAGAGAACATGAAGAGTCAACTGACATATCCTTAATAATACAGTGTATAATATCTCCATTGTATATGATAAACATCCTTGACCCCTTCCTTGACACCCACCCACCTCAATTTTTTCTATCTCTAACCTTCGCACATAATTTCTCTTGAGCGTAATTTAAATGGACAGCTATTTTTAGCTGTGTGCCGTAATAATCGTATTTTAAATTAAGCTATGGCAGCCAGTGGGTACAGCGTATTTACCATAATAGAATGGAGATACAGTACACTGGACCTAACAGTACCTACGCTTAATGCAGCACAAAATAATACAAATCAATCAACAAGTGTAATTCCTTAGTGAATACCAGTTCACTTTCCAGGCCTCACATTAAATGATTCTTCTTGTTTGTTGCACAGTTTGTTTTTCTCTATCAGATCTCAGATATCAATTTCATCCTCTTCAAGAAGTCTCCTCCTCTGATACAGACGATACTGCACCTTCCATGTTCTGTAGCTGCACAGAGCTGTTAGACCATAGAACGCCATACAGATGTAGCCAAACACCTGCAACAGAGGACCACCATTCACTATAGGCGCAACAACACATCTGTCATTGTGTTGTAAGGCCTTTGTTTTTTCTATATTCTATTCTATATTTTACTACCTATATCTTGGTATAGGACAGCCTAATATATGCTATTTTTCATTGATAGTGCAATAGACTTAGTATAGTGAAAACAATACAGATAACCAACCTCTTACCCTCAGTACCTTACCCTCAGGCTTATCAACTATTTGAAGTGACAAGTGTTCATTCATTACAAGGGGGCCATGTTGGGACATTATGTGGCCTAACACCAGGGATCTGCATGTTGGCACAATAAAGGTGCTCATCATACTACAGCAGTTGGTACTAGTGGATTCCTTTACTTAATGTATGGATGTCCCGTCAATATACGGTGATGTCTCTAATTCTGTTCAACACATATGTGTTATTTCAACATTAATAAAACTAGTTTGTATAACATTGAAATATCTTTTTGTAAAGTTGCCATGTTTTCCTGATCATAAATACTTCACCAATTACACTATCTTGGTATCAGCATACTTACCACACACACAACCAGTTGATGAATGGTTTCTTGGGATACATTGGTCTGCATCTTGATATAGAAGTCAAAAGCACTAGCAACAAGGGATGTTCCCACCAGGTATAGAAAGGCAAATACTGAATACAGTATCAAGTCCTGTAAGTGGAAGTAATAATGTAATTATTCCAGCAACATGCATCACTCAGGTGATATGACATCAATTGTCGGAATGGGTTGGAATGTTTTAACAGCATAACTACACTCTATGTAGATAAGAACTATGTATTAACAATAATAACTTCACTGCAGCTTTAAAGGGACAGTACATCGACAGTTCAGTGTTTTGAAATCATGCATGAAATAATTTCACATGCCCGATTCAAATCGCAAACAAAAACAACAGGGCTCCACACAGTAAAGCCGACAACGCAAGCACTGCATAGAGGCAAATTGAAGAGAAAGCTTGTGTGTTTTTCTTAAGGCTGAATTACAAAATACTTTTTGCCAGCTTGATTAGATTAGAAGCCAGTGTTTATCAAAGCCATGTGTTTTTTACCTGTATCCTTTTGGACGGATCTACATATTTAGATAAACATACGTCATGAAATGTTTAACTTTCATTAAGAAAATATCCTAAAATAGAAAAAATGTTTCCATTTGCTTATTTATCCTCCACATCCTGTCATCGAAGCCCTACAGAGACCCAGCAATACGGTCACTTTGATGTGTAAAAGCTTTGTTATCATGTCGCAGTTGTAGTAGTATATCTACATAATTCTAGTGAATACTCTACCTCTATTACATCATTGCCATAAATCCTGTATTTTGGATGCTATCACACCATACTAAACTTTCAGATTTTCAACTGGGGGCCTCTTCACTGTCAACTATACAAAAGTAGTTGTCCCTGCTATAGCACTAGGCAGCTTACAGCTCTTTTGTGTGCGAAGGCAGGAAACCTCACTTCTTTCCTGGGTGTGCACGCGTCAACACATCTATGTATGCTCCTCTTGCACTTAGCTGTAGTCACACTATTCCAATACATTTCAGTTACTTAATCCTACTAATGTATTAGATGTTTTATGGGCTGTATTTGATGAAATTTTCAAGATTGTGTCCTCCCCTCCTCATTCAGCATGTCACAAATGTGGCTGATTTATGACTTCGGTAGACCTTCACATAGAGTGTTGGAAGTCCAGAGAGTCCACCTGCATATAGGATGATCACTGTACCCTCTGTCTCTCTCTCTCAAGAAAGCCTTTACTAAGTGAAGCTATCACTAAGGCTAAGAGGAAGGGTGAGGCCAAGAGAAAGGTTGATGATATTATTTCCCAGACTGATAAAAAAACCTACCCCTCCACCTGAACAACCGCCCGACTCTCAACAGTCATCTGTGCTGCTGGCACATCTGGAGTTTCCTTTCACCTTGCTGGAGCAAATTATTGCTGGAGGTAGAACTGCTGAAAAGATTTGATTCCAGACAGGTGCAAGAAGAATCCCCCAACTAAGAGGCTGCATGGGAGACCGTCCATGTCGGACTCGTGTCAGCCACCTACCACCAAGCACTACGGCCAGCCGGCCAGCGGACAGGATTTAAAGTACAGCCACCAACCAGTTGTCAGTATCTAAACAGCTGTCTGCCTTACCCTCATGGGTGGCAAAGACCGTCCAGGTGCCCGCTAAGCTGGCAGAGATCAACTATCCACTCAACAGCTTGACCTCCATACGGGTGCCTCCATTACACAACAGCCAACCTGTGGACAGATCTTACCAGAGTTATGGACACGCACAGACATTACGTGGATCCGTTTAGCTACCTGGAGTCTGACCGTTCAGATGTCCACCATCCAACGGCCTCCAATGTCCCTCCCGATTCTGAACTAGACATTGAAGAAGACTATCATGAATTGAGACTTCTCCACCACAGGAATTTGGCGCTCCTCTATCCTTTGTGGATTTACTGGCAACTCTCTACCATTACATGCCATGTTTAATCTATTCCATCAATAATCAGGGATGTGAGCAGGTTTTGCCCAAAAGAGAGGAAACCTCTAGGGGGGGTCTGGGGCATGCCCCCCCAGAAATGTTTAAGACATTTTGGTTGCATTTTAATCAATTTCGTTTGGACAACATTCAAACCAAGAAATGTTATAAGTCAATGGCAACAGTCAAGTCAAATAAACAAAGATGGCTGATGCAGTAAAATTTCAAAGTGAAATCAGTGCTTTTAAAAAATCGGGCATAGCTTCCGCGCGCCTAGTTACCCGCCGGGTCTGGGAACAATACTACCATAAACTTCTACCCCCATCCCCCAGACACAAGGACAACTGTCACAAGCGTGCAATGTCTGACCCTTTCCCCATGCTGAAGCATATTGAAAAAAAACTTACCTTGTACTTACCTTGAAAAAAACAAAAAAACATTGCAAATTTAAGACATTAATACAACATATATCCCAGTGTTATGAGTTTTCGGATGCTGCAGAAACATTTATAGTTTTCTCGCTAGTCACATGAACAACTGTAAAACATCTCATTCACAAGCCATCTTCTGAGCATTTACAATTATCATTGTCGCCAAACATGTGTGATAGAAAACGTATGTGTCATGAATAATAGTAAAGGCATGATGTCAAAAGCTCTGATCGAAAACAGGATAATCCGTGACGGTCGTCCGGAAACATGAAAATATTTTTCAGAGAATTTAAAAAAAAATCTTTGATTATATTTTTACGAGGAAGAGGATTTTTTCCCAAGGCCTACTGTTTTAAAAAAACGCGATTTTCCGTCTTTCCGCGGAGATTTCACATCCCTGAATAATGCCGGAATATTTGGCTGCAACGCCCCCGTGACATATCACGCCCACCAGACACTCCCATTGCTGAGCTATGCGTAAAGGATTATTGACCATGCCTCAACCAATCTTCAAAAACTTTGACACTGCCTCTTCCTAACTTGAACAGAAGAGTATATCCGAAAAAAATGCAGCGAAAACTTAGATCTGATTTGAATGAGATTGGGCTGGGACGAGACATCAATTATGCCATCTGATACGTAACACAATACCTTGTTCATGATCCGATATGTATCACGATACCTTGTTCACGATCCGATATGTATCACGATACTTGTATGTGCTCTTATGTGTGGTGTGTAAGCAATCTTTTTCATAGACAGGATAGTCAAATTCCTGGCACACTAATGATTTAAAGTTGGCAGTGTCAAGTGTGACGCAATGGATGAAAATATTTACTTTTTCACTACTAATTAGTGTTTGGTGTAACAGCCATTAAAGTAAACATTTAAGGTATGAATCAATATTTTTTACTTAGTGTTGGACTGTGATCGATACTTGTATTGGGAAGTAAAATATTGCGATCCACCGATGCATCAGTGTATCATCCCACCAATACCATACAGGGAGTGTACTAGACTAGACTGAGTGAGTGACTTTGGTTTTACGCCGCTTTCAGCAATATTCCAGCAATATCACGGTGGGGGACACCAGAATTGGGCTTCACACATTATACCCATGTGAGTACTAGACTAGAGGCAGTACCAGCCTTCCTTCTGGTATATTCTGGCAATGAGGTAATAGAGGTAGAGTATTTGCAAGAATTATTGAACAATAGTTATCATTGTTTATAATTCGAAGAATACTACCTCTACTACATCAGAAGCAATCACTCCCACAATCATCTGTCTCTAGCACAGAGATGTTTGGAAAGATGTGAAGTTACACACTTTCACGCATGGAAGAGCTGTAAGCTGTTAGGTGCTATAGCAGGGATAACTGAGCATAACGCCAGTGTAGGCTTATCACTTGACCGGACTTTTCTCTTATTTGTAACCAGAAGTTAGTGGAACAGAAACAGAATAAGTCGAGCCGAGCCGAGTAAGCATGGTAGGCTTCGGGGGTTATCGGCTATTGTAACAAAGTTTCAGAACTCAACAGTCAACGTCCCGTCCCTTTTACATGTTTGGCCAAAGTAAAAGTGAAAACATAGCACATATACACAGACATGCAACACTAATACAAGTGCTTCATTAGAACCAAAATGTAAAGCCTATGTTTTGGCCATATTTGCTTATTTTACAATAGTTACTGTGATGAGTTGCGCTATTATGCAATACCGTTAGGATAATAGTATATGTGTAGGACGTCATCACTTTGAAACAAAGGACCATGCGGTCTCCCGTCTGCAAGTTGGATACGACAATAACCTTGTGTGATTCTGTCGATCTTCTGTACATAAATCTCAATACAATAGAAGTTTACATGGTGTCAGAAGAAGTGTGGAAAAGGAATCAAGTGCTAACTACTCGCTGTCATAGACAGCTGAGCTGAGATAAATAGCAATCAGTCAGAAAACTAGGTCAAATTGCCGATAACGTTAGTGTTGCGTAGTAAAAAAAACCCCCAAAAATACAAAAACAAAACATAACAAGCATGGCTCAAGGCGGAGGGGGACAGAGGGGGACAGAGTGGCGCTCTGTTCATAGATAAGGGACCGTCTATGGATTAGACAAATAATGAAGGACTTTATTCAAGGTTTAAGTTGTGGAAACAGCAGTGTGAACTTTTGTTTACTGGACTGATGTTCAGAATGGAAGCAGAAATGAAATGTAAATTTATTCTGTACTGGTCAGGCACTGTAGGACTTGTGTTATTTAATAGTTAGGGTTTAACTGATGAAGAAGAAAAAGTTCTTGCAAATTATTGGACCAAATTTGAAGAATATGTGAAACCACATTCAAATGAATTAATGGCCACATGGGAGTTACACCACATGAGACAGGGCAGTATGAAGTTAGAAGATTTTTTTGCAAAACTCAGAACACTGGTTAACAATGGTTAATGAAGCAAATTATCCACAAGAAGAAAAGAAAATGTTCTTAAGAGGCTTTCTAGTTTTTGTGATGAGGTCTGATAGGATGAGAAAAGAATGCTTAAAACTTGGAAACACTCTGACATTTGATCAAACTCATGAGATGGCGAAAGCGGAAGAATCAGCTGATATACAAGTCAGATTCATGGTTGCAACTAATCCAGGTTCTACAAACATGAACATTGATGCCATTAATTCAAAATTCAGAAACAAAACTGACACTTACAATTATAAAAACGTAGTCACACAAAATCAAGTGCATCTGACAATCACAACAAAAATCGTTCACACAAAACCAAAACCTGTGGATATTGTGGAGACAGTCCTCGACCCAGGGAACGCTGTCCACCACGAAAGGCGAAATGTAGTTCGTGTCACATTGTCGGACATTACGCAAGAGTTTGTAGGCGAAAACAGACCACAAGAAATGTCAATGAAGTTGAGACAAATGAATATGATTCATCTCTGTCAAGCGAATTCAGTGATCATCTGTTCTTGGGTCCTATTGAAGTTTCACCAATTAACACAATTGATGAAATATCGTCACAAGTCAAGAAGCCGCATATAGAAATGTTGCTGTCTGCTGAGACTGACGTCAAGCAGTTGCCGACAATGTGCAAGATTGACAGTGGTGCTGAAGCAAACATTATTACAAAAGACTGCTACCAGAAGTTATTCCCAAATGGGCATACACTCGACAAGCCTGTTGTGACACTCAAGGCATATGGTGGAAACGTCATTCCAAACCTGGGTTCCTGTAATATATTTATCCAAAGTCCTAGTGCTGATACACCGAAGGCTATCAAAGCTGAAGTTGTTGATATTAAGAAAAGTGTTCCTGTGATAATCAGCAATGCGACAGCACAAGACCTAGACCTAATCAAGCTGAATTGGCAAGTTACAGCTGAAGCTAGTAATGATGTCAAAGGCAACACACAAGAAACTAGCTCAATGGGGACAGTCAAATTGTTTGATGTAAATGGTAAACGTCATCCGTTTCCATCCAGCATATCAGAGTGTTCTTTGGAAGTTTAGAAGGTGTAAGTGGTATTGCGGATGACACATTCGTCTATGGTACCAGCTAGCTAGAACATGACCAGCACATCATCAACATCCTCGACAAGGCAAGGCAGAATAATATCAAGTTCAACCCTGAAAAGTTCCAATTCAAAGTGAAAGAAGCATCCTTCTTTGGTCTAAAATGGTCACCTGATGGACTAAAAGGCTTATGAAGGCAAGATAACAGCAATCACTCAAATGGACCCACCAAGCAACCTACAAGAGCTGCAGTCTTTCATGGGCATGATAAACTATCTCAACAGGTTCTCTCCTGTAAATGCTCAAATCTCGGAACCTGTAAGAAAGCCCATGAAACGTGATGTTGAATATCTTTGGCAACTAGAACATCACAAGGCCTTTCAGGAGTTGAAACAAATCATCACGAACATGCCTGTGCTCACATATTACGATTCTGAGAAGGACAATATCATCCAGTGAGACGCCAGTCAGAGAGGACTCGGCTGCGTCTTGCTACAAGATGGCAAGACTGTGATATACGCAAGCCGCTCTCTGAGTGACGCTGAATCAAGGTACAGTAACATAGAGAGGGAGCTACTGGCAGGTTCATGGTCACTTGAAAAACTACATCACTATGTGTATGGTAAGAGTGTTGTGATCGAAACCGATACTAAACCTCTGGAGAGTATTTGGAAAAGAAGCATTTCAAGTGTCTCACCACGTCAACAGGGACTGTTGCTCAAAATGTCAAAATATGACATTGAAATCAAATACATCCCCGGCAAAACCAGCGTGAATGCTGATGCTCTCTCCAGAGTTTCAAGCATGGAAATTCCAGCTAAAGACCATGATGCTCTTATGATTGAACTTGACACAATCACCAGTACTCTTCCCGCCACACCTGCAAAGTTGGATGAGATACACCAGAAAACAGGAGAGGATGAAGTTCTGTGTCATCTGAAGGACATGGTGAAACATGGTTGGCCAATCTGTGTTGATGAATGTCCTGCTGACCTCAGAGACTACTGGACATTCCGTGAGGACATCAGTGTAGAGAATGGCATTGTCTTGAAAGGCCATCAAATCATTGTTCCTTCAACAATGAGAAATTGAAATGCTTCCAATTGTACACCAAGGACACACGGGCGCTGAGAAATGTGAACTAAAGGCAAGAGAATGTATATTCTGGCCTGGAATCACTAAGGACATTAAAGAGCTGACGTCCAGTTGTGCTACATGTTTACAGTTCTCAAAATAACAGATAAAAGAGCCCATGCAACCTGACAATGTGCCCTCAATCGCATGGCAAAATCTTGGATCTGATCTCCTAGACTACAAAGGTTAACTGTACCTCCTGATTGCTGATTACTATAGGAAATTCCCTGTACTCAGAAAGTTAAAGGGGACTACATCATGTAACATCATCAATCACATGAAATCAATTTATGCTGAATATGGCATCCCCAAAACTCTCATTACGGACAATGGACCGCGATATAGCAGCCATGACTTCAAAGTCTTCTGTGACACATGGAGACATCAAGCATGCGACAAGTTTTTCAACATACCCGCAGAGCAATGGCTTTGTGGAACACATGGTGCAAACCGTGAAGAACTTGCTGCAGGTCAAGACCCATATCTTGGACTCCTGTCATACAGGACAACACCTGTTGATGCTCATGCAGGAAATGAACTATCAAAATTGAATCCTGGACAAGATGTAGTCATGTTTGAAAATAACTCCAAAAGCTGGGTCAACACCAAAGTGGTTAAATCTCTGTCAGAGCCGAGATCATACCAACAACTAACATCAAATGGAAACCTGCTTCGACGAAACAGAATTCACCTGAAACCAGAAGGTAGAGGGAAGACAACTCTGTCAACCCCAATGTCAACATGTAACCGACCGGGATTAGCAACATCCTCACCAGTCAACCAGTCATCACCGATGAAACAAGCTACACCAAGGATCAGCGAACCAGAACCAAAACCATGTGTGAAGAACACAGCCACACCTGTGCAAGAGACTAACTTCCAGACGTGATCACGCTATTCGACCACCTGAGAGACTTGATTTATAAGAAACTCTTATCAGACATTAAATCAGTGTGCATAAATATCTGTGCAAATCTCAAAGACAACTCAAAGACATTAACTTTATTACATTTCACATGTGTGTTATTTGAATTTAATAGAACAAGTTGTTCTGTGTTCATTTGTGAATGTCTGATGCATTTATTATGTTACTTTTCAGTATTATGCAAAGATTGTATGATGCTTAATGACGATCCTGAAAATGATCTGATGTTTAACATGTTTAATTCATTCTATTCAGAATGAATGTTCAATATTTGTTTCAGTAACTTTTCATTCAAAAGTTATGAAAGGACACTAATGTTTAAATGTCAGGTAAACTCCTTAAAGGGGAGATGTGATGAGTTCTGCTATTATGCAATACTGTTAGGATTATAGTATACTACTCAAAAGAAGTTAAGGCTCACCCGATTCTTTCATATTATTAATGTTAATCTGTCGTGGCATGAGAGATTAACTATTGTAATATGAAAGAATCAGGTGATCTGTAACTTCTTTTGAGTAGTATATATATGTAGAGGACATCATCACTTTGGAAAAGAGGAACATGCTGTCTCCAGCCTGCGAGTTAGATATGACAATAAACTTGTGTGATTCTGTCGAGCTTCTGTCAATAAATCTCAATACAATAGAAGATTACAGTTACCAAAGGCTAACTTACAATGAAAGTCCACTCAAAAGGGAAGACGAAGACAAGGCTAGTGATGTTGGCAAGGATGGAGAGGAAGCTGAAGAGGAGGGTTAGGATGAGGACGAATATCATGATACGGAAATGCCAGCTGAGGGGCAGGTTGAGAAGTCCACCTTCATATCCACCAGACGTTACCAGGCACACCAGTGTCATCATTGACAGGATCTGCAACATCCACCATAACTAGAACTTGCTGTGTTCTTATGTAGTTTCAGGGCTACAAATTATCAATACACAACAAGAATTTTCATTAAAACAGATTGACATTCATAATGAATTATATACCAAAGAAGTGAGATTCTGAAAATTAACTTTGCTACCAGGGTTAAGAGGGTTAGTAGGTGATCAGGGTTATAGTTTTCAGCGCCCCTAAATTATGTGCAAACATGCTAAGCCTCTAAAACCCAACAAGAACAAAAGGACTTACGACTTGTAATACACGAAGAATACCGGCACACGTGAGCAAGTAACTAAAGTCAAAGATGACCATAACAACTTCATTCTTCCGTTTGTTTTTGGGAGGACTTGTTGGGGTTTTCACACGATACTTGGGTTCAGGTTTAGATTTTCGTCCATGGTCACGGTCATCAGTGTTAATATCGGAACTGATGGCTTCATTTTCCAATTCCCTGGACGACACCTCTCGATCTTGAAGCTGAAATGGCCCATCATAATGCGGATTTGAAATACTTGTACAAGAAGATGTCTCCGAATTTGGATAGAAGCTTGGTTCTTCGCTTAGTTCACTGTGATGAGAAGGATCGTCTTCTTCATCCATGTCTCAACTAATACCAAATTTCAACTGATTTTATTCAACATCGTCATTTTGACATTAAACCGGAAGTAATGCAGACGGCTCTTTAATTGTCGCTTAAACACACGTACACACGACTTACGTTTTTATACTTTGATTATGATCAGATAAAACTACAGTATGTGGCTTTTCTATATTCACTTTCATTTTGTTTAACTGCAGTGGTATGATTCCGCAGGAAACAGCGCGTCCTTCATGTTTGTGATGTTGTAAGCGTACATCATAATTTTATCACGTGATGGTCAAAATGGCGTCAACCAAACAGGAAGCTGCAATAGTGATCCTTTAAGTTCATGCTTTCGTAACATTTAAGTTGTAATCATTCAAAATGAGCGAAAGGGACTATGCTCCGTTGAGTGCTTCTTGTATAAGAGCACTCAATGACAAGCTGTATGAAAAGAGAAAAGTGGCAGCGTTGGAAATAGAAAGGTTTGTGTTCACAGCATGATTGATTTCACATGACATATTCGCTACATGTTAATGACACTGAACGTATTGAAAAGACAGTTGTTTTTATTTTAGTTTAGTTTTTGTGGCAAAATTCTACTTCGTCTTTATCTTCCACACGCAACCCTGCGAACTGCAAATGCTGTAAAATAATTACCTATCATTGTCTGCAACCACAAAGGTAGCGGAGCCACGATGGGGTCCTACAATCAAGACATGACCCTACATTACGGCCAAGAACACCACCTTCATAAATCCTATATAGACTGTGGTGGCCGATTACACTCATATTTTCTGAGATTTTTTGAAATTTTTTAACGTGGGTTTGTGACTGAAAAGTTGACATTGCTGTATTCCCAGATAATTTCACCATCTATACATACTTGTCATAATTTGATTACCCCAACTTGAGGTAATAACAGACTGGTAACCTGTTCACTTCATGTTTTGATGGTAGTGAGCTCCTGACCTAGGTGATCTTTGGCAAGCCTGAAGAGTGTCAGACACAGCTATTTAGCACAATTTGGCACCGACAGCACACTTAATGGGTACTATCCTTAGCCCATGAACCTTTTTCCAAATTCCAATCAGGCACTGTTTACCATAATAATGAAGCAGCACCCCTTGCAGGTCAAACGCCCTTATACAATCCTTAAGGTTTGATTGCCCAAACTCTGTGAAGTTACCAATACAGCTATGAGCTAGGTTTACACTGGTATATGTTTGACTGCCCATTGACGACAGATTCATGATGTTATGTATGTGAGCAAAGTGTTTTATTCAAATTGAGGGGTCCTTGACGTTTCCCTAATGTTAAAAGTTAGAGATTTATGGCATCTCTAGATTAAAATACTATAGGTGAAAGCCCAGGGAACCCCAGGGCTACTCTTAATTTGGAACACTGTGAGTGTTTATTTTCAGAGTATCTGGTTTGGAGAACAAGACAAAGTTACAAAGTACACCCACATCAGCCCCCAGGACTTGGTTGCCAAATTTAAATATCTCTAGGTCAAATGGTTCCTATATAGTTATTTTCGATCAGTCAGAAGAACTCTTTTAAAGGAAAAATATTAGAGATACTTATAGCTTGGTCCATAGATGTCACTGTGCACATGTCCTGTGTCTAAAACAAACAAAAGGATATCTATCTCTCCCAATCTCCCTCTCTCCCCATTACCCCTCCCTCGGACATCTGACCGTGGCTCCCTACTAGTGCAAGAAAACTTGCTTTGGTTAGGAACAGCAAGTATTAGTCAAGTGTGGGGCTCACCAGAGATGAATCTTGACCATTCTTCTTGTATTAATCTTTCTCGAGAGAAATAGAGGACATTTCTCCCTGATATACAGTTATAAAGAATCTCATTAAAAAAAATAATCTTTGACTCTGATTTTATTCTTCTCTCTGTCAAGATCCGACAACCCTTCCCTGGGCGAACTGTGACCAACATTTCAAATAAAGGATTCATGATTTTATTATGGTTCTGTTCGGATGAACAAAACCTTCCAAATGGCATGCTGGTTTTCTTGGGGGAATTAGTCAGCAAAGAGCCATAGTCACAGGAGACTAATCACAATTTTATTTACAAGAACAATTAACAATATACAATTTACAATATCTCAGAGTATAGGTGAGGGTGCCACAGAGAGTCGGTACAACCCTCTGGGCTCTGGGAGAGAGGTCTGCTTGGTATGAGTGTCAAACCCCTTCTGCTTAACATTTTGCCTCTGTATGTATTTAACAAAAATTACAACAATAAAAAGGAATATGATTGGTTGATACACGATGGGGTGTGCCCTATGGTTAATGAGTGGCTAGACAGAGGCGAATACTTAATCCTGTTAATCCTGTTGGACTGGCACTAATCTTGTTGACATATTTACTGGGTGCTTGGAAAGAGATTATGGTATCACTAAAGACGAGCTTGTATGGGGTCCAATCCTTAGTGAGTCTAAATTGAAGTAATTGCTGAATGTTATTCTAATATAGGTGATGACAGATTTACTTAAATAAAATAGTTCAAGGCAATCTATAAGACTATGTAGACATATCATTTGTCTTATTGGATATTATGTCTGTGAGATGGGATCTTGATACCTTAGGCTAGTATTTATCTAAAAGCTTTAAATCTATTAAACTATGTAGACATATAACTTTTGTCTTATTGAATAGTATGTCTAGGAGATGTGTTCTCGTTACCTTAAACTAGCATCTATCTAAAAAGCTATGACTGAAACTACTGATATTTTGTACATGCATTTTACCTGATGATAAGTATTACTTGTTCAACCATAATTTTATGAAATGTTGTATAAATGTTACACCATGATGTCATAAAAGCACTTGCTAATTATTATATGAAAACTTAGTATAAATGTTATATCATGAGAATATCTTAAGTCAATCATATGTCAGTCTTCTTAAATGATGCAATTTCAATTCTTTATCGCTTTTATTCTGAAATGTCAACCTTAACAAAAAACAACAACTTGAGGAATGTCCAGTGATCAAGTACTTGCAGAAAAAGGGCTTATCACCAAAAGCCATCCACGAAGGTATGAGTACATCACTAGGGAAGGATGCCCCTTGCTATGGCACAGTGAGTGGGCAGCAGAGATTAAGATTGGCAGGGAGAACCTTAAAGACAAACTCTGTACTGGAAGGCTGTGACATCCGAACACCAGAAATGATCCAGAGAATCCACGATATCGTGCTGACTGACCATGCTCACCTGGAGAGTACATTCCATAATCACAGGAACTTTGGCAATCAAGAAAGCTTCAACTTGTTGGGTGATTATCTTGCTCTGTTTGCAGCTGATCCCGAATGGTTCTTGCAAAGATTTCTGACAGTGGATCAACCAGGGTTCTTCACTTCCAGCCAAACAACAATCAATACAGTTGAAGCATTTGACATCACCACCACCTAAGAAGGCAAAGAATGTTCCATCAGCAAGAAGGTTATGGCATCCTTGTTCTGCAATGCTGAGGGTGTCAGCGCTGAACTATCTTCCCAAATCTTCACAACGAACAGGGCATATTATGCTACACTTTTGAGGCAATTACAGGATGAAATTAAAACATAAAAGCTGTGCAGTGCACAAATCAGTCATTGCCTACAATCCATGGGTGTGGCTTTGAACTCCTCCAGCACGCACCTTATTCTCCTGATCTGGGGCCATCTCTTCCCAACATGAACAAAGCTCGAGCAAGAACCCATTTTGACTTGAATGATGACTTCATGGAATCTCTGGAGAATCTTTTGGTCAGCCAAGAGAAGGATTTCCAGAAAACTGGATTAATATCCCTCCAACATCGTTGGCAAAAGTGTATCAATGTGGAAGGGGATTTTTTTTTAAATAAATCTATTTAATGTCTTTAGATCAAGTTTAGTGCAGCGTTTAATTTTCCCCATTCATATCTGCCCACTTACTTCTTTTTGGTGGGACATGCAGAAAGCAGGTATGCTGTTCCGTATGCCTTGCTCATTTGCACCTAGAATATAGAAGCTGCTATGTTGATAGAAAGTTTTCCTGTCAGATCTTGATGAAGAGATGTGTAACAAAAGAGATCTGATTCTAAAGGTATTGGGTTATAGCTGCCAATCCAGACTCTCTATCATTGAACTGTTTCAAGTATGAGCACACTTACATGAAACAAGCAATGATAATGCCAGTACTCGACTCATGTATTTTGCATGCAGTCTCAATACAACTTGAATGCTTGATACGAGTATCATTCATAAGGACTTCCTTAACACAGCTGTGTGATCTTTCATAACAGTTTTTGTGTTGAGTGTTGCCTTCAGAGGCTTCAATTATAAAGCTAAAGTGCTGACGGAAATGCTAAAAAAATGCTTTTCGCCTGTTAAAAAAGGATATAATTTTTCACAGACTGTTGTTATTGAAATATTGAAAAACTACCGATCGACCTACCTGTGGTTTGAAGTATTTCAGTCACAAGGAGTCCTATCGACAAGTTTACAGGAGACAAATGCGAACGAAAACAGGAAGTTCACATATATTCTAAGTCCAATGATGACAATCTAAAACAGACTATTGAAATATGCACATGTGACTCTGTTATAATGATAATAATGTAGTCTTCATAAAACATCTAATCCACACATAAAAGTCATTTGGACAAAATTCTAGATGTGCATCTTCTATAATGACAAAATGACACTGCGTTTCTTTTGTCAACACTGCTCCCATGATGCATGTTACAATACACTTGCATAGCCATAACCATGGTACATGATATGGAGTCTGTACTGGGAAATATATACAAGTTCTTTACACTTTTGAGAGATAGCGGGAAACCATTGATTAATTTAGATAGGGTGAGTTATCAAACTTTCCAAGCTATGGTGTTTTCAATTCATACCATCAAGTCTACGGAATGATGAATAAAACAAAACAGGTATAGGGGTGGTCTCAAAAAACAAAACCGGGACATAAAAGGATATTAGACAGCTTTGATACAGGGTGATTAGGCGTATAGTGTACAAGCTTTATGAGCAGAAGGTAACCCTGACTTGTAGTAGAATTTGGGAGGAAATTAAAGATACGATTAATGTTTCCCTGACTGCACTAACTATTGCTCACCAAGAGATGGGATTTCGATGACAGAGCAGTTTTTAGGGGAAAATATTCCATCCTGTCTATGAGGTCACATTATCTCCGAACCATCATAACTATCAAAGTCAGGGCGTCCAGATAATTTACCTTGATGAATCATTCTATTGACTACATGTGGCTATCGGCAGATGGACAAAAAGCACCTATGGTACCGTCAGGTAAAGGTAAATTAAAAAATTGTTTTGCATGCCGCAACCCATGATATGGGGCTTATTGATGGATGTGTGCTAGTTTTCGAGGCGAAAAAGAAACTGGTGATTTTCACAAGGAGGTGATGTGTTCACAGACTGGTTGGAACATCGGCTATTGCCCATTTTAAACAACGTCAGTGTCATTGTCATGGATTGCTTCAGTTAAAATAAGGTCCGGGAATCTGATACTGTCGCCCTAACCATGAGTAGTCTGAAGGCGACCATACAGGAATATATGACATTGTCGACTGCAGACCATCTGAAACGAAAGTTCAACTCATGGAGAAAATTCGGCTGAATAAGAAAGCAGTAAAGTATAAGACATATGTGCTGGCGGCACAACACGGTTACGTTGTCTTACGTATGCCAGTCTGACATTGTGAGCTCAACCTTGTCTATCTTGGCTAAATATACAGGGTTCGTGGCAAGACATAACACAACATTCAAAAGTACAGATTCATATGCGTCATAGTGGAAATAAATGCTACCACCTGTAGAACAACAAATACTTCTTGATTCAAAAACCCCAACCTTCCAATACTCATCCTGTTTCAAAGCTTTTAACTATTCCATCATGTTGCCAAGCAAATATAATGCATTACATATCCGACATTGCTACCCCAACAACGCACATGTTAATGAAGTACAATAACAGCAATATTTTGAAACTACCCCCAACTCGGGTGACATTTGCACCTGTGAGAATGCACGGGACGGTGTGAGGTCATCAACTCGGGACAGGTGTTAGGTAATTAGCTCAGGTTATAGGCCGTTTCATACATGCATGACAAAACACACATATTTTATAAGTTTATCATCATTTTACCTATAAAAGTTCCATTTAATCACAATGACAATGTCAGTTAGGACAGGCCAGATTAGGTCAATTTGAGTTATTTTGATATATGATCTTTTTATAGTCCTATGATGCATATTTATTAAATGAAGCCAGAAAAGCATTTTTCTAGCATTTCCGACAGTACTTTAGATCCATGCTGAACCCTTTTTCAGAAGAATCTTCTTGAATGGTTGTTAATATCAAGATCAATCGTCAGTACTTCCCCTATCACCCTTGTATAGATACGACTGCTTCTCCGCGTAGTGTCTTCTTTTTGCCAGCTAAAAGACCAGGCTGCCCTTGACACGTGAGCCCCACCGTGTGCATGAATGTCATGTGCCTTGAGAAATGTGTAATCTGAGAGCACAACATTTGCTACTGAGGATTGCAACAACTGAATGCACTTATGTCCCCTCAGCATCAAAGACGTGGTTTGACGACCGAAGAATTAGGCAGATGCATAGGCATGCTTGAAACTGGGTCAACACAAGGTCACGTTGCAGACGTCTTTGGTGTCAGCCAAAGTATGATCAGCATTGCATGGAACTGATTCCCATAAGTGATTTTGATCAGCTACCCAGAAACATGTAGGTTGTCAAGAGCATTCTACCCACTGACCCGACATCACAGGTAGGTACTTTCTGATTGGACTGAGATCATGTCAATTGGGCAGACTAGGACTGGACTCCAGTTCTTTTCACTGATGAATCAAAGTACTGTCTATAGTTCAGAGATGGCTGTGCCCGAGTGTGGCGTAGACAGGGAGAAAGCTATAGAGGGGTCAAAATGATGATTTGGGGTGTGATCAGTAGAGCTGGAAGAACCTATCTCCATGTCCTATAGCGGTGTGCGCTACAGGGATGACATTGTGGATGTGTACGTGAGACTGTATGCTGATGCAATTGGAGGAGGATGGAGAATAACGCGAGACCTCATTGTGCCAGGGTCATTGATGACTACTTTAGAGCAGGAGACCATTGTCTGCATGGAGTGGCCAGTCCAGTCACCAGACCTCAACCCTATGGAACACATGTGGAATGAGCTGCAGAATGCCCGTGCACGACGCCCTGTCCTTCTCCAACTCTACAGGAATGGTCTTAGTGAAGAGTGGTACAATCTTCCCTTGGCAACCATCCAGACACGTATTGGGAGCATGAGAGGACGGTGTCAGGCTGTGATATCATCGCTTAGATCACATGCACTCTACAGAGTTTTTGTTTTTTTTGGACGGTGAATTTGTTTTCGTGACTTTTGTGACATTTCAGTTTTGGTCTGATACTCTCATTTTGATGGGTAATGTGACTGATTATTTATTTCCATTTCCACAAAATGTACAGTCAGCAGATCCATGAAGCGAGTAATATACAGTGTGGCCTTAGATATCAACTTATTGTGTTCATAGAAAGGTGGACCAGAACATGACAAACAATAGTTTACCTATTGTCTTGTTTACATTATCACAAAATTATTTAAACATGTTAAACATGCTTTAGAATGATAATCAGCCGCTGTGACTCCTTACTAGAGATCCTAGTACAAAACCCAGCATTTTGTGGAATTTAGGGCAGTCATTGAAGTGCTCATTGACTAACCTGTGTAGTGTTGTCACCGCTGAGTGGAGCAATGAATCTCATCCCTACAAGGTGACTTGTAAGGCTACATGTTATATTTTCAGGTAGCATTCTGCCTAGTTGTTATTGTATTTGTTGTTTACTACAATTTTACCATATCTATTTTCAGAATGGTGAAAGACTTCTCCACCTCTCTTCAGTTTGATCAAATAAAACGGATCCTGAAAGTCCTTGGTGATGACTTTGCATATTCCAGCAACCCCAACACACGGAAAGGTGGACTGATTGGTCTTGCTGCCACGGCCATTGCACTGGGAAAAGTAAGTTCTAGGGTTGCGACGGGTACTTGAGTACCCGATAACGGGTCGGGTAGCTTAGGACTCGAGTCCAATTTTCAGGACTCGAGTACCCGTTCAGGGGAGATAACTCTAATCGCCTTTCGTAACTCGTAAGTCACTTCAAAATGGACGACAAAGCAGACAAACGTTCAAATGTTTTAGGTAAGCCATGCAGGCATTTAATAAAAAACATAATACCTTAGAATAGATCAATAGATGTTTGATGACCTTTTATTCGCAAAAGCATTACAAACAAGTGGGACAACATTGAACTACGGGTACTCAAGTCCGGTTCGGGTATTGTCTGCCGGGTACTCGAGTTCAGTTTTCGTACCCGGTCGCAACCCTAGTAAGTTGTTTACTTGGCATCAATAGAATGTGAAATGTCTAGCCATCCTTGTGGCGTCCTGCATGTTGTGCTATCGATATATATGTATGACTGACATTCACTCTCATGTCCACTGCCAAGGAAGACAGTAATGGTATTTCTTTGTGATAGAAACATGTTCATTATTGGCTCTTTGTAATGGGTTTCTAATTGTGTGTTCATCTGTTTGAACTTACAAACTCTGCTCTGCCCAATCATCTGGATGTATCAGTGTATTTGCAAAGCTTGTTTACTAGTGTCTGGCTAAGGTAAAGTATATTGTTTAAATTTTAAAAGTTCCAGATGGCTGCCACAACATGACATGAAGTGAAGAATGTAAAACATGCTCCAACATCGTCCTCTAATCCAGCTGAGGATTTTTTTTATCAAGATGAAATATTTTTTTCAGCTACAAGTACAATATCAAATAAGTTTTTTTGAGACTATGGGCCAGAATTTTTTAAAAAGAAATCCACCTACCAACGATGTAATTTTTGTGACACACACTTTGCTTTATTACACTTTTTTCAATAAAAATCCCAGCCCCCCTCCTCCAGAATATCAAGTGGTCAGTCCCTTATTTATTGATTTTTTAAGGTACTTCATCTGTCTCAGGCCACGGAGTTAACTGACTTTAAAAGTCCAGTCTCAACCCTTGTCGAACGAGGCGACTATGCTTGTCGTAAGAGGTGACCATTAGGATTTGGTGGTCAGGCTCTCTGACTTGGTTGATGCATGCCGTTGTATCCTGATTCCTGATCGATACTCATGATGCCAATCACTGGATTGTCTGGTCCAGACTCAATTATTCAAGGACCACTGTCATATAGCTGAAATATTGCTGAGTGTGGCGTTATAAAACAGGCATTGAAAATGTGTAGCACAACTACTTGGCAAGCCACCATGAAGTGGGCTCCCCTAAATAAAACAAAGCAAGCCTCACAGGGTTTAGTTCTGCATTGCCCATCACTATTATGACCATCACACTGCTCATGCTGATGCAGGAAATAGGAGTTGACAATAGACACGCCAATCCCAAGTTCTCTATGGTCCCTTAACTTGAAATACACTCTCCTATTCAATTTGTGTTTTCTGCAGTATTAACTGCAAGTCTTCAGCGTACTTTACATATAAAGTGCCCACCGATTATGACTAAGAAAAAAACCTCTTTTCTTTAAATTATAACTTCCGCTGTGATGTGGCGGTCAAATAGGTTGTTTCAGTCAGAGGTTGTTATTGTGAATTAATACCTCTTATTGACTAGTCATAATCAAGAAATGTCCAAATTCATGGCAGAATCATTTTTAATGGGGCTCTCAAGACCTACCCACTATGTTGAAGAAATGGCATCTAGCACTTGACTGATAACATTTGTGGTGAAAGGTGCACAGTACACTGGTACATACAGCGATTTGAAATACTACTGAATACATATCACAATAAGTTATAAACACCAGTATATTGCGTTTTTCAAAGTCAGCCATATTTTCATCTTGTTGGGAAAGTTTACATTAGTGACAAGTTAAATTATGAAATAGGAACTTGATTCCTGTGATCCAAAAAGCAAAACTTCTGGCGACCAGCTTTCTCAATATGATATGTCTGTTACCATGACTATACCTACATTCAACAAAATGGCAGCATCTTAGAAGTTGTCAAAAAAAAGTGCTGGGGAAGTCAGATCTATGGGTCCATGTTTATTCAGGATCATAACAAAATACAGATGAAAGAATGCATGCATTATACTAGTGTTGGGGTCCACTCGTAAAACAGGAATCAGTATTGCAATAAACTGCAATACGAAAGTCCCATGACTATTTTCGATGATCCCTAAGTGATCCCTAATGACTATGGTATTGAAGAAAAAAAGAAACAAGATATTACATAATTAAAAGTAAAACACATGTGAACATTACATTAGGAAGCATCAAATTGACCCTAATCTTGGCTGGAGCTCGCTACTGTTATGTCATTTTGTTTTCCTTGATTAAGCATTGGTCACATAGGGATGAAGTTTCTTCATCTTGCTTCATAGATAGATGTGTTCTTGTTCCAGCCTAGCTTCAGATTCTTACATGCACTGTAGTTAATTTCATTTCTTTATCATTTTACATTGAGGTTCCTTTCGAAGCACATCTAATGCACAAACTAATCAAGGCATTGTCCTGTCAGGATTTCAGTTATCGCAAGTGTCTCATTCCATGTTTTCCCAAGGATTCCAGCAGTTACATCAACGAGCTGGCCAAACCTGTGATAGCATGCTTCCACGACCCCGACAGTCGGGTGAGATACTACGCGTGTGAAGCCCTCTACAACATCGTCAAGGTCTCCAGGGGATCTGTTTTGCCGTTTTTCAATGAAATATTTGACGGCTTGAGTAAGGTATTTCAGTTATTCTTCAGATACAAGTAAATGAAGCCAACAGCCAACTTGATTCCATAAATTCTTCAAAGTATATGTTTATTTTAAAAGCCACTAGCTGTGCCTGAGCACTATCACAGTTAAGAACACTATGTCTCTGAACATTACAATCTTTTCAGCAGAGTTTTTTATACCAGTATGTGAAGTAAAACTGTAGTTTTGCAAGGGGTTGTAAATTTAAGTTATAGTAATCTTCAGTATGTGAATCAGATTTTTTAAAATATACCAGTCTGTATTTGAATGAACTGGCTATAGGGTCGTGTTGCACTGTTGTATGTTTATATTTGTCTACACACTTTGTCATACAGTTGGCAGCAGATCCAGACCAGAATGTCAAGAATGGAGCTGAACTACTGGACAGACTCATTAAGGCAGGCCTTTGTTCACTTTGTGTCTTGGGTGTTAGTGCGATGCACCCCCACCTTTGTTCAACATCCTTAGTCAGCTTTGGATCAATCTTTACACCCCAGCTAAGACATGATCTAAAAAAATTAATCTCCTTCACAACAACAAAGACCAAGTTTCTTGGAAATGTGTTAAAAAGACAAACCCTAGTTTAGATGCTATTGCTTCCTCTGATCTGATTCACCTTCTGTTGCAGGACATTGTGACTGAGAGTTCATCGTTTGACCTTGTGGCATTCATCCCGCTGCTGAGGGAGAGAATTTACACAAAGAATGCTTTTGCCAGACAGTTTGTTGTGTCATGGGTAAGATATCAGTGTTGAGGGATTTGTTTGCATAAACACAACAACTTCATCACTAATAGCTGTCTAAGTCTAGGGCTCGTTTAACTGAGGGACACAACTGATGGGGAATATTAAATGACATCAGTGTGAGCATTCAGTTAATTTAATCCTGTCATGCGCTATACAACTTGTGACGCCACACACATATACTATTAGTATGACCACTTGTTGCAATAGCCAGTCAGATCTTTGACAACTGAGGCAGATGATATCAGATGAAATATCCAAATAAAACAAAGTGGCCCAAACTTCCAGTGTTATACAGTTGCATTCGTATGTAGATGAGTTTGTTATAGCTTGCAATGTTCTCATCCCTGAATGATGCTGTCAACAAGGATGACTTCTCCTCATCAGGTGGAGGTCTTGGATGCTGTTCCTGACATCAACATGTTGGTTCTCCTCCCAGAGATACTTGACGGGCTCTTCCAGATCCTGGGGGACACCAATCATGAGATACGCAAACTGTGAGTAGAACGCTGCTCTTCACATGGGGCTACTAGGTAAGGGGATCTTTGGCATCTGTGCATCATCCTGCTTGTCTGTTACAGGTGCCAGGGTGTTTTGGAGGAGTTTCTCACTGGCATCAAGAAGTCAAAAAATGGCGTCAATTTCACAGGAATGGCAAACATACTCATCGTTCACAGTCAGAATACAGGTCAGTGCTGGCTTGGAACAGTTGTCTCCCCTCGATTACCTGACTCTGCATTGACATGGCATTTAATCTTAGTCATGCATCGGTACCCAGAGAATTATGGAACTCTCAAGGAAATATATTTTATATGAAATAATTTCAGTAATTTCAACTCATGAATTGTCTATGGTACTTGATTCAAATAGTGTCTCTATGTAGATTCTGTTGTAGCTTTGATCTGATGCTGGGTGCTAGTTTGATGGTCAGTACGGCCTGACATGAGGGTAGTACCCCTATCACACCTTCTACGTGTAGCCTACTTCACTGAATCACAGTACCCACATCATACCATCAGACACTTTCTGGACATCACCACGATGGTGACTGTTGAGGTCGATGTTGCTGTGTTCGAGCAGACGGCTCTCATTGTTGGGTTCAGGCAGACGGCTCATGTAGTTTTTAGGCCGATGGCTAGTGTTCAGGCAGATAGCTAGTGTTGTAGTGTTCAGGCAGATAGCTAGTGTTGTAGTGTTCAGGCAGATAGCTAGTATTGTAGTGTTCAGGCAGATAGCTAGTGTTGTAGTGTTCAGGCAGATAGCTAGTGTTGTAGTGTTCAGGCAGATAGCTAGTGTTGTAGTGTTCAGGCAGATAGCTAGTGTTGTAGTGTTCAGGCAGATGGCTAGTGTTGTAGTGTTCAGGCAGATGGCTAGCGTTGTAGTGTTAAGGCAGATGGCTAGTGTTGTAGTGTTCAGGCAGATGGCTAGTGTTGTAGTGTTCAGGCAGATAGCTAGTGTTGTAGTGTTAAGGCAGATGGCTAGTGTTGTAGTGTTCAGGCAGATGGCTAGTGTTGTAGTGTTCAGGCAGATAGCTAGTGTTGTAGTGTTAAGGCATATGGCTAGTGTTGTAGTGTTCAGGCAGATGGCTAGTGTTGTAGTGTTCAGGCAGATGGCTAGTGTTGTAGTGTTCAGGCAGATGGCTAGTGCTGTAGTGTTCAGGCAGATGGCTAGTGTTGTAGTGTTCAGGCAGATGGCTAGTGTTGTAGTGTTCAGGCAGACGGCTCATGTAGTTTTTAGGCCGATGGCTAGTGTTCAGGCAGATAGCTAGTGTTGTAGTGTTCAGGCAGATAGCTAGTGTTGTAGTGTTCAGGCAGATGGCTAGTGTTGTAGTGTTCAGGCAGATAGCTAGTGTTGTAGTGTTAAGGCAGATGGCTAGTGTTGTAGTGTTCAGGCAGATAGCTAGTGTTGTAGTGTTCAGGCAGATGGCTAGTGTTGTAGTATTCAAGCAGATAGCTAGTGTTGTAGTGTTAAGGCAGATGGCTAGTGTTGTAGTGTTCAGGCAGATGGCTAGTGTTGTAGTGTTCAGGCAGATGGCTAGTGTAGTAATGTTAAGGCATATGGCTAGTGTTGTAGTGTTCAGGCAGATGGCTAGTGTTGTAGTGTTCAGGCAGATGGCTAGTGTTGTAGTGTTCAGGCAGATGGCTAGTGTTGTAGTGTTAAGGCAGATGGCTAGTGCTGTAGTGTTCAGGCAGATGGCTAGTGTTGTAGTGTTCAGGCAGATAGCTAGTGTTGTAGTGTTCAGGCAGATAGCTAGTGTTGTAGTGTTAAGGCAGATGGCTAGCGTTGTAGTGTTCAGGCAGATGGCTAGTGTTGTAGTGTTCAGGCAGATGGCTAGTGTAGTAATGTTAAGGCATATGGCTAGTGTTGTAGTGTTCAGGCAGATGGCTAGTGTTGTAGTGTTCAGGCAGATGGCTAGTGTTGTAGTGTTCAGGCAGATGGCTAGTGTTGTAGTGTTAAGGCAGATGGCTAGTGCTGTAGTGTTCAGGCAGATGGCTAGTGTTGTAGTGTTCAGGCAGATGGCTAGTGTTGTAGTGTTCAGGCAGATGGCTAGTGTTGTAGTGTTCAGGCAGATGGCTAGTGCTGTAGTGTTCAGGCAGATAGCTAGTGCTGTAGTGTTCAGGCAGATGGCTAGTGTTGTAGTGTTCAGGCAGATGGCTAGTGTTGTAGTGTTCAGGCAGATGGCTAGTGTTGTAGTGTTCAGGCAGATGGCTAGAGTTGTAGTGTTCAGGCAGATGGCTAGTGCTGTAGTGTTCAGGCAGATGGCTAGTGTTGTAGTGTTCAGGCAGACGGCTAATGTTGTATTCCGGCAGACGGTTAATGTTGTATTCAGGCAGCAGTTAATTTTTTTGTATTCAGGCAGACGGTTAATGTTGTTGTATTCAGGCAGATGGCAAGTGTTGTATATAGACAGACAGTTAATGGTGTATACCGATGGCTAATGTTGTATTCAGGCAGATGGCTAATGTTGTATTCAGGCAGATTGCTAATGTTGTGTTCAGGCAAATTGCTAATGTTGTAGTGTTCAGGCAGATGGCTAGTGTTGTAGTGTTCAGGCAGATTGCTAATGTTGTTGTATTCAGGCAGATGGTTAATGTTGTGTTCAGGCAGATGTCTGATGTTGTATTCAGGCAGACGGCTAATGTTGTATTCAAGCAGACAGCTAATGTTGTATTCAGGCAGATGGCTAATGTTGTATTCAAGCAGACGGCTAATGTTGTATTCAAGCAGACGGCTAATGTTGTATTCAGGCAGATTGCTAATGTTGTATTCAGGCAGACGGCTAATGTTGTATTCAGGCAGATTGCTAATGTTGTATTCAGGCAGATGGCTAATGTTGTATTCAGGCAGACAGCTAATGTTGTATTCAGGCAGATGGCTAATGTTGTATTCAGGCAGATTGCTAATGTTGTGTTCAGGCAGATTGCTAATGTTGTAGTGTTCAGGCAGATTGCTAATGTTGTAGTGTTCAGGCAGATGGCTAGTGTTGTAGTGTTCGGGCAGATGGCTAATGTTGTATTCAGGCAGATGGCTAATGTTGTATTCAGGCAGATGGCTAGTGTTGTAGTGTTCAGGCAGATGGCTAGTGTTGTAGTGTTCGGGCAGATGGCTAAATGTTGTATTCAGGCTGATGGCTAATGTTGTATTCAGGCAGATGGCTAATGTTGTATTCAGGCAGATTGCTAATGTTGTGTTCAGGCAGATGGCTAGTGTTGTAGCGTTCAGGAAGATGGCTAATGTTGTAGTGTTTGGGCAGATGGCAAGTGTTGTAGTGTTCAGGCAGATGGCTAGTGTTGAAGTGTTCAGGCAGATGGCAAGTGTTGTAGTGTTCAGGCAGATGGCTAGTGTTGTAGTGTTCAGGCAGATGGCTAGTGCTGTAGTGTTCAGGCAGATGGCTAGTGTTGTAGTGTTCAGGCAGATGGCTAGTGTTGTAGTGTTCAGGCAGACGGCTCATGTAGTTTTTAGGCCGATGGCTAGTGTTCAGGCAGATGGCTAGTGTTGTAGTGTTCAGGCAGATAGCTAGTGTTGTAGTGTTCAGGCAGATGGCTAGTGTTTTAGTGTTCAGGCAGATAGCTAGTGTTGTAGTGTTAAGGCAGATGGCTAGTGTTGTAGTGTTCAGGCAGATAGCTAGTGTTGTAGTGTTCAGGCAGATGGCTAGTGTTGTAGTGTTCAGGCAGATAGCTAGTGTAGTAATGTTAAGGCATATGGCTAGTGTTGTAGTGTTCAGGCAGATGGCTAGTGTTGTAGTGTTCAGGCAGATGGCTAGTGTTGTAGTGTTCAGGCAGATGGCTAGTGTTGTAGTGTTAAGGCAGATGGCTAGTGCTGTAGTGTTCAGGCAGATGGCTAGTGTTGTAGTGTTCAGGCAGATGGCTAGTGTTGTAGTGTTCAGGCAGATGGCTAGTGTTGTAGTGTTCAGGCAGATGGCTAGTGCTGTAGTGTTCAGGCAGATGGCTAGTGTTGTAGTGTTCAGGCAGATGGCTAGTGTTGTAGTGTTCAGGCAGATGGCTAGTGTTGTAGTGTTCAGGCAGATGGCTAGTGTTGTAGTGTTCAGGCAGATGGCTAGTGTTGTAGTGTTCAGGCAGATGGCTAATGTTGTATTCAGGCAGATGGCTAATGTTGTATTCAGGCAGATTGCTAATGTTGTGTTCAGGCAGATGGCTAGTGTTGTAGTGTTCAGGAAGATGGCTAATGTTGTAGTGTTCAGGCAGATGGCAAGTGTTGTAGTGTTCAGGCAGATGGCTAGTGTTGTAGTGTTCAGGCAGATGGCTAGTGTTGTAGTGTTCAGGAAGATGGCTAATGTTGTAGTGTTCGGGCAGATGGCAAGTGTTGTAGTGTTCAGGCAGATGGCTAGTGTTGTAGTGTTCAGGCAGATGGCAAGTGTTGTAGTGTTCAGGCAGATGGCTAGTGTTGTAGTGTTCAGGCAGATGGCTAGTGTTGTAGTGTTCAGGCAGATGGCTAGTGTTGTAGTGTTCAGGCAGATGGCTAGTGTTGTAGTGTTCAGGCAGATGGCTAGTGCTGTAGTGTTCAGGCAGATGGCTAGTGTTGTAGTGTTCAGGCAGATGGCTAGTGCTGTAGTGTTCAGGCAGATGGCTAGTGTTGTAGTGTTCAGGCAGATGGCTAGTGCTGTAGTGTTCAGGCAGATGGCTAGTGTTGTAGTGTTCAGGCAGATGGCTAGTGTTGTAGTGTTCAGGCAGATGGCTAGTGTTGTAGTGTTCAGGCAGATGGCTAGTGTTGTAGTGTTCAGGCAGATGGTTAGTGTTGTATTCAGGCAGACGGCTAATGTTGTATTCCGGCAGACGGTTAATGTTGTATTCAGGCAGATGGTAAATGTTGTATTCAGGCAGACGGCTAATGTTGTAATCAGGCAGATGGCTAATGTTGTATTCAGGCAGATGGCTAATGTTGTATTCAGGCAGATTGCTAATGTTGTTGTATTCAGGCAGACTGCTAATGTTGTTGTATTCAGGCAGATTGCTAATGTTGTATTCAGGCAGACGGCTAATGTTGTATTCAGGCATACAGCTAATGTTGTATGCAAGCAGACAGCTAATGTATTCAGGCAGACAGCTAATGTTGTTGTGGTCAGGCAGATGTCTGATGTTGTATTCAGGCAGATGTCTGATATTACTGTTTGTGATTTTCAGATGATCTGATACAGAGCACAGCTATAACCTGGCTGCGAGAATTCATTGTGTTGTCGGGGCGCATTATGCTGCCTCACATGGCTGGAATTCTCAACGCAATCCTTCCATGTCTGGCTTACAACGATGACATGCGGAGAAAGTAAGACACTCACTGTTGGCATATCAGAGTAGTACAGTAGACTACCAGCCTCAGTATGTACCAAACCTCACATGATTTATTGACTGTAGTGTAATGTTTCCCAAACGTGTGAGAAGACAATGTTCTAACCAGAGTACACACTCCTAATCCAGGTCTTTCTGTCCAGTGTTGATCCACACATGTGGGAAGGAAGTATAAGTAATTCATAATGTTCTTTTCTTGGCAGCAACTGACATAATACTGTAACACAGTAAGCATTATGTATTGAGGATTCTGTGTTAGTGTTGCCATATTTTATTAACAATGCAGCCAGGAGAAACATGATTGGCTTCAATCATGGTCGGACATGTGGTTGACTATATTAGCTCTCTGATGAATTACCAGAAATAATTTTACCTCATGGTACTTTGAAGGACACACAACATTGTAGCCTTGGATGTGGCTAATTCTGGACTTTCTGGAATAACAAGCCTGGTAGCCGCTGGAGCACTTTCCGTGGCTAATGGCATCCTGGTTGTATGCATGGTTGTCAATCCTATACAATCAGTGTGTAGTTCTCCTTTGGTTTCTTCTCTTCTATAGCCCTCATAGTTTTATTGGACTCAGCAGCTGCATACTGTAAATCATGAAATTAATGTGAAATATGCGAGTATTGCTTGCTTTTATTAACAAAGTGAATTTTGTTTGTTTGGACATATTGGAATATGGTGTCATGTCAGGTTCACTGCACATGGGTAGAAACGATGGTATATATCACAAAGCTCACAATAATCAATGTAGTTGAGTGCTAGTTTGTGTGCTCAGTTTGTTTGCACAAGTTACTCAAGCTGTTATGATAGTTGCAGCTAGGGCTGGGATGAGTCCACATTTACAAACCGGGTACCCACACCCCGATTACCCAAACCTACCAGGGTACCCACTCTAGGTCTCAAGAGATAGGTCCTACTCAGTACCCACCTGGCTCGAGTACCAAAGTTACCAGTCCCAGCCCTAGTTGCAGCATCTTTGTTCTTTGTAACATTGGCAAATAAAGCTATAATTACAAACAAAACAATGCTCACCCACATAGAGAAAGGTCCAGTATTGTAACACCAGTGTTGGCGAATACATTACACTGTGTATTTACGTTGAAATACTTAATTTCTTGATGCATTTTAGGCTAGAGGTGGCACTCAATCATTTGGTGACATATTAATTTGATGATTTACAGTATTTGATGTCATGTTTGTGCCTGCAACGATGTTGTAGTTTTCCAATGTGTGTGATAGAAGGAAAGATAACTCCTACCTGCACAGCAGGAGATATCTGTATCAAGTCCTCCATCTTTCTTCAACTGGAAAGAAACATGTAAACCATTGTAACAGGAATAAGACATGTACTGCATCTTTCCTTCATTGTTATCAGGAAAAGTTACAGCCATTCCCATTAGTGATTTGATACCTGACACAAAGAGAAAAATAGATCCAAAATAAATATGGTTGGCAGAGAAACTGATAGTGAAGCCCTCCACAGACTGCTTACAGCCATCTTGCCGAGGCAGGAGTGTCCACTAGCCTATGTCAAAGTCTAGTTCCATGTAGAGCATGAGTTGTGCACCTTTTGATGTAAACATGATATCCAATCAGATCTCAGATTTCATCCTTGACAGACAAACCAATTGACAGATTACCACAGAAAGAATATAACATAGGCTCATGGAGTACACAGTATAGTGAGCACATTGCAGTAACATATACTGTAAATCGTGAAATTAACACGAGCATGAATTAAATGGTGGTCTTACCTCGCATTAATAAACATCACATTTTTATCAACAATAAGACATTTTGGTTAGCAGAAATACAAACTTAGACATATGCTAAAAACAAACAACTATGTATTCCACATCACTGTTTATTGAGCATCACTTGTAACAAGTATATAAACAATGTCATTCAAACACTAATAACATCCTGTGAATTGTCACTGCTGTCAAGACAAGAGTTCTACTCACTTATGTCATCACTGATCATACCTGCAAGTCCAGACAGACGCCATCCACGCAACACGGTGTCTTTGTTCTTTCGACTGCGTCAAAGGCCGTCACGAGTCAGTGCGCATGGATAGGTTTCATCACATTAATTCTTAGATCTTTGAACTTCCTTATTGCCAGTTAACAGAATAACCAAAAACAGTATTTGTTGTTTTTAGGAAAACAGGATGTATAGTTTTAGCGGAAGTACTCTACTCAGCGCTAATAAGCGGTGCTATTTGGTGTGTGATTAGATTAAAGGGGCACTGATCTAAAGCAATTCCCCTGGACTGGTTGTTGCCTTTGTCATTGTTTATCCCCGTGAGTACCTGGATAATACGCAACGCAACTGAGCACGACAAGAGACTTGGCTACCGTCTGCAAGGACAGCTACATAAACTTGGAAGCAATATTTGTTTTACACATTTTTAACACTGATTTGTTAACCGTGATCCATACAGATTTCGACAAAGGGCGCATGTTAATTAATATCTTCAGCCAAAACAGACAAAAAGAACGGCGGAGCTCATCGAATGTCGTTGTTTGGAAATACCCCAGGTGGTTATAGTCTAATAATAAAAAAAGGTATCCATGCAGTGAAAGCATTTTTGGATTTCGGATTGTGTGGATAATACGATTACTACTCCCTTGTTGTCACCCAGGTTTTCTGGTATAACCCTACACTTGTGTATTTGTCGTCATTCACTTGATGCTCAGTTAATGAATTTATTAGGTATAATTAGTGGTAGCACCACTCAGAATACCTGACAAAGGTTCCCATTTGGCATTTATTGTGTTAGGGGTAATTATTCAATCTGAATCCAGGTTTGAAGTGAGGTGAAATGTGTGTTATGTAATATGCACGTGGCAGCCCAGCAAGAGATGAATGATCAGTTGATTTACTTTTTTGTAAATCAACGGATCATTCCTAGTCATCAAAGGATTAACAGAAAATATGTTGATTGATTTATCACTGTTATCTTGCACAGTTGATATGTCAAAAGTAAGCGTTTACATGTCTAGGTTTACTAAAACAAAGGGAATACACTCATATCATGGCGTGAAGTGACGATTTAAAAAGAACATACTTTGTTCAAAGGGTTATCCGATAAAACGTTGATTGATTGCTCATTGTTATCTAACTCAATGGATTTTTTTAGGAACCGTGGACATTATGAAAATAGTTGTCACGTGGGTTTTCTCAGCCGACCTTTGAGACTTGACACCTATGTGAAACACCTGAAACAATCTAAGTGATCAGTTGAGAAACGAACACGGGTTATAATATCCCGAAACAATATATATATTTTAATATATTTGATTGTTACAGAGACACGTGACATCGAATAAGTTTCTTTGTACATCTGCAGACGTTTGGTATATTGTTCCTTAGTGTGGATATTCACGGATACATTCCTCAAACAAGGAAGCTTTCTAAAATTATACCCATAAATTTGGTAGGTTGTAATTATGAAATTTGCATTTTGTTTTCCTTCATTTGCTGTAGTATTGAACAGATTCATTCTTGTTCCTCTACGTCTTGGTTGGGAAATTCTTCGATGCGTGATAGACATTGTTTTCACAAGTTGTTTCCACAAGTTGTTTCCTTTGTAGGCATGTATTTATTACAGTCAATTTGTAAAATGTGATTCTCTCAGGCAATTTATAAAATGCCTAAATATTTCAGTCATTTTGACTGAAAAATCTGTCTGTTTATTAAAAAGATTGACTAAAATTGATTAAGATGATCAAAAGGGTCTAAAAACATCACAGTAGATTATTATGTAGGATTAGAAGCTAAACAAAATAGAAATGTACTTTTCATCGTAATATTTTCAGTCTCTTGGTGATGATATTAAAGATAAAAATGTTTGGAATTCATTGTCATAATAATACAGATCGACATATTTTTCAGTCAATTTGTAAAATAACTGAATATTTAGGCGTTTAATATATTTCCTAAGTGAATTTTTTGCACATTTTGACTGTAAAAACATAAACACAATAAAATTAGCAATGCTCAGGAGAAATATTTACTTTGTGTTGCCAGTCAAAATAGTGTAAATGAAAATCGCATAATTACCAAGCAAGTGACTTCGTCAAAACTTCGTCACCATTACCGATGCTACCCACAAAGATACCTACATTTCCTTATTATTTCCAAAACTGTACTTCATTTTGTTGATCAAAGTGACCATACGCCCTTATACTATCAATAAAAGTGACAAATGCGCTTACGATCTGCGCAGCACAGGTTGCGAACTAGTCTAGATTTCTGCTATATCATCCGGGTACTCACGGGGAAAAAACAATAACAAAGGCAACAACCAGTCCTGGGGAATTGCTTTAGATCAGTGCCCCTTTAAGATCAGGTTGGATTAAGGTGAGGATTCTCCTGTAAACCTGACTGAAGACATTTTCTGTATATATAAATCCACTGATTCTTGATAGGAGGGGGGTGTCACATTCATATTGAGTCGCATTTTTGGCTAGGGGCCAGCCGTCACATTTTTTGGAGACGCATTAATTTCACGATTTACAGTAATGCTCAGCTTGGGTCATCTGAAAATAGCACTACATCTCAGTCACTGCGATGAGCAATCAGCCGTTTAAGTTAAGATGCAATGAAGTTTACACCAGTGTTCCCGTTTACTGGTAATTACCTGTCTTTAATAGTAAAATTAGGCTTTGATCGGTAATTCATGTGACTGCCAGTCCCTGTGGACCGGCAAATAAAGTACCTTATAAGTCTTTGTTGTTGAACAAAACATCAGCAATATTCATATAAGTACATTTTTCGAACGAAGTCAGCTTGTCTGTTACAATTAAGATTTTCCCTTGTCTAGTTTTAGTGCAAGGAAATAACATTTCGCTTTGCTTCGAGGTTAAATATATATTTGTAGTAAATTAGCCTCAAATTCTTCAAAAAAAAAGAAGAATCTTGTGAAGGACATGTAGATCTAACTATGTTATTTCACAGATGACGTCATTGCATTGAACATGATGTTGAAAGAATTAAAACCAGTTAATTTTCATGCGTTTTTTAATTTGTTGAAAGTTGGGATCGACAGAAATTGGTAGGGAACTGGTGGGAAAGCCAGTGGGAACATTGTGGAGTAAAATATAGAAAAGGCACTCAGTATTTGGGAGAGTTGATTGAAAACTTGGAAAGACCTCGAGAAATGTTTGTCTTTGTGTAATTGTTGAAATAACTTCAGCCCAGATGCAGATCTTGAAAATGTTCTCTGATTAGACTATCGATGTGTGCGATAGTCAAACCTTGAGCGTGTCTGATTTAGCACAGAAAAGTAGACTTGAAATGGCTAGTGTCAAACCTGGACTTTGACCTAGGCTATAGTGGACACTCTTGACTCGTTAAGATCTCTCGCCATTTAATTTATAACTACAGTGAATGAATTAAAATCTATAAGACTTAATATTTTAGCTCATCAGAACCAAAGGTCAAAGTGAGCTTTTGACATGGCATGATATCCTTTGGTCTTCTTTTCCCAAATTGTTGAAAGGAAACTTTAGGCGAAGTTCTGACATCAGTGAGATTTATTCGTGGCACTGATATTGCAACTTTAGATTATCTTTCAAAAATGAAAATAAATTGTGGATTTTTGAGCATCTGCATGTAATAAATCATAAAGACAAGAAAAAAAGAAACATGGATATGACATGTGCCAGAATTCAGATTGGTTGTGTGAACCAAATGAACGTTTTAAACAAAAACATTGGTAAATATGGTAATAGTTTGAGAAACCCCATGAAATCCTTAATTGTGGAAAATGTTGGGACATCCTCCTCAAACATATGACAGTGATGGAACTGAAACCTTGGGTAAGTGATGATGATTGTGTCTTTACAGACCACCATCTGCAATACACCTCAGCCTCTGTTGATGATGTTGTAGAATGAAATATCAATATCTAAATCTTGCTTAGTAAACATACCAAATGCAGTGATCCTGAATGTTTGTTACCATAACAGTGTTGAATTAATATCACTTTGAGATGATGCTGTCCTCTCTCATCAAGCAAATGACATATGTAGCCAGTGGCCACAGTTCCCCCTTGACGGCTGTATATTCACATGGAAGTGTCTGGTGAGCCACAGCACCATGGTACTGTTTCATATGCAAATCAGATATCCAACACATATTAGGGTATGCTCACCTTGATTGTGATGAAAAAGAGACTTACCCAAATCAATCCCTAGCAAACTGAAGCTATTTCTTTCCTGTTAGTGTTGTGCTGTCTGCATAATTTGGAAAGTGTGATGTTTGCAGTTTCTGTTGCTGTAAGAAATGTAAGTTATAGAGACAAGACGTTTCCTTGAGTTCATGATGGATGAGGATTACTCATCATGCATTACTTGGTGTTTTCCTTAGAGGCCATAGACATCCTGATGCAATTCACACACAAAGGTAGTACTTCCATAAGTTTCTCCACTGTCCCTGCCACGCTCAGCTTCTTCTCCAGCTTGCCCTCCAGCTTCCTGTATGCAGCACGGCTGTAGCTTAGCTGTTTCAACATGCTTTTCCCCCACATGTTTTTTTCATGTTTATTCTGCACAACGCACAATTTTAGTTTTTGCTTGTTTGCTCATTACCATAATTACTCAGTCTACAAACATTTTCATGTTCAAATTTTCTTCCAAACATATGAAACCGAAGCCTTACGTGATCATATTATAATAATGTCATGCTTATTACATGAGCTAAAAGGACTCTCTAACAATGGTTGTGGTCGCATCTTTTAGCTTACCTTGACAAAGTCAGTGTGAGCTTACGTCATGGATCTTTAGTTTATTGGACCATCCATTGCTCCATCCTTCCATCCATCAGTGTGTCTGTCTATTACCAAGGAACTTAAAACTCTTCTTTTCTCTTCTGCTGAAAATATCATGTTCACATAACATGTCCTGCTTGTCCATGACTACATCAAAGAAGACTTTTCAGTTTGGATAATTCAAATGGCCACTGCAGCAGCATGTTTGAATGATAAGTACAGCCTTTCTACCAACGTCTTCTCTTCAGATTGTTTTCAAATGTTTAGAGATTAGGTCTTTGAAAGGCATTTAGAAGTGATATACATAAGGAACAAAATTTATGGATGTCAACTTCTTTATAATGAGGAACACAACATTTCGGAGTATGTGCTTACTCCTTCATCAGGCGAATGAATGCTATGAGGCAGAGAACATATATATGTACATGTAAGAACAACAAAAGTAATAATCTCACAAAAGGTGGAAACTTAACAAGGGAAGCCAATAGATAATTGGCGTTGATAGGTGATTAGCAATAGGTGCCAAGCACCTTGTTCATGTTAAGTGTGTTCCTACTTGAAATAGTTCCTGTGTAGGTTTATGGGATCTGTTTGGAATATTTTTGGCACTTGTCACAACTTGTATCTTTTCGTAACCTAAAATAGGCCTCGTTCCCCTCTCAGTGGCCACCACGCATAATAACGCACAAGTCAGTCAGAATGTACAGCAAGATTTCCGTACTTTGATCAATATAGTCTTGATTATTTAAATCAATCAAAGGCAATATGCATGTGTTTAAAGATTTGGAAAAATGTAGATTATCAGTTCCATGCTGTAATGTATATGAATAACAGTTATTTGGCTGGATGGTTGCCTGGAGAGTTCATCAGTGTGTTATTTGGCTGGATGGTTGCCTGGAGAGTTCATCCCTGTTTTATGTGGCTGGATGGTTGCCTGGAGAGTTCATCAGTGTGTTATTTGGCTGGATGGTTGCCTGGAGAGTTCATCACTGAGTTATTTGGCTGGATGGTTGCCTGGAGAGTTCATCAGTGTGTTATTTGGCTGGATGGTTGCCTGGAGAGTTGATCACTGTGTTATGTGGCTGGATGGTTGCCTGGTGAGTTCATCACTGTGTTATTTGGCTGGATGGTTGCCTGGAGAGTTCATCACTGTGTTATTTGGCTGGATGGTTGCCTGGAGAGTTCATCACTGAGTTATTTGACTGGATGGTTGCCTGGAGAGTTCATCACTGTGTTATGTGGCTGGATGGTTGCCTGGAGAGTTCATCACTGAGTTATTTGGCTGGATGGTTGCCTGCAGAGTTGATTACTGTGTTATTTTGCTGGATGGTTGCCTGGAGAGTTGATTACTGTGTTATTTGGCTGGATGGTTGCCTGGAGAGTTCATCAGTGTGTTTTTTGGCTGGATGGTTGCCTGGAGAGTTGATTACTGTGTTATTTGGCTGGATGGTTGCCTGGTGAGTTGATTACTGTGTTATTTGGCTGGATGGTTGCCTGGTGAGTTGATTACTGTGTTATTTGGCTGGATGGTTGCCTGGAGAGTTGATCACTGTGTTATTTGGCTGGATGGTTGCCTGCAGAGTTGATTACTGTGTTATTTGGCTGGATGGTTGCCTGGAGAGTTGATTACTGTGTTATTTGGCTGGATGGTTGCCTGGAGAGTTCATCACTGTGTTATTTGGCTGGATGGTTGCCTGGAGAGTTGATTACTGTGTTATTTGGCTGGATGGTTGCCTGGAGAGTTCATCACTGAGTTATTTGGCTGGATGGTTGCCTGGAGAGTTCATCACTGTGTTATTTGGCTGGATGGTTGCCTGGAGAGTTGATTACTGTGTTATTTGGCTGGATGGTTGCCTGGAGAGTTGATCACTGTGTTATTTGGCTGGATGGTTGCCTGCAGAGTTGATTACTGTGTTATTTGGCTGGATGGTTGCCTGGAGAGTTCATCAGTGTGTTATTTGGCTGGATGGTTGCCTGGAGAGTTGATTACTGTGTTATTTGGCTGGATGGTTGCCTGGAGAGTTCGTCAGTGTGTTATTTGGCTGGATGGTTGCCTGGAGAGTTCATCAGTGTGTTATTTGGCTGGATGGTTGCCTGGAGAGTTCATCACTGAGTTATTTGGCTGGATGGTTGCCTGGAGAGTTCATCACTGTGTTATTTGGCTGGATGGTTGCCTGCAGAGTTGATTACTGTGTTATTCGGCTGGATGGTTGCCTGGAGAGTTCGTTAGTGTGTTATTTGACTGGATGGTTGCCTGGGGAGTTCATCAGTGTGTTATTTGGCTGGATGGTTGCCTGGAGAGTTCATCACTGAGTTATTTGGCTGGATGGTTGCCTGGAGAGTTCATCAGTGTGTTATTTGGCTGGATGGTTGCCTGGAGAGTTGATTACTGTGTTATTTGGCTGGATGGTTGCCTGGAGAGTTCATCACTGAGTTATTTGGCTGGATGGTTGCCTGGTGAGTTGATTACTGTGTTATTTGGCTGGATGGTTGCCTGGAGAGTTGATCACTGTGTTATTTGGCTGGATGGTTGCCTGCAGAGTTGATTACTGTGTTATTTGGCTGGATGGTTGCCTGGAGAGTTCATCAGTGTGTTATTTGGCTGGATGGTTGCCTGGAGAGTTTATTACTGTGTTATTTGGCTGGATGGTTGCCTGGAGAGTTCATCACTGTGTTATTTGGCTGGATGGTTGCCTGGAGAGTTGATTACTGTGTTATTTGGCTGGATGGTTGCCTGGAGAGTTCATCACTGAGTTATTTGGCTGGATGGGTGCCTGGAGAGTTCATCACTGTGTTATTTGGCTGGATGGTTGCCTGGTGAGTTCATCACTGTGTTATTTGGCTGGATGGTTGCCTGCAGAGTTGATTACTGTGTTATTTGGCTGGATGGTTGCCTGGAGAGTTTGTCAGTGTGTTATTTGGCTTGATGGTTGCCTGGAGAGTTCATCAGTGTGTTATTTGGCTGGATGGTTGCCTGGAGAGTTGATTACTGTGTTATTTGGCTGGATGGTTGCCTGGAGAGTTGATTACTGTGTTATTTGGCTGGATGGTTGCCTGGAGAGTTCATCACTGAGTTATTTGGCTGGATGGTTGCCTGGAGAGTTGATTACTGTGTTATTTTGCTGGATGGTTGCCTGGAGAGTTGATTACTGTGTTATTTGGCTGGATGGTTGCCTGGAGAGTTCATCAGTGTGTTATTTGGCTGGATGGTTGCCTGGTGAGTTGATTACTGTGTTATTTGGCTGGATGGTTGCCTGGAGAGTTCATCACTGTGTTATTTGGCTGGATGGTTGCCTGGTGAGTTGATTACTGTGTTATTTGTCTGGATGGTTGCCTGGAGAGTTCGTCAGTGTGTTATTTGGCTGGATGGTTGCCTGGAGAGTTCAACACTGTGTTATTTGGCTGGATGGTTGCCTGGAGAGTTCAACACTGTGTTATTTGGCTGGATGGTTGCCTGGAGAGTTCGTCAGTGTGTTATTTGGCTGGATGGTTGCCTGGAGAGTTCATCAGTGTGTTATTTGGCTGGATGGTTGCCTGGAGAGTTCATCACTGAGTTATTTGGCTGGATGGTTGCCTGGAGAGTTCATCACTGTGTTATTTGGCTGGATGGTTGCCTGCAGAGTTGATTACTGTGTTATTTGGCTGGATGGTTGCCTGGAGAGTTCGTTAGTGTGTTATTTGACTGGATGGTTGCCTGGGGAGTTCATCAGTGTGTTATTTGGCTGGATGGTTGCCTGGAGAGTTCATCACTGAGTTATTTGGCTGGATGGTTGCCTGGAGAGTTCATCAGTGTGTTATTTGGCTGGATGGTTGCCTGGAGAGTTGATTACTGTGTTATTTGGCTGGATGGTTGCCTGGAGAGTTCATCACTGAGTTATTTGGCTGGATGGTTGCCTGGAGAGTTCATCACTGTGTTATTTGGCTGGATGGTTGCCTGGTGAGTTCATCACTGTGTTATTTGGCTGGATGGTTGCCTGGAGAGTTGATTACTGTGTTATTTGGCTGGATGGTTGCCTGGAGAGTTCATCAGTGTGTTATTTTGCTGGATGGTTGCCTGGAGAGTTGATTACTGTGTTATTTGGCTGGATGGTTGCCTGGAGAGTTCATCACTGAGTTATTTGGCTGGATGGTTGCCTGGAGAGTTTATCACTGTGTTATTTGGCTGGATGGTTGCCTGGAGAGTTCGTCAGTGTGTTATTTGGCTGGATGGTTGCCTGGAGAGTTGATCACTGTGTTATTTGTCTGGATGGTTGCCTGGAGAGTTCATCAAGCTGCTGCACCTTCCCACATCTTGCAGGCAGTGTGTGTATAATCATCACGTAGCAAGGATAACAACACGTCCCTCACCCCTCTCAGCTACCCCTGACATTACAGGACAGTTGGGATATCGTGACCAGCTTTTTTCACAACAATCATCAGGTACCTGTTATTATAGATGGGAGATGCCAGACAGATGGGTTTCATGATATCACTATTGGAAGTATTGTCAGGCAACCTGATGATGAGCTCAAGTCTCCAACTTGTCAATCCCATGTGCTCACTCTATAACTGGTCGACTGTAACAGTTTGATGTATGTATAGTGCAGGTAGTCTGAGATTGTGAATGGTGGGTTTTATCAAACACACTTCTAATCCCCAGGAGTTGCAAGTAGTGTTACTGTCCATGTTGATAACAGACTTGTCAGATTTTGAACTGAGTGTTCCATCAGCCCCTTGTATGGTCACATGCGTCCTGACACCGCCAGCCACACTGACAGTTTATGTATTACCACATCAGGAATGGGGCTAGAATTCTGGAAAGTTATTGAAAAACTACTGGTTGTCTTAATACCTGAAATAAACAGTATCTAGGAGTACCTGGTCATGTAGCACAGCAATTCCCTGGGACTGGTTGTTGCCTTTGTTATTGTTTTTTCCCCGTGAGTACCCGGATGATATAGCAGAAATCTAGACTAGTTCGCGACCTGTGCTGCGCCATTCGTAAGAGATTTGTCGCTTTTATTGATAGTTTAAGGGCGTATGGTCACATTGATCAACAAAATGAAATACAGTTTTGGAAATAATAAGGAAATGTAGGTATCTTTGCATCGGTAATGGTAAGTGTTGATAAGTCACTGATTTGGTATTGTGTGATTTTCGTTTACACTATTTTGACTTGCAACACAAAGTAAATATTTCACCTGAGCATTGCTTTTTTAATGTGTGTATATTTTAGAGTCAAAATGTGTAACCTTTTCACTTAGGCAATTTATTAAACACCTAAATATTCAGTTATTTGACAAATTGACTTTAAAATCTGTCCATTTATGTTATTATGATAACAAATTCCAAACATTTTAACACTTTAATTTCATCACCCAGTGACTGGAATTTATAGGATTAAAAGAAAACAAAATTCAAAGTACATTTCTATAGTATTGGCTTCTAATCCTAGCTTAATTAGTCTATTGTGATGTTTTAAGCCCTTTTGAACCGCTTAATAATTGTTAGCCAATCTGTTAAATAAATGGACAGATGTTTCAGTCAATTTGTAAATTACCGAAGTATTTAGACATTTTATAAATTGCCTGAGAGAATCCAATTTTACACATTGACTGTAACTTATACACGCCTACAAACTAAAAGGCTTGTGAAAACAATGTCTATCGCATAGAAGAACTTCCCAAAGATATGGGTGCACTTCACGCCGAGATATGGTAGTATTCCGTCTGCTTTAGTTAACCTACACATGTAAAAACTTACTTTTGACATATCCACTGTGCAAGATAACAGTGATTAATTAATCAACATATTTTCTGTTGATCCTTTGATGGCGAGGAATGATTAGTTGATTTACAAAAAAGTAAATGAACTGATCACTCCTCTTGCTGGGCTGCCATGTGCATATTACATAACACACATTTCACCCCACTTCAAACCTGGATTCAGATTAAATAATTACCTCAGACCCAAGAAATGCCAAATGGGAACCTTTGTCAGGTAATCTGAGTGGTGCTACCACTAACTATACCTGTAATAAATTCATTAACTGAGCTTCAAGTGAATGACGACAAATGCACATATGATCATGCCAGGAAACATGGATGACAACAAGAGATAGCAATTGTATTATCTGCGCAATCTGAAATTCGAAAACGCTTTCACTGTAGGGATACTTTATTTTATTATTAAACTACAACCATCAGGGGTATTTCCAAATAACGACATCCGATGATCTTCCACTGTTCGTTTTGTCTGTTTCTTAGGGCTGAAGAAATGAATTAACATGTGTCCTTTGTCGAAATCTTCATAGATCATGGGTAACCAATCAGTGTTCCAAAATGCGCAAAACAAATATTGCCTCAAAGTTTATTTAGCTGCCCTTAGCTGACAAGAGATGGTAGCCCAGTCTCTTGTCATGCTCAGTTGCGTTAGCGAGGAAATATACTCACGGCAGCTAGAGAGCCTTAGCGGGCAGTGTTAGAGAGCCAAGAAGAAACCAGAAATTAGTGCCCCTTTAGATTTCAGTAGTATTAATGGCAGACTTCAAACATGCTTACAGACATTATTCAAGTTACATATAGCAAAACGAGACTTATTTATCTGTCCATTGTTTGTAAAGGTGCCATGTGTCGTCCCAACATTTCACCACCAACATACAGTAGGACTGGTACTTTCACTGCTGGACTGTGCTTCATATGGTAGTGTGGTCAGAGCTCCAGATAAGCTGCGTATCTGCGTAAAATATGCATCAGAAATGCAGAAATACGCAGTAAAATAAAATCCAAGCGTATCAAATACGCAACGAACATTACAGATACACTACAGAAATAAAACTTGTGCGTATCATCAAAATATTGTGAAGTAACCCTGCGTATTCAATTAGCAAATCAGAATGTTAATTCATAAAGTTTGTTGTAGAAATATATTCTTTTAGCCTTTTAAAACCTTTTTCTATTACCTGTCACCCCTAAAATAGAAATGATGGCATGTTCGATTTCCAAGAAATGACCTCTCTCACAAAATTCAGAGAAATGAGTCAGTCCACAGTGTACAACAATTTGGTAGAAATTAACACATCTCTCTTTGGACTAAGTTTGGAGTGTTATTTGTCAACTTATTTTGAAAACCTATGTTTTTGAACACTTATTATGAACTACTCACGACTATGGTGTGTTTAATCTTGAACTTTAGTAATAATTGTTACATATATAACTACCTGTGACCACTTTTCGGAATGTTCTTAGATTGCGGACCTGTGCACCTGTGTTATTACGCTTTGCAAGAGAGTGCCGTTTTCAAAGCGTTGTTGCTGTCATGGTAGACTGGAGCTTAAGCACTAGGTTCAAAATTATAATAAAGAGGTATCTATTATACAGTGGGACTACATCAAATTTCAAAACACAGTAGGTTTATCTCCTGAATGTGAAGTTCTTGTTGAGATGTGAGAAAAGTAACAACACAGGTAGGCACGCTTTAGCAATATAGACAGGCACACAGGTAGGCAAGACAGGTAGGCTTTGACCATGTAGGCGAAATTACAATATCAACAGCTGTTGAGTGCGTGGACATGTAGCATGTTATCTGCTGCAGGGTTCGGGAGGCAGCAGAGAATCTGAATGTCAGTCTACAGAAGCTGATTGAGGTGCAGGATGACCTGCCTACACCCACCCTGGAGTCCCTGGCAGACTCCACCCTCCACTCCGACCCTGACACAAGCAAGGAGACATCACCTGACACAGAGTCAGCCCGACCAGACAGTTCCAGGTAGGTTGCTTTAGCATCCTCACTGTATCTTCACTGACTTCTAACTATCTCTGATAAACATGTCATTGAAGACCTGCATCACTTCAGGCCTTCCTCCCACATCTCCACATTGTTCCGTTAAGCCCAGTGTGTTTGTGGTGTCTCCACTATGTGTTTGTGGTGTCCCCACTGTGTGTTTGTGGTGTCTCCACTGTATGTTTGTGGTGTCTCCACTGTATGTTTGTGGTGTCCCCACTGTGTGTTTGTGGTGTCTCTAACATTATGTTTGTGGTGTCTCCACTGTGTGTTTGTGGTGTCTCCACTATGTGTTTGTGGTGTCTCCACTGTATGTTTGTGGTGTCTCCACTATGTGTTTGTGGTGTCTCCACTGTGTGTTTGTGGTGTCTCCACTGTATGTTTGTGGTGTCTCCACTATGTGTTTGTGGTGTCCCCACTGTGTGTTTGTGGTGTCTCCACTGTGTGTTTGTGGTGTCTCCACTGTATGTTTGTGGTGTCCCCACTGTGTGTTTGTGGTGTCTCTAACAGTATGTTTGTGGTGTCTCCACTGTGTGTTTGTGGTGTCTCCACTGTGTGTTTGTGGTGTCTCCACTGTATGTTTGTGGTGTCTCCACTATGTGTTTGTGGTGTCTCTAACAGTATGTTTGTGGTGTCTCCACTGTGTGTTTGTGGTGTCTCCACTGTGTGTTTGTGGTGTCTCCACTGTATGTTTGTGGTGTCTCCACTATGTGTTTGTGGTGTCTCCACTGTGTGTTTGTGGTGTCTCCACTGTATGTTTGTGGTGTCCCCACTGTGTGTTTGTGGTGTCTCCACTGTATGTTTGTAGTGTCCCCACTGTGTGTTTGTGGTGTCTCTAACAGTATGTTTGTGGTGTCTCCACTGTGTGTTTGTGGTGTCTCCACTGTGTGTTTGTGGTGTCTCCACTGTATGTTTGTGGTGTCTCCACTATGTGTTTGTGGTGTCTCCACTGTGTGTTTGTGGTGTCTCCACGGTATGTTTGTGGTGTCCCCACTGTGTGTTTGTGGTGTCTCCACTGTATGTTTGTAGTGTCCCCACTGTGTGTTTGTGGTGTCTCTAACAGTATGTTTGTGGTGTCTCCACTGTGTGTTTGTGGTGTCTCCACTGTGTGTTTGTGGTGTCTCCACTGTGTGTTTGTGGTGTCTCCACTGTGTGTTTGTGGTGTCTCCACTGTATGTTTGTGGTGTCTCCACTATGTGTTTGTGGTGTCTCTAACAGTATGTTTGTGGTGTCTCCACTGTGTGTTTGTGGTGTCTCCACTGTGTGTTTGTGGTGTCTCCACTGTATGTTTGTGGTGTCTCCACTATGTGTTTGTGGTGTCTCCACTATGTGTTTGTGGTGTCTCCACTGTGTGTTTTATGGTGTCTCCACTGTATGTTTGTGGTGTCCCCACTGTGTGTTTGTGGTGTCCCCACTGTGTGTTTGTGGTGTCTCCACTGTGTGTTTGTGGTGTCTCCACTGTATTTTTGTGGTGTCTCCACTGTGTGTTTGTGGTGTCTCTAACAGTATGTTTGTGGTGTCTCCACTGTGTGTTTGTGGTGTCTCCACTGTGTGTTTGTGGTGTCTCCACTGTATGTTTGTGGTGTCTCAACTATGTGTTTGTGGTGTCTCCACTGTATGTTTGTGGTGTCTCCACTGTGTGTTTGTGGTGTCTCCACTGTGTGTTTGTGGTGTCCCCACTGTGTGTTTGTGGTGTCTCCACTGTGTGTTTGTGGTGTCCCCACTGTGTGTTTGTGGTGTCTCCACTGTATGTTTGTGGTGTCCCCACTGTGTGTTTGTGGTGTCTCCACTGTGTGTTTGTGGTGTCCCCACTGTGTGTTTGTGGTGTCTCCACTGTGTGTTTGTGGTGTCTCCACTGTATGTTTGTGGTGTCTCTAACAGTATGTTTGTGGTGTCTCCACTGTGTGTTTGTGGTGTCTCCACTGTGTGTTTGTGGTGTCTCCACTGTATGTTTGTGGTGTCTCCACTATGTGTTTGTGGTGTCTCCACTGTGTGTTTGTGGTGTCTCCACTGTGTGTTTGTGGTGTCCCCACTGTGTGTTTGTGGTGTCTCCACTGTGTGTTTGTGGTGTCTCCACTGTGTGTTTGTGGTGTCTCCACTGTGTGTTTGTGGTGTCCCCACTGTGTGTTTGTGGTGTCTCCACTGTGTGTTTGTGGTGTCCCCACTGTGTGTTTGTTGTGTCCCCACTGTGTGTTTGCAGTGTCTCCACTGTGTGTTTGTGGTGTCTCCACTGTATGTTTGTGGTGTCCCCACTGTGTGTTTGTGGTGTCCCCATTGTATGTTTGTGGTGTCTCCACTGTGTGTTTTATGGTGTCCCCACTGTGTGTTTGTGGTGTCTCCACTGTGTGTTTGTGGTGTCTCCACTGTGTGTTTGTGGTGTCCCCACTGTGTGTTTGTGGTGTCTCTAACAGTATGTTTGTGGTGTCCCCATTGTATGTTTGTGGTGTCCCCGCTGTGTGTTTGTGGTGTCTCCACTGTATGTTTGTGGTGTCTCCACTATGTGTTTGTGGTGTCCCCACTGTGTGTTTGTGGTGTCCCCACTGTGTGTTTGTGGTGTCTCCACTGTGTGTTTGTGGTGTCTCCACTGTATGTTTGTGGTGTCTCCACTATGTGTTTGTGGTGTCCCCACTGTGTGTTTGTGGTGTCTCCACTATGTGTTTGTGGTGTCTCCACTGTATGTTTGTGGTGTCTCCACTATGTGTTTGTGGTGTCCCCACTGTGTGTTTGTGGTGTCTCCACTGTGTGTTTGTGGTGTCTCCACTGTGTGTGTGTGGTGTCCCCACTGTGTGTTTGTGGTGTCTCCACTGTATGTTTGTGGTGTCTCCACTGTGTTTGTGGTGTCCCCACTGTGTGTTTGTGGTGTCCCCACTGTGTGTTTGTGGTGTCTCCACTGTGTGTTTGTGGTGTCTCCGCTGTGTGTTTGTGGTGTCTCCACTGTGTGTTTGTGGTGTCTCCACTGTATGTTTGTGGTGTCCCCACTGTGGTTTTGTGGTGTCTCCACTGTGTGTTTGTGGTGTCTCCACTGTGTGTTTGTGGTGTCTCCATTGTGTGTTTGTGGTGTCCCCACTGTATGATTGTGGTGTCTCCACTGTGTGTTTGTGGTGTCTCCGCTGTATGTTTGTGGTGTCTCCACTGTTTTTTATGGTGTTTCCACTGTGTGTTTGTGGTGTCTCCACTGTGTGTTTGTGGTGTCTCCACTGTGTGTTTGTGGTGTCCCCACTGTATGTTTGTGGTGTCCCCATTGTCTGTTTGTGGTGTCTCCACTGTGTGTTTGTGATGTCTCCACTATGTGTTTGTGGTGTCTCCACTGTGTGTTTGTGGTGTCTCCACTGTGTGTTTGTGGTGTCTCCACTGTGTGTTTGTGGTGTCTCCACTGTGTGTTTGTGGTGTCTCCACTGTGTGTTTGTGGTGTCCCCACTGTGTGTTTGTGGTGTCCCCACTGTGTCCTGTAGAAACATTTCCAGCCCCAGATTGCCTGGCCAAGATAAGCTGTGTGTTTTGTGTAACTTATGCTAAATGAATAGCCAAGACCCAATTAATTTTTAGTTGCAAGAATATTTAAAAGAAACCAATAATACGACAACACTTTGTGTACCGGTAATTACCAATGTATCCTTTTAAGTTGCATACCTGTATCTCTTTACAGATATTTATTTACTGATTGAATGACCTCTACTGCATGAACTCTCCTGCTCTGAATAATACATAAAAACTATACAAATTAAAAGTTTCCTAAAACAGCAGTTTGAGCAGAATTGTGTTAAAACAAAGTCCACTCATTGGTGTACAAAGAGCCAGTAGACTGGACCCATGGGAGTGAGATATATTGACTACCCAAACAAAACTACCAATACTTGCTTGGAATGATAACATGGGACTGAGATATATTGACTACCCAAACAAAACTACCAATACTTGCTTGGAATGATAACATGGGACTGAGATATATTGACTACCAAAACAAAACTACCAATACTTGCTTGGAATGATAACATGGGACTGAGATATATTGACTACCCAAACAAAACTACCAATACTTGCTTGGAATGATAACATGGGACTGAGATATATTGACTACCCAAACAAAACTACCAATACTTGCTTGGAATGATAACATGGGACTGAGATATATTGACTACCCAAACAAAACTACCAATACTTGCTTGGAATGATAACATGGGAGTAGGTACTCAATGTTTCCAACTATGTTTTTGAGCCCTGAACGTTGTTACACACAGTGTTGGTTTCTAAGCTAAACAGCTGGATGAACACACAGACTCAATACTAAACATTGCTTAGAAAGCACAGCAGTCTACTATTGTGTGTGGGATTTGTGTACTTTCTGGTTTTTCAAATGAAGATTTAACTTTCATATGTTGGCGTGAGAAACATGCTCCTTTTCATCCTTTGTACTTGTGTGGAGGCTTGTGTTGCTGTAGTCATGGTTACCCTTGTTGTTTCAGTGCAATACAGTTGGATGTTTTATCTGTGATCAAAGTATTACAACGAATGTTAGGCCATGAAGCTATACAGACTAGAGTTTCCGCTCTACGCTGGTTCAGCCTGCTTCTATCAAAGACACCCAATAAGGTACATAACAACAACAACAACAACAATGTGCATATTTAAAATGGCACCAAATCCACACCCTAAATCATACTCAAAGTGCTACATTATTACCCCAGTCAATGGGTTTTCATTCTCAGCTCCCCAGGGAGTATGTACCGTTATTGTACCATATTAGTAGGTTTCTCAGATACTGTCCTGCTCACACAAGGCCGTTATTGTACCATATTAGTAGGTTTCTCAGGTACTGCCCTGCTCACACAAGGCTGTTATTGTACCATATTAGTAGGTTTCTCAGGTACTGCCCTGCTCACACAAGGCCGTTATTGTACCATATTAGTGGGTTTCTCAGGTACTGCCCTGCTCACACAAGGCTGTTATTGTACCATATTAGTAGGTTTCTCAGATACTGCCCTGCTCACACAAGGCCGTTATTGTACCATATTAGTAGGTTTCTCAGATACTGTCCTGCTCACACAAGGCTGTTATTGTACCATATTAGTAGGTTTCTCAGGTACTGCCCTGCTCACACAAGGCTGTTATTGTACCATATTAGTAGGTTTCTCAGATACTGCCCTGCTCACACAAGGCCGTTATTGTACCATATTAGTAGGTTTCTCAGGTACTGTCCTGCTCACACAAGGCTGTTATTGTACCATATTAGTAGGTTTCTCAGGTACTGCCCTGCTCACACAAGGCTGTTATTGTACCATATTAGTAGGTTTCTCAGATACTGCCCTGCTCACACAAGGCTGTTATTGTACCATATTAGTAGGTTTCTCAGATACTGCCCTGCTCACACAAGGCTGTTATTGTACCATATTAGTAAGTTTCTCAGATACTGTCCTGCTCACACAAGGCCGTTATTGTACCATATTAGTAAGTTTCTCAGATACTGCCCTGCTCACACAAGGCCGATATTGTACCATATTAGTAGGTTTCTCAGATACTGCCCTGCTCACACAAGGCTGTTATTGTACCATATTAGTAGGTTTCTCAGGTACTGTACACACAAGGCCGTTATTGTACCATATTAGTAGGTTTCTCAGGTACTGCCCTGCTCACACAAGGCTGTTATTGTACCATATTAGTAGGTTTCTCAGGTACTGCCCTGCTCACACAAGGCCGTTATTGTACCATATTAGTAGGTTTCTCAGATACTGCCCTGCTCACACAAGGCTGTTATTGTACCATATTAGTAGGTTTCTCAGATACTGTACACACAAGGCCGTTATTGTACCATATTAGTAGGTTTCTCAGGTACTGCCCTGCTCACACAAGGCTGTTATTGAAGCATATTAGTAGGTTTCTCAGATACTGCCCTGCTCACACAAGGCTGTTATTGTACCATATTAGTAGGTTTCTCAGGTACTGTCCTGCTCACACAAGGCTGTTATTGTACCATATTAGTAGGTTTCTCAGATACTGCCCTGCTCACACAAGGCTGTTATTGTACCATATTAGTAGGTTTCTCAGATACTGCCCTGCTCACACAAGGCTGTTATTGTACCATATTAGTAGGTTTCTCAGATACTGCCCTGCTCACACAAGGCCGTTATTGTACCATATTAGTAGGTTTCTCAGATACTGTCCTGCTTACACAAGGCTGTTATTGTACCATATTAGTAGGTTTCTCAGATACTGTACACACAAGGCCGTTATTGTACCATATTAGTAGGTTTCTCAGGTACTGTACACACAAGGCCGTTATTGTACCATATTAGTAGGTTTCTCAGATACTGTCCTGCTAACACAAGGCCGTTATTGTACCATATTAGTAGGTTTCAAGGCCGTTATTTTACCATATTAGTAGGTTTCTCAGATACTGATTTGATCACACAAGGCCGTTATTGTGTCATATTAGTAGGTTTCTCAGATACTGATTTGATCGCACAAGGCCGTTACTGTATCATATTAGTAGGTTTCTCAGATACTGATTTGATCACAATATTGTTTATTGTCTGTACACTAAGTGTAGTAAGTTTTGCATTTATTTTGAGTTTTCTGTACATGAGATGTTTTTTCCACATTGTTGTCCACTCCAAGTCAATTGTTTCCATGTTTTGTTTTTCAGACCTTTCGATATATAGATGAGTTCTTTAAACTACTTCTCAACACTTTGTCCGACCCGTCAGATGATGTAAGTAAGATCTTAGCTGTAATCTAAAATGGAATACAGTTCTATTTTTTCAAACAATATATTTTTAATATTTTGAAATTATTTAATATTAATTCGGGGAGAACATGAAATAATGTTCCCTAAAATTGTGGGGTGTCAGCAAAAATATGATAGAGCCCTAAGACAAATCTCACTGCCCCTTATCTAAATGATTTTTTCTGTTATAATATAACAATACCATGTTTTGAAAGCACTGTGCAGCAAATATTATGTGAGATTTTGTAATGTTTAGTAAAGTTCAACCTGTATTCATAATTGTTTCTTGTGTGACCAATATGAAAAATTCTGAGATGATTGTAGGTGGTGTTACTAGATCTCGAAGTCTTGGCAGAAATATCATCCAATCCTGCTGGTGACAATGTTACCACAGAAACCACGAATTTGACAATTCCTAGTCCTGTGAGGCAGCTGGTGGATCTACAGAAAGGTCTCAATCAATATTTCACCAATTTCATGATCCACCTGCTGGACCTGTTCAAGACAGACAGACAGTTGCTGGAAGATAGAGGATCTTTCATTATTAGGTAGGCACAGTTTGCTGGTGCTAGACTACACCGCTATGTATGTAACAGGGACCAAATAGTTTGGTGCGTGCAGAGATCTGTTCCATGAAGTGATTGTAGCGCTAAGACAATCTAAACTCTTACTTGGATACGAATGTACAACAGTCGTAGTTCAGATCACTTGGCTCGAGACCCTGTATCTATTGCTCGTATTATTATCAAAGTCACGCCTTTATCCTTATGTGGCAGGAACAAAATTGCACTGGGAATTATTTAATTTTCCTGGTCATTCTTTTTCTTGCATATTCTGATAAATAATATTTCCCCTCAGTACTCATTCAACTGTCTTACATACTTAATGCACTGGTTACGACCCCTGTTTGCATTATATACAAACATTGTTCTAAGCAGAGACAGATTTTCTGTGGCATCTTTTATTGCTTGATAACTGTGCTGGGTTTGCCTTTTATTCATCTGTTTATTCATCTTCCCAAAGCAAGGGAGTTCAGTCCAGTTTCCACCCTTGCCAAACTGAGCTGACATTTCTGGGCTCGATTGTAGCACCACCAGTGGTTATTATGAGTTATGTCCTTTCTATGTCCCTCCTATTGACTGACTATCAGATTCCATCTCTCATATCACTTGCATCTGCTTCAAACGATCTGATCGATAATAAAAATCTATTTTGTAATAAAACATGTCTTACTTTGTGAAGTACATCAAATCAAGTGAGCACCTTGATTAAAAACATGAAAAGATTTGGAAAGTATCTGTTGACGCCAAGTTGGCTGTGCACATGCTTTAAAAATCCTGCAATCATCTGAAATGTGCACAAACTGGATGTTGATTTCGTTACGCGATATACATTGGACTTTGCATAAACTTGTTAGTCCAGCCAAAACATAACTCCATAATTCCAGCCTAGTTCGGCAAGGGTGGAAACTGGACTTTTATGGTCAGTTAGCTCCCTTGCCTTGAGAAGATGCCTTTTATTTAGTGCCTGATAATTTGCACAATACACTATTTATAAATTGCAAGTGATTCTGTGGCATTTTATTTGCTAACCAAGTAGTGTCTTATGCATTTATGTTTCCATAAACCGAAATAATATTAGGCCATGTGCACTTGGCAGACATTAGAATGGACAGGGTTTAGTGTTGTAGTATTGTGCAGAATGATGCCTCTGGTTTGGAATTAGTTATTTTCTATTTTTTTAGTTTTTTCTATTTCTTAGTTTATAAGTACATAAAAACAAAAAAAATATTGAATTAAATTGAGTAAATTATTAGGCAAACACCTGTCCATTGATCTGCCACTTTCTGGTGGATAGCTGCTATGAAACTGTTTAAACATTTAAACTGCACATCAAGGAGAAGAATGACCTGGTGCCTTTTGCTAATCAGGAGGTTTTCATCATTTTACTTTTTGCTTCTCCCTGGCAACAAGTCGGACATGAGTTCAAATGAGGGTAGGGTTCTTTCCAGAGCATAACTCATAAACCATTCAATATATCTTTATGAAACATAGTTTTTTGTGCCATTTATACACTCTGAATAATCAGAACTTTGCAGCTGCCAGTGCCGTAGCCAGCCGGGAGGAGGGGGGGCAGTTGCCCACCCCTTGGATTTTTTATAGAAAACATTTTTCCTTTTGAAAGTTAACTTGAATAAGAAATGAATAATCTTATTTGCCCCCCTTGTCAAAAAAAGTTAACTAAGGCCTTGGCTGCACATGCGTGACTACAATCACATGCCTCTGCTGCTGCTGCCTCTGCTGCTGCTGTTGTGATGATGGTGAGGTGATGGTAAAGAGGGTACACAGACTTGTTAACGTAATGAATGGCATCTTTTGAAGGAGACCTGTGTTGTATTGTAGACAGCTTGCAGTGTATCTGAATGCTGATGCATTGTTCCGGTGTCTGGCTGAGATCCTGCCGCAGGAGGAGGATGTGACCTTCGTGTGTACCATGGTGCAGACTCTCAACACCATCCTCCTCACCTCAACAGAACTCTTCCATCTTCGCTCACAGCTCAAAGATCTGCAAACAGAGGTACAAAAACAGTTTCCGATATGGCACATTTTTGTGTATTTTAAGGTTAACTATCTGCCACCTTGATTAACTTGACTATCTGACACCTTGAGTAACTTGACTATCTGACACCTTGAGTAACTTAACGATCTGACACCTTGAGTAACTTGGCTATCTGACACCTTGAGTAACTTGACAAGGCCCAGCTGTCACAGCAGCTTTAATGAAGTTTATATATGGCTGTTTGCTATGCTTCTGTTGTATGTAGGAAAGCTGTTCACTGTTCTGCCGCCTCTACAAGTGTTGGTGCCACAGTCCGGTGGCCACGGTGTGTCTGTGCTACTTGTCACAGAACTACACACACGCCTGCAACCTCCTCCACTCCTTGTATCCTTGGAGCATGACACCCTGAATACACCATGTAACACACCCACACCCTGAATACATCATGTAGGACACCCACACCCTGAATACATCATGTAACACACCCACACCCTGAATACACCATGTAACACACCCACACCCTAAATACATCATGTAGGACACCCACACCCTGAATACATCATATAACACACCAACACCCTGAATACATCATATAACACACCCACACCCTGAATACATCATGTAGGACACCCACACCCTGAATACACCATGTAACACACCCACACCCTGAATACATCATGTAGGACACCCACACCCTGAATACATCATGTAACACACCCACACCCTGAATACACCATGTAACACACCCACACCCTAAATACATCATGTAGGACACCCACACCCTGAATACATCATGTAACACACCAACACCCTGAATACATCATATAACACACCCACACCCTGAATACATCATGTAGGACACCCACACCCTGAATACACCATGTAACACACCCACACCCTGAATACATCATGTAACACACCCACACCCTGAATACATCATGTAACACACCAACACCCTGAATACATCATATAACACACCCACACCCTGAATACATCATGTAACACACCCACACACTGAATACATCATGTAACACACCCACACCCTGAATACACCATGTAACACACCCACACCCTGAATACATCATGTAACACACCCACACCCTGAATACATCATGTAACACACCCACACCCTGAATACACCATGTAACACACCCACACCCTGAATACATCATGTAGGACACCCACACCCTGAATACATCATGTAGGACAACAACACCCTGAATACACCATGTAACACACCCACACCCTAAATACATCATGTAACACACCCACACCCTGAATACATCATGTAGGACACCAACCTGAATACATCATGTAGGACACCCACACCCTGAATACATCATGTAGGACACCAACACCCTGAATACACCATGTAACACACCCACAACCTGAATACACCATGTAACACTACCACACCCTGAATACACCATGTAACACACCCACACCCTGAATATATCATGTAACACACCCACACCCTGAATACACCATGTAACACACCCACAACCTGAATACACCATGTAACACTACCACACCCTGAATACATCATGTAAGACACCAACACCCTGAATACATCATGTAACACACCCACACCCTTAATACATCATGTAACACACCCACACCATGTAACACACCCACACCCTGAATACATCATGTAAGACACCAACACCCTGAATACATCATGTAACACACCCACACCCTGAATACATCATGTAGGACACCCACACCCTGAATACATCATGTAACACACCCACACCCTGAATACATCATGTAACACACCCACACCCTGAATACATCATGTAACACACTTACATCCTGAATACATCATGTAACACACCTACACCCTGAATACATCATGTAACACACCTACACCCTGAATACACCATGTAACACACCAACACCCTGAATACATCATGTAACACACCCACACCCTGAATACATCATGTAACACACCCACACCCTGAATACATCATGTAACACACCAACACCCTGAATACATCATGTAACACACCTACACCCTGAATACATCATGTAACACACCTACACCCTGAATACACCATGTAACACACCAACACCCTGAATACATCATGTAACACACCCACACCCTGAATACATCATGTAACACACCCACACCGTGAATACATCATGTAACACACCCACACCCTGAATACATCATGTAACACACCCACACCCTGAATACACCATGTAACACACAGACACCCTGAATATACCATGTAACACACCCACACCCTGAATACATCATGTAACACACAGACACCCTGAATACACCATGTAACACACCCACACCCTGAATACATCATGTAACACACCCACACCCTGAATACATGATGTAACACACCAACACCCTTAATACATCATGTAGGACACCCACACCCTGAATACATCATGTAACACACCCACACCGTGAATACATGATGTAACACACCAACACCCTTAATACATCATGTAGGACACCCACACCCTGAATACATCATGTAACACACCCACACCCTGAATACATGATGTAACACACCAACACCCTGAATACATCATGTAACACACCCACACCGTGAATACATCATGTAACACACCCACACCCTGAATACATCATGTAACACACCCACACCCTGAATACACCATGTAACACACCCACACCCTTAATACATCATGTAACACACCAACACCCTTAATACATCATGTAACACACCCACACCCTGAATACGCCATGTAACACACCCATACCCCAAAACATCATGTAACACACCAACACTCTGAATACATCATGTAACACACCCACACCCTGAATACATCATGTAACACACCCACACCCTGAATACATCATGTAACACACCAACACCCTGAATACACCATGTAACACACAGACACCCTGAATATACCATGCAACACACCCACACCCTGAATACACCATGTAACACACAGACACCCTGAAGACAACATGTAACACACCCACATCCTGAATACATCATGTAACACACCAACACTCTGAATACATCATGTAACACACCCACACCCTTAATACATCATGTAGGACACCCACACCCTTAATACATCATGTAACACACCAACACCCTGAATACATCATGTAACACACCCACACCCTGAATACGCCATGTAACATACCCATACCCCAAAACATCATGTAACACACAGACACCCTGAATACACCATGTAACACACCAACACTCTTAATACATCATGTAACACACCCACACCCTGAATACATCATGTAACACACCCACACCGTGAATACATCATGTAACACACCCACACCCTTAATACATCATGTAGGACACCCACACCCTGAATACACCATGTAACACACAGACACCCTGAATATACCATGTAACACACCCACACCCTGAATACATCATGTAACACACAGACACCCTGAATACATCATGTAACACACCCACACCCTGAATACATCATGTAACACACAGACACCCTGAATACATCATGTAACACACCAACACCCTGAATACATCATGTAACACACCCACACCCTGAATTCGTCATGTAACACACCCACACCCTGAATACACCATGTAACACACCTACACCCTGAATATACCATGTAACACACCCACACCCTGAATACATCATGTAACACACAGACACCCTGAATACATCATGTAAGAAACCCACACCCTGAATACATCATGTAACACACCAACACCCTTAATACATCATGTAGGACACCCACACCCTGAATACATCATGTAACACCAACACCCTGAATACATCATGTAACACACCTACACCCTGAATACATCATGTAACACACCCACACCCTTAATACATCATGTAACACACTTACACCCTGAATACATCATGTAACACACCTACACCCTGAATTCGTCATGTAACACACCCATTCTCCGAATACAACATGTAACACACCCACACCCTTAATACATCATGTAACACACCCACACCCTGAATACATCATGTAACACACCAACACCCTGAATACACCATGTAACACACCCACACCCTGAATACATCATGTAACACACCTACACCCTGAATACATCATGTAACACACCCATTCTCCGAATACACCATGTAACACACCCACACCCTTAATACATCATGTAACACACCCACACCCTTAATACATCATGTAACACACTTACACCCTGAATACATCATGTAACACACCTACACCCTGAATTCGTCATGTAACACACCCATTCTCCGAATACACCATGTAACACACCCACACCCTAAATACATCATGTAACACACCCACACCCTGAATACATCATGTAACACACCAACACCCTGAATACACCATGTAACACACCCACACCCTGAATACATCATGTAACACACCTACACCCTGAATACATCATGTAACACACCCATTCTCCGAATACACCATGTAACACACCCACACCCTTAATACATCATGTAACACACCCACACCCTTAATACATCATGTAACACACTTACACCCTGAATACATCATGTAACACACCTACACCCTGAATTCGTCATGTAACACACCCATTCTCCGAATACACCATGTAACACACCCACACCCTTAATACATCATGTAACACACCCACACCCTTAATACATCATGTAACACACTTACACCCTGAATACATCATGTAACACACCTACACCCTGAATTCGTCATGTAACACACCTACACCCTGAATTCGTCATGTAACACACCCACACCCTGAATACATCATGTAACACACCCACACCCTGAATACATCATGTAGCACACTTACACCCTGAATACATCATGTAACACACTTACACCCTGAATACATCATGTAACACACCAACACCCTGAATACATCATGTAACACCAACACCCTGAATACATCATGTAACACACCCACACCCTGAATACATCATGTAACACACTTACACCCTGAATACATCATGTAACACCAACACCCTGAATACATCATGTAACACCAACACCCTGAATACATCATGTAACACACTTACACCCTGAATACATCATGTAACACACCCACACCCTGAATACATCATGTAACACACTGAATATCTGTATTGTTGCTGTGGAAATGAAGACACTTCCTTAACACCTCTAGTGGTGACCTTGAGGTGACGGTGGACTTCCTGAAGGAGATTGACAAACTGGTGCAGCTCATTGAGTCCCCTATCTTTGTGTGTAGGTATACAAGCTTGTCACATATGCTCTATTCCCCTGTGGTAGTGGCCAAATGGTTATATCAATTCATTATTAAGCTGATTGTTATTTTTGTTAAAAGAGTTTGCAATGTGTTATATATATCAACAAAATAAATATATCAAAAATATAAAGATAAAATGAAGAGGCCAAATTAGTTCATCTCTTGAAGAGAGCCTCTGTGATGATTCACATCCTTGTCTACCTGTGGTTATTGGGGTTGGTTACATTTTGACTTCAGATCTACGTCTGCAGCTACTTGATGTTGAGAGCAATGAGGACCTGATCAAGAGTCTGTATGGTCTGCTGATGTTGTTGCCGCAGTCCGAGGCATTCAAGCTACTGCGGTACCGACTTGAGTGCATCCCCCACTACCATTTTCCTGACAAAACGTAAGGTTCATAGCAGACTGTTGACCACAGTATGGATGATACGACATTTTCCTTATGTCTGCCATGCAAAGGTTATTGACATAATTCATCCATGGAATTTGTCTGACAATATTAAAAAATCTTACTGGAAAAGTATTAGATTTTTTAGCGTGCAGTTTACTTTGTACAATCTCTAGTATGGGCCCTGCTTTGAAAAAGTTTAAGTCAAAGGTAAAGGACAGCATTGAGTTATTTGTCAAGGATGGCTATCTCTTTGTCTGTTCCTGAATCATAGGGAACTCTACAGGCATGGAATTAGATGTTTGCAGGAATCAACATAATTCATTATAAGTGACATTTCTTTCACCTTTAAGGTAAGAATGAAATTGTGGTTATGTCATCCTTTCTTTTCAATAGAACTCAAAGATTCTTGACTTGTGGGACACCCTACAATGAACTTGTACTATAATGATCTAGATAATTCTCTTCGCAAATACCAGAAAAAGGTGATATATCAAGGTCATGAGATTGCATTTCTCTGTCTTCTTTCGAATCTGAGTGTCTGAATTAAAGGTTTCCAGCTTCTAAAGTTGATTAATCCGTACATACCTCACATTGCCACGGTCACCTCCCAGATCTGGGTCATGTGCTATGCATGCTGGTTGACCTACTTGCACTGATCATGTGTCTATCCCTGTCAACGCATTCTCTTTCAAATTGCCACACAGTGGTGACGTGTTGTTTTTGAAAGGGAATTCAATTTCGTTTTTTCCCTTGCAACCGATCTTCATATTTTTTGTCGTCTTCCTGCCTGTATCAGCTTGTTGTTCGGCATATTTTTCTTTTGAAATACCACGGCTTCTTTTTACCAGATGTTCACTTGTATCTTTGTTTGGGATAGTTTTTCATCATCATGGACGAGCAGTCCACAAGTCTGGGCAAGATGTTTGTACCCAAAGATTGTTGGGACAAAGCCCAACACCTCGTTCCATTGGCACTCAAACAACCACTACCCTTACATCAATGGCAACAACTTCTCGGTCTCCCAAAGTCAGCAGAAACCCTCACAAAGAGGGGTCAACTTCACTTACGTCCAATCCAGTGCTTTCTCAAGCCCTTCCTTCAGGACGACTATTGTCAGGTCCGAATCTCTCTTCTGAGCCACCTACACCCACATCTCCCATGGTGGTTATCTCCAACCAATGTCTGTGAAGGAGTCTAATTGCAGCCATTCACCCCGACCCTCCACCTGTTCGTATTTCATATATCCCTTATTTCATTAATTAATGATCCTTTTGTGGCTATTGTCGATCGTTTCCTCTTCTTGCTTTTTCAATTCAATCACTGAGCATGATTGAGGGTTTGACAAAGTGATAAAAGAGATGGCAAGTGGGGTCCATCTTATCGTCCTCAGGAGATAGAAACCCTGTCTTGTAGATTCAATGAAATATAAGTCAAACTTGTTCGTTTTTAGACACACCTTACGTTTGAACATGTTGCACATATTGTACCCAACTTATTGTGTTTCAGTTACTCCTGTATCAGGATCTCGACATTCTTTAAGTGTGTTTTACTTATCCTGTCTCTAAACTGCCTCCGTGGTCTAGTGGTAGAGCTTCCGCCCGGAGAGCAGAAGGGTCCGGGGTTCTATTCCCGGCTGCGTCATACCAAAAGACGTTAAAAGATGGTGCTTGTTGTTACCCTGTCTGGCACTCAGCATTAAGGGGCTAAAACTAGGACTGGTCGGCTCGGAGTCAGTATACGGTGTCTGAGTGGGGTATTCATGTTAAACTGCGACATGGTATCTCGTGGGCTAGCACTAGAAATCAGCATCAGTCCGGACTAGTTCAGGCACCACACACACACATACACACACGTGCATGCACGTCGCTGTATAAGTACAATAATCTTGGACACAACATTAAACCCCATTTCACCTTACCTTATCCTGTCAATAAGGTTTTAACTCTTAACTGTGTTACTGTATTAAGTATTGTAACACTGTTAAGTTCCAGCTTCCTTGTAAATATCCTGTGGTTGTGATCTATAGACAAGGGAGTTGCCTCCCACCATCCAACTGTGGGATAAAGTGCATAGTGTGAGAAAGGATAAGTTAACAAATTTGAAAATTTTATGATAAATTATATATATTTATATACTTATCCCATCTCACATGTCCATCCCCTCATTGCAATTCCTTAGTCTGTACTCCTGAAAGAGAATGAGTTGACTTGGACAGACACGAGATCGGCGCGTGGGTCAACCAGCATGCAAAGTGTGCCTGCCCCAGATCTGGGAGGTGACCCTGGTGATGTGAGGTATGTAAGGATTAATTACTTCAGAAGCTGGAAACCTTTATCTCAGACACGTTTCCACTCAGAATCAAAAGAAGAAAGAGAAATGCATAGTGTGAGATAGAATAATTATAAAAATATACAATTTATCATAAAATTTTCAATATGTTATTATTAAAGATGTTTTGGATTACATTTCTTCAAGGTATTGCAGCTTTTGTCATTATGCTTATTATAATGGCTTCTGGAGGATGTGGCCCTACAATTAAAGATATTGGTCAAAATAACTCAAGGTCAAAAGTGAGGTCTTAGGAAAACATGGCTCTTTCATTCCCTGTTTCTGAGGTATGGTTATGCCTTCAAACTTAACACTGTAGAACATTGATATAATAAACTACAAGGGACCAGAGAAATCAGTTTGTTATACAGGTTGTTCGTTATATACATTTTCTCTTGCAAACGTCTGCCATCACGGATAAAACAAGACACAATAAATTTAATGTTTATTTTACAGGCAATTATAGGTAAGATTAACATAAAGCAAGATTAACAAGGTGGAATCATCACTGCTGATTATTATACCCCGACAAAATGTCAGGGGTATATAGTTATACCAAGATTCCGTCCGTCCGTCTGTCCGTCCGTCTGTTCGTCCGCCCGAAAGCTTTGTCCGCGCGATTTCTCTTAAACTATTCAGGGGATTCATCTCAAACTTAGTACATATAATCTGTGTCATATGAAGGGGTGCAGTCAAAAGAAAAAAAATTGCTTTTATTAATTTTCCATTTTTTTATGAATTTTTCAAACCCTAACGTCCGTCCGAAAACTTTGTCCACGCGATTTCTCTTCAACTATTCAGGGGATTCATCTCAAACTTAGTACATATAATCTGTGTCATATGAAGGGGTGCAGTCAAAAGAAAAAAATTGTTTTTATTAATTTTCCATTTTTTTATTAATTTTTCAAACCCTAACGTCCGTCCAAAAACTTTGTCCGCGTGATTTCTCTTAAACTATTCAGTGGATTCATCTCAAACTTAGAAAATATAATCTGTGTCATATGGAGGGGTGCAGTCAAAAGAAATTAATTGTTTTTATTAATTTTCCATTTTTTAATGAATTTTTCAAACCCTAACCAGGGTTTCCCCTGATGCAGAATTCTATGACTCTCAATTAAGGAAAAATATGTCCAGAAAAAATGACTGCGCATGACTGACGCAATTTCAAAATATCTATGTTGTTGTTTACCAGCTTTGGAATGAAAATATTACAACTACTCACCTGAACTTAATTTATAAACATTTTCCGAAGACAATATATGCAAACGTCTTAAAATTTTCTCACTAAAAGTTAACCATGACATATGTTTATCAAGATGTGTAGACTCGTAAAAAATGAAACAAAAGAAAATACTATCACTGTTGCGGTGAATAATGTGATTTGGCGCGGTCACAGTATGTGGTTAAGCGGAACCTATGGAACGGGGTAAACGGAAATTGTAAGTATCGGAGGGACACATGTTTTTGCCGAAATTTAGGTAAACATTATTGAATGAAATTTTAAATAAAATTGATTAAATAGATGACAAACATAAGGTCAGATATACAGAGAACACATTTTTATTACCAGATAGTGTAACAACAGGATTAACTTGCGTAATTCAATTCGGATTTGTTATGCTATTTCCGATGACAGATCATGACAGCCTGAAATGAGACTGAAGAAAAGTCTGTGCGTATTATACACAAGATATATTTTTTTCAGGATTTAATTGCACATAATTAGGGGTGCGTATTATACACGAGTGTGTATTATACACGAATAAATATGGTATATATGAAATGTTAAGCTTTGGGCGTGTTTGTTGTTGCTAACCAAACTGTATTCAACCAGAAAATATGACGAGTATTCACAATTCTTCAGTTCAACTTCACTGTTGATAGATAATACAAGATAACTAGTTAAAGATGTAAATGAGTTAGTGATATTAAATTATAATCTGACATGAAATGTATTTTAATATCCATCCATGATTAAAAATTAAATTATGTCTCACAGTTGAGACTGATGTTATTTATTCATCCTGTATTAGTGTCACTGTAAATTGTTTCATGAGCTGTGAAGTAATTAAAGATTGTGAAAAAATAAAACCAACAAACTTTGTTTTTCATTCATTTATCCTTTATTTCTCTGTAGTACAATCAGCTGAGAACATTAATTAGCACTTGTTAACTTAAACTAAAGACATATAATATTTAAAAGATACTTAACTTTAAGTGTAACATTAACAATGAACACTTTAAATTTCATTAATCATACAATAAAACATTTGACTCTCAAAAAATATTTTTGACTCCCAAAAATTCATAGGCTGAGTCAAGGTGACTATCATATATTGGAGTCTAGGGGGAACCCTGCCTAACCCTATCCTAGCTATCTAATTTGTAACTACTGACACACTAGGTGGGTCGGGGGTATTAGTGAGCCACGCTCACTTTTGCACTTGTTATTGCTGTTTTGATTCATGAGTTTATTATCATGATTATATACCTTTCTTATGATAATATAGAAGATAATTTGTTTATAAGACAGTTCATTGTATCCTTTTGTTCGCTCTCTCCATGTTCGTTCTATCCATGTTCTAATGTATTTGCCTTTTCTATCTAAACATACCATCCCAAATACTGATTTTACTTGAGTGTTTATCAGAGGTCACTGTCATCCTTGAGGTTATTTAAGCAAGGGGTTTGATTGTTCTTTGATAGTTACTATTGTATCTTTGATTGTACAAGCCCAAGACTTGGCATCTTGAGAAGTTGTCCATCTTCACAAAGCAAGGGAGTTAAATGGCTAAAAAAGTCCAGTTTCCACCCTTGCCGAACTAGGCAAGATTTATGTAATGGAGTTATATCTTGGCAGGACTAATGAGTCTATGCATAGTCCAATCAAAATCATGTAGATATCAGTTGATTGCAGGATTCTTAGAGCATGTGTACAGTTGAGTCAGCGTCAACAGATATTTTCTAAATCCTTTCATGTTTCTAATCAAGGTGCTCACGTGATTTGATGCACTTGGCGAAGTAAGACCTGTGTTTTTACAATATTGATCTTGATCATCGATCTGATGGTCTTGACTGGGCGCCACCATTTTGTTTGAAGCAAATACAAGTGATATGAGAGGTGGAATCTGATTGGTCAATAGGAAGGACAGGGAAGGGACATAACTCATAATAGCCACTGGTGGCACTTCGGTCAAGCCCAGAAATTCGTTCGGCAAAGGTGGAAACTGGACTATTACAGTCAGTTAACTCCCTCGCCTTGGGAAGATGGAAGTTGTCTTGAGTAGGTCAAATTTAAGAAGTAATGTTTTGGGGCCTTTGAAGAGGTTCACAGTGCTTGCAAACCCTTCTTAATGTATAAAAATGAATCATATGGCAATACGAGTACTGTTGACGATGAAACAATATATTGGCGTACGAGAACGTTGTTTATTTCTAACCCTATGGGTAATAAAATGGAGTTCAAAGAGTCCAAATGTCCACATTTGATGATGCTGGGTTGAACTCCATGGAAAAATAGCTGCTTGTGACATGTTTACAGTCTCTGTCGCACTTGAAGCTTGTAGGATGCTGTTGGTGAAGCTTGCAGGATGCTGTTGGACCGTGTTGGTGGGGTGCTCCAACTGAGATCATGTCGTTTGTTCTACAGTTAGTGTACAATATCGGATATTAAATTATATAATGTATATAATATTATATAATGATATTTTTTGCAGATCAAAACCCAAGAAAAAAGAAGAAAGGCCACTTGTAGCCAAGATAAACTTTGAAGAACTATTAGCTCATTTTCACAAAGTACAGGCCAAACATCGAGATTCCAAGCGGAGTCAGCATGCCCTGAAGCTGTCTGCAGTTAAAACACTCAATATACAGTGAACCCCTGTTGGAAGACAATATTATTTATGCAAAATAGATAATTTAAGTGGTAAATGTATATATTTGTACAGTGTCATCCTGATGTTGTCAGAGGCTGTGAGTATGTTGGGAGTGATGTCTGACTATACCCTGTCAGCTGAGCGGAATGAATTATTTTTTCTAAATTCTTTTTGCTTGTGAAACAGGCACAGCTGTATTTTCTCAGAAAAGTGTGCATTATACACAAGTAAATATGGCTTGCAGAGAAAGTAATGACAATGTCATCAAATCTAGGAAGTACAGATTCAGATGACTTGCCTGGTGGGCTTCAGGCAGCAGGCACAGAGGACTCTATACTACTCCTCTCATCCCTCTACACTGCACCTGACATAGGAGAAATGTCCCCAGTCACTGTGGGATGCAGCCAGGCATGTCATCGTCACAAGTGGGACTTCTTAGACTTCAATGAGTCGCTCCACATGTTTCTATTTTCCAACACCAACCTGAAGGCGTGGATTTTACCATTTCATTATCAGCTGGTTGCCTTTTGTCAATGTCTTCACTTGCAAAATTATTAAATGCTTCAAATTGGGAAATGTACTCTGGTAGGGAACACCAATACTAGTCTTTGATGGTTGTAAATCCAAACTAAATTTTCAAAAAAGCTAACACCCTTTTCTCTGTTGCACATGTGCAGACAGAACTTGAGCCAATGTATGGCAATGATTATAATTCACAAGTTGGTCATTCGGGAACTATAAAAATACATTTTACTGAGGCGGTCAGTTTGCTTGTGAGGCGGTTGTGGATGAGAATCTAATAATTAATTTATTGTGGCCTAATAGAATTATTTTCACTTCTTCATGTCTACACACTTGCAGACTACCAATATATATCTGTAATGTTAATGCTACATAGAGAAACATTAAATTACTGTCCACATTTTCTTGGAACCAGGAGCTTGTTGCTCTATGTTTTATTTTACAAGACCATTTCTTGTTTTGTCTTACTGCTTGTTTGTACATGTATTGTGAAAAGTTCTAATACACTTATATACATTATTCTCTTCTGCTGTTGAACTGAATAACAGTGTATAATAGAAAATAATAATATATTATATTTTGTAATATAATATATATAATATTGCACACATATCAACAAATACCTATGGACTATTCACCTGTAAAGATCCGGGATAGAATAGGTCTTCAGCAACCCCTGCTTGCAATCTCATTAAAATCAGATCTTAGTTTTCGCTACCGCTAAACAAAGATCTGACGACATCCGATTACGGGTCAGGTCAGAACAACCTTTCGCGAATTTTGACCGACCAATGAAATGACTGACAAGAAATCGACATTAGCCAATCAGAAGGCAGCTTTCTCGAGCTTTACGACACTAGTTTCAAACTGGCGACTACGCTTCGAAATATATTTTGACGTTTTCTCAATTAAAAAAATTAAAACTGATAAGAAGAACATTCTGGAATGGCTCACAGATGGCCTAGATTGTATGGATATAATCATAAAACCTGTAACTGTCATTCGGAATACCCCGTGTTAAATATTTCATGGTTGCATGATTAGAAAACACATTCCGACTGTCAGTTTCATGATCTGGTAAGCGATGCTCTGATTGGTTGGATGAAAGGTCGTTCTGATGTGACCCGTAATGGGATGTCCTCAGATCTTTGTTTAGCGAGAGTGAGAACTAAGGTCTGATTTTAATGATATTGCCCCTGCTTGCCGTAAAAGGCGACTATGCTTGTCGTAAGAGGATCGGGTGGTCAGGCTCGCTGACTTGGTTGATGAATGTCATTGTATCCCAATTGCATAGGTAGGTGTTCATGATGTCAATCACTGGATTATCTGGTCCAGACTCGATTATTTACAGACCACTGTCATATATCTGGAATATTGCTGAGTGTGGCGTTAAACAACAAACAAACAAAAATACAAACAACTTTAACTATTCTGTACATATTCTTTTTGAAAAATAGATATGCTTATGTTTCAAATAGAATGAATATCCTTGCCGAAGTAAACAAATGTTGAAGTGTTTCCAGGAAAATTTTTCTCAAATATCAATCAGTTGTTGCCGAGTGAAGTGAGTCATGGATATATTCAAATATTTTTTAGTTTCTATCAAAACTAGATGAAATATCGTGATATACAAGATGTGCAAGGTTCAGATTTTCAAGGGTGTTAGGGTAGCTTAGTTGTTAAAGATTTGCTCATCACGCCAAAGACCTGGGTTCGATTCCTCATGTGGGTACAATATGTGAAGCCCATTTCTGGTGTTCCTCGCCGTGATATTGTTGGAATATTAATAAAAGCAGCGTAAAACTGTACTCACTCACTCACACACTCACTCAGATTCTCAAGCATTTCTTTTTGTTACGTTTCTATCCCGACAAATCTTTGATCAGACTTCTACCTAGGGCTTTTGGATTCAAAAATTGTAAAAGTTTCTGTTATGTTTTTCTTTTTCTTTGGTAACAAAAACAAGACCCAGTATATAGGCTATGTGGTCACATATCTTCCCAAATACGAGCACATTACCTCTGACTACAGATAAGTCACTGGCCATGTTGTCTGAGGTGGTGCAGTTCACTGTGCAGAGACTGTAGTGATTGTGGCTCTAGCCAAAGTGATAAACATCGGAGACCTGCAGCACTTAGGTTGTTCCATTGAGTTGATCAAACCCAATAATGATCAAAGCACCATTAAATCAAACTTTATATAACAAACTATTTATAACAGTCTTGCAGTCCTCTCCTTGCATGGTGGACTTCTCAGACACGACTGACTAAATCAGGGAATATTTAGTGGGTTAAAAGTCACAAGTCAAAATTAATCCCTCATAAAAGAAAGGTGAAGTTCTGAGGCAAATCAGTACATATTAGCAAGGTCAGGGTTTGTAGATAATGATGGGCTTAACTAAATTAATTCATAGACATTTTTAAATGTATGGACAGGTTTTTGAATGAGAAATTCAACAAACATTGAGAGATTTAGTAAACTGCTAAGTAAAGATATGTAGAGGCAGGTCAAAGTCATAAGCCAGCAACATTTGTCAGTATTTTTTAAGGTATTTAGAAGACATGCAAATACTTACCTACCTACATTTGAGCACGGGTCTTAATGTATTTCTGTTGTTTTGATGTGATGGGTGGGTTTCTCTCTTTGCGTCACACTGTTGAAACGACACGTATATTCAGGGTGAAAGTCAGTGGGCATTCCATCCTAGGAGGGAGGTAACTTAGTGGATCGAAGTGTCAGGCTCAGTGACTTGGTGGTGGTGTATCAATGTACCTTGATGGCGTGGATCGATGTTCACAATATCAATCACTGGATTGTCAGGTCCAGACATTATTATTTACAGGCTACCATCATATAGCTGGAATATTGCTTAGTGCATCGTGAAACAACACACAAACAAACACACTCATGAAGGGTTGATGCAGTTTTGTTATAAGTGTAATTTCTGTTGTATGTCTATCATTAATTGGGATTTAGAATGTTCTGCCTGTTGGTCGGGTACCAGGCATGCTACACAAAGAGGGGATGGATATGTTGGGTGTATCATGTTGCAGTGATTGGAAATGTACAGGGGAATTATACTTAGGGTATATGCAGCAATATACAGTTAGTTTCTATTCACACATTTTTGTCTTTTTCTATTCTTAAAGAATCTTTTTAGATTTCAGTACACAAAACCAGTAAATGTGACCTTTTTGTGCCCATATTCTCAACCCAGAAATATGCCCAGAAGTCAGTTCACATAAAATAAATCAAAGCTTGTCACAGTCTACATTCCAGCATGATTGACATGAAAGAATGTTTTTTAACATAAAAGACAGACAATAATCATGAAACATGCAAAATAATTTCAAAGATTGGACTAGGCAATATAATGTGTTTTCTGGGAAGTGTGATATATAGTGTAACCACAGTCACTGATGTAGAGTGCAATATAATTGTCCATGTAAGTTCTGGGTGTAAATGACACGTCTGTACATATGTCACATATTTTGTATATTTCCTTATGTCGTGTACTGCTTCAGTGCCCAGCAATCACTGTTGTTGGAGTCTGTGTGACATGGAGCCTCCATGTAGTGTTCATATTTGTCCAGGTCTGAAATTAAAAAAATCTTATTCATGTTGTAGATTTTTCACCTTCAAATATATAAGCTGCATATGTTTGTACACATGACACTCTGTTGTTGTATGAAGACAGGAGACCCACCTTGGCTGCACTAGCGTGTGTGATGTAAGAAGACAGGAGACCTATCTTGGCTGCACTAGCGTGTTGTGTTATCTATGAAGACAGGAGACCCATCTTGGCTGCACTAGCGTGTGTTATGTATGAAGACAGGAGACCTATCTTGGCTGCACTAGCGTGTTGTGTTATCTATGAAGACAGGAGACCTATCTTGGCTGCACTAGCGTGTTGTTTTATCTCTGAAGACAGGAGACCTATCTTGGCTACACTAGCGTGTTGTGTTATGTATGAAGACAGGAGACCTATCTTGGCTGCACTAGCGTGTTGTTTTATCTATGAAGACAGGAGACCCATCTTGGCTGCACTAGCGTGTTGTGTTATGTATGAAGACAGGAGACCTATCTTGGCTGCACTAGCATGTGTTATGTATGAAGACAGGAGACCCATCTTGGCTGCACTAGCATGTTGTGTTATGTATGAAGACAGGAGACCCATCTTGGCTGCACTAGCATGTGTTATGTATGAAGACAGGAGACCCATCTTGGCTGCACTAGCATGTGTTATGTATGAAGACAGGAGACCCATCTTGGCTGCACTAGCATGTTGTGTTATGAATGAAGACAGGAGATCCATCTTGGCTGCACTAGCATGTGTTATGTATGGAGACAGGAGACCTATCTTGGCTGCACAAGCATGTGTTATGTATGAAGACAGGAGACCTATCTTGACTGCACTAGCGTGTGTTATGTATGAAGACAGGAGACCTATCTTGGCTGCACTAGCATGTTGTGTTATGTATGAAGACAGGAGACCTATCTTGGCTGCACTAGCATGTTGTGTTATGTATGAAGACAGGAGACCCAAATGGAGGTTGTATGTTGCAGTTCACATAAAATTGGGAATTAATCACGGGCCCCGTCTGGCTGCTTGAGGTTGTGAGAAGAGGGTACAAGCTCTACTTCCTACTACGCCCAAGTCTTGTGATGGATCCTGTAGGACACCGATTCCATCTGCCAGGAGCCAAGTTAGCTGCTGCGAACTTGGCAATACACACGATTCTAGACAAGGGAGCCAGCTGTGCATTAGAAGTCGGGTAACACCCTTGGATTCTACTCATGTCTTCCTGGCTCCTAAGAAAAATGCCTCGGAAATGATAATTGACTTGAAAGTACTCAACAAAAACTATCTAGTTAGGCCTCCCAAATCTAAATGGAGTCAGTCAAGAAATTAAGGAACGCTCTCAGATGAGGAGATTGGGTGATAGGCGTCCTGTAAGTCCAGGCTTATCTTCATGTCCTCATTCATCCAAGTTACATCACTATCTACAATGTTTCGGAGGTATCAGTTCAACATTCTACCGGCATATCCATTGCTCTATGGGTGTTCACCAAGATCACCATCGGGTTTGCTCATCTGAAGCCAGTAAGACTACTCGGCTACATTGACAACTTCCTATCGGCCAGCTAGTGTACGTGGGATTCCTGGTTCACCCAGCACAAGTCATAAACATGGCAGAATTCTACAAAAGGCAACAAAACTGAAAAGGCAACAAGATCATTGGCAAGGAAGAGACATGTTAAAATGCCCAAACTAGATCTAGAACAAAATATCAGGCCATATACTTCCGTTTTCCCCAATTTATATATGTATTCCTACTTCACTGCTGACAACTATCAAGGGAGATGCAAGATCTCATTGGTCCCCCTGGTGTATACTGGCTATGATGTAATAGAGGTAAGGTATTCAAAGGAATTATTAAACAATAGTTATAAGTGTGGAGAATTCTATACTACGAGGGCTGGCTGAAAAGTTCTAAGCCTAAGTGGGATATCTCAATCGGATTGAAACAAACATTGGCCACCAACAAGTACAATCATTTAATGAATCATAGACCTAAGGACCGTAACTGTAGTGTTATTATTGTCTTTGTACCGGACCATCTTGTGAACCTACCCATTGAAATCACCAGAAATGGACAAAACTGGCTAACTCCAACACAGATACATGCTGCCATGGTCTCCACTTTAGGGGATGAAGCCCCTTCCTTTTCCACTGTAAAGAAGTGGGCTGCCGAATTCAAGCGTGGCAGGGAGAGCCTTGACGATTACCCGCGTCCAGGAAGGCCTTCAACAGCAACCATTCTGGAAAACATTACCCGGGTGCATGACATGGTGATGGCTGATCGACGATTGACCACTCGACATATTACCAGTGTTGTGGGCATCTCTCATGAGAGGGTTGAGCACATTATTACAAACAAGTTGGGAATGACAAAAGTTTCTGCAAGATTGGTGCCAAAGCTCTTGACAGCAGATCAGAAACGTGTCAGATGCCTGACGTCCTGTGACAATTTATGCCGTTTTTAAGCATATACCGATGATTTTTTGGCCCGATTTGTTACCATGGATGAGACCTGGATTCATCACTTTCAACCAGAAACCAAAATTCAGTCTAAACAATGGAAGCATCCGGAATCACCAGCCCCCAAAAATGCCAAGTCGGTTCCTTCTGCTGGAAAGGTGATGGCTTCAGTCTTTTGGGATTCCAAGGGTATTCTGCTGATTGACTATCTTGAAAAAGGCCAGACTATCAATATTATGCTGACCTACTGAGACAGTTGCGTGAAGCTATGAAAGCTAAGCGACGTGGAATGCTCCCTAAAGGAGTCCTGTTCCACCAAGACAATGCTCCTGTTCGGTGGTTCCCAAAATGAAAAAGGAACTAGCTGGTCGCCATTTTCCTAGTAATGATGGCGTCATTTCCGCTGTGAATGACTTTTTAGGGTGGCTGAAGAAAATTTCTTCTTGACCTGCATCCAGGCCTTGCAGCATCGCTGGCAAAAGTGTGTAAACCTGGAAGTGGACTATGTGGAGAAATAAATGAAAACCAGCCCTCGTATGCTATTACTTCAGGAATTAGTCCCTCCCATCTTCCCTATATATACTGCTCAAAAGCAGTTAAGTTTAGCTAAACTGGTCACTGGTGTCCGTGGTCCCGATTTGATTATTTACAGGTCTCTGTGTTCCAGCTGGAATATGGCGGACAGCCCAATTAAACTCATTCATTCTCAAACACTCTCTCATAGACCAAAACGCCATGCCAATGACCCTCCAGTCAGCTTCTTTTCTAAACACAACCACATTCCTGTCACGCTCACTGTTGTCATGCTAGGTGCGGTGTTGAACAGCTGGTCAGGGAGACCTTTCCTACTTCCTGTCACGCTCACTGTTGTCATGCTAGGTGCGGTGTTGAACAGCTGGTCAGGGAGAGCTTTCCTACTTCCTGTCACGCTCACTGTTGTCATGCTATGTGCGGTGTTGAACAGCTGGTCAGGGAGAGCTTTCCTACTTCCTGTCACGCTCACTGTTGTCATGCTATGTGCGGTGTTGAACAGCTGGTCAGGGAGAGCTTTCCTACTTCCTGTCACGCTCACTGTTGTCATGCTAGGTGCGGTGTTGAACAGCTGGTCAGAGAGAGCTTTCCTACTTCCTGTCACGCTCACTGTTGTCATGCTAGGTGAGGTGTTGAACAGCTGGTGAGGGAGACCTTTCCTACTTCCTGTCACGCTCACTGTTGTCATGCTAGGTGCGGTGTTGAACAGCTGGTCAGAGAGAGCTTTCCTACTTCCTGTCACGCTCACTGTTGTCATGCTAGGTGTGGTGTTGAACAGCTGGTCAGGGAGACCTTTCCTACTTCCTGTCACGCTCACTGTTGTCATGCTAGGTGCGGTGTTGAACAGCTGGTCAGGCAGAGCTTTTCTACTTCATGAATCCGGACTTTCATAACAATTGTTACTATTAATAAAAGAAAAGAAGTAAGTAACGAAAGAATTAAATAGATTTTATTAGTTTCATTACACATGCTCACATACTGTTCTCATAAATGTACATAAACATTCATAAAATCTATATAATAATTGGCAAACTCTGGAATAAGCCATGCATAATGTGGAATGCCTGTCCACACTGACCGTCAACAGTGGATCCATACCCTAATAGCCACAACACAGGGTGGGTGTGGTACCACCTGACTGTCCACACTGACCGTCAACAGTGGATCCATACCCTAATAGCCACAACACAGGGTGGGTGTGGTACCACCTGACTGTCCACACTGACCGTCAACAGTGGATCCATACCCTAATAGCCACAACACAGGGTGGGTGTGGTACCACCTGACTGTCCACACTGACCGTCAACAGTGGATCCATACCCTAATAGCCACAACACAGGGTGGGTGTGGTACCACCTGACTGTCCACACTGACCGTCAACAGTGGATCCATACCCTAATAGCCACAACACAGGGTGGGTGTGGTACCACCTGACTGTCCACACTGACCGTCAACAGTGGATCAATACCCCAATAGCCACAACACAGGGTGGGTGTGGTACCACCTGACTGTCCACACTGACCGTCAACAGTGGATCAATACCCCAATAGCCACAACACAGGGTGGGTGCGGTACCACCTGACTGTCCACACTGACCGTCAACAGTGGATCAATACCCCTACAGCCACAACACAGGGTGGGTGTGGTACCACCTGACTGTCCACGCTGACCGTCAACAGTGGATCAATACCCCTACAGCCACAACACAGGGTGGGTGTGGTACCACCTGACTGTCCACACTGACCGTCAACAGTGGATCAATACCCCAATAGCCACAACACAGGGTGGGTGTGGTACCACCTGACTGTCCACACTGACCGTCAACAGTGGATCAATACCCCAATAGCCACAACACAGGGTGGGTGCGGTACCACCTGACTGTCCACACTGACCGTCAACAGTGGATCAATACCCCTACAGCCACAACACAGGGTGGGTGTGGTACCACCTGACTGTCCACGCTGACCGTCAACAGTGGATCAATACCCCTACAGCCACAACACAGGGTGGGTGTGGTACCACCTGACTGTCCACACTGACCGTCAACAGTGGATCAATACCCCAATAGCCACAACACAGGGTGGGTGTGGTACCACCTGACTGTCCACACTGACCGTCAACAGTGGATCAATACCCTAATAGCCACAACACAGGGTGGGTGTGGTACCACCTGACCGTCCACACTGACTGTCAACAGTGGATAAATACCCCAATAGCCACAACACAGGGTGGTGTGGTACCACCTGACTGTCCACACTGACCGTCAACAGTGGATCAATACCCTAATAGCCACAACACAGGGTGGGTGTGGTACCACCTGACTGTCCACGCTGACCGTCAACAGTGGATCAATACCCTAAGAGCCACAACACAGGGTGGGTGTGGTACCACCTGACTGTCCACACTGACCGTCAACAGTGGATCAATACCCCAATAGCCACAACACAGGGTGGGTGTGGTACCACCTGACTGTCCACGCTGATCGTCAACAGTGGATCAATACCCTAATAGCCACAACACAGGGTGGGTGTGGTACCACCTGACTGTCCACACTGACCGTCAACAGTGGATCAATACCCTAATAGCCACAACACAGGGTGGGTGTGGTACCACCTGACTGTCCACGCTGACCGTCAACAGTGGATCAATACCCCTACAGCCACAACACAGGGTGGGTGTGGTACCACCTGACTGTCCACGCTGACCGTCAACAGTGGATCAATACCCCTACAGCCACAACACAGGGTGGGTGTGGTACCACCTCACTGTCCACACACTACAGGATGCTGCATCCACAGTCATCATGGCTGCAGCCCTCAGTCCATACATTACTGTGTTCAATGTAAACAGGGGACAATTCACTGGGCTGGACTTGAATACAGTCCTTCTCTTCATCGTTTCCTCATGCCTACTTTACAGCTTAAAACAAACCATTTGTGAAACAGCCAACACTGACAACCGCACTCAGGCCTACATAATGCTTCCACACCTCCTGGTGGTGTAGATCACACTTATATAGTGTGCCAATTCTATTATAAACACAATTTACAAGGATAGAATACTCTTTTGTATGAGCCCTCTCAGAATTCTTATTACATAGTTTGTGAAACACTCGCTCTCCTTCACACAGCCAACAATGTGAACTGCAACATCAGAAAGGAACATGCATGGCTAACAACTACAACCATCAGAACCTACTTACCTTATTCATAGTAGGAATTCATTGGTTGTTTTTAAATAACACATCAGTGAACACAATGTTCTTGTCATCATGGCAAGTGTTGGTTTATGTTGTCTGAACTGATTTACACTTGTGCTGGGTACTGAAGGTTAACAGACACTAGTGTTTAATATCTAATGATAGTTGATCATATATTTCATGCACACTTGCATCACATATACACCATATATAAAACAAAAACAAACAAACTGTATTTGTGCTGTTTTCACAGTTCTTAAGGCAAGTGATATGGAACAGTTATTGGACTATTGAACGTATTTAATACTAATGATAGCTACTTTCTAATTTCATGCTTGTGTTGTCAAAATATGTATTTGTTCAGCGTGACATGAAGGTCACCTTGACTGAGGTTTCGTAAAACTGAACATGACTAGAATAGAATTTGAATTGCAGGTCAAATCATAGGCAGCTCCATCACCACCTATAAGTCCTGAATCCCCAAAACTTGTAACACATCAACACATCCCTCTAGGAACATGTATCATAAACCAGTTGACCACACCAATGCCTGTTAACAGGTTTGAACCCTTCTGGTTAAGATCCAAAGCCTAACACATGAATTTTGGCAAATTGAATGGAGTATCACTGCAAGGTTGTTAAAACACATACTGAATGCAATATCATTAAAAATCAGACTGGCAGGTGTCTCCAGTCACCTTTTTAAGTAAGTTATATTCACATCAGTTTTTTTAGTATTACATACGGTTTGAGAATACCAAATATAGTACAACTTCAAAACAGAAAATCCATGCCTCAAGCTACTATAAATAAAACAGTCATATACTTTAAATATGGTCTAATGACCTTGAATCTTCAATCCTAAAGCATGATGAGCTTCCATAAGATTTAAAATTGTAAGTATATTGAGCTTGTGATACGACAGATCTTAAATCTCAATAGCATACTCCATAGCCTAGATATAGGTTTGTGCATACGGAATGAATCGTGGTAGAGTTTGCTGTAGAGCGGCTGCAATGTTTCATAAGAATAAAGTCTAACAGTTACATTCTGTAAACATGACTATACAGTAGCGACATCATTTGTGCCAAATACAAGTAATGGTCTTTAACATCTTTGCTATCAACATGTACAACTGTTTCTGTCTGCAGCTCGCCTGGACATGAGAGGTATTTGTCATAATCTTTGATTGTGCGACATGTACATACAATATTTAGACATAACTTCGAAAGGTCATTCACAATCATTATTCATTGGGTACAGGCATCAAAGTGAATAATGGTCCAAAATACCATCTTAGATATGGCAGTCACATTTAAAACTGAAAAGGTATCTGAGTACATCTACAGTTTTGATGACATTCTCAGTGATAATGTTTCCTGGAACAAGTCTGCTTCATAAAAACTGTAGTATTAGAGCACATGTTGAGATATGTGGACCTTGGTCCAAGTGAGATATAAACACAACCAGCTGTGTCTCAGCAAGAGAAACAACAACACCTCAGTTATCTGGTGTATCACATCTCCATGCTATTATGATCAACACACGGGACCAATTCACCACCACAGCTTCCACCATGTTGGAAGTGATGTTACCACCTCAATCTCCAATTTCTAACTTGGCTCATGACAGAAATTTGCTTTGAATGACTATTTTTAGCATCCTAATATTTATCATGGAGACATGATACACAGGATAATCGAGGATGCAAAAACAATCTTGTGAAGATTCTTTGATGCAATATATGTTCATTTAACAAAAAGGGAAATGAAACATATATGCATCTTACAAGATGACAATAACTTAATCTTTGCAAGAATATGAAAGAAGTAACAAACTGTAAAGTAAACAGCCATCTTTCAACTCATTTGGTAGGTTGACCCCTAAGGTAATCGGAACATCATGTGAAACACTGGCAGATATCTACAGTCGGCTAATCAAGTTCAAGTGACAACAGAGACAGAAGCAGATCATGACCTACAGTGGGCTCTAACTGCCACAAGTTGAAGTGACAACAGAGACAGAAGCAGATCACGACCTACAGTGGGCTCCAACTGCCACAAGTTGAAGTGACAACAGAGACAGAAGCAGATCACGACCTACAGTGGGCTCCAACTGCCTCAAGTTGAAGTGACAACAGAGACAGAAGCAGATCACGACCTACAGTGGGCTCCAACTGCCACAAGTTGGGGTGACAACAGAGACAGATGCAGATCACGACCTACAGTGGGCTCCAACTGCCTCAAGTTGGGGTGACAACAGAGACAGAAGCAGATCACGACCTACAGTGGGCTCCAACTGCCACAAGTTAAAGTGACAACAGAGACAGAAGCAGATCACGACCTACAGTGGGCTCCAACTGCCACAAGTTAAAGTGACAACAGAGACAGATGCAGATCACGACCTACAGTGGGCTCCAACTGCCACAAGTTAAAGTGACAACAGAGACAGAAGCAGATCACGACCTACAGTGGGCTCCAACTGCCACAAGTTAAAGTGACAACAGAGACAGAAGCAGATCAGGACCTACAGTGGGCTCCAACTGCCTCAAGTTGAAGTGACAACAGAGACAGATGCAGATCACGACCTACAGTGGGCTCCAACTGTAACAAGTTGAAGTGACAACAGAGACAGAAGCAGATCACGACCTACAGTGGGCTCCAACTGCCTCAAGTTGGGGTGACAACAGAGACAGAAGCAGATCACGACCTACAGTGGGCTCCAACTGCCTCAAGTTGAAGTGACAACAGAGACAGAAGCAGATCAGGACCTACAGTGGGCTCCAACTGCCTCAATTTGAAGTGACAACAGAGACAGAAGCAGATCACGACCTACAGTGGGCTCCAACTGCCACAAGTTGAAGTGACAACAGAGACAGATGCAGATCACGACCTACAGTGGGCTCCAACTGCCACAAGTTGGGGTGACAACAGAGACAGAAGCAGATCACGACCTACAGTGGGCTCCAACTGCAACAAGTTGGGGTGACAACTGAGACAGAAGCAGATCACGACCTACAGTGGGCTCCAACTGCCACAAGTTGGGGTGACAACAGAGACAGAAGCAGATCACGACCTACAGTGGGCTCCAACTGCAACAAGTTGAAGTGACAACAGAGACAGAAGCAGATCACGACCTACAGTGGGCTCCAACTGCCTCAAGTTGAAGTGACAACAGAGACAGATGCAGATCACGACCTACAGTGAGCTCCAACTGCCACAAGTTGGGGTGACAACAGAGACAGAAGCAGATCACGACCTACAGTGGGCTCCAACTGCAACAAGTTAAAGTGACAACAGAGACAGAAGCAGATCACGACCTACAGTGGGCTCCAACTGCAACAAGTTGAAGTGACAACAGAGACAGAAGCAGATCACGACCTACAGTGGGCTCCAACTGTAACAAGTTGAAGTGACAACAGAGACAGAAGCAGATCACGACCTACAGTGGGCTCCAACTGCCTCAAGTTGGGGTGACAACAGAGACAGAAGCAGATCACGACCTACAGTGGGCTCCAACTGCCTCAAGTTGAAGTGACAACAGAGACAGAAGCAGATCAGGACCTACAGTGGGCTCCAACTGCCTCAATTTGAAGTGACAACAGAGACAGAAGCAGATCACGACCTACAGTGGGCTCCAACTGCCACAAGTTGAAGTGACAACAGAGACAGATGCAGATCACGACCTACAGTGGGCTCCAACTGCCACAAGTTAAAGTGACAACAGAGACAGATGCAGATCACGACCTACAGTGGGCTCCAACTGCCACAAGTTAAAGTGACAACAGAGACAGAAGCAGATCACGACCTACAGTGGGCTCCAACTGCCACAAGTTAAAGTGACAACAGAGACAGAAGCAGATCAGGACCTACAGTGGGCTCCAACTGCCTCAAGTTGAAGTGACAACAGAGACAGATGCAGATCACGACCTACAGTGGGCTCCAACTGTAACAAGTTGAAGTGACAACAGAGACAGAAGCAGATCACGACCTACAGTGGGCTCCAACTGCCTCAAGTTGGGGTGACAACAGAGACAGAAGCAGATCACGACCTACAGTGGGCTCCAACTGCCTCAAGTTGAAGTGACAACAGAGACAGAAGCAGATTAGGACCTACAGTGGGCTCCAACTGCCTCAATTTGAAGTGACAACAGAGACAGAAGCAGATCACGACCTACAGTGGGCTCCAACTGCCACAAGTTGAAGTGACAACAGAGACAGATGCAGATCACGACCTACAGTGGGCTCCAACTGCCACAAGTTGGGGTGACAACAGAGACAGAAGCAGATCACGACCTACAGTGGGCTCCAACTGCAACAAGTTGGGGTGACAACTGAGACAGAAGCAGATCACGACCTACAGTGGGCTCCAACTGCCACAAGTTGGGGTGACAACAGAGACAGAAGCAGATCACGACCTACAGTGGGCTCCAACTGCAACAAGTTGAAGTGACAACAGAGACAGAAGCAGATCACGACCTACAGTGGGCTCCAACTGCCTCAAGTTGAAGTGACAACAGAGACAGATGCAGATCACGACCTACAGTGGGCTCCAACTGCCACAAGTTGGGGTGACAACAGAGACAGAAGCAGATCACGACCTACAGTGGGCTCCAACTGCAACAAGTTAAAGTGACAACAGAGACAGAAGCAGATCACGACCTACAGTGGGCTCCAACTGCAACAAGTTGAAGTGACAACAGAGACAGAAGCAGATCACGACCTACAGTGGGCTCCAACTGCCTCAAGTTGAAGTGACAACAGAGACAGAAGCAGATCATGACCTACAGTGGGCTCCAACTGCCACAAGTTGAAGTGACAACAGAGACAGATGCAGATCACGACCTACAGTGGGCTCCAACTGCCTCAAGTTGGGGTGACAACAGAGACAGAAGCAGATCATGACCTACAGTGGGCTCCAACTGCCACAAGTTGAAGTGACAACAGAGACAGAAGCAGATCACGACCTACAGTGGGCTCCAACTGCCACAAGTTGAAGTGACAACAGAGACAGAAGCAGATCACGACCTACAGTGGGCTCCAACTGCCACAAGTTGAAGTGACAACAGAGACAGAAGCAGATCACGACCTACAGTGGGCTCCAACTGCCACAAGTTGAAGTGACAACAGAGACAGAAGCAGATCACGACCTACAGTGGGCTCCAACTGCCACAAGTTGAAGTGACAACAGAGACAGAAGCAGATCACGACCTACAGTGGGCTCCAACTGCCTCAAGTTGGGGTGACAACAGAGACAGAAGCAGATCACGACCTACAGTGGGCTCCAACTGCCTCAAGTTGAAGTGACAACAGAGACAGATGCAGATCATGACCTACAGTGGGCTCCAACTGCCTCAAGTTGAAGTGACAACAGAGACAGAAGCAGATCACGACCTACAGTGGGCTCCAACTGCCTCAAGTTGAAGTGACAACAGAGACAGATGCAGATCACGACCTACAGTGGGCTCCAACTGCCTCAAGTTGAAGTGACAACAGAGACAGAAGCAGATCACGACCTACAGTGGGCTCCAACTGCCACAAGTTGAAGTGACAACAGAGACAGAAGCAGATCACGACCTACAGTGGGCTCCAACTGCCTCAAGTTGAAGTGACAACAGAGACAGAAGCAGATCACGACCTACAGTGGGCTCCAACTGCCACAAGTTGAATTGACAACAGAGACAGAAGCAGATCACGACCTACAGTGGGCTCCAACTGCCACAAGTTGAAGTGACAACAGAGACAGAAGCAGATCATGACCTACAGTGGGCTCCAACTGCCTCAAGTTGGGGTGACAACAGAGACAGAAGCAGATCACGACCTACAGTGGGCTCCAACTGCCACAAGTTGAATTGACAACAGAGACAGAAGCAGATCACGACCTACAGTTGGCTCCAACTGCCACAAGTTGAATTGACAACAGAGACAGAAGCAGATCACGACCTACAGTGGGCTCCAACTGCCACAAGTTGAAGTGACAACAGAGACAGAAGCAGATCACGACCTACAGTGGGCTCCAACTGCCTCAAGTTGAAGTGACAACAGAGACAGAAGCAGATCACAACCTACAGTGGTCTCCAACTGCCACAAGTTTGGGTGACAACAGAGACAGAAGCAGATCACGACCTACAGTGGGCTCCAACTGCCACAAATTGAAGTGACAACAGAGACAGAAGCAGATCACGACCTACAGTGGGCTCCAACTGCCTCAAGTTTGGGTGACAACAGAGACAGAAGCAGATCACGACCTACAGTGGGCTCCAACTGCCACAAGTTGGGGTGACAACAGAGACAGAAGCAGATCACGACCTACAGTGGGCTCCAACTGACTCAAGTTGGGGTGACAACAGAGACAGAAGCAGATCATGACCTACAGTGGGCTCCAACTGCCACCAGTTGGGTCGACAACAGAGACAGAAGCAGATCACGACCTACAGTGGGCTCCAACTGCCACAAGTTGAAGTGACAACAGAGACAGATGCAGATCACGACCTACAGTGGGCTCTAACTGCCACAAGTTGGGGTGACAACAGAGACAGAAGCAGATCACGACCTACAGTGGGCTCCAACTGCCACAAGTTGGGGTGACAACTGAGACAGAAGCAGATCAGGACCTACAGTGGGCTCCAACTGCCACAAGTTGGGGTGACAACAGAGACAGAAGCAGATCACGACCTACAGTGGGCTCCAACTGCCACAAGTTGGGGTGACAACAGAGACAGAAGCAGATCACGACCTACAGTGGGCTCCAACTGCCACAAGTTGAAGTGACAACAGAGACAGAAGCAGATCACGACCTACAGTGGGCTCCAACTGCCACAAGTTGAAGTGACAACAGAGACAGAAGCAGATCACGACCTACAGTGGGCTCCAACTGCCACAAGTTGAAGTGACAACAGAGACAGAAGCAGATCACGACCTACAGTGGGCTCCAACTGCCTCAAGTTGAATTGACAACAGAGACAGATGCAGATCACGACCTACAGTGGGCTCCAACTGCCACAAGTTGGGGTGACAACAGAGACAGAAGCAGATCACGACCTACAGTGGGCTCCAACTGCCTCAAGTTGGGGTGACAACAGAGACAGAAGCAGATCACGACCTACAGTGGACTCCAACTGCCACAAGTTGGGGTGACAACAGAGACAGAAGCAGATCACGACCTACAGTGGGCTCTAACTGCCTCAAGTTGGGGTGACAACAGAGACAGAAGCAGATCATGACCTACAGTGGGCTCCAACTGCCACAAGTTGGGGTGACAACAGAGACAGAAGCAGATCACGACCTACAGTGGGCTCCAACTGCCACAAGTTGAAGTGACAACAGAGACAGAAGCAGATCACGACCTACAGTGGGCTCCAACTGCCACAAAGTGAAGTGACAACAGAGACAGATGCAGATCACCACCTACAGTGGGCTCCAACTGCCACAAGTTGAAGTGACAACAGAGACAGAAGCAGATCATGACCTACAGTGGGCTCCAACTGCCACAAGTTGAATTGACAACAGAGACAGAAGCAGATCACGACCTACAGTGGGCTCCAACTGCCACAAGTTGAAGTGACAACAGAGACAGAAGCAGATCACGACCTTCAGTGGGCTCCAACTGCCACAAGTTGAAGTGACAACAGAGACAGAAGCAGATCACGACCTACAGTGGGCTCCAACTGCCACAAGTTGAAGTGACAACAGAGACAGATGCAGATCACGACCTACAGTGGACTCCAACTGCCACAAGTTGGGGTTACAACAGAGACAGAAGCAGATCACGACCTACAGTGGGCTCCAACTGCCTCAAGTTGAAGTGACAACAGAGACAGATGCAGATCACGACCTACAGTGGGCTCCAACTGCCACAAGTTGGGGTGACAACAGAGACAGATGCAGATCATGACCTACAGTGGGCTCCAAATGCCACAAGTTGAAGTGACAACAGAGACAGAAGCAGATCACGACCTACAGTGGGCTCCAACTGCCACAAGTTGAAGTGACAACAGAGACAGATGCAGATCACGACCTACAGTGGGCTCCAACTGCCTCAAGTCGAAGTGACAACAGAGACAGATGCAGATCACGACCTACAGTGGGCTCCAACTGCCTCAAGTCGAAGTGACAACAGAGACTGAAGCAGATCATGAGTTTGTTACAGTTGGCTATTGTTGTCTCCACTTTCAATTGATTAGAATTGCTAAAAGTGGATCTTTGATGGGAATTGCTAAACGTGGATCTTTGATTAGATATGCTAAAAGTGGATCATAGCATGTTTTTCAGAGGAGATGCATCAAACTGCTCCTTTCTGACAGTACACATAATGTACAGGGGCAATATGAGCCAGGCACTACCACACAACACACAGTAACTAGGACTTCTTCTGACACATGTACACAGAACCACACTGACATAGTCAACCATTCCACAAATACATCAGCCTAATACTTTTAACAAAGTAGTACTGGTCTTGGTAATGTAGTTTTACATACAAGCTTATTTGGAAATGATAAATCAAGTGTGAAGTGTTTTTGGTATTCTTCTCTCTTCATGTCCATGCACTGGTATCTAGGCAAGTACGATACAACACTGGTATTCTAAAAGGCCCACACTGACATTGGACCACAAACTATCGTCTGTTCCCAACTTTGTACACAGGCCCTTGACTTTAACTCCCTGCCGTGGCTTCATGACCAGGATACCGATTGAAACAAGGTATCTGTGGCTACATATGAAGGAATAAATAACTTACTTCAATTGCTTAGCATAAGAGAGAAAACAAATCAATCTTTGGTAAACAAAATATGCAATGAGATTCTTTAAGAAACATACTGTCACTATACAAATATGAAATGTGTTAGTTTCTATTGCACTGAGCTCTATGAAGTGACGGAAATGCTATTAGTATTACACTAATTCCAACATCCACTACTTCTGTATGGTCTTGACAAGCCAGGCCACAAGCCCCGCTGCTATGAGGACCCCGGCTGCTCCAAGCATGTAGGGGGCTGCAGCCTTCAAATCCTCCACCACCAGCGTCCACCGCAGGTCGTTGATCTCATACTGGATGCGCCTGAAGGTCGACCTCTTCTGGAACAGCTGGTAGTACTTGTGTATGTTGGGGCATGTCTTGGCTGGGAAGTACCGTGCCTCCATTCCCAGGAGTGACAGACGGGACAATAAAATAGTCAGCGAAATGTCGGCTGCTGTGATCATTTTCCCAAACAGCCATAACTCACCACTATCATCTGAACCTAAAATATGAAATAAATAATTTTGTGTCAACTCAAATGATTGCCTAAATAGTCTTCTTCAATGTTAAAATCCAGGGTAGAATAGGTCTTCAGCAACCCATGCTTACCGTAAGAGGCGACTATGCTTGTCATATGAGGCAACTAAGGGGTTCAGGTGGTCAGGCTCGCTGACTTGGTTGAGGCATGTCATCGTATCTCAATTGCGTGGATTGATGCTCATGATGTCAATCAGTGGGTTGTCTGGTCCAGACTTGATTATTTACAGACCACCGTCATATAGCTGGAGTATTGCTGAGTGCAGCGTTAAACAACAAACATACAAACAAATAAACAAACAATCAATGTTATGAGATGGCATGTATAAGTCTGACTGCTGGTCTGGTATAACTAGACCATATGATTTGAATGATGGACTATTTCAGATTTCTAATGCAGCAGTAACCAAGACAAAAAAGAACTGTTTGGGGGATACACACAAACCATATCTATGTCATATATGAGGGCTGGTAAAAAGATTCTAAGCCTGACTAACTTTCAACTATGGGCCTAAGTGAACTAATCAATGAAGTACATTGTTTGAGTATTTCAATGCAAGTGTACTTGGTCTGTTGAGGCCGTTTGTATATTAGTGACAGCCAGTTGAACGTGATAGGGGTCCAAATGGACACAGAAATGGAAAAGAACGAGTACCAATCAGTCATCAGTTTTTTACTTAAGAGAAAAGTACTCCCCATAAAATTCATGACCGCATGTCCCCAAGTGTATGGGGATAAGTGCCTTAGCTATTCCACTGTTAAACGTTGGGCAGCTATGTTAAAGGCTGGGCGAACAAGCCTTGGTGATGACCCTAGGTCTGGACGTCCCTCAACTTCCATTAATGAAGATTCAATCAAGGCGATAGAAAAACTTTTACTGTCATTTAGACGAATTAACATTGCTGAACTTGATGAAGACACAGGTCTTAGCCAAAGATCCATTGAAGCTATTATTCATGAACATTTACAGATGAACAAGATATCTGATTTGGGGTGCCAAAGTTTCTAAATTCTGATTTTAAGGAAAAAAGAACTTACATTGCCAGAAAAAAATTAGAGCTAACTGAGAAGGTTTAGTCAAATTCAAAAAGAGATTAGAAACGGGTGATGAAACATGGGTCTACCACTATGATCCTGAGTCAAAACGTCATTCCAAGGAATGGCACCATTCCACTTCTCCAGCACCAAAGAAATTCAAGTCTTCAAGATCATTGAAGAAAGTAAAGAAACTGGCCACTGTATTCTGGGATGCAAAGGGTGTGATCCTTGCTGATTACTTAGAAAGTCAAAGACGATTACCGGTGCCTACTATGCTGATTTGCTTCATTGCCTGAGAGATTTTATCACAGAAAAGCGGCGAGGAATGGCTACTGTGCAACAATGTGGGTTCGAAGAGCTTCTTCACCCTCCATACTCGCCCAACCTGGCACCAAGTGATTTCCACCTGTTTCCTAAACTGAAAAAAACCCTACATGGAAAGTGCTATGACGACAATGATGATGACCTCAAAGCTGCTGTGAATGGGTTTTTCAGGCAGGCTTCAGAAAACCTTTTCCTGAATGGAACTGAAAAGCTTCACTTTCAATATGAGAAGAGTATTGAGAAGCAGGGAGATTATGTTGAAAAATAAAATTAAAAACACTTTCACAATTGTTGGTTTTGTTTGAAAGGCTCAGAACTTGTTGACCAGCCCTTGAACATAATCAGCATTCAACCCTTTTCTTTTTTCAAATGAATAGAAATATATTTTGCTTATTTCCTTCAACTTCATTAATCATGACTGCCCTGATGAACAGACACATATGACAATGCTGCCGATGGCCACACTAATCACTGCCCTGATGAACAGACACATATCACAATGCTGCCAATAGCCACACTAATCACTGCCCTGATGAACAGACACATATCACAATGCTGCTGATAGCCACACTAATCACTGCCCTGATGAACAGACACATATCACAATGCTGCCAATAGCCACACTAATCACTGCCCTGATGAACAGACACATATGGCAATGCTGTCAATAGCCACACTAATCACTGCCCTGATGAACAGACACATATCACAATGCTGCCAATAGACACACTAATCACTGCCCTGGTGAACAGACACATATGACAATTCTGCCAATAGCCATACTCATCATTGCCCTGATGAACAGACACATATGACAATGCTGCTGATAGCCACACTAATCACTGCCCTGATGAACAGACACATATGACAATGCTGTCAATAGCCACACTAATCACTGCCCTGATGAACAGACACATATGACAATGCTGCCAATAGCCACACTAATCACTGCCCTGATGAACAGACACATATGACAATGCTGCCAATAGACACACTAATCACTGCCCTGATGAACAGACACATATGACAATGCTGCCAATAGCCACACTAATCACTGCCCTGATGAACAGACACATATGACAATGCTGCTGATAGCCACACTAATCACTGCCCTGATGAACAGACACATATCACAATGCTGCTGATAGCCACATTAATCACTGCCCTGGTGAACAGACACATATGACAATTCTGACAATAGCCACATTAATCACTGCCCTGATGAACAGACACATATGACAATGCTGCTGATAGCCACACTAATCACTGCCCTGATGAACAGACACATATGACAATGCTGTCAATAGCCACACTAATCACTGCCCTGATGAACAGACACATATGACAATGCTGCTAATAGCCACACTAATCACTGCCCTGATGAACAGACACATATGACAATGCTGCCAATAGACACACTAATCACTGCCCTGATGAACAGACACATATGACAATGCTGCCAATAGCCACACTAATCACTGCCCTAATGAACAGACACATATGACAATGCTGCCAATAGACACACTAATCACTGCCCTGATGAACAGACACATATGACAATGCTGCCAATAGCCACACTAATCACTGCCCTGATGAACAGACACATATGACAATGCTGCTGATAGCCACACTAATCACTGCCCTGATGAACAGACACATATGACAATGCTGCTGATAGCCACATTAATCACTGCCCTGGTGAACAGACACATATGACAATTCTGCCAATAGCCACAGTAATCACTGCCCTGATGAACAGACACATATCACAATGCTGCCAATAGCCACACTAATCACTGCCCTGATGAACAGACGCATATGACAATGCTGCTGATAGCCACATTAATCACTGCCCTGGTGAACAGACACATATGACAATTCTGCCAATAGACACACTAATCACTGCCCTGATGAACAGACACATATGGCAATGCTGCTGATAGCCACACTAATCACTGCCCTGATGAACAGACACATATGACAATGCTGCTGATAGCCACATTAATCACTGCCCTGGTGAACAGACACATATGACAATTCTGACAATAGCCACAATAATCACTGCCCTGATGAACAGACACATATGACAATGCTGCCAATAGCCACACTAATCACTGCCCTGATGAACAGACACATATGACAATGCTGTCAATAGCCACACTAATCACTGCCCTGGTGAACAGACACATATGACAATTCTGCCAATAGCCATACTCATCACTGCCCTGATGAACAGACACATATGACAATGCTGCTGATAGCCACACTAATCACTGCCCTGATGAACAGACACATATGACAATGCTGCCAATAGCCACACTAATCACTGCCCTGATGAACAGACACATATGACAATGCTGCCAATAGACACACTAATCACTGCCCTGATGAACAGACACATATGACATTGCTGCCAATAGACACACTAATCACTGCCCTGATGAACAGACACATATGACAATGCTGCCAATAGAGATACTAATCACTGCCCTGATGAACAGACACATATCACAATGCTGTCAATAGCCACACTAATCACTGCCCTGATGAACAGACACATATGACAATGCTGCTGGTAGGCACACTAATCACTGCCCTGATGAACAGACACATATGACAATGCTGCTGATAGCCACATTAATCACTGCCCTGGTGAACAGACACATATGACAATTCTGCCAATAGCCACACTAATCACTGCCCTGATGAACAGACACATATGACAATGCTGCCGATGGCCACACTAATCACTGCCCTGATGAACAGACACATATCACAATGCTGCCAATAGCCACACTAATCACTGCCCTGGTGAACAGACACATATGACAATTCTGCCAATAGCCATACTCATCACTGCCCTGATGAACAGACACATATGACAATGCTGCTGATAGCCACACTAATCACTGCCCTGATGAACAGACACATATGACAATGCTGCCAATAGCCACACTAATCACTGCCCTGATGAACAGACACATATGACAATGCTGCCAATAGACACACTAATCACTGCCCTGATGAACAGACACATATGACATTGCTGCCAATAGACACACTAATCACTGCCCTGATGAACAGACACATATGACAATGCTGCCAATAGAGATACTAATCACTGCCCTGATGAACAGACACATATCACAATGCTGTCAATAGCCACACTAATCACTGCCCTGATGAACAGACACATATGACAATGCTGCTGGTAGGCACACTAATCACTGCCCTGATGAACAGACACATATGACAATGCTGCTGATAGCCACATTAATCACTGCCCTGGTGAACAGACACATATGACAATTCTGCCAATAGCCACACTAATCACTGCCCTGATGAACAGACACATATGACAATGCTGCCAATAGACACACTAATCACTGCCCTGATGAACACACATATGACAATTCTGCCAATAGACACACTAATCACTGCCCTGATGAACAGACACATATGGCAATGCTGCTGATAGCCACACTAATCACTGCCCTGATGAACAGACACATATCACAATGCTGCTGATAGCCACACTAATCACTGCCCTGATGAACAGACACATATGCCAATTCTGCTAATAGCCACATTAATCACTGCCCTGATGAACAGGGCAACGTGACTCACTAATCACTGCCCTGATAAACAGACACATATGACTAGGGCAATGTGACTCACTAATCACTGCCCTGATAAACAGACACATATGACTAGGGCAATGTGACTCACTAATCACTGCCCTGATGAATGGACATATATGACTAGGGCAAAGTGACTCACTAATCACTGCCCTGATAAACAGCCACATATGACTAGGGCAATGTGACTCACTAATCACTGCCCTGATGAACAGGCACATATGACTAGGGCAATGTGACTCACTAATCACTGCCCTGATAAACAGACACATATGACTAGGGCAATGTGACTCACTAATCACTGCCCTGATAAACAGACACATATGACTAGAGCAACGTGACTCACTAATCACTGCCCTGATAAACAGGCACATATGACTAGGGCAATGTGACTCACTAATCACAGCCCTGATAAACAGCCACATATGACTAAGGCAATGCGACTCACTAATCACTGCCCTGATAAACAGACACATATGACTAGGGCAATGTGACTCACTAATCACTGCCCTGATAAACAGACACATATGACTAGAGCAACGTGACTCACTGCTTCCCATGCTAATGGAACAGGGCCACCAATACCAAACATATTTGGCATTTACCAATCTTTTTCAGAAGTATACATTCTAGTTGTATTGACAATCTTCTCTAGACAACTGGAGATGGAAGACATGAGCAGTTGGATCCTTCACCTTCTTTTGTTCTCCTCAGCAATATCTCAATGTCTGAGAAAATGTTGTCCAGTTGATCCAGTTGTCCTTTCACCTTCTCTTCATCAGTGATGATGTCATATTTTTGGGCAGCTGTCTGACTCTTGGCAAGGTAGCCATCGCGTAGACTGGGATGTCTTGTTGCTTTGTGGGTCAAATAACAGAGACGTTTGGCAAAGTTTTCTGAAGACAAGAAACAAACACAAGAACTGATGACAATGTTGGACAATAACATATTCAATTTCAAAGCCCCAATTTCACCTTTCAAATCTCCTATATATTGACACAGTGCAGGTGTAACATCATGACACACCAAGCGTTATGATAAGGGTAAACTGAATTCAAACTTCCTAGCAGCAAATCTTTCAAATACACAACTCTGCACTACATGTTACAAACCTAAGACCACTGCAGTACCAGTCCCACCTGCAGATATTTCTCTGAGTTTTTTTATATTGTGATTAGTTAGTGGCTGGCCCCGTGAAGATCCCGGGTAGAATAGGTCTTCAGCAACCCATACTTGCCGTAAAAGGCGACTATGCTTGTCGTAAGAGGCGACTTACAGGAATGGTTGGTCAGGCTCGCTGACTTGGTTGATGCATGTCATTGTGTCCCAATTACGTGGATCGATGCTTGTGATGTCAATCACTGGATTTTCTGGTCCAGACTCGATTATTTCCAGACCGCCGTCAAATAGCTGGAATATTGCTGAGTGCGACGTTAATCAACAAACAAACAGAAAGTTAGTGGCTGGCTACCTCTCATGCTCCTCTGTACTGCGAAGGGCAGCCGGCAACCGGATGCTGACAAGTGGGGGTGGAAGATGATGCCGTATGTGATGACGTCCACAGGAATTCCCGTCAGCTGTTCTCGCACGGATGCTACTGACTGACCCAGGGAGGTCTTGAGGTCAGGGACGAGGGTAGGACCTGACGCAGGCAATATCCAAAGGAGGATCTAACAAGTTACTAAATTTGACGTAGTTAGTATGGCAAACCTCATCCTGTAAATTGTTACAAACATATACATACAGTCAAGTCTCGTTAATCCGACAATAGGCTTTATCTGATACTAATGATGGGAACCATTTTAAATCAGTGCTTTTTAGACCCCTTAATCCGACAGTCTCGCACTGCCCACTCCGACACACCTAATTTGCAATGAATTACTGGAATCACTCATAAATCAGTCTAGTTAACCTGACACAGTGATCAGCGCACTCCGTGGTCATATGCCCACGAGTACACAGCCCGTGTTTTGATGCGAGATGAGTCGGCTAGTGGCTGCACATTGGCTGCTGCTGCAGAAATAAACTTGCTTAACAATAAACAATTAATACTTTAAATAAACAAAACAGTATGAATCACATGCTTAGATTACCTCAATCTCATTAAGTTAAGATACAAGTTCTTGCTACCACTGACGACATCCCATTACAGATCCCTTTAGAACGACCTTTCGCGAACTTTGACCGACCAATTAAATGACTAACTGGAAGTCGACATTAGCCACTAAGAAAGCATCTTTCTTGATCTTTGCGGCACTAGTTTCAAACTGGCGATTTCCATTCCAGACTATGCTTTCAAAGTATTTTGAATCAGTCATACAGCCCATAACAGTAGTTTCATGTTAAGCTTCAAAGTTTGCATGATTAGATTAGATTAAATAGAAAACAATGGCCATTATGGTCAGGCTACAATCTATTGAAACTTGTAACCTTTAACATGTCTTGTCTTGTAGACTAGAAGGTTTGGGGCATATACTGAATGATTTGTAAACACAAACCAGGAAAGGGCATTACCTGTGTCGGACATCATGTCGATATAATCAATGATTTCTTCTGGGTTGTTGATGATCTTTGCCCCATCCTTCAACACCGGCACATGGACGCCATCAGGGTTTAGTCGGACATACCATGGCTCCATGTGCTGACCATGGAACAAACTCACAAGCTTGGGTTTGAACTGGACATTCTTTTCATAGAGCGCCAACAGCACCTGCAACATACACAGCAACCGTAGTGACACCTACATCAAGCCTGTATCACATACTCACATGAACAGCGTCACATTGTCATGCATGATGGCACTGAATTAACAGTTTACTTCTTGTGGTATTATAATACTGAATATTGCAAACATTGGCTTTATACTTATTCACAGTTTGAAAAATATAACCATAAATGTCTGCTGACCTGAGGGAACAGTCTTAACCTACTTGAATACTGGCCAAGAACACATTCAAGCACAAAAGATTCTTTAGTTGATTGCAATTAGATGCAAAAAGTACCGTAAGCTACATTGGTAACAAAACTTTTTGTTTGTTTGCTGGAACATGTTGATCTATCTCTGAAATTAAGGGGGGCTTGGATGGTGATTTAAAGAAATGATTCCTGTCAGACATAAAAAATTCACAGTGCAAAATGATAGGGCAATCATAGTCATAGCAATGTCCATTACAATGTTTACATTCTTAGGACACTTTAGCTCTTGATCCGATTTTAATACAGAGTTGCAGGGGTTGTCTACAATGTGGATAGAGATGAAATACATTATGAAAACATGCATATGAATTTTATAGTACCGTGAGAAATGTGGTCTCTATGGTCTCTAGCTAGTATTACTATGAGCATATAGTTATTAGTATTTTCAGTATGGGCTTTAAGGATTATATTTGAAGAGGTGATACTACACCCTTAAGATCTTAAGTATGTTATGCTTGGGTCAGTCACTACCCCATTGTTTCAGCCAGGGCAAATGTTCCGGTTGAGTAGCTGACCCTATTGTTCTCCTTTGGGTTAACTTTGCATGCATTTTAATGCTCACTTGCACCTCAGACACTACACTGACAAGTCACAGATGACAGCAAGTTGACACATTTTGAAGACTTACTTACAAGGTATGTTTACAACTAAATGCTTTATCTTTTCATAACTAAGAATATATAAATAGGTGTAAATTTAACAAAGATATGTTCTATGATGTGTGAGAAATTAGTGAATGGCTGATCCTATGAAGCTTTTATCATGTATATGGTAAATGTATTGTAAATGTGTGGACATTTAATGCAGCGCTGGGATGTTGGGTATTTTAGGGTATTTTATGAGTGCTGGGATGTTGGGTATTTTAACGGTTTTATGATAGTGCTGGGATGTTGGGTATTTTGGGGTATTTTATGATAGTGCTGGGATGTTGGGTATTTTAGGGTATTTTATAATAGTGCTGGGATGTTGGGTATTTTATGATAGTGCTGGGATGTTGGGTATTTTAGGGTGTTTTATGATAGTGCTGGGATGTTGGGTATTTTGGGGTATTTTATGATAGTGCTGGGATGTTGGGTATTTTAAGGTGTTTTATGATAGTGCTGGGATGTTGGGTATTTTAAGGTGTTTTATGATAGTGCTGGGATGTTGGGTATTTTAGGGTGTTTTATGATAGTGCTGGGATGTTGGGTATTTTAGGGTGTTTTATGATAGTGCTGGGATGTTGGGTATTTTAGGGTGTTTATGATAGTGCTGGGATGTTGGGTATTTTAAGGTGTTTTATGATAGTGCTGGGATGTTGGGTATTTTAGGGTATTTTATGATAGTGCTGGGATGTTGGGTATTTTGGGGTATTTTATGATAGTGCTGGGATGTTGGGTATTTTAGGGTGTTTTATGATAGTGCTGGGATGTTGGGTATTTTAAGGTGTTTTATGATAGTGCTGGGATGTTGGGTATTTTAGGTTGTTTTATGATAGTGCTGGGATGTTGGGTATTTTAGGGTATTTTATGATAGTGCTGGGATGTTGGGTATTTTAAGGTGTTTTATGATAGTGCTGGGATGTTGGGTATTTTAGGGTATTTTATGATAGTGCTGGGATGTTGGGTATTTTAAGGTGTTTTATAATAGTGCTGGGTTGTTGGGTATTTTAAGGTGTTTTATGATAGTGCTGGGATGTTGGGTATTTTCAGGTGTTTTATGATAGTGCTGGGATGTTGGGTATTTTAGGTTGTTTTATGATAGTGCTGGGATGTTGGGTATTTTAGGGTGTTTTATGATAATGCTGGGATGTTGGGTATTTTAGGGTGTTTTATGATAGTGCCGGGATGTTGGGTATTTTAGGGTGTTTTATGATAGTGCTGGGATGTTGGGTATTTTAGGGTATTTTATGATAGTGCTGAGATGTTGGGTATTTTAGGGTATTTTATGATAGTGCTTGGATGTTTGGTATTTTAGGGTGTTTTATGATAGTGCTGGGATGTTTGGTATTTTAGGGTGTTTTATGATAGTGCTGGGATGTTGGGTATTTTCAGGTGTTTCATGATAGTGCTGGGATGTTGGGTATTTTCAGGTGTTTTATGATAGTGCTGGGATGTTGGGTATTTTAGGGTGTTTTATGATAGTGCTGGGATGTTGGGTATTTTAGGGTATTTTATGATAGTGCTTGGATGTTGGGTATTTTATGATAGTGTTATGTTCAGATCTGTATAATAAATATAAAATTAGGTTTATCTGTTTACTACGTTTTTGCATGCAGTAAGAAGTGTAGATTTAGTACTTATTTGCATAACCTCTATATCTGTAATGAGTGTAATTCCAAGTTGGTCTATCTTGATTGCTATAATTCAAAGCTCATGTGAAGTAATGCCGGTGTTATATTTAGATGCAGCAATGATTTATTTACTGATGCATTTATGTATGGAATTGGTATCAAAGTAACCATAGGTAAGACTTCCACCCATATCCCCCCTAAAAAATTATATCGTTAAAAGTATTAAGCTGCAATGCATACATATATAACTTTTGGAGAAGGGATACGGGCGGAAGTCTTTCCAGGAATTATATTCTCACCGAGTGTTATCATGTATTATAAATACACATCGGTTACTACTGAGTTATTAGTCAATGGAATTCACACCAGTTGCCTTGTTGACGTTATTCAGTAAGGTACAAATTTTCTCAATTTTTGTTGGCTGTGTAGTAGCCACTGCACATGTCCATAAAGATAAACGGGTTATAGCGAAAACAGCACCTCAGCAAAAGGTCACCGGGTGAAAACTGCACCGATTGGCGAAAACGGCACCTCGACTCAAGCGGAAATGGCTACTATTGCCTGGCGAAAATGGCACCTTATTTTTTTTACCTTGGTCAAATAAATGATATTAAACTTACATTGTAACTTGCAATGAGATGTTAAAACAAGTTTACATTAGAAATTAGCCTCTACTCCAACTATAATCCAACTTAGCTTATACGCAGCTCAACTTATTGTGAAAACATAACATGCTTTGAAGAAAAATAATAGAATTTAACTCACATCATCTCTTACAAACACAAATAATTGTGAAATTGAGAAATAAAACAAGTAAAAAATTAGCCCCATACTCCAATTTTCTAGCCGACTCTGATTGGGAGGCGCAGTTAACTTATTGTGAAAACACTATACGCTTTGAAGTTTTAAGTACCTTTACTCAATTTAAGCTGAAACTGTATTTAAGAGGCCTAACATGGTGCTGTCAGATCACAATTATTCACAATGGCCTTTCGATGTGTTGCATGCGAGAAGAATGTCAGAAAAAATCAACATGCTGTATCATGTGATAACTGTGACCAGTGGACCCATCATGTATGTGGAACCGGACTTTCTGTGGCCCGTTATAGAGAAATTTGCCGGACTGAGGAAGACTTCCCTTTCCGCTGTTCAATAAGATAGTTCAATAAGGGATGTCATCATGCTGGAGCCCCCATCTGCCGACATACCAGAGAATGTCTACACTTTGGTTGGGTGTCCCTGGGAATATACAGATTGATTCCAGAGCTGTTCAAAGAGGCCAGTCTGTTGCCTCTGCAGTCAAGACTCATTCAGGAGGGACGACTCAGGGCGTATGTGCGCAAATCTTCCACATCTCGTCAAGAGGAGATTTTTGACATATGGCGACGATACAAAGATGGAGACCTCTCCCTGAGCCAAGTACTCTCACAATGTTTGATTGTACATGGGCCAATATTGTGAACACAATGAAGATGATGTTGGACATGCTGACAATTAGAAGAAAACTGAAGAACTGTATATCATGTATATATGAACATATGTACTCATCTGTGAAAACAGGAAATACCATGTAAATACATCAAATACCATGTAAAGAAACCATATATCATGTATATATTACTACAAAAAATCGTTATCGCTATTAAAAATTTCGCCCAACACATAGTTGCCGTTTTCACCAAATGTGGTGCTGTTTTCTCCAGAGAAATCGGGGATGTTTTGCTGAGGTGCTGTTTTAGCCTGCAAGATAAACAACTGGGTGCTGATCACTTGGCATACAAGCACTTTCTTAAATCATTTGACATTGCTCCCCTTGGCCATGGTGGTAAGGTGCTGGATTATTAGATTAATTTGTTGAAAATTCAGAACTAACCCTCGGGATTCTGAAGGGGGTGGCTGATCAGAAAGGGGTAACTCACTAATAATCGTAAAGGGGGGTCCAAGGTATAAGGATAGAGTTTGGGGTAACCTACCCCAACCATAAGGATCGAAGAGGCACGCGAGATCTGAGAAGCAAGAGCTGCAGTGGGCAGCCTGCGAAATTTAGCACTATACGCTGTGCCCGGGAAAGTGTTGCCTGAAACTATACTTGAATTTCCGAAATGTTTCACAAATAATGACATTGACAGGCAGGCGACAGGTGTCTGACAGATGCTTCGTATGACATTTTAAACCATATACCAACCCATAATAAGAGAACTGGCTACTCATAGTACTCACCTTCTGTGATGAGAAGGATGTTGGAAAATAAAAGCATGTTATGTTTTGAGAATCAATATCGCTGGACAAATCTGTACTGCCTTGAGATTTACCCTCCATAATGACATGTGAATGTTCAAATTACCTCCCCTGAAAGATTCTCTGTTGATGGAAATACAAATAGATATAGGGAGTCTTCGTTGTCCATTGATTTCTGTTTGAGTATTAGAATGTAGACATTTTCACAAATATAATGCTTGCAAATATTTGTTATTGTTTTTATTTAAATGTTACGCATCAGTTACGAATGTATCTACCCATTAGAGATTTATTTAGTATGAAAATAAATTCCATACAACTAGCTTCCCCCTTGTTTAAAACTTTATCCCGGAAGTTGCATGTGGTGGTGGTCGCCGCGCTATCCATTTAGTCAATATTTAATTACATTGATCGAAATGGACAGAAAACTTGTGCAACAAGGAGCTGAAGCAAGGCTGTATAGCGGCTCGTTTTATGGACGACCATGTATGGTTAAGGAACGATTTTCAAAGTCTTACCGACACCCAACTCTGGATAAGTCTCTGACTAGTCAGAGAATTAAGGGCGAAGTTCGAGCTATGTTGCGATGTAGAACACATGGTAGGTCCCGTTAAAGTGGTTGCCAGTTTGATTTGTAGTCACATTGAATAATGGGCAACAATGCAGTTTACCGGGCGCAGCCCGAGCTCTACCATCCGCTCAATTACCGCGCTATAGTGCCACCGCTGCCTCGTTATACCGTTACCGTGCCTCACGCTCTGGTGACTCTCGCTTCACGATCCAACACCCGTTTTCGGTCTTAGGGAAACTCACACATCTTTACAATCAAACACCCGTTCTCGGTCTTAGGGAAACTTACACATCTTTACGATCAAACACCCGTTCTAGGGCTTAGGGAAACTTACACAACTTCACGATCCAACACCCGTTTTTCGGTCTTAGGGAAACTTACATGTCTTTACGATCCTAAACCCCTTTTCGGTCATTAGGGTCAGCTGGCTTTGGGCATGGGTTAGCCATAAATTCTTACCTTTTCAAGCGTTAATCCAGTTAATCCCATTGGTCGGTCATGTTGTCATAAACAATTGCGGGTGTGGTTTCAAGAAAAGATGAATGGGAGAGCGGGCAGTGACGTCACACGCATGCGCAATTCATTGTTTACTGAATTACGCATGCATGTCAATGGGGATTCTAATGACCTGTTAAACGAGCACTGATTACATGTGATAGTGCCTGTGGTCCAGTGGTAGAGCGTCGGCTAATTAACGCATTAATTAGCAGAGCCGGTGAGCCGCCGAAGCACGTTCGGGCCTCCACAGCGCTAATTGGATCTGAAAAAGTGCGCCCGGTAAAGTGCACTACTCCCGAATAATTTTGTGTTCGTCATTATCTTATAGTCATACCTGACCCATACCCCCTTTACTGCAAAATCGTAGCTATGTACAGCTCTGCTTTTACTATGTGACATCCAGTGTTCGCTAAATAATACATAGCTACGATTCTCGTCTTCATAAGTTTCTACTATTGTCGGAAGCTGATATTTAACCGTCCCGCTCCGCCAGAGTGCAATTTGCAGAATACAATCAATGTCAGTAGCTCAAAACAGTCATATCCTTTATGTGTTCAATAGGCAATTCTGTTTAGTTGGATCTTCAAAATGATGTAGCCTAGATATTGTGTCATGATGGTCTGTGTACTGATGCAGCAACTGAGTTCATTAATTAATGTCACATACATTTAACGATGACCCAAGTTTACCATACTGTCTCTGTGCTGTAGTGGGACCGACTGTCTCTTTTCGCGGTCTCTCGAGTAACTGTATTGATGTTATTGTTGACGTCTGAGACCACATTACTAACAACACTGTTGTGTGGCAGTCTTCTGCTACCCCCACTAGCTGGTATAGTCCTCCCCATTGGTTCTCACCAACTTTCACGGAGGACTTTTAGAGCACTGGCATATGATGGGCTGTTAAATCGTTGATCAGATTTGTGAATATAATTGCTCATATTGTCTCCAATATAATACCTCCTACCGGAGATCAACAGTTTATATCTCATCAGTAGCTTGATGTCTTTCCCACAGTTTCTTCTAGTTCTTTTCAGATTAGCGTCGACAGTGTCCAGCTTAACACTGATTGCGGTCAGCTTGGTATCCATTGTGCCTAGACTCTGGGTTCATTGTTGAATGTGATGAACCATGCTCGTGAGGTGCCGCATCTGATCAAACACATTTTAGCCATGACGGATTTGTTCCTTCATGAGTTTTCTGACTGTTAGTGACTTCATTGACAACCTCTGTGGGTTGGTTATACCCTTGCAAAGTGTTGTACTCCATTGTAGCTTTCTTTGTACTTTGGCTGATATAGTTTGAGAGCTCCGCACGGACACATCCTCTCACCTCAACGACCAAAGCTCACAATAAAGTCACATATTACAATACCTCACTTATTTCGTATGGGGATTCCAGGTCAGAATAGATATCAGTACCTCCTGCTTATCGTAATATCTGACTGAAGTAGGGATACTGTGGTGGTGATGGTGTGGATTTGTGCTCATGCTTTCAGTCACTGGATTGTCTGATCCATATTTGCTTATTTACTGGTCACCATGCCATTTATATGGCTGAAATAATGCTGACTATGGCATTATTCAAAGACTCACTTTGGCTTATAATGTGAAATTCAGATCTGTCATAACTATTGATATTCCTCTATGTTTAGCACTGTGAAGGATACTGTGATTATTTGTGTATATCCAGGCATTCCCACACCGACTGTATACATGGTGGATCAGGAATCTAGCAGCATCTACATGGAGCTGATAGAAGACTCCATGACAGTCCGGCAACACATTGCAGACACACAGCAGCAGTACCCTGAGGATGCTGTGGAGAGACTGCAACCAATAGCTGCTGAGATAGGAAAACTACTTGGGAAGATGCACAGCAATAACATTGTTCATGGAGACCTGACAACATCAAACATGCTTCTGAAGGGCTGGGTTGACGAAAGACCTGTAATTGTACTTATTGACTTTGGTCTCAGTCATTTTGAAAATCTTGCTGAAGATAAAGGTGTGGATTTGTATGTACTAGAGAGAGCTCTGCTCAGCACACATCCTGGCACTGAGGACTTGTTTGACACTGTCCTGAAATATTATTCCGCGACAAATAAAAAAGAGGCTGTCGAGGTCATGAAAAAGTTGGAAGAAGTTCGGATGAGGGGCCGGAAGCGGACCATGGTTGGATAAATGTCAAGATATGTTTGAACAATATCGATTATTCTAAAATTCTTGTATGTATAAAGTTACAAAGCTTTGTTAGTGGTATGTCATTGAGATCAGTGTATGTGAAATCTTGATAAAGATGCTGTGGTTGTGAGTCGTTTATTCCACCAATATGAGTAAATAATGTTTGTATCCCCTGAACATGTACTATTCATTTTACTTGTTATTCCTTTTCATATCAGTAGAATAGCTAACAATAGTAAAAGAATGTACAGGAAGATGATAATTAATGTCATAAAGTCTTCAGCAAGCCATGCTTGTAAGAGGCGACAAACGGGATCAGGTGGTCAGGCTTGCAGACTCAATGCGTGACATTGTCTCCCAAATTGCGTGGATCGATGATCATGATTTTCACTGGATTTTCTGGTCCAGACTCAATTATTTACAGACTGCCATCATATTGCTGAGTGCAATGTTAAAACAACAGACCATGCCTACACTGTGAGACTGGGGTGTCCTACAGTGCAACAACATATCCATAATATCTCAATTAAACATACTCTACAAAGGAAAAGTTATATATTGGTAATTACAAACCTTACCACAATTACATAAATAGATAATAGCTGAGACTTTACTGCAGATATACAAACATCTTAAACTAAGCTGATTTATGTTTGTGCAGAGAGATTTTGCAACATGAAGGGACAGACACATGTACTACATTTTAACTATCCTACCCACTAATCATACAAGTTAATCAGGGTATTGCAGACACTGAATGTACATCTGCTGCAACAGCTCACCTCCTGCTGAAAGGATGAGCTGTAGGGGGATGTCAAGTACCATGATGGGACCTAGGATGATAAGGATAATCCTTCTTAGGTGGTTCCTCTATCTCAAACCTAGACGTAGGAAGTGGATCCCAGTTCCCCATAGTTAACTCCTGTACCTCTCTAGTTAGGGTTGGTGGTACTCTATGGTCTGTTCCTTTATTCAAGCTCTGGGGTGAGTAGGATCCCTGTAGGGTACCTCCTTGGGGTGCAGTCACTTCCTGTGGGGTAAATGACACATTACCTGGGGGTCTGTTCTTGGGGTGCAGTCACTTCCTGAGGGGTAAATGACACATTACTTAAGGGTTTGTTCTTGGGGTGCAGTCACTTCCTGAGGGGTAATTGACACATTACTTAGGGGTCTGTTCTTGGGGTGCAGTCACTTCCTGAGGGGTAAATGAGACATTACTTAGGGGTCTGTTCTTTGGGAAACTGTTGAACTGGGATGATGGACTGCTGCACATTTGCTGTTTCCTGCTGCTTCATCTTATCTGTAACATCACTCTGCAATTGTTGGATGGCAGCAGTCAGATTATCAATATCTCTCTTAGTCAATCTCTCTCGGAAGCCATCTTAGCATTATTCCCAGTTGAAGCAAGGCAGATATCTTGACTCCATCAAAAGAGGACATCCTACTTATGGCCAGACCCATTCTTCAATGATGGCCTAGGACCACTCCACAACAAGACAAAATATGATAAATAAAAAGAGTTACTTTAGTTTAAGGCAGCATTGAACAGTGTTCCAGTGATATCTTGGCGTACAAAAGAAACATCACAAGTAGAAGTGTACATATACTTGTATATATTATATGGTGCATGACAAGTCAAAAGTACAATACTTACAACCTAAGGAAGTAACTAAATCCTCAGTGAACATATATGCACAAGAAACAGGGAAAGGGTAGGGGATATTAACAACAATGTGAAATGTTAAAAGAAAGTGCAGTATTCTGCCTTCACACTGTCCATAAATAAATACATGTTTAGCTGATATATATACAAAAGTAATTGTTTAATTAAACCAAAGGTCAGAAAATACTAGAACAGAAAATATAAACTAACTCAATACCCTTATATCAATTAACAAAGAACTGAGGATAAACTAAATTTATCAAAACTGAACTAAACACATGAAATCCCAGGAGCCGGTAGCTACATAGACTCTACCACCAGGAAACCGACAAGTAGCTGACACAAGTCTTCTGTAATACAGACATTATACTGAACTGGCGCCAGGTAAGTTTACAAAATATAATTAAACTGAAATGGTAGCTAGCAAGGATATAACACAATGAAATAACCATACATGATGGGGACTCACGTGATCAGGAAGGCCATGCTTAGTAGAAATATCCAGTATTTGGAAAAGTCCCAATAACCAATGAACGTGACTGACAAAGAGTCCCGTCCAAGAAAACATCAGAAGCGAATGTTGTTGGCGCACGATCCGTGCCGTCCCTCCCACCACGGCTTTATACACATTGCAGATAAACACAAAATGGCACTCTCGTCTCTACATAGCCCATGTTACAAACCGTGCAGAGTCTTTGTTCTCCGGGTACGTGTCCATATCTATCTGGCTCAATAGATAACTAATGACTAACGGGATCGGGGGGTCAAGCTCGCTGACTTGGTTGATACATGTCATCGTATTCCAACTGTTTAGATCGATGCTCATGATGTCAATCACTGGATTGTCTGGTCCAGACTCGATTATTTACAGACCGCCGTCATGTAGCTGGAATATTGCTGAGTGCAGCGTCAAACAGCAAACAAACTAACGTGAGCTACAGCGTAAATGTGCAATAACAAACTCGAATTTATATATTTTTACTGCATTTATATAAGGCTCAACATTTGAACTCAGAATTTGATTCTTAAACATCTTAAAACTACCTCACACCTCAGCATGCCAGACCGGTTGGTGGGTGACATTTAATCTACAAATAAATTTTGCTATAGAAAAATCCTGGTTTTCTCAAGTAAATCCAAACTATTTACAAAGGAGGGACTTTTTCTTTGATGCCCAGTTGGTTTTGCCATTGTTACACGCCTGATGTAACATTTGATAACATTTTTAACAATTCAGACCAGTATTTAATACAACGTTTAAACGCCACTATATCGAGTGGATATCTAGCACATTCTCCTCGCGCAGCATGAATCGGCGTGGAAGATTTGACCGCTAGGAATCTTTTACAAGCAAGAATGTGTACACCTTCTCTTTCTTAAGTATTACCCATACCCCAAATTCCACTACTGTACAGCGAAATGGGAACGACCACCCCTCAATGTTTATTGTATATCGTACAATAAAACACTGCAGGTAGAATATGAACCACCCGGGGCTGCACCCCTCAATGTATATTGTTTATCGTACAATAAAACACTGCAGGGAGAATGAACCACTCGGGGCTGCACCCCTCAATGTTTATTGTTTATCGTACAATAAAACACTGCAGGGAGAATGAATCACCCAGGGCTGCACCCCTCAATGTTTATTGCTTATCGTACAATAAAACACTGCAGGGAGAATGAACCACCCGGGGCTGCACCCCTCAATGTTTATTGTTTATCGTACAATAAAACACTGCAGGTAGAATAAACCACCCGGGGCTGCACCCCTCAATGTTTATTGTATATCGTACAATAAAACACTGCATGGAGAATAAACCACCCAGGGCTGCACCCCTCAATGTTTATTGTTTATCGTACAATAAAACACTGCAGGGAGAATAAACCACCCGGGGCTGCACCCCTCAATAGTACACTGCAGGGAGAATGAACCACCCGGGGCTGCACCCCTCAATGTTTATTGTATATCGTACAATAAAACACTGCAGGGAGAATATGAACCACCCGGGGCTACACCCCTCAATGTTTATTGTATATCGTACAATAAAACACTGCAGGTGGAATAAACCACCCGGGGCTGCACCCCTAAATGTTTATTGTTATTTGTTCAATAAAACATGCAGGGAGAATGAACCACCCAGGGCTGCACCCCTCAATGTTTATTGTTTATCGTACAATAAAACACTGCAGGGAGGATAAACCACCCGGGGCTGCACCCCTCAATGTTTATTATTTATCGTACAATAAAACACTGCAGGGAGAATAAACCACCCGGGGCTGCGGCTCTCTTTGTATATTATATATTAGAAAGCAGCTACGTGGGGCTCCCTGAAAACATATTTACTTATCCGTTTATCCGGTTTACATATATGGAGGACCATTTGGATGGCCTATTAGCTATTCAGAAATTTGACAATTGACCGCTGTTACACGAATGGGTGGAAAGGTGAAATGGGGTTTAACTTCGGGTTCAATATTATTGCACTTGTGTAGCGATACGTATGTCTCTGTGTGTGTTTGTGTGTGTTTGTATCCTCTCTTTCATCATAACGCTTGATTCATTGTACGACAAAATCCCCTCTCCCTCGTGTTTACATTTTCAACCAAAACCGAAGTGTAGTGTTTTCTCTGGCTTATAAACCATCTAAGTTCATGAAATAACAGAAGAAAAAAATCGAGTTATCGTATTGTGAAACAATACAGAGTGTCGCGGTATGAAAGGAATGCGATCAATGCGTGCGAGAAACATCTTCCCGAGGGAAAGGAGTTAACGGACTTTAAAAGTCCAGTTTCGACCCTTGCCGAACTAGGCTGGAATTTGTGGGCTCGATAGAAGCGCCACCAGTGGCTATTACGAGTTATGTCCCGGCGATGTCCCAATCAGATTCCAACTCTCATATCACTTGCATTTGCTTCTAACAAAATGGTGGCGCCCAGTCAAGACGATCTGATCCATAATCAAAATCTACAATGTGATAAAACGGATCTTACTTCGCGAAGTGCATCAAATCACGTGAGCACCTTGATTAAAACATGAAAAGATTTGGAAAATATAATTCTGCTGATGCAGAGATGGCGGTACAGATACTTTGCACATCCTACAGTCGACCGAAATCTGCACGGCAGTTTACGAACCGGATGTCGATTTCGTTATGCGTTTTTGATTGGACTATGCATAGACTCGTTAGTCCAGCCAAAATAAAACTCCATAATTCCAGCCTTGTTCGGCAAGGTTGGAAACTGGACCTTTATAGTCCGTTAACTCTCCCTTGCTCCCTTGTCTCGGGAAGATGGCGAGAGAAAAAAACACGTGCAGCATAGACAAACTCATGACGTGTAAAATTGAACAACTTTTCATCACCTGTCCCGTTGGCCCAGTGGGTTACAAAACCAAACACTATATGTGATATTGCAGGTTCGATTACCGTCATCCATAATGAAAAAGTTTCATTTCTTGTCTTCGATTTCTAGAACACTGGACATTTGAAACACCAAGTACAAATTCCATCTGCAACTCATCTCATACGGTCTTAGTAGCAAAAGGTAAAAACCTCCCAAGAGGTTATTACGAGACAGAAAGATACCTACAATACAATAGGCAAAAGTGGCATTAGATTTATAAACCATTCAAGGCTGCTCATGTCCATATTCGTTTTTCTAAATACTACACGTGATGTGTAGTGTATGACATGTATATCACTGATGTTTGTGTGCATGCAATGAAAACAATTTCCGTTCAAGGGTGAAAGTCAACACTTGGTATTTTGGGTTATAGTATACCAACCCTGTACACCAGCAACCCGTACACACCAGCCCGTCCACAAGGAGACCTATATATATGTAAAAACGTACATTATTTAATGTACTGGTTCACGGATGAAAATTCGGTGCCAAAAATAAATACATTAAAAAATCATATGCCGAGTCCTTTGTGTTAGAAAATGTTTATTCAATACGTTGCAAGATTCGATGTTATACATGTACATTTGTTAAATTAAGCATTGACTTGGACAATGGACAAGGTATTTGCTTCGACAGTCACACACAGAAATTTATTCAAGATTTCTTTAGTAATCTTCACACTTTTGGAAGACACAGACATTACAGCCCACTTAGTCTCAGTCACAGCCTGAGTGGTATTTAACATACATCACAGACTGACATTTGAGAGTAGCTCGCACTCGCTTCACGAATCACAGACTGTCTATTGAAACTGGAAGATGGATGAAAATTGAGAATTTAGAGAGTTATATAAATTTTGTTTTGACAAACTTCATATCAGTAGTTCAGAAGATGAGAGACACTAGGACAAAGTTGTTTCCATGGATGCTTTCATGATTTTCATAATTACCCCTTTCACAAAAGCAGGTTTATTGTCATTGCCTACCTGGAAAGTGAGGGAGTTGTGAAGTTGTGATGTAAATAAGATGTATCCTTGTAACATATATGGGTGAAGCTACATGGCGTGTAAATACTTTGTAACGTAATATTTGATATGTTTTTGAATCATTGTATGCATGCACATTCTTTGTTTATGGATATTTGTATTTGTAAAATGTCTGAAATAGGAACGCTTATATTATATTTTGTATTAGTGGCTATACATTAATATTATTTTCACATGAACTTTAGGCTGGAGGCTTGTCATGCTGAAGAAAATCTTGATCTTGATGAAGAACTTGACTAGTTTTCACCCTTTGAAACATCAACCTTGTCCAAGGCTTGCTTGAAGTCGGCGATGAGGTCCTCTGGGTCCTCGATACCAATACTGTAAATATATCCAATAAACATTCCTCCAAGAATCAGGTTCGTTCCGGGTCGGCCAGAAAATAAAATAAATGAATGTCTACTGTTGTTTTGATTTGTATTACAGTCTGGTCACTAAAACCAAAAATGGTTGTTTCCTCGAAAACAGGCAAGACTTGAGTGATTACAATAAAAAAATTGACTGTTACATGTGCGCCGATCAGTTGTAGTTGTGACTGCCGGGGCTGCTTGCCTACCTACAATGTGTTTTGTGTTGGCAGTGCCGCGGAAGGTCAGTGTTACCTGATTCTCAGCTGGCCAGGGGTTACCCTGTTCTCCGCGATCTCCGCTGGGGTCAGCAGGTAGGGGCCGTGACTCATGGTGATGGGGTGCTCCAGGATACTCTCCACCCCACCGAGGGACACCGCCAGGGTGACTATCCTCAGGCTCTGTTGATTAAAGGTATTGCAGTACTACATTAGTGTCCACAGCCCAGCATTGTCCCCGACATCCATACGTTATCATAAAGCACCTTCGTATTACACAGTCAGTCTACAGTGTCACTGTAAATACCTCGAAGTCTCATATAGCCGTGTTTTCAAAGCCTATTAAAGACATGCATACCTTTCCTCCCTCCCACATTAAGCTAATTGATTGCTCATCTGGAGAGAGAGAGAGTGAGTGAGAGAGAGAGAGAGTGTGAGAGAGAGAGAGAGTGTGTGTGTGTGAGAGAGAGAGAGAGAGAGAGAGAGTTATGTTATATGAGGGGTGGGTAGGGTGGGTCATGTGCAAATGTTTCATAAAATAGGGAGCAGCAGACTATGATACAGTTCTAAGGCCAATCTCACTATGTATGACATGGCGTACAAGGAAGGAGCTACACTTTGTGTTTTGGCTCTGTATGTTTGGAATGGCAAACACCACAGATCTACAGTTTGTCGCTAACGCGAAGATTAGCTTACTTCCGCCACAGTGCGACCACCTTCAACCCCTCCCTTGACGTCAGCCATGATCATCCCGCCGAATGCCGTCATCTGCTTCTTAGCGACCTCATGTCCAGGGTGTGACGGCAGGCCCGGGTACATAACTCGGTTTACCTGAACAGACAATTACTTCAGAGAGTCGCAGTCAATACGTGCTACTACGTCAGGGTTGTAGTACGTTGACTGGTCAGAAAGAATCTTTGAAAACCTTTACGTTTCTTTACAATTTATACATTTATTTTATCTACCAACAGCTGTGAAATACTATAGAGATTCTGGAAACATCATATGCAGACTTAACCATATGTACTCTGATAGACTGACTGTATGGATTACACACATTGCATGGACCAGCAGACCCTACATCGACGTGATGAGATACTACAAGTACCTACTGATGTGGAGCCCGACGTGACGAGATACTACAAGTACCTACTGATGTGGTGCCCGACGTGACGAGATACTACAAGTACCTACTGATGTGGTGCCCGACGTGACCAGATACTACCAGTTCCTACTGATGTGGTGCCCGACGTGACGAGATACTACAAGTTCCTACTGATGTGGTGCCCGACGTGACCAGATACTACCAGTTCCTACTGATGTGGTGCCCGACGTGACCAGATACTACTAGTTCCTACTGATGCGGTGCCCGACGTGACCAGATACTACCAGTTCCTACTGATGCGGTGCCCAACGTGACCAGATACTACCAGTTACTACTGATGCGGTGGGGTGCCCGACGTGACCAGATACTACCAGTTCCTACTGATGCGGTGGGGTGGCCGACGTGACGAGATACAAGTTCCTACTGATGTGGTGGGGTGGCCGACGTGACGAGATACTACAAGTTCCTACTGATGTGGTGCCCGACGTGACCAGATACTACCAGTTCCTACTGATGTGGTGCCCGACGTGACCAGATACTACTAGTTCCTACTGATGCGGTGCCCGACGTGACCAGATACTACCAGTTCCTACTGATGCGGTGCCCAACGTGACCAGATACTACCAGTTACTACTGATGCGGTGGGGTGCCCGACGTGACCAGATACTACCAGTTCCTACTGATGCGGTGCCCGACGTGACCAGATACTACCAGTTCCTACTGATGCGGTGGGGTGCCCAACGTGACCAGATACTACAAGTTCCTACTGATGCGGTGGGGTGCCCGACGTGACCAGATACTACCAGTTCCTACTGATGTGGTGCCCGACGTGACCAGATACTACCAGTTCCTACTGATGCGGTGGGGTGGCCGACGTGACCAGATACTACCAGTTCCTACGGATGCGGTGCCCGACGTGACCAGATACTACCAGTTCCTACTGATGTGGTGCCCGACGTGACGAGATACTACAAGTTCCTACTGATGCTGTGGGGTGGCCGACGTGACCAGATACTACCAGTTCCTACTGATGTGGTGCCCGACGTGACCAGATACTACCAGTTCCTACTGATGCGGTGGGGTGGCCGACGTGACCAGATACTACCAGTTCCTACTGATGCGGTGGGGTGGCCGACGTGACCAGATACTACCAGTTCCTACTGATGCGGTGGGGTGGCCGACGTGACCAGATACTACCAGTTCCTACTGATGCGGTTGGGTGGCCGACGTGACCAGATACTACCAGTTCCTACTGATGTGGTGGGGTGGCCGACGTGACCATATACTACCAGTTCCTACTGATGTGGTGGGGTGGCCGACGTGACCAGATACTACCAGTTTCTACTGATGTGGTGGGGTGGCCGACGTGACCAGATACTACCAGTTCCTACTGATGCGGTGGGGTGGCCGACGTGACCAGATACTACCAGTTCCTACTGATGCGGTGGGGTGGCCGACGTGACCAGATACTACCAGTTCCTACTGATGCGGTGGGGTGGCCGACGTGACCAGATACTACCAGTTCCTACTGATGCGGTGGGGTGCCCAACGTGACCAGATACTACAAGTTCCTACTGATGCGGTGGGGTGCCCGACGTGACCAGATACTACCAGTTCCTACTGATGTGGTGCCCGACGTGACCAGATACTACCAGTTCCTACTGATGCGGTGGGGTGGCCAACGTGACCAGATACTACCAGTTCCTACGGATGCGGTGCCCGACGTGACCAGATACTACCAGTTCCTACTGATGTGGTGCCCGACGTGACGAGATACTACAAGTTCCTACTGATGCTGTGGGGTGGCCGACGTGACCAGAAACTACCAGTTCCTACTGATGTGGTGCCCGACGTGACCAGATACTACCAGTTCCTACTGATGCGGTGGGGTGGCCGACGTGACCAGATACTACCAGTTCCTACTGATGCGGTGGGGTGGCCGACGTGACCAGATACTACCAGTTCCTACTGATGCGGTGGGGTGGCCGACGTGACCAGATACTACCAGTTCCTACTGATGCGGTTGGGTGGCCGACGTGACCAGATACTACCAGTTCCTACTGATGTGGTGGGGTGGCCGACGTGACCATATACTACCAGTTCCTACTGATGTGGTGGGGTGGCCGACGTGACCAGATACTACCAGTTCCTACTGATGTGGTGGGGTGGCCGACGTGACCAGATACTACCAGTTCCTACTGATGTGGTGGGGTGGCCGACGTGACCAGATACTACCAGTTCCTACTGATGTGGTGGGGTGGACGACGTGACCAGATACTACCAGTTCCTACTGATGTGGTGGGGTGGCCGACGTGACGAGATACAAGTACCTACTGATGCGGTGGGGTGGCCGACGTGACGAGATACAAGTTCCTACTGATGCGGTGGGGTGGCCGACGTGACGAGATACAAGTTCCTACTGATGCGGTGGGGTGGCCGACGTGACGAGATACAAGTACCTACTGATGCGGTGGGGTGGCCGACGCGACGAGATACAAGTTCCTACTGATGCGGTGGGGTGGCCGACGTGACGAGATACAAGTTCCTACTGATGCGGTGGGGTGGCCGACGTGACGAGATACAAGTTCCTACTGATGCGGTGGGGTGGCCGACGTGACGAGATACAAGTTCCTACTGATGCGGTGGGGTGGCCGACGTGACGAGATACAAGTTCCTACTGATGCGGTGGGGTGGCCGACGTGACGAAATACAAGTTCCTACTGATGCGGTGGGGTGGCCGACGTGACGAGATACAAGTACCTACTGATGCGGTGGGGTGGCCGACGTGACGAAATACAAGTTCCTACTGATGCGGTGGGGTGGCCGACGTGACGAGATACAAGTTCCTACTGATGCGGTGGGGTGGCCGACGTGACGAGATACAAGTTCCTACTGATGCGGTGGGGTGGCCGACGTGACGAGATACAAGTTCCTACTGATGCGGTGGGGTGGCCGACGTGACCAGATACTACAAGTACCTACTGATGCGGTGGGGTGGCCGACGTGACGAGATACAAGTACCTACTGATGCGGTGGGGTGGCCGACGTGACGAGATACAAGTTCCTACTGATGCGGTGGGGTGGCCAACGTGACGAGATACAAGTTCCTACTGATGCGGTGGGGTGGCCGACGTGACGAGATACAAGTTCCTACTGATGCGGTGGGGTGGCCTAGTCGTCTAAGGCCTCGCAAATGTGAACGAGTGATCCACCCTGTGTGTTCCATGATTTACTGTTTTAATAAGTGATTAAACGGCGTAAATCCCATCTCATTCACCTGTAGACACATTTTTGTGTGTCCGTGTAAACCAATTCGTTGTATGGAACTATGCTACGTTAGCACACCCCCAGTAGACTACACTGTCGCAATGTGATTGACCTATATTGTAGCTGCATGAACCTAGCAGACAGTTTAAAGCAATAGTCTCCACCTTCGGGTGGCCCTCCAGATACTCCGCCACAGCCATGGCGTTCTCGCTGTGCTTCTTCATGCGGATCGGCAGCGTCTTCAAGCCCCTCAGCAGCAGACTGGAGTCATGAGGGGACTGCAACATCAGCACACAGGATTTACTTAAGAAATAAACGACGAGTGGGGGTTTAGCGTACAATAAAACACTGCAGGGAAAATAAACCACAGGGTGTTTTATTGTACGATAAACAATTCCCACGCGTCGTTTATTTCTTATATGAGATATCAACATCACGTACATCCTATTTAAGGATGTTGATAAAATGTGGACGTTTTAATAATATTTACTGAATTTTAATAATTATGACTCCCTAAATTGAATCCGACCCGGAAATGTCGGACAGGTCTATTTTATGAACAGGTGGGTTAAAATTCTCACAATCCTCACGTCGATTATCTGTACCTTTTCTCCTAATACCGATTGTCATATCTCTCCCACTTTTGGTAGCAATCGTTCGGCCACTGCGTTTATCTGCGTTGCCCAGCTACATAAATGGGGAACAACTTACTAGACACTTTCCTTATAAAAAATAACCTCGTTCAATAGATGACGTCATGAAATTGCGAGCGCATGTTCGAATTTCCAGAAATGACGTCATGATAGAACAATGTTTTATCATGAATTAAACCACGCTTCGTTCTTCATTGTTTTATGTGATTTATCGCGTAGCTATCTTATTTTCTGTAATAATCCTATCTCAATAATGGTTCTCGTTGACGCCCATATCTAAACTAGGATTAAATCTAATAACGCACTAATGTACTTAGATCTGTAAATACCTGCACGTACAGTCGACGGATAAACAATGTAATTAGTACCCTATATCTGTTGAATCTTTACGAGATATCTACACTTGAAACACATTGCTGGTCATAGAAATAATTGTACACTTAATATTCCTTGAGCCAGACCCCTGATTTTTATGTTTGACTACCAAATGGAGGGACAAATTTCCATTGTGGTTTTCAGATAGCCTGTTGTCCAAACTACATGAAATCACATGATGGACATCCCACATGTCCAGCTAAATGTCATTTTGGCCGCCATTTTCAAGATGGCCGCCATTTTTTTCCAATTTGCTCCAAATTTCAGAAATAAGCATGAAAAACAGAATTTACAATTCCTAGACAACTTTTGTGTTAAGAAATGTGCCAGGCACTAAATTCCACACATTTTGATATACAATTTGTATGGTTTTGTGTAATAAATATTTCTCTGTTATCAAATTATATTGTAAAATCTATTTATTTATTTTTTTCATTATGCAAAGACATTAAGAATTGTTTACTTCAGTGTTATGGCTTTACATAGCATTAACATTTTGTGATTGATAACAGCTGTTTATTGTATTTTTTTATGATAAGTGATTACAGAAATTACAGTTTTCTTGCACTGCACAGCCTGTTTCCCTTGCTCAAAATGTTCTCAAAATTTACACACAAATTTCCGAGTGCTAACCCCATGTTTGAGAAATCTCTGCATTTCAGTTTAATACAAAAACAATTAAATTTTGCAGATATTACCATAGTTAAAATAAACATTATCTACTTAAAATCCTGCAAGTAAAAACATTTCATTTCATATGAAGTTTAATTACTCAAAATGAGACCTCAAACTGTGCAACAAAAAATATAATTCCCCAATTACATCTGATACTACTGTCTGTTGTCAGTTAATGGATAAATACAATGCATCTGTGTTTATATAAAATTGATGCAATGACTGGTCCTTTCCAACAAGCATGTAGTTGACAGTTCACTTGGAGGATGATTTTCGTGAGTATATTTGATTTTAAAGCAAGATAAAGTTAAAACAACAACACCCAGGAACTATGGTACTGTCAATACAAAAGTGTCTTACAGTATCAATTATACTGTTCTTTAATAAAACCTGTCTAACATGAGCTGTCTGCTATGTGGACAAGAAAGAGAAGCGGCGAACAATTGAGCCTTCTGATCAACTACTTCCTATCTAGACTGTGGGGAAAAGGGAAGGTCCACACACACATCCCCCCCCCTTTGTGGAATGGCTTGAGATCCATCATCCATCCAGCTAGCAAAGCTGAGTGATGCGAAAATCCAAATAGGCATTTGTCATAAATCACATGATAAGGTATTGAGGGATGAATCATACAAGGAAATTTCTGAAATGTTCAACAGTCACCTAAATGTCTTGCGCCATGAAAGAGGTCAACTCTCAGCCTTTTGGATGACTTACATTGACATGGTGGATATTCTGCTTCGCCTACTTCGTGCTGATAGAGAAGGAGACTGGCATCTTCATCTTGCTTGCATCAGAAATGTCATACCTTGGTGCATGGCAATGAACACAACCAACTATGCACGGTTTCTTTCTGTGTACTTTGCTCAGATGACTCGGTTAAAGGAGACATGTCCATGGATGTATGAGCACTTTCACAACAAGGGTTTCTCTGTTCAACTGAGGAAAATGAGGAAAATACCTTTGGCAGGATTGCAGTTGATCAGACCACAGAAGAAACGGTAAACAAAGACACCCAAACTGCTGGTGGAACACGAGGGTTCAGTCTCAAGCCAGGGACCGTGTCACGCTACTATCTCACTGCTGAACACAGAGCAGCTGCATTGAGACAACTACGTGAACAAATTTCAGTGCAGTCACGTTCCCTTAGCCATTCAGACCTGGACAGACCACGCATTCGTAGAGATGAACCTGACACCAGATCATTAGTTGATACATTGGAGAACTGGACAAACCCGCTTTCTGAAGACTCAGATCTTGTTTGCATATCCACTGGAGCAGTGCCCCCCCCCCCCCCCTTTAAGTTTCTGCCGATCTTTGACATCAAGACAAAACGGAGAGGAAGCTTATCAGGCGTTCCAAGCAGAACGGCTTCAGAAGGATGAAGGTGTTTCTACAACACCGTGAAGAAGATGAATTTGAAATCATTTATGGACATTAACAAGAAGACAAGCAAGTGTACAAACACAGAAATCAATCTAAAAGCTGACAGAAGAGTGTTTGCAAATATGGTTCCCATTGCCCAGAACAGAAGGTTAGACATTCGTGATGTGCTGAGCCACCCTCTTGGTCCACTACCCTGGTCTCTTGCAAATGGTGATGGCACAATGAAAAAGACAAATAAATCTGCTCTGGCAAAACACTTGGAGACTAAAGTGTCGTTTGCAGATGGTACCCCCACCCAAATTGCTGCTCTTCTTCTTGGTGCTATGGCCATCGTTCAGAAAATCCACGGCGAAAATCACACATTTGATGAGCTGTCTGGTCGAGTGTTTGTCCAGATGTTGCATGCTGGTCAGGGATGTAACAGAATTGATGTGGTGTTTGACGTGTACAGGGAACAGTCAATAAAGTCAGCTGAGCTTCTGAATCGGGGTTCAACTGAAGGCATTATCTTCACGCAGATAAGAGAAGGACACAAACTGAAAAACTGGAGATGACTTCTTGCATGTACCGAGAGTAAGAACAACCTCACTAGATTTCTGGCACAGAGTTGGAAAGAGCTAAGGTGACGTGAACAGCTTGGTTACAAAAGTATGTTTGTTACACACAGAAGTATGTGCATTCAGTTAACGAGTGAGGGATGGCAAAATGTAACACGCCTGGAGTCATGCCACGAAGAAGCTGATACTCGTTTACTGTTGCATGCTAAGCATGCCTCAGAAGAATAACAAGACCTGGTCCTTGTCACAGATGACACAGATGTGCTAGTTATCTGTCTTGCTCTCAGCACAAAGATCAACAGCAGAATCATTATCAGACGAGGTACAAAAGCTCGTTTGAGGCTTGTGGACATAACAAAACTTGCTGAAGCTTTAGGAAGTGAAGCTTGCACAGCATTATTGGGGCTACATGCATCGACTGGGTGTGACTATCTGAGTGCATTGGCTGGTCACAGCAAGCTGAGGGCTCTAAAACTGCTTCTAAGAGATGAAACTTTCAGAAAGGCTTTTGGAGATCTTGGTACTGAGTGGCATCTTTCTCCTGAAGTGTTTAAGATCCTCCAATCCTTTACCTGTCAGCTATATTGCAGCAACACAACGGTAAACACGGTCAATGAGCTGCGTTACCAGATATTTCGAGGTAGAGGTGGGGATGTTGAATCTGGACAGCTCCCCCGATGTAAAGATGCGCTTTTCCAGCATACCCTCCGTGCCAATTACCAGTCAGCGGTTTGGAAATAAATGAGACAGGAAATCTGGCAATCAAATGGATGACGGGCTTGCCAGCTCCAGAAGTGGTCCTCGGCTTGACGTCATGCAGATGTTCTCGTACTTGTCGACCACGTGAGTGCACATGTATATTAAATGGTTTTAAATGTCCCTCTGCCTGCAAGTTGTCACCCTGCTCCAACATGGATGACAATGATGAAGAGATACATCAAGATGCAGAAGACTCAAGCGATGAAAATGACTGAATTTGACAGTTGGATGTGTATCACATAGCAGGTTTTGGGACGGAATAAGACATCCTCATTGTAGAAATTATTTATAGACATTTTCTTGAAACTGTTACAAGTACTGGCCATATTCATGCTAAATTGTGTTACAATGTTAATGTCAACGACATGAAACTTTAGCAAACAGTCTCCTGTTTAATATGGTGAGTTCATATTACCAGATGCTGATTTTTAAGAAGTAGAAGATTTGTGAAGTAGAAGGACTGTGGTGGCTTTTGAATTATGAACAAGTTATATTTGTCTGCAAATGTTATTTTTTATTTGAAAATATAACGTAAAATTGGTACCAGACATTGATCTATGTTTCTTATCCATTTAATTGCAGAAGGGTCAGGTGGGAATGAAATTGGAATTTTGTTTATATGTATACTTTTGATGTTATTATTAAACACATATAAATAAAATATCACAATGTGTACATTTTAACTTAAACACTTTAGATTCTTGGAAATTTAGCTAGGAAATATAAAAACAAGTTTTGGTTACAATATGTACGACTTTCTTCATTTTTTAATCATCTGTGAAAAAGTGCACTATATTGATAAATGGCTGCTTTTGTTTATGTACTATCGTGTTTTAACTTCCAAATAGATTTTATATATGAAATTACATTAGACAATTTTTATCTATCATAAGGTGTGAATTATTACTCAACAACGTTGCATTGGAAAGAAAAGATGTCAGTAAAATGTTTAAAAAGGGTAATTCCCTTATATAATTTCAACATTTACTATAAAATTATAACTCAATGATATACAAAAAGCATAACAGAATGTGTGCAATGTAGTGCTGAAACAATATCAGGAAAGAAATGTTGTCTGAAATAAATAAATTCTGTGTTATAAGCTTATTTCTGAAATCTGTAGAAAAAGTGAAAAAATGGCCGCCATCTTGGAAAATGGCTGCCAAAATCGTATTCAGCTGGGCATCTGAAATGTCCATCACATGAAATTATACAGTTGAGACATAAAGCTAGCTGAAAATCATATTGGTAATTTGTCCCTCTGTTTGGTAGTCAAATTTTCTCTGGCTCATGGACTATAACGTATTGTAGGGGATAACAGACATGTCAGGGTGCATCTGGTATTTCACTATTGTAGGGGTGCATCTGGTATTTCACTATTGTAGGGGTGCATCTGGTATTTCACTACTGTAGGGGTGCATCTGGTATTTCACTATTGTAGGGATGAGCCTGGTATTGTCACTATTGTAGGGGTGCATCTGGTATTTCACTACTGTAGGGGTGCATCTGGTATTTCACTACTGTAGGGGTGCTTCTGGTATTTCACTACTGTAGGTGTGCTTCTGGTATTTCACTACTGTAGGGGTGAGCCTGGTATTTCACTACTGTAGGGGTGCTTCTGGTATTTCACTACTGTAGGGGTGCATCTGGTATTTCACTACTGTAGGGGTGCATCTGGTATTTCACTATTGTAGGGATGAGCCTGGTATTTTCACTATTGTAGGGGTGCATCTGGTATTTCACTACTGTAGGGGTGCATCTGGTATTTCACTATCGTAGGGGTAAGCCTGGTATTTCACTACTGTAGGGGTGCATCTGGTATTTCACTATTGTAGGGATGAGCCTGGTATTTCACTATTGTAGGGGTGCATCTGGTATTTCACTACTGTAGGGGTGCATCTGGTATTTCACTATTGTAGGGGTGCATCTGGTATTTCACTATTGTAGGGGTGCATCCGGTATTTCACTATTGTAGGGGTGAGTCTGGTATTTCACTACTGTAGGGGTGAGCCTGGTATTTCACTACTGTAGGGGTGCATCTGGTATTTCACTATTGTAGGGATGAGCCTGGTATTTCACTATTGTAGGGTTGCATCTGGTATTTCACTACTGTAGGGGTGCTTCTGGTATTTCACTACTGTAGGGGTGAACCTGGTATTTCACTACTGTAGGGGTGCATCTGGTATTTCACTATTGTAGGGGTGCATCTGGTATTTCACTATTGTAGGGGTGCATCTGGTATTTCACTATTGTAGGGGTGCATCTGGTATTTCACTACTGTAGGGGTGAACCTGGTATTTCACTACTGTAGGGGTGCTTCTGGTATTTCACTATTGTAGGGGTGAGCCTGGTATTTCACTACTGTAGGGGTGAACCTGGTATTTCACTACTGTAGGGGTGCTTCTGGTATTTCACTACTGTAGGGGTGCATCTGGTATTTCACTACTGTAGGGGTGCATCTGGTATTTCACTATTGTAGGGGTGCTTCTGGTATTTCACTACTGTAGGGGTGCTTCTGGTATTTCACTATTGTAGGGGTGAGCCTGGTATTTCGCTATTGTAGGGTTGCATCTGGTATTTCACTACTGTAGGGGTGCTTCTGGTATTTCACTACTGTAGGGGTGAACCTGGTATTTCACTACTGTAGGGGTGCATCTGGTATTTCACTATTGTAGGGGTGCATCTGGTATTTCACTATTGTAGGGGTGCATCTGGTATTTCACTATTGTAGGGGTGAGCCTGGTAATTCACTACTGTAGGGGTGAACCTGGTATTTCACTACTGTAGGGGTGCTTCTGGTATTTCACTATTGTAGGGGTGAGCCTGGTATTTCACTACTGTAGGGGTGAACCTGGTATTTCACTACTGTAGGGGTGCATCTGGTATTTCACTACTGTAGGGGTGCATCTGGTATTTCACTATTGCAGGGCGCGCCTGGTATTTCACTTTTGTAGGAGTAGACAGAACTTCATTATGTTAGTTAACTACAGGGGTGGACAGACATATTCACACACACACACACACACACACACACACACACACACACACACACACACACACACACACACACACACACACACACACACACACACACACACACACACGTGCATGCCTGTCGCTATATAAGTGCAACAATCTTGGACGCGACGTTAAACCCAATTACACCTCACCTAATAACACCTCACCTCACCATATTAATAATTTCACAACTGTGTGGTGGTTTTAAAAAAGTGACATGCTGAGTGTGTTGTTTCTCACCAACATACAGCCGAGGCTCGTCTGCCACTTCTTGATTCTCTTCCACAGGTCCACTGTCTTTGTAGTGACACAACCAGCAATCAGATCGGAGTGCCCACCCATGTACTTAGTGCTGCGGGGCGAGTTGACACACATGTGTTAAGTTACAGGCCATATATCATAATATAACCGTTCAACACTGCTTTAAACACATACAATAAAGACAAGTGTACAAGGCACTCCACCTTGTGCTGACAACAAAGGACAATGTACAAGCAACACCACACCCCATCCCATCCTACTCTTCACTGTGTAGAGAGTAGAACACAATGTAGTAGGGCACCCGTCACTGTGTAGACCGTAGAACACAATGTAGGAGGACACCCATCACTGTGTAGACTGTAGAACACAATGTAGTAGGGCACCCGTCACTGTGTAGACTGTAGAACACAGTGTAGGAGGACACCCATCACTGTGTAGACTGTAGATCACAATGTAGTAGGGCACCCGTCACTGTGTAGACTGTAGAACACAGTGTAGGAGGACACCCGTCACTGTGTAGACTGTAGAACACAGTGTAGGAGGACACCCATCACTGTGTAGACTGTAGAACACAGTGTAGTAGGGCACCCGTCACTGTGTAGACTGTAGAACACAGTGTAGGAGGACACCCGTCACTGTGTAGACTGTAGAACACAGTGTAGGAGGACACCCATCACTGTGTAGACTGTAGAACACAGTGTAGTAGGGCACCCGTCACTGTGTAGACTGTAGAACACAGTGTAGGAGGACACCCATCACTGTGTAGACTGTAGAACACAATGTAGTAGGGCACCCATCACTGTGTAGACTGTAGAACACAGTGTAGGAGGACACCCGTCACTGTGTAGACTGTAGAACACAGTGTAGGAGGACACCCATCACTGTGTAGACTGTAGAACACAGTGTAGTAGGGCACCCGTCACTGTGTAGACTGTAGAACACAGTGTAGGAGGACACCTGTCACTGTGTAGACTATAGAACACAGTGTAGGAGGACACCTATCACTGTGTAGACTGTAGAACACAGTGTAGGAGGACACCCGTCACTGTGTAGACCGTAGAACACAGTGTAGGAGGACACCCGTCACTGTGTAGACTTTAGAACACAATGTAGGAGGACACCCGTCACTGTGTAGACTGTAGAACACAATGTAAGAGGACACCCATCACTGTGTAGACCATAGAACACAATGTAGGAGGACACCTATCACTGTGTAGACCGTAGAACACAGTGTAGGAGGACACCCGTCACTGTGTAGACTGTAGAACACAATGTAGTAGGGCACCCATCACTGTGTAGACTGTAGAACACAATGTAGTAGGGCACCCATCACTGTGTAGACTGTAGAACACAATGTAGTAGGGCACCCGTCACTGTGTAGACTGTAGAACACAGTGTAGTAGGGCACCCGTCACTGTGTAGACTGTAGAACACAATGTAGTAGGGCACCCATCACTGTGTAGACTGTAGAACACAGTGTAGGAGGACACCCGTCACTGTGTAGACTGTAGAACACAGTGTAGGAGGACACCTGTCACTGTGTAGACTGCAGAACACAATGTAGTAGGGCACCCATCACTGTGTAGACTGTAGACTGTAGAACACAGTGTAGGAGGACACCTGTCACTGTGTAGACCGTAGAACACAATGTAGTAGGGCACCCGTCACTGTGTAGACTGTAGAACACAGTGTAGGAGGACAACCGTCACTGTGTAGACCATAGAACACAATGTAGGAGGACACCCATCACTGTGTAGACAGTCGTTACATGATACATCAACTCACCAGCTGTGGAGACTAATGTCTATGCCATGTTTTATCGGTTGTTGCAGATAGCAGGAGCCGAACGTGGCATCCACAACAGAAATAACGCCATCTAGGGAGCTGCCAAGTTTGCCAAACTCTTCAAAATCAAGGACGGACATGTCTGGATTGCAGGGGCTCTCGCCATAGATCATCTGGAAACAGAAAATCCTGGGTATATGAGTCATGCATACAGGTTATGTCTTTGGTATTTGAGTCGTGCATACAGGTTATGTCTTTGGTATGCGAGTCGTGAATACAGGTTATGTCTTTGGTATTTGAGTCATGCATGCAGGTTATGTCTTTGGTATTTGAGTCATGCATACAGGTTATGTCTTTGGTATTTGAGTCATGCATGCAGGTTATGTCTTTGGTATGCGAGTCATGCATACAGGTTATGTCTTTGGTATGCGAGTCATGCATACAGGTTATGTCTTTGGTATTTGAGTCATGCATACAGGTTATGTCTTTGGTATGCGAGTCATGCATGCAGGTTATGTCTTTGGTATGCGAGTCATGCATGCAGGTTATGTCTTTGGTATGCGAGTCATGCATGCAGGTTATGTCTTTGGTATGCGAGTCATGCATGCAGGTTATGTCTTTGGTATGCATGTCGTGCATGCAGGTTATGTCTTTGGTATGCGAGTCGTGCATGCAGGTTATGTCTTTGGTATTTGAGTCATGCATACAGGTTATGTCTTTGGTATTTGAGTCATGCATGCAGGTTATGTCTTTGGTATGCGAGTCATGCATACAGGTTATGTCTTTGGTATTTGAGTCATGCATGCAGGTTATGTCTTTGGTATGCGAGTCATGCATACAGGTTATGTCTTTGGTATGCGAGTCATGCATACAGGTTATGTCTTTGGTATTTGAGTCATGCATACAGGTTATGTCTTTGGTATGCGAGTCATGCATGCAGGTTATGTCTTTGGTATGCGAGTCATGCATGCAGGTTATGTCTTTGGTATGCGAGTCATGCATGCAGGTTATGTCTTTGGTATGCGAGTCATGCATGCAGGTTATGTCTTTGGTATGCATGTCGTGCATGCAGGTTATGTCTTTGGTATGCGAGTCGTGCATGCAGGTTATGTCTTTGGTATTTGAGTCATGCATACAGGTTATGTCTTTGGTATTTGAGTCATGCATGCAGGTTATGTCTTTGGTATTTGAGTCATGCATGCAGGTTATGTCTTTGGTATGCGTGTCGTGCATGCAGGTTATGTCTTTGGTATGCGAGTCGTGCATGCAGGTTATGTCTTTGGTATTTGAGTCATGCATACAGGTTATGTCTTTGGTATTTGAGTCATGCATGCAGGTTATGTCTTTGGTATTTGAGTCGTGCATGCAGGTTATGTCTTTGGTATTCGAGTCATGCATGCAGGTTATGTCTTTGGTATATGAGTCATGCATGCAGGTTATGTCTTTGGTATGCATGTCGTGCATGCAGGTTATGTCTTTGGTATGCGAGTCGTGCATGCAGGTTATGTCTTTGGTATTTGAGTCATGCATACAGGTTATGTCTTTGGTATGCGAGTTGTGCATGCAGGTTATGTCTTTGGTATTTGAGTCATGCATGCAGGTTATGTCTTTGGTATGCGAGTCATGCATGCAGGTTATGTCTTTGGTATGTGAGTCATGCATGCAGGTTATGTCTTTGGTATATGAGTCATGCATACAGGTTATGTCTTTGGTATTTGAGTCATGCATACAGGTTATGTCTTTGGTATAGGAGTCGTGCATTTAGGTTATGTCTCAGGTATGCGAATCATGCAAACATGTTATTTCTTTTTTTATACAATTCCTGGGTATATGAGTCATGCATACAAATTATGTCATTGATATAATAGTCATGCATACAGGTTATAGCTGGTCAGCTATAACCTGTTTGCATGACTCGTACAACAGCTATAACCTGTATGCAAGACACGTACAACAGCTATAACCTGTATGCATGACTCATATACCAGCTATACAGGTCATGGATACAGGTTATAACTGTTGTACGAGTCATGCATACAGGTTATAGCTGTTATACAGCATGACTGTATGCATGACTCGTACAACAGCTATAACCTGTATGCATGACTCATATACCAGCTATACAGGTCATGGATACAGGTTATAACTGTTGTACGAGTCATGCATACAGGTTATAGCTGTTGTACGAGTCATGCATACATGTTATAGCTGTTGTACGAGTCATGCATACATGTTATAGCTGTTGTACGAGTCATGCATACAGGTTATAGCTGTTGTACGAGTCATGCATACAGGTTTTAGCTGTCGTACGAGTCATGCATACATGTTATAGCTGTTGTACGTGTCTTGCATACAGGTTTTAGCTGGTTACATAGCTGGTATACGAGTCATGCATACAGGTTATAGCTGTTGTACGAGTCATGGATACAGTTTATAGCTGTTGTACGAGTCATGCATACATGTTATAGCTGTTGTACGAGTCATGCATACAGGTTATAGCTGTTGTACGAGTCATGCATACAGGTTATAGCTCGTATAGCGAAGACATAAGGGGCCGACCATTTCATATTTGCAGTGTGGATTCTTTGGAAAAATATTAAATTGTCCTCAAACTACAATATCAAATTGTCGGTCCTTAACCTGGGAGTTTCTAGGTGTAACTTCAACAGGGAACCAGGAGACGGGCTTAGTCACAGCATGAATGACAGGTTTTAACACTCTTTGTTCATAGCGAAAATACACAAGTGACGTAAATTGATATGCAACAGAGGCCAGCCACATCACGCGATGTCGCAGTAGCCACGTGATGTCGCAGTAGCCCCGTGGCAGTCGTGTCCATCATCCTGGAACTAATACACTCCCTGTGCTGGTGTAGGACAGGCAAAGGGAAGTGATTGCTTTCCTCTGTGAGAGTATGTTTGCAGACATTGTTTCAGTGTAACATTTTCCTATAGTTCTCAAGTTACAAGAATTTATGCCAAAGCCTTTTCAGTGCTGTAAAAGCAAGGACATCAAAGAGCCCTTTACTGCCATAGAATATATTGCATTAAAAGCCAATTCATAAAAAACCTTTCAGCACTCAAAGTGTATTAAGATTTTTAATTCATTAAAAAATACTTTTACAAAGTATGAAGTTTCAATATTGAACGGTCATGAAATTATTAGCACTGAAAGACCACCACCCTAAACATCCCATTGAACGCTGTCCGCTCCAAGTGTCCAACTCCTTCAACGGAACAAGTTTTGCCAGTGAACGCTTTCTGAGAACTTAGTTGTGTAGTATGGCTTCTTAAGGGGTTAATATTGTGTGTTGTAATACAATTTGAAATCTAACATTGCAAAAACGTCGATGTAGATATGTTGAACTTTGCTTATGAGAGGAAATTCACTGCCTTTGTAATGAGCATGTAGGGTTGGACAGGGAAGTACATTCCTTTGTTGATATTTACGATACCGGCTAATTCCAAGAGGGACATCGACAATACACTAAATAACTGTTGGGTCCGTGGGTTTCACCCAAGTGGTAAGCATCTCTATATAAAACCTTCATTATGTAGACTGCACTGCTTTATCCGTTTGGGGTTCAAGAATCTGAATCAAGAATCTTTATATTTTATAACCCTTCTACCTGTATAATTAGTAGCTAATTAGAGTAATTTCAATTTAATCGAAAAATCAACAACAAAGAATGTGATATTCTTTAGCCAACAATCAAATATGTAATACTTTGTTGGGGTGCCTTTATATTCTATAATGTATAATGATTAACCAGTGACGATCTTACATTAATGAAAGTTTCCTAGTCTCAGGATCTAAGTCTGAATTCTAGATAGTCATATGAGATGTCACATTCAGTTATGCCATTATGCTTCATATCAGTTGTTAAAACGCATATTTTTCGACAGTTGTTGAATTTGATACCTTTAAGCTCAATTCAGTTTATTGACATGTCAATTGCATTGACTGATATAGCGAACCAATTGGATCAATATCAGGTCACCGCTTGAATAATTAGATTTTGGTTTTAGATGCGCGTTGGTAGGTTTGTTGTTGCCATATCAGATGCATCCTTTAGCTACTCCTTTACTTTGATTTAGTTTTTGTATGTCGACAACATACCTGTGTTGGTGGGGTAAATGAACTTTGACAAGGAATGGATTTAGACATTATTCAGCTGAAACCTTGCATGAATGATTCCAGGTGTAATATCTCCACAATCCTTAGCGAATTCAGATCCGACTTATATTATGACCAAAACAGCAGCTACACGAAGAAACTTATCAATTAATGGCTATTAATCGCCTATGGTGTTTTTCAAAATATATCAACATTTTGTAATGGGACCTAATTTATATGTTCCAAATGTTGCGATGCATTTTGAATGGCGACATGTTTTGGCTGAACTAGCAGAATCTAGCAGTTTTTAGCTCAAGATGGAACTTACGCTTTAGCGTGTGCCTCACTTAGTATCTTTGCTTTTACAGCATTGAAAAGGTTTCAGCATAAATGCTTAGAAATATAGGAAAATGTTACACGTAAACGATCTTTGCAAACTTACCTCTCGCAGAGAACAGCGTTCACTTCCCTTGCGGAAAGATCGCCTGCCGTGCACGATCACAGAGGCTGTAACATAGGTCTCCAAATGAACGAGCAAGAGCACTCGCCTCGCAATACCTTACCCAAACAGGAAAACTGGTGTAATTTTGAAGAGAACATAGACGGGACTATCTTATTCCTCATTAAGCACACAGCCTTTGTTAATAAAATGTGTTAGCAAAACGCACAAAAATTTCGCTAGTCCGCCAATGTCAGTCATCTTAAAGTATTAAAACAATATTTCAAATATTGGCATATCTCCACGTGTTGACAGGAAGGTGAATATGGGATATGGTACAAGATTTGATATCTGAACATGAATTCGGTAGGAAACGAGTCTTTACCGAAATAACTGAACACTTCGATTTAAAAAAGAAAAAGTGCCAATAAGCACTTTACACTACCTGTGTCGGAAGTGTTGTTTATGGTGTTCATGTAACCTACCTTGGTGTTTGCTTTGACACTTCGGCGAAATTCCTCGATCGAGCATCCTGCAGGAACCCATGTGACCTCAAGACCAAACTTCCTGACAAGTTCCTTGAGGAGCGTTTGGGAGCCGCTGTACACGGGGACGTTCATCACCTACGCGCATCACACAGGTACCTTACTGTATTGACGTATACCATGCACACTACCAGGTCACGCTGTGTGAAAGTACACATACATCTATGTATCTATGTACATCTACGTTCTACGTATCTACGTATTCATTTATGTATTATTTATGACCCATTAAAGGTCGTCACACCTAATTATGTATCCTATACGTATGCCGAGACACCTAATTACGTATACAATATTTACGTCGTGACACCTAATTATGTATTCCACACGTATGCCGTGACCACTAATCATGTATCTCATATGTACACCGTGACCACTAATTATGTATCCCATATATATACACCGTGACCTCTAATTATGTATCCATACGTACAACGTGGTCACCCTTGTCGAGGAGAGCGAGGAACACCGTGGAGACAGCCGCCATGCCGCTGGCAAACACCAGACTGCCCGCCCCACCCTCCAAAGCGTTGATGGCACACTCGGTAGATTCTGTGGTGGTGTTGGCCAGACGGGAGTAAACTGACCCACCCTGAAACACACATGAGGTCGTCACTGTAACTACTGCAACAGTTTGTAATACATCTTGGCTTCTTCACTACAATCTGAAGCTGCAGCTATACGTGTTCAGACATCTGTTCCACTGAACATTCAGTGGGATTAGAGTGTAAATATGCTTACACTAGACGTATTGCTCGTTTACTTTGGACGTTGGCATTAGTTTTCAAAACCCTGTGACGATCCTTAAACTGCGCGGTGTCATCGAGAGAATTGCCAAGCCCGATATCCAACGGTATATATTTAACCTCACCTCTTGCATGACTTTCAAGAAGTCATCAACTGACTTCAACTTGTATGTTGAGGAATGGTAGATGGGCGGGACGAGGGGCTCTGTGGCAGTGCCTTCGTAGGTGAACCGTGCACGGAGCGCCCGTGTGTCTAGGGCCACGTCGTTAAGGTGAAGGCCATTCAGACCCTTGTCCAGGTCGGATCGGGCGGGTGGACGTTTGTTACTGAAAACATGCACAGGGTCGAGATGTCAGCGAGGCAGCGGATATATATTGAATACTAAACGAGCTCCAGTGTAATACCAATTTTTAGAAAAGAGTGAATAGTTAAGCTATCTGACAAGCGAAAGCTGGAACTGCCGACTCCCACCTTCAAGGATAAAACAACACAAACTGATGTAGAGGAACTGCCGACTGAAACCTTCAACGATGAAACAACACACACTGATGTAGAGGAACTGTCGACTGAAACCTTCAACGATGAAACAACACACACTGATGTAGAGGAACTGCCGACTCCCACTTTCAAGGATGAAACAACACACACTGATGTAGAGGAACTGCCGACTGAAACCTTCAAGGATGAAACAACACACACTGATGCAGAGAAACTGTCGACTGAAACCTTCAACGATGAAACAACACACACTGATGCAGAGGAACTGCCGACTGAAACCTTCAATGATGTAACAACACACACTGATGCAAAGGAACTGTCGACTGACACCGTAAAGGATGCAACAACACACACTGATGCAGAGGAACTGTCGAATTACACCGTAAAGGATGAAACAACACACGCTGATGCAAAGGTACTGCCGACTCCCACTTTCAAGTATGAAACAACACACGCTGATGCAGAGGAACTGTCGACTGACACCGTAAAGGATGAAACAACACACACTGATGTAGCGGAACTGCCGACTGAAACCTTCAACGATGAAACAACACACACTGATGCAGAGGAACTGTCGACTCCCACTTTCAAGGATGAAACAACACACGCTGATGCAAAGGAACTGCCGACTCCCACTTTCAAGGATGAAACAACACACGCTGATGCAGAGGAACTGTCGACTGAAACCTTCAACGATGAAACAACACACGCTGATGCAAAGGAACTGCCGACTCCCACTTTCAAGTATGAAACAACACACGCTGATGCAGAGGAACTGTCGACTGAAACCTTCAACGATGAAACAACACACCGATGCAAAGGAACTGTCGACTCCCACTTTCAAGGATGAAACAACACACGCTGATGCAGAGGAACTGCCGACTCCCACTTTCAAGGATGAAACAACACACACTGATGCAAAGGAACTGTCGACTGACTCCGTAAAGGATGAAACAACACACCCTGATGAAGAGGAACTGCCGACTGACACCGTAAAGGATGAAACAACACACACTGATGTAGAGGAACTGCCGACTGAAACCTTCAATGATGAAACAACACACACTGATGTAGAGGAACTGTCGACTGACACCGTCAAGGATGAAACAACACACACTGATGCAGAGGAACTGTCGACTGACACCGTAAAGGATGAAACAACACACAGTGATGCAGAGAAAAAGTCGACTGAAACCTTCAACGATGAAACAACACACACTGATGCAGAGAAACTGTCGACTGACACCGTAAAGGATGAAACAACACACACTGATGTAGAGGAACTGCCGACTGAAACCTTCAATGATGAAACAACACACACTGATGCAGATAAACTGTCGACTGACACCGTAAAGGATGAAACAACACACACTAATGTAGCGGAACTGTCGACTGACACCGTAAAGGATGAACACAAACACTGATGAAGAGGAACTGCCGACTGAAACCTTCAACGATGAAACAACACACACTGATGTAGAGGAACTGCCGACTGAAACCTTCAACAATGAAACAACACACACTGATGCAGAGGAACTGCCGACTGAAACCTTCAACGATGAAACAACACACACTGATGTAGAGGAACTGTCGACTGACACCGTCAAGGATGAAACAACACACGCTGATGCAAAGGAACTGCCGACTCCCACCTTCAAGGATGAAACAACACACGCTGATGAAGAGGAACTGCCGACTGAAACCTTCAACGATGAAACAACACACACTGATGTAGAGGAACTGTCGACTGACACCGTAAAGGATGAAACAACACACGCTGATGCAAAGGAACTGTCGACTCCCACCTTCAAGGATGAAACAACACACGCTGATGCAGAGGAACTGTCGACTGAAACCTTCAACGATGAAAAAACACACACTGATGCAAAGGAACTGCCGACTGAAGCCTTCAACGATGAAACAACACACACTGATGTAGAGGAACTGTCGACTGACACCGTAAAGGATGAAACAACACACGCTGATGCAAAGGAACTGTCGACTCCCACCTTCAATGATGAAACAACACACACTGATGCAGAGGAACTGTCGACTGACACCGTAAAGGATGAAACAACACACACTGATGTAGCGGAACTGCCGACTGAAACCTTCAATGATGAAACAACACACACTGATGCAGAGGAACTGTCGACTGGCACCGTAAAGGATGAAACAACACACGCTGATGCAAAGGTACTGCCGACTCCCACTTTCAAGTATGAAACAACACACGCTGATGCAGAGGAACTGTCGACTGACACCGTAAAGGATGAAACAACACACACTGATGTAGCGGAACTGCCGACTGAAACCTTCAATGATGAAACAACACACACTGATGTAGAGGAACTGTCGACTGACACCGTCAAGGATGAAACAACACACATTGATGCAGAGGAACTGTCGACTGACACCGTAAAGGATGAAACAACACACAGTGATGCAGAGAAAAAGTCGACTGAAACCTTCAACGATGAAACAACACACACTGATGCAGAGAAACTGTCGACTGACACCGTAAAGGATGAAACAACACACACTGATGTAGAGGAACTGCCGACTGAAACCTTCAATGATGAAACAACACACACTGATGCAGATAAACTGTCGACTGACACCGTAAAGGATGAAACAACACACACTAATGTAGCGGAACTGTCGACTGACACCGTCAAGGATGAAACAACAAACACTGATGAAGAGGGACTGCCGACTGAAACCTTCAACGATGAAACAACACACACTGATGTAGAGGAACTGTCGACTGACACCGTAAAGGATGAAACAACACACACTGATGTAGAGGAACTGCCGACTGAAACCTTCAACAATGAAACAACACACACTGATGCAGAGGAACTGCCGACTGAAACCTTCAAGGATGAAACAACACACACTGATGAAGAGGAACTGCCGACTGAAACCTTCAACGATGAAACAACACACACTGATGCAGAGGAACTGTCGACTGACACCGTAAAGGATGAAACAAAACACGCTGATGCAAAGGAACTGTCGACTCCCACCTTCAAGGATGAAACAACACACGCTGATGCAGAGGAACTGTCGACTGAAACCTTCAACGATGAAACAACACACACTGATGCAAAGGAACTGCCGACTGAAGCCTTCAACGATGAAACAACACACACTGATGTAGAGGAACTGTCGACTGACACCGTAAAGGATGAAACAACACACGCTGATGCAAAGGAACTGTCGACTCCCACCTTCAATGATGAAACAACACACACTGATGCAGAGGAACTGTCGACTGACACCGTAAAGGATGAAACAACACACACTGATGTAGCGGAACTGCCGACTGAAACCTTCAACGATGAAACAACACACACTGATGCAGAGGAACTGTCGACTGGCACCGTAAAGGATGAAACAACACACGCTGATGCAAAGGTACTGCCGACTCCCACTTTCAAGGATGAAACAACACACGCTGATGCAGAGGAACTGTCGACTGACACCGTAAAGGATGAAACAACACACACTGATGTAGCGGAACTGCCGACTGAAACCTTCAACGATGAAACAACACACACTGATGCAGAGGAACTGTCGACTGACACCGTCAAGGATGAAACAACACACGCTGATGCAAAGGAACTGTCGACTCCCACTTTCAAGGATGAAACAACACACGCTGATGCAGAGGAACTGTCGACTGACACCGTAAAGGATGAAACAACACACGCTGATGCAAAGGAACTGTCGACTCCCACTTTCAAGTATGAAACAACACACGCTGATGCAAAGGAACTGTCGACTCCCACTTTCAAGGATGAAACAACACACGCTGATGCAGAGGAACTGTCGACTGACACCGTCAAGGATGAAACAACACACGCTGATGCAAAGGAACTGTCGACTCCCACTTTCAAGGATGAAACAACACACGCTGATGCAAAGGAACTGCCGACTCCCACTTTCAAGTATGAAACAACACACGCTGATGCAGAGGAACTGTCGACTGAAACCTTCAACGATGAAACAACACACCGATGCAAAGGAACTGTCGACTGAAACCTTCAACGATGAAACAACACACACTGATGCAGAGGAACTGTCGACTGACACCGTAAAGGATGAAACAACACACACTGATGAAGAGGAACTGCCGACTGAAACCTTCAACGATGAAACAACACACACTGATGCAGAGGAACTGTCGACTGACACCGTAAAGGATGAAACAACACACACTGATGTAGCGGAACTGCCGACTGAAACCTTCAACGATGAATCAACACACACTGATGCAGAGGAACTGTCGACTGACACCGTAAAGGATGAAACAACATACGCTGATGCAAAGGTACTGCCGACTCCCACTTTCAAGTATGAAACAACACACACTGATGCAGAGGAACTGTCGACTGACACCGTCAAGGATGAAACAACACACGCTGATGCAAAGGAACTGTCGACTCCCACTTTCAAGGATGAAACAACACACACTGATGCAGAGGAACTGTCGACTGACACCTTCAAGGATGAAACAACACACACAGATGCAGAGGAACTGCCGACTGAAACCTTCAACGATGAAACAACACACACTGATGTAGAGGAACTGTCGACTGACACCGTAAAGGATGAAACAACACACACTGATGTAGAGGAACTGTCGACTGACACCGTCAAGGATGAAACAACAAACACTGATGAAGAGGAACTGCCGACTGAAACCTTCAACGATGAAACAACACACACTGATGTAGAGGAACTGTCGACTGACACCGTAAAGGATGAAACAACACACACTGATGTAGAGGAACTGCCGACTGAAACCTTCAACAATGAAACAACACACACTGATGCAGAGGAACTGCCGACTGAAACCTTCAACGATGAAACAACACACACTGATGTAGAGGAACTGTCGACTGACACCGTCAAGGATGAAACAACACACGCTGATGCAAAGGAACTGTCGACTCCCACCTTCAAGGATGAAACAACACACGCTGATGCAGAGGAACTGTCGACTGAAACCTTCAACGATGAAACAACACACACTGATGCAAAGGAACTGCCGACTGAAGCCTTCAACGATGAAACAACACACACTGATGTAGAGGAACTGTCGACTGACACCGTAAAGGATGAAACAACACACGCTGATGCAAAGGAACTGTCGACTCCCACCTTCAATGATGAAACAACACACACTGATGCAGAGGAACTGTCGACTGACACCGTAAAGGATGAAACAACACACACTGATGTAGCGGAACTGCCGACTGAAACCTTCAACGATGAAACAACACACACTGATGCAGAGGAACTGTCGACTGGCACCGTAAAGGATGAAACAACACACGCTGATGCAAAGGTACTGCCGACTCCCACTTTCAAGTATGAAACAACACACGCTGATGCAGAGGAACTGTCGACTGACACCGTAAAGGATGAAACAACACACACTGATGTAGCGGAACTGCCGACTGAAACCTTCAACGATGAAACAACACACACTGATGCAGAGGAACTGTCGACTGACACCGTCAAGGATGAAACAACACACGCTGATGCAAAGGAACTGTCGACTCCCACTTTCAAGGATGAAACAACACACGCTGATGCAAAGGAACTGCCGACTGAAACCTTCAAGGATGAAACAACACACGCTGATGCAAAGGAACTGCCGACTCCCACTTTCAAGGATGAAACAACACACATTGATGCAGAGGAACTGCCGACTCCCACTTTCAAGGATGAAACAACACATGCTGATGCAGAGGAACAGCCGACTCCCACTTTCAAGGATGAAACAACACACGCTGATGCAGAGGAACTGCCGACTGACACCGTCAAGGATGAAACAACACACGCTGATGCAGAGGAACTGCCGACTCCCACTTTCAAGGATGAAACAACACACGCTGATGCAAAGGAACTGCCGACTGAAACCTTCAAGGATGAAACAACACACGCTGATGCAAAGGAACTGCCGACTCCCACTTTCAAGGATGAAACAACACACATTGATGCAGAGGAACTGCCGACTGACACCGTCAAGGATGAAACAACACACGCTGATGCAGAGGAACTGCCGACTCCCACTTTCAAGGATGAAACAACACACATTGATGCAGAGGAACTGCCGACTGACACCGTCAAGGATGAAACAACACACGCTGATGCAGAGGAACTGCCGACTGACACCGTCAAGGATGAAACAACACACGCTGATGCAGAGGAACTGCCGACTCCCACTTTCAAGGATGAAACAACACACGCTGATGCAGAGGAACTGCCGACTCCCACTTTCAAGGATGAAACAACACACATTGATGCAGAGGAACTGCCGACTGACACCGTCAAGGATGAAACAACACACACTGATGCAGAGGAACAGCCGACTCCCACTTTCAAGGATGAAACAACACACATTGATGCAGAGGAACTGCCGACTGACACCGTCAAGGATGAAACAACACACACTGATGCAATGCCCAACTTTTATTGGGAAGAGTACGGTACTGTGTTCTTAACCCAGATTCTTGGCCACATCCAGATCAAGGTCAGCAACCTAGGTAGTGTTCTCTTGACGTGACATATCAGCATTACTATTGTATAAAATGTAGGGGAGAATTGCCCTGTTTACCAGACAGATTGCTGATGTAAATGCACACAATTTTATTTTGATGTGCTTTTACTTGTGAAAGAGGTGATAAATAAACCAATGCAAGTCAGTCCTACAGCAATGAAATGTTACCTATATTAGTATATAAATCTACTGATTACTGTATTTCCAACACATGCACATGCATGTACGCATTCATTATGATTAACCATCACCGTCTTAAAAAACACACTTTACAACGGAGCTCCAACAAACAGTGACAAATTGAATAGGACAGTTCCTAAAACCTTGCTGTCCGAGACTACGCATTAGCTCACTAAAGGCTACCGTGTCTACGTACACGGACATAGTTTGTAGAGAAACACTCTAGTCGTTCTAGATCTGTCAAGATACTAGTATATGAGGTAACATGGATGTATCTCACTATACATATGTACACTATATGCTAAAGTAATGACTTACGCCATGACGCCTTCCTTCAGCGATGACAAGAGGTATGAACCAAGATATTGAGATACTGAAAACCAAGTTGCTGTGTCACGGACTCCCTGGTAAAAGGTCAACACTAGAGACTGTGAACCGGTCCGCTGCTCAACAGCTGTAGACTGTAAATTATCAGCTCGAAAGGTATACAGCTCACAGATAATACCTTATGATTAAAGAGAGTAGTCATGTTAAAAAAAAAGATTCATATTGAACTGTTATACCACTGAATACTGGTGAATTATATATCAGTATTTTGGTATCAAGAGAAATAGATATATAAAAAGTATAAACCAGTTTAGTAATGAAATGAACGGACCCAGTCTGTTTCTTCTGCCTATATAGGCGTTGATACATCCGTTCACATATGGACCACAGGCAGGGAATAATACAAACCCAAAACATATCCAGTGTAATATGTATATTTCAATAGTAAATAATCCCACTCCATTTTAGTGATAGGATGTAGGCAGCGACAGATGGTGTGATACGAATATGGTAGTTGCATATTCGAGTAATTCTATTACATATGATAAATATACTTGTATAGTACATATCACAGAAATGGTCATCTTGACAAGAGAGGTAAAATACCTGACTAAATTAACATCCATACCAGGCTTACCCCATGCTTATATCACCTGGGGATAATGGAAGATACACATGGGCTACTTTAATTAATCATTAATAATATCAGCAACATATGGTGATGTTGAAATGTTGTGTATGACAATTTATATCAAGACTGTCTTTCATCCTTAGAAAGTTCGTCAAAATGCAACTAATATCTACTTTTTTAGTTTGTTGTTAAACGCCGTACTCAGCACTGTTCAAGCTATATGGCGGCGGTTTGTAAATAATCGAGTCTGGACCAGACGATCCAGTAATTGACACCATGAACATCAATCCACGCAATTGGGATACGATGACATTCATCAACCAAGTCAGCGAAACTGACCGCCCGATCCCGTTAGTCACCTCTTACGGCAAGCCTGGATTGGCGAAGTCCTATTCTACCCCGGATCTTCTGGGGGAAGCTAATATTTACAATATATACTCTTAGCTGATGTTCATTTCGACGTCGCCATACCCGGCCATGCCTATCAAGGAAATGAAAAATGAATTGGGACTCATCCGAAAAAATGGCGATTACCGTTTCAACGCCGTGTAAAGCATTGAGGTATGTTGCATGTGGACAATTTCTGATGACACGTATCTCGTACTCCGGTAGCCTGATGAAAGCTTGCATCAATTTAATTCGCCGTTTGAGCTCGATTTCGTAGTGTCTGGTTTCGGATCAATCAATCCCGTACTCTTATCGTTGACCTGGGACGCCGTGAACGAGGTCGATCGTCAGCATTCTGGGTTTGTTGGTACCTGTTCCATAGTCTTCTCATCACAGACTGTGAAACATGGAACGTACTTGCACGCTGACTGCCAGTTTCCAGTCATGCCAATAGCCCGTCATGATGAACACCCATCCTGGAAAGCAATTTATATGTATGGATCCATATAACACAATTTAACTACTCAAATATGTTTACCTCGTCCCGCCCACCTTGAATATTATTGGCCTGTAGTACTGAATACGTTTGTCTGTCTACGTGACCTTGTTCCTATCCTTGTAGCCTCTTGTGGTTAGCTGTTTGTCTGTCTACATGACCTTGTTCCTATCCTTGTAGCCTCTTGTGGTTAGCTGTTTGTCTGTCTACGAGACCTTGTTCCTATCCTTGTAGCCTCTTGTGGTTAGCTGTTTGTCTGTCTACGAGACCTTGTTCCTATCCTTGTAGCCTCTTGTGGTTAGCTGTTTGTCTGTCTACGAGACCTTGTTCTTATCCTTGTAGCCTCTTTTAGTTAGCTGTTTGTCTGACTGCAGCTGCTCTGTAGAAGTTCGACTCTTTTCTTGTCTACACGTGTTCAACGTCTACACAGAGAGGCGTCACCAGATCCCTGTCATTAGGTGCACCGATACCAAAACACGTGCCAAAAGAAGGCAATTGTATACAATTACACTTCTGTAAGCTGTATTATGATTTTCCTGTAAAAGGTTTCTTCTTGGATACCTTTGACATCTTGCATAACATGCATGCAATTTTGAGAGCATAAGACATAAGAGGATGAAGCAGTTTGAGAACGTATTGGATAAGTTAACCGGGACATATCCTTCCCTGGGCCAAGGGTACGTACACCGCCGCAGTGTGTATTCAGTAAACAGAGATCATTACCAGGAAAACACTGGTTTCAACTTGCTCACTGTTCTGAGGGCGATTGTCCAAGGGATATGAAAAGCGACTTTATACTTTAAAGGTTTTTTTTGAATGTTGACGTTGTGGTGTCTCCAGTATGAAACAGCACGTTAAATCATGGCATTCTTGAATATAATCCTATATATTACAGTGTATCATGTGTATCATACCATGCTCCATTCTCCAGAGGTAAAACAAGCTTTGACAATTTTAAACATTCATTCATTTGATTTGTGATCAGTCCTCTCTGCAATCCTGTGGGGCTAAACAGCATAACAAGAGGTTCCACGCCTTTGATTCCATAGCAACATTTATTACTTAGTCACGATACAAATGTCTTAGATACAATGCATGCAATTTCAATGAAAACTAAGATACATGTCGTCTATATTTGCAACACAAATAATCAGTTGCATGTTTTACAGTGTTTGGAAAAACATGTAAACACGAGGAAACTAAATTGTGTTGATGGATACAAGCGTGATTTGAGAATTTACCGCCTTGTGTGGTGTTTACCACGGTAAATATCAGGCGTATTGTTGTTCCAATCGGCCATTTTGAATTCACCTCGTGGTCACGTACATGTATTGTCGTGTCATGCGTTCTGTAGTCTCTGTTTTGCGTGGTATTGCAATGTATTGTCGTACCCAAGTGACATTATCGTTATTAAACTGTTTGTTTTTTGCGTTGCTTGTTATTCATAAACCCACATGCCTGGGATAAATGATCATAACATACATAATCGAGTGGGAACGTATTTTGATTACACTCTGCTATCATTGTAGACACATGCCTCACTGTAGCAAGTCGGAGTGGGGCCCTCATCTCTCATATTTGACTGAATTGTAAAGATTGTCTGCTACTGTCAACTTCCTACAGGTATCTCGCAAAAGGCAGACACAGCAGCCACGGCAGCGGCGTTTCAGTCTAAAAATGTCCGACTCATCCGAGCCTACCACACCCCGTCCAGCTACGAACGTCGACTCCTCCGGCGTTCACCTCCACACCTGTATCTTTATCAGGGACGATCACCAGCTTCTCCCCGACGCTACAGTCTCGTCCTATCGATGTTGATACGTCACTGGAGCTGTCATGTACGCTCTGGTCGTTGATTATCACGTCCTTATCATCCATGACGACGCTCGGCATGGCGCAGTCAACGTTGAGCTCGACTCTACCTGTGTCTTACCAGCTCTCCACGGCGCCAGTGTTGCCGGCGTTTCAGGCGCCTCTGGGATCCTCCCGCCTTCCTCCCGACGTCTCTCCAGTCACCTCAGACGCCCTACATGGATCCCTCTTAGTTTCATCTCATGCAGTCCATGTTCCAGCAAACCAAGCCTAGGTTCACAGCTCCTTCGGTGCCTCCAGCCTCTGCCACCCTCTCGGTGACTCTGGCACCTCCAGCCTTAGTAATGCCTTTGACGCTTCAGACGGCAAATCCAATGGATGTCGGTGGCGCCTCTATTATCAGCTCTTCATCGTCTCATGGCTCTGCCTCTCCTGCCTCCAGGCGCAGTGGGAGTAAGTCCTCCCAATCAAGACGTCGATCCCGGAGTCGCTCTCCAGTCTGACGACCTATAGACTATCGCCCGGACTCCTCGGAGGTTCCTTAATCCTAACTTATGATGGCTCCTTCGCTGACATTGACTCTCACCTTGACGTCAACCAGGTTCGAGATTTGCTGGCGGAAACGTCATCCAACACCTATCCCTCCTTACCCTATGATCAAGGACATGATTTCGGCCTTGGATGGGGACTTCGCCAAGCTCTCGTTGACACCATCCTTGAAGGTGCCTTAATATAGAAAGGACGGCTTCCAAGTTTATGCCTTGGACATTGCAGATTTGGCTCACACTTTGGATGACGACCTACACCGCATGACTGGCTCCAACCGCTCTACCACCATCCATGTTAAAACAATTGGCTGGCCTACATAGAGACCCAGTTCTGGTGCTCCATTAAGACCCTCTCCGTCTGGCTTCCGTCATGGACAAGGGTAATCACCTCGACCACCTGACCACAGTCGTGGCTTATTAACAGTGCTCATATGCGTGCGGACGTTAGTTAAACTCACCACCACATGACGAGTTGGCTACGTGGTGCTGACTGGGTCAGTGAGTGAGCTGGGTTTAACGCCGGTTTTAACAGTATTCCAGTTATATCACGGCATGTCAGCTTAATGTGTGAGGAAAGCCCGAAGTGATGCAGGTCTCAGGCTTCATATGCTTCTGGCGTACCCAAGGGAAGCAACTCTGACAAGCGAATCGCCTTAGACGACTGGGCCACCGGTGTCCCCTGGTGCTGACTGTGTGTGACTAAGAGTTCTAGAGGGAACTACACTGCCAACCACCTCCCTCTTCAATGGACAAGTCTTCGCCACCCACGCTCATGTCACCAACTTCACTAGAGACGAGACTTCCCTCAAGGCCCTGGTGCAAATGTTTCATGCTAACGCTTCCAAGCCTTCAAGATCTGTCAACTACCAGCCTCAGAGGAACTCCCTTAAGCTGCGAGCACGTGACACCTAGAAGACCATAAAGCCAAGTTCAGACCCCCAGCCTGGGATCTGAACCTTTGAACCACTCCACTCAGCGTTGTATTACAACCTCACCAAAAAGACCAGCTTCCTCTTGGCTCTAGACATCACCTATTTCAGATTTGAGTGCAGAGAACATGGAGCTGTTCATCTTGGGCTGTGCTTGGACTTCATTGCCAAGAATCACTTCCCAGGACAGCCAGATAGATCCTTCATCGCCCCGTGGGATTGAAGACGAACAGGAATGCCTACTATGTCTGTTACGGGCACTGCAATGCTTCCTCCGACGCTCCAAGAATCGTCGTGGAAAATGTCACCTCTTTATACCAATATCACCAACGTCGCAAGCAGACGTCAGGCGCAACACGATGGCCGTGTGGTTTCGCGCTCTCATCCTCCAGGCCTATGAGGCCGCAGGACTGGATCCTCTGAGAGCCAACAAGCCTCAAGAGAACCGGGTGGTCACTTCCACCATGGCGCTTCATAGCATCTGCTCCATACGCACCATCATGGAAGGCTGATTCTGGCGCTCAGATAGCGTCTTCGCCAGCCACTACCTGCAAGACGTCTCCCTTGAAGACGTCCACAGCTTCGGCCCTTTGGTGGTTACCCAGTAGCCATCACCCCAAGACGTCTTGGACGCTTCCACATGTCCGGAACCGAGCTTTCGATCTCTCCGGTTCGTGCCACCCAGACTAGAAAGTTACATGCTGCACGCATTGACTCGGTACATCGGTATTAGATTTTAACTCCGTTTAATTACTTTTACTGCAATGATACCTGGACATCACGCATACCTGCCTCTCTGTCTCCCTGCGAGTAAATCCGACATATTATTTATATTGGTATACTTATCCTGCATTACTTCGTCTAAAGTGGCCCACCCGTCGCAAAGCTGCCTCCCATCGATGCCTCCAGATGCTCTGTTTCAGCAGTAATGTCACATGGGAGCTGTTCGATAGGGTTAGCCACACAACCAGTTGGAACAACTTTTTCTTCAGTAAAACCTCTCACAGCTCTTTCTCTGTCAAGAACAAGCAGTAAATGCATCAAGGAGTAATGCAGGATAAGTATACAAATATAAGAATATCTATGATTTTACTAGATTTATTACTACTCGCGGGATTATAATTTAAACTAGTCCTTGTTAATGCAAAGAGCTAGACATGTTTATTAGTTATTCCTTTTCGGGACTTTCACACGATGCTTTACAATGCAAAAATACATTGATCCTGTCAGGGACTTTGGAACTGTGGTTCCAATGATTGATATCTCCTGTAATAAGATCCTCCTCAGGTCTGTTCGGCTGCCTTGGACATCAGTCCCGAGAACAATCCTTTCTTCTCACGGTCCAACTACAGTTAGGTACTAGTTCAAGGCGTACCTTCTCCCTGCCCAATATGTGGTGATAGACGCCAGAAATCCAAATGTTCTGGACGCCCGATATTTGGTAGCCCGAAACAACTCTTCCACCAACCCAAGTACACAAAGACAGTTTACAATATGGTTACAGCGTCATAATCCACAACATCCCGCAAATCTGATTTATGGCTTTACACATGATTTCACCAGGGGTTTGTTGGTTATACATGCTCCACATTGACTATCAATTGAAAATATGAACATGACATTCCATTAGGAATCAGCTCGGATTCAGCTGAAAGGTAGTCAGAAATTAGATGCATCTATGGCGAACATTCGCTCCTGTGTTTAGCTAAAACGAGACCTTTTGTCGAAGGTGCGTCCAAGCATACCTTACTGGATGTATTGCTGGTGCAGGATCTGGGGCAATGTCCTGTAACAGTTCAGTTACAAAGGTAGTTTACTACCGATTTGGTTATTGTCAGCTGTAACAGTAGTGCACTAGGTCTGACAGCTGCACGTGTTGTCAAGTTACTCGCTGTGCTCTATCAACTTTGCCAGATAAATACATAGCGGGGACTACCATTATATTGTAACTTTGCGACGCTGTAAACTAAAGACATTCAGTTACAGTTCAATAAAAGAAGTATGCGTTATGAAGAAACATTTTATGAACGCTTCTTAATTGAGGCCATAACTTGATAAACTGCCTGATCTTCACAGCTGTTTTTCATTCATGTACACCAGCTCGTTCCTTCATCTGCTTGTTTTCTTAAAAGATTCAACTTATTTAGTGTTCCAGTAGGGTTGGCTTGTTAATTTATTTCTCACGTTGTGGGTGTCATTTTAGAGGTGGGTCACCCTACCATGGGTTGAAGCCCGGTGGAGGACTCACTGTTCACTAGGAAACAACTTGACGGTGGGGTTGTTTTCTGAGGTGCATCAAATCTCTGTCTTCACATCATTCGTTTATTGATTCGTTTATTCGCTTTACGTATCTAGATTCCATTCTGAATTAGAATATCTTAGCATATACATGAGTACAGTCGCACCAAGATGTGCAGGAAGTAAAGCATCACTGTCCTCTCTGTATCGGGGGACAGAGTAAGCAGCAGGCTCAGCAATAACACATAGTTTCACCACGTGCAATTACGTATCTGTAGTGGTGGATTGTGTCTACGTTTATCTTGCAGAAATATCAGATATACATATGTTGTATTATTTGTTTTCAAATTCAAGTGTTTTAGTACACCATTGTAGTTTTATTAAACCAGTCTTTGACTTAATTGTCTTATCAGTCAGTTTTAGCAAGGGTCATCGTATAAGTAGAAACCATAAGAAAATATTTATATTTGCAAACAATCGGGTTTCCATAAACCATAATATACTTTTATATAGATATGTTTACACGAGCTTGAACTCATATTTCATGTGTGTGTGTGTAGTCCCCGCCACACTGGATCCGGTTTCAGTATTGCTGGTTAAAACAGTTACTACAATGACTACTCATGATTCTAATAACTAATATTGATTAACATTGATATTATAACATACCTTATTTAAAATTGGTTAATTTATTCATATTTATCAAATTATTAATCTACATTCTATTGTAAGGATACCTAACGTGTCTGTTTTAGAACGTGCAACGTAATCAATATGGATGATGCTCTAACTTAATGACCTACACAAATATACTCACTACCAAAAGAAATGCGAATACCATACATGATGGTTAATACTAGTATATGAAGAATTATTCATATTCAAGAGATATTAGAGTGGTTTCACAACGAACATACTGGTATATTTTGTGAACTGACGCTTATGAACGCATCACATGTGACATCATAGATCCACAAATCGAGCTGCACCATTTGTCTTCTGCAGGATAGTACCCTAGCAATGTGCACAGTTGTGCAGTCCCGCATGAATACCCCACTCAGACACAGTATACTGACTCCTAGCCGACCAGTCCTTGCTTTAACCCCTTAATGCCGAGCGCCAGACAGGATAACAACAAGTACCATCTTTTAACATCTTTTGGTATGACGCGGCCAGGGATTGAACCCCGGACCTTCCGCTCTCCGGGCGGACGCTCTACCACTAGACCACGGAGGCAGTCTCATCTGCAAGAAAACTAACTCACTTCAGGGCACAGGTTACAGAGTAAACATATAAACTGCCATTTAAAGTGAAGTTATTTGTTTCTATCAAAATTATATATTTTCAGAGACTAAGCATTAGTCTAGCTTTCACCTTTCCCTCGGATCTATCAGCGATGTTGAGAGGGCGGACTTGCGGCATGCGAAACAAACACACGTTAGTGGAGGCCGGTGGAGGATGTATTGTCAGCATTCTAACACATCAACACTGAATTCTCTTGTTGTAGAATACAATGTTCTTTAGAACGTTAATCAATGGACAGAAAACATTTGCATTTCGATTGATCTGTTCAGAACATAATTGATCTGAACAGTACAGCCTGCTCCCCTCGTAACACATTCCCTTGAAGTTTTTACTGAGACACAATACACAGGCACAGTGAGACCCCTTTCCTCACCTGTAAAGATCTGGGTTAGAATAGGCCTTCAGCAAGCCATGCTTGTCGTAAGAGTTGCTAACAGGATCGGGTGGTCAGGGTCACTGACTTGGTTGTTGCATGTCATCATATCACAATTGTGTGGATCGATGCTCTTGAAATATATCACTGGGTTGTCTGGTCCAGACTCAATTATTTACAGACCACCGTCATATCGCTGAGTATGGCATTAAATAACAAACAAAGCAACAAACAAACAAACAATAGACCACCGTAGTTGGAATACTGCTAAGTGAGGTGTTAAACAACACCAGTTATTAAGTGTTCAAATGCACAGTAAATGCGTGTTACTTCCCACATGTTGTAAGGAGAGCATGCTTGAACTCAAACAAAATCTGCACCAATCTAGACATGATCTTCTCTCGGTCTCTCCATGTGATAATATGAAACTTAAAAAAGACACTTCAAATAAGAAGGGTTTGCATGTTTTATTATTACTGAAAAATAAATCATTAATGTTTCTTTGAAACTATCAGCAAAACAAGCAAAAGTGATTTTCTGATTATATCACCCTGAACCTGTTGATATGAGATCTAAATATGGCCACAGAGGTCTAGCAAAGAACACCCTATGTGATAAGATCTCACTAATATTGATAATGTCAAACATTTGTTACAAATCTGTCATTATCTTTCTTGAAATGTCATTTGACAAGATTGACATGTAAACATTTGGTCCCTATTTTCTAGGGGATTGAGTGAGTCAGTGAAATTATGACTATATCACAGAAGATTAGAAATAATGCACAAAACATACAAGTGGTTGATAGGCACCTATACAGTTTACACATATTCCAGCATGATGACATCAATCACACTTTCAACCACTCCATGCTCACTGAACTCTTACAGTACTGGGAATCCATACTATCCTTGAGAGGAATATAACAAAATCTGTATAATAATAATACCGGTAATAATAATAACAAAAGTCATAACAGTGTCAGTGGAAGCTCTAACTTCACATTTAACATGTTCAACACAAAGTGAACTGACAAACTTCTACACCTTGACACTGGTGATATCAAAGGAAGGAATCTGTCTACTATATGTGTCGGTACCTCAAGGTGTAACATGGGCGTGTGCTGTGTTTGTGTGAGCCATTGAGATTCACTACAAAAATGCCTTCACCAGACAATATGGGAACACCGGTAACCTAAGAAAGATCCACCTATGGTGGCGAGATCATAGTGAACAAAGAAAGAAAGAAAAACAAATCATGTGTCATAACCATGATTAAACAGCAGCCAGTAATAATTGACTTAATTTCAAGGGAAACTAACTTGATAGACAGTTCATGTTTCGACAATATGCAACCTTGTTTTATTCATGTATGCATTCGATACATTCCATGTCTCAGAATCTTCACAATTACTAAAGAACATCAGGTTTCCAAAACAGAACACTTCAGAATAAATGTGTAGACAGAAAATTGCCTCTTAAAAGAAAAATGAAATTCTTAGAAATGTTACCTGAAACTATGACCCTTGTCTATCATTCTCAAACAAACAGCAGTCAAAACAGTGGCTTGTATATATAGAAAACTATATACGCTCAACAAACAAAGTCAAAGATAATTAGATATATTTGGGTGCTGTAATAGCTCTCCGGGTACCCTGCAGTACAACAAGGCCAATATGGCATACACTTGATTAAGTTGTCACACAATATTGTCACTTAGCAGCTCACTGCCAACAGTCAAGATTACCGTTGGCTTTCCAAGGTCTTCGGTCTATACACAGGAGCTGTGGACTTAGGTAAGGGCTTTTGCCCAAGGATAATGTCTGCACACTTCTCAGAAATCATGATTGTCGGGCCATTAAGATTACCACTAACCACACTTGGCATTATTGAGGCATCGACAACCCTGAGCCCATCAACACCAATCACTTTAGCCGAAGGATCAACAACAGCCATTGGGTCACTTGGCGAACCCATCTTACATGTGCAGGAAGGATGGTATGCACTGTCTGCCATGTTACGATTCAATTCATCAATATCTTTGTCACTTGTAATATTATATCCAGGAGCTATTTCCAGACCTCGGAACTCATCAAATGCCTTCTGGGCAAAGATTTCCCTTGTCAGTTTTACACTGTTTCTCATATCAACAATGTCTTCATGAGTGCTCAAGTAGTTAGCAACAATCCTTGGGTGCTGTGCTGGATCTCTGGATTTCAGTTTTATGAAGCCTCTACTGGTTGGTCTCAAAGTCCCCACATGAGCTTGGTAGGCATGGCAAGGTCCAGTCTTTCTACCATGGTCATTGACAGTTGAAGGCAGGAAGTGATACTGAATATCTGGATGGTCAATCCCTGGTCGAGTGCGGATAAATCCACCAGCTTCCAGATGAGCTGTTGCTCCATCCCCAGTGTTTGTGGTAAACCACTGCAAACCTATCCTGATCATGTTGTGTGGAAACTTCCATTGTGCCGAGTACAAGGTGATCTTCTTTGTACACTCCTGCTGTACATATACCTCAAGATGGTCCTGAAGATTTTCCCCAACTCCTGGCAGATTTGCTACAACTGGAATGTCCAGTTTCCTGAGGTCATCAGCATTGCCAATCCCTGACATCATCAACAGCTGTGGTGAGTTGATAGCTCCTCCACTGAGGATGACTTCCTTGTCAGCTCTCACTTCTTTCATGACCCCTCCTTGTTTGTACTCCAGACCAACTGCTCTGTTATTGTCAAAAACAATCTTCGTTGTCAATGCCCCTGTCTCAGTGTACAGATTGTCCCTGTATAGAGCTGGTCTGAGATATGCAGAAGCTGCGCTCCATCTCTTACCTTTATGAATCGTCATATCCATCAATCCAACCCCTTCCTGCTGAAAACCATTCAAGTCATCTGTGAATGGGTACCCTGCCTGAACTCCGGCATCAATGAAAGCTTGGAACAGAGGGTTATTGGTTTTCCCTCTTGACACATGTAGCGGTCCATCTCCTCCTCGGTAGTCATCAGGTCCTAGTTCATGTGTTTGTGATCTGCGGAAGTATGGGAGACAATCAGCATAGGACCACCCAGCTGCTCCCTCCCTCTCCCAACGGTCGTAGTCGTAGGCATGTCCTCTTATATAGACCATGGCATTGAGTGAGGATGATCCACCCCATACTCTGCCTCTTGGCCAGTACATGACTCTGTTGTTCATGCACTTCTCTGGCTCTGTCATGTAGTACCAGTTATACTGATCATCACAGAGGTTATACATTAAAGCTGCTGGCATATGTATTTTCCAAGTGTCATCCTTTGGTCCAGCTTCTAACAGAAGGACTCTGTTTTCAGGATCTTTACTGAGTCTGTTGGCTAAAACACAGCCAGCAGACCCTGCACCAACAATGACATAGTCATAGGTTGCGGGTTTGTCTTCTGAAGCTTTTAGCCTCAGGGCAGCAACCCTACTCAGATTTCTCCTGATCTGGATGAAAGGTGAATTGTTTGCCGAGGTACTAAAGAGTCTCCTGCCGGTGGAACCTCCAGACCCCTTCACTCCAGAGACTCCACTGGACACAACGTGGGGCAGGATCTCACTCACCACATCAACCAACAGGTCAGCATGAGGTTTCAGTTCAGAATGTGATCCAACTCCTGACAAGACTCCGATCTTCGAGGCAACATTAGCTGAAGATCCCATATGTAGATCTGACACTGTATCACCTACCACACACACAGCAGAGGGATCCACCTTCAGCTCGTCACAGATAAGTTTGAGGTTGTGTGCGGATGGTTTGGGCTGACTATGGGGGTCATCCCCACAAACCATCATGTCGACATAATTGAGCACGTCGAGTCCCATAAGATCACGTATGGAGGTTTCCCGAGTTGACCCAGTGCAAATAGCAATCTTCACACCAGATAACTTGAGGTTCTTAAAGACTTCTTTCACATCTTTGTCAAGTGATTTCGGTTTAGTATTTAAGATGACCTCACTGTCCTGCCAAGCTTGATTCATGATAAGGATGGCTTCTTCATAGTAGAAGCCTTCTGATGTGAGCAATTTGACGACAGCAGATTTCACCTCATGCATAGAGCCTTCGGCAAGGATGCCACTCTGGATTTTCCTGGAACTTTGGCATGCTCCCATCACATCAAACACCTTATTGGCCAGCTTCATGCCCGTGATTTGTTCAAGCCTGAAGTAAAAAAAGTGAAGCATTGTTCTTATTGTCATAGGGTTGAGTAAATAATAAACATAAATAATAATTATTGTCTATATTTGATCATTGTTGAAAGATACCTTGATTTTTATGTAAATGTCATTAAAATATGAGCAGATTTATTTCAATTCTGTTCTTCACATTTCATAAAATTAATTCAAATTTATCACATTGAAAAATATACCAGCTCGAGCATAGGTGCATAAACGTATGGCCATTATCATGTCATGTTGATTCCCTTAACAATTATGAACTAATTCAGTCCATTTTCATGATTATCAGCTGACTTTTTGCAATCAGTTATTACAGGGAAACCAAAAGCACATTTGTGACCAGCAAGGTCTTTAACTTATACTAACATGGCTAGCCATCTTTAGAAAGTCTCTATTAAGTTAATTTGTTCACACCTGTCATTTCCTCAAAACACCTATGCTTAGAAGCCTGTGCCAGGCTATTTTAATCATTGTCATGTGCCCTTGGTCCATTTTCACATTGACAGATTTACAAGTTGTTATAGGGATTGATGTGACATTTGCTATCAAAGTCTTCCATTATGGTCAAATTTTGGCCATGTTGTGTTATCAACATGGACACTTGGACCTGCAATTCCAAATGAATTCCATGTCCTGGAAGAAAGACGATATTTTTACTAGTCTGTGACCTTTTGATTCTTTAAGCAAATAAAGTATTGATTGTTTTGATATTTTTTCTTAGAAATAACATAACACAGAAAATAAAAGAAATTGTTCCCACCTTTCTGTTAACCTCTCAAGCCATTCTGTGTGTCGACTATGTGTACACAGCAGGGTACCATGAATGTCAAAGATGACCAGATCCATCTTCTTCTTGTCCACCATGCGGTCACTCACATCTCTGCATGCTTCTTCCAAGGAGTGCGGCTCAATCAGAATGCGATCATTGGCAGAGTAGGCATAGTACTCCTTCCACTTGTCATATGGCAGGATGAGAGGCAGGAGATCCTTCACGTTCTTCACCACATGGTCTGACAGAGCCAGGAGTTCTTCGGTGCCACATACTCCACTCAACACGCCCACACTCCAGCCCAGGTTGGCATTTCTTCCCATACCAACATCTGCAACTGTGTCCCCGACCATTACTGTGTCTGATGGATCAACACCAACTGCCTCACAGATCTTCCAGGCATTGTGGGGGTTGGGCTTGGGCAGCATGTTGGGGTCGTCTCCACAGACAACACAATCAACATAGTTGTTGAGACCCAGTTGACTGAGGGTGTTTATTGTGCCTGCACGGTTATCTGATGTGCAGATGGCAATCTTCATCCCATTGCCCCGAAGGATCCTGAACAAGGTTCTCAGATCAGTGGTTGTCCTCAGGACATCAGGGTTCCCTGCATCTCCCTCCAGCCAACTTCCCTTGATGACTTCCATGGATCTCTCAGGAGACAGGCCTTCTCCTACAAGCACCTTCTCCAATTCCTCGACTATCTCTGGCGTGGTTTTCTCCGCAAGGAGGCCAGGTAGAACTCGGTTTGACTTGTGGCAGAAGCCAAGGGTATCAAATATCTTCTCCTCAATGTCAAGCCCACTGGCGTTTGCAATACTGCAAGAAAAGAAATAAACACTTAACTTTGACTTCTGAAGAACAACATCTGGCAGGTGATAAATACTCTCAAGGAACAAGAAATATTTCATCTTACATAAGAGAAAAGCCTTTTCAAAATAACTGGGCATTAACATGCTGGTGATGCTACAGTCAGTTACAATGAACGTAAAGGTTTCATATATTTTTTTTACTCAAAGAAATTGCTCATGTTGGAGAACATTAGAACATTAATATGATTAAGTATTTCTTCATAATGATCAACACATATGATACAAATACTCCAGTATTGCAAATTAGAACGAAGAGTCCAAATTAACAACCTGAGCTTCTATTACCTTACTGGCTTTATCATAGATAAGTGAAATAGTATTGACTAGTTCAATTTTTTCACTAAGCTTGATATGTAGACAGCCTAGAAAGTACTTACATGGTATGTCATGGCCACCTTTTTTTAAAACAAGGGATGTGAACAATGTGATTTCATAATTATTCCATAACAATGATTACCTACCAGATGCAATGAACCACACAACCAACAATCGCTTGTTTATCGCTTATAGATCTCTATGACCACATGTAAAGTCCACTACAAAAGATTTCACTATTATGGTCACACATTAGGTAAAGTAAAGCAATGTCTGTCGCGGAGAGTGACTCCTGAAAACCCACACTGAAGCACATTGATGTCTCCTTGGGCAAGTGACTTTGTTCGAAATGTGCCTCTGTTCACCCAGCAGTGAATGTATACCTGGAAGGATGAGATGGCAATGTGGTTGTTTCCCTTCTAGCGCCTAAACGGCAGCTTGTGTTGTATATTCCCCAGGGAGCTAAGACCAGCAAAGCAAAGTGTGAATAAAAGTTGTTAAAAGAAGAACTCCAGTGGTTGCTGAGGGAACTATGGTGAATTAAGGTCCAAGGCCCTCGGGTACTGACATTGTACCTCTCGCTCATCCCATCAGGTTCAGGTGAAGGTACGCAAATCAACTTCAAATTACTATCATATAACATCTTAAAAATACCTTGGACACATGCCTATGCATGGAGTACAGCCCCACATTAATGGATTATTGTTATCATTAGGGTTCCAAGCCTGAAAGGCAAAGAGCCCTATTGTAATCATTCGATTCATTATATTTTTTTTTTATTAGGGCTCCAAGCCGAAAGGCTGTAGAGCCCTTTTGTAATCATTCGATTTATTATTAGGGCTCTATACCTAAAAGGTAAGAGCCCTATTTTAATCTACGATTTATTATTATTCTTTATTCTTCTTCTTATTATTCATTATTTGTTCCAATCATAACTCAAGAACCAATGCCCAGAATCTATTCAAAATTTGCACCAAGGTACCCAAGGTCCTGAAGCAGATACCCCAAAAATCCAAAGGCTGTAGGACCAACGGCCAAGGGCAAATAACCAAAAAACAAGTAACTTTTTAAGATGTATTTTGCCCTATTGCTCGGCAACCGCTACTTCGATTACTTTAAACTCTGCATGTGTCTGCTACTTCTGGTGTTTGACATTTTTTGTTCTTTGACTTTTGTCATTGTTCATGTGGTTTGGCAGCCATTTTGTATTCAAGGTTTTCACAGTGTGTTTTGGGTACATGTCTTCAAACGCATACAACTTCGAATCCACTGCATGAAATTCTTTCAAACTTTCTGAAAATTGTCTCCATACATAACACATCAAACGTTAACAGACGTTTATTGGATATCTTTCTTAGTTGCAGCCATATTGGATTTTGATTTTGATCAAATTTCTTTCCCAGAAATTTTACTTTCAACATCATATCTTGTAATGTTCTACACATAAACTATTGTCAGTTTACATCAAGTATGTACTTCACTTTTTGTTCTTGGTTGTATGCTAAAAGAAACGCCGCTTGGTAGTAATATTTGTTTTTAGTCAAAAGTTGTCATTTGAATACAAATACTGACGGAAGCCACCCAGAAATCTACGACTAACCCCCATTCACTGGTTTTCCAGAGACCCAACAGAAATAGCCAGTCTTGTTGTCAATGTCTTTTGCAATATGTATTACTACCCTTGAAGATCAGAGTTGGAGCTGGTCTTCAGCAACCCATGCTTGTCTTAAGAGGTGACTATGCTTGAGGTAATAGGCATCTAATGGGATCGGGTGGTCTTCAATTCCCAATTGCCAATGGGTACGGTACCTTACTTTTGATGGTGTTGTTAAAAGCAAACCATTTGAGGATTCGAAGATGGTCGAGGTCGGAAATGGGTTTAGAACACCCTGGGACACTCTGGCACACGCCAATTTTGTAGCAGCGATATGCCGCAAGCAGTACCTTACTTGTGACAGAGTTAGTACAAGCAAACCATTGTGCAAACCAGAAATGTGTTTAGAACACTCTGGGTCATTCTGGCACATGCCAATTTCGTAGCGGTGATGTCCTGCAAATGGTGACTATCTTTTGATAGAATATGTACAAGCAAACCATTTGAGGATTCGAACATGGTCAAAGTCGGAAATGGGTTGAGAACATCCTGGGACACCCCGGCACGTGATGTGTCGCAAGTGGTTTCTTACATGTGATGGCATTGGTACAAGCAAACCCTTTGAGGATTCGAACATAAACAAAATCGTAAATGGGTTTAGAACACCCTGGGAAACTCGGGCGAACACAATTTCGAAGTTGCGATATGCTGCAAGCGTTTCCTTACTTTTGACGGTGATGGTACATGCAAACCATTTGAGGATTTGAACATGGACGAGGTAGGAAATGGGTTCAAGCATACCATTTGAGAATTTGAATAAAGCTGAATTTTTTGCATATGTTTATGTGTGCATGTTACTTGGAGCCTCGGTGGCTGAGTGGGTTAGAACGCTGACTTTGTGTGCTGGCGATTAGGTGTCTCACTCTGGGTGTGTGGGTTCGAATCCCCAAAAAAGTATGTGAATTGGTGGAATAGGATCAAAGGTTTTGCTTAGTTCAGTTACTATATAGAAGTTAATTTTGGCGGATGGAAAACTTGCGTGGCCATTAACCCGCCCACCCCTAGACTTAAGGAATTAAGATTTTATGCAACATCCAACTTTTGAACTGGTTCCTGAGATATGGTTTACTTATGACAGGGTTTAAATCATCATTCAAGGTTTCAGAATGGGTGGGTGTTGTGGCTTCAAATGTGACGTCAAAATATTCAAAGTCTAATAGGGCCTTAAACATGCCACAAGTTGAATTCATTTCAACCTTTGCTTCAGGTGAGTGAGTGATTGATTGATTGATTGATTGATTGATTGATTGATTGATTGATTGATTGATTGATTGATTGATTGATTGATTGATTGATTGATTGAGTGAGTGAGTGAGTGAGTATGGTTTTATGCCACTTTTAGCAATATTCCAGCAATATCACATTTAGGGACACCACCTGGGGCTTGTCTTGCGTGAAGAGCAAACCCTTGGACCACTAGGCTACCCCACCGCCACTCCTTGTCATAGGAGGCAATTGACAGGATCGAGTGGTCAGGCATACTGACTTGGTTAATGCATGTCATCTCATTCCAGTTGTGTCGATCGATGCTCTAGATGTCAATCACAGGATTGTCTGGTCCAGACATGATTATTTACAGACAGCTGCCATATACCTGGAATGTTGCTGAGTGTGATGTTAAACAAACAAACACACACAAACATACTGGTTTTCACTGACATTGTGGATTGTTTCCGTGATAAAGTTGTGATGTTATTGACTCAGAAATAAAACAACATTTACACATTCCCTGTCACTCACAATTAATCAAAACAAAACAGAGAATAACATATCTGACATGTCTCACAAAATGAACAAGTACATAAGCACACAACAGTTGACACCTACTTTGATGCCAGGCGTTTGGCCCATGGTGTCCACATGGTATGAAAGCAGATCAGAGTCCCATCTTTGTCGAAAATCACCAACTTAGCCTTCTTCATATTGCTCTTGCGATGAGAGACACTCTTTATGGTTTCTTGAATGAACTCTCGTTTTGTACATTTCTCTTGTTGCCTTTGGTGACTGGTGGTAGATAGTTGGGATAGACATGCTGAAAAAAAAGATAAAAAACTCTTACCATGTTATCTTGTCCTATTAATGTTGTGGATTCTTGACTTGACAGTCTAATCATACAGCACATATACTGGAGACCACCTAATAGTGTCAAGTGACTTTAAGCTCCATAGCAGTGATGTACTGTCGGCACTTATACATTTTCAGTGACAATTTCGATAGGCATCTGGTTTACTTCAGAAACAAACTTTATTCTACCATGACATTGAAGAATGTTAGAAAAAGATTTAGGCATCTATTTCCTTAAATTTACATGCCTACATTTTAACAGTTTTACATACTCGGAGCATTATATTTGTCCATAGATTGTATTCAATTGCCATAGTACTTTCTGCTGGCAAACCCCCAAGTAAAAAGGACAGAAAGGTATCGTAATCATCGTTCCAGATACTAGAAAAAGTTGTCACATCTAGTAAATCCATAATAGACTCTATAAGAATATTTCTTTGTTGTTGAGTCTTTTTACAATACATAAACACATGTTTGATAATATCAAAAGCAAATGTGCTGCATAAACATTCATCAGATTGTATACTGTAGGTGCTAAGACATAATAAATATGCTAAATCATAGAAGTCTTCCGGCCTTTCAATTGTTAGTAACCAAAGTCTGTGTACCTTAGGTGATCGTATAAGAGAGTATCGTTTTAGGTTTTCTCGTGAATGAATCTCTGCATGAATTATGTTACAGTCACATACGCTTATTTGTTCTTTAACTCGACTCGCCCATGCACGTTTTGGGTGGAAATGAGAATAGGTGGTGTAGGTGTTTATATCATTATTGAGTTCATACTTGTTTACTAGTGAAAGCACGTGGTATACGGGTGACATTTTACATTTATCATCTTTTTCTTTAATTGTATCGAGTTCATACTGTGCTGCAATAGTCTTTTAAACGCAAAGTTAATCTTTTTACAAAAATAACGTTGAATAATTTCAAACATTTCGTATTCCTTTGGTGACAGTTTACCCAATACACTACAAGTAAATAATCCACATGGTAAAATTACCCTTTCCCATATACGAACAGCTGGGATAGGATTTAAACCACCAAAATATAGTCCATGATTACAATTTATATTGACTAACATTCTGAGTTTTTCACTAATTAGATAGGTACGTTCTAAGGTTTTCTTTGATGTACTTAGAAGCAATCCAGCATAAGTTACATTTTCCTTTTTAGGAAGTACTTGTGAACCAATGTAGACACATTGACAGACAGATTTGCGAATATTCCCGAACAGTAGAAATGCACTTTTACTGGCATTATATTTCAAATGCCATCTATTAGCATATGTGTTTATATATCATTCAGTAGACATTGCAGTCCGTCAGGGGAGCTGCTCAACAGCGTAGTATCGTCTGCTAATAGGATGCCGGGTGTATTACCCCATGGAAGACACAGACCATGCCCTGATTCATCAAGTGAATACAACAAGTCATTAATATACAGAGTAAAAAGCCATGCCGATAAAACGCGACCCTGACCAACACCTTGCTTGACATGCAACACATTTGAGGTAAAACCTCCAATGCTTACACATGACTGCATTGAAGTATATATTGTGCGTAAAAGTCGTCATAATTTTCCATTAATACCAAAGTTATACAATTTAAAAAAAAGACATTTAGCCAGACTCTGTCAAAAGCTTTCCTGTTGTCGAGAGAAGCGCAATAAACTGGAGACTGTCTTTCATTGTAATAAGCTATGCTTTCCATTAATGTAAACAGGGCAGTTTCTGCCCCAGCCCCTCTCCTAAATCCAAATTGAAAGGGGTGGGGGAAGCCTTTAGATTTATTTGCCCACTCTTCAATTCTATTCAGCAGAAGTCTTTTGAACAGTTTACTTAATACAGGAGTGAGGGCAATACCTCCGTAGTTAGTGGGGTCATCTTTACATTTACCATGGCCTTTATGGATAGGTTAAATCTTTCCAACGTTAAACATTTTAGGTACATATTCAGGAGAAACAATTTTATTAGAGAATATAACAAGGTGATGGATGATAGAGTATTTGATATGTTCATTTACTAGGTGACTTTCCACTTTTTAGACGTTTTATAGTCAACGTGGAACTAACGTCACTGTTCCCTTGGTCATTATACGATTCATTTTCAATCTGTTCCATGCGAATATTTACATAATCAGTAAAATCTGAGTCAAAATTGATATCATGATTTGGCATTTATAAATCCTTGAAATATTTGGAAAACAGATTACAAATTCCTTCCTGTGTATTACAGGAATCTTCATTATACACAAGCGTCTGGATTTGTTCCTTCCTTCTTTTATATTTCTTGGTTACTCTAAAGTACTCCGTTATATCAACCTCAGCTGCTTCATAATATTTCCTGAAACTTTTTGTCTTTAAGCTTCCTGCTTCCTAAAGATATGTTTTGCTCTTTTATACTCAATGTAATTTACATCCTCTTTATCATGAGATTTACCATTATAGATCCATTCATTACGACGTTGTCGCATTGTACGATGCAACGTGTTTAAATTATCTTTTTTCCAGTATGATTTTAAATGAGATTGGAATTTTGAAGATATACTCAGTTTAGCTGCAGCATGTGACGATTGTAGGATACAGCCGTGATAATTTTCAATGTATTCACGAGGAGATGCGTACTGAGTCTCGTCAAACTGAGTACATCTAAAATAGTTTTCAGTTTCATATCGGTATAACATAAAGTCTACGTCATTAGCTTTACGTCAGTTAAGATGTTCACCGCCTTAGTGGCGTGGCTGGGAATCCATACTCAGACATAGGAATATTTGACAATGGTCCGATACTGAGTATTGAACTCCTGTATCTAAAGTATAACCAACAACGTTACTAACATGTTGGAGATTAATAAAAACAGTGAAAAAGTATGATAGATTATGTGTTCATTAATCTCCAACATGTTAGTAACGCTGTTGGTTATACTTTAGATACAGGAGTTCAATACTCAGTATCGGACCATTGTCAATGTGACAGTATTCCTAGATTTCGACCACGTGGCTAGGACCATCTCTTATGTTACATTGTTTCTTACAGTATTCCTAGATGTACTACAACGTGGCTAGGACCACCTCTAATGTTACATTGTTCCTGACACTATTCCTAGATGAACTACCACGTGGCCAGGACCACCTCTTATGTTACATTGTTCCTGACAGTATTCCTAGATGTACTACCACGTGGCTAGGACCATCCGTTATGTTACATTGTTCCTGACAGTATTCCTAGATGTACTACCACGTGGCCAGGACCACCTCTTATGTTACATTATTCCTGACAGTATTCCATGATGTACTACCACGTGGCTAGGACCATCCGTTATGTTACATTGTTCCTGACAGTATTCCTAGATGTACTACCACATGGCTAGGACCATCCCTTATGTTACATTGTTCCTGACAGTATTCCTAGATGTACTACCACATGGCTAGGACCATCCCTTATGTTACATTGTTCCTGACAGTATTCCTAGATGTACTACCACGTGGCCAGGACCACCTCTTATGTTACATTGTTCCTGACAGTATTCCTAGATGTACTACAACGTGGCTAGGACCATCCGTTATGTTACATTGTTCCTGACAGTATTCCTAGATGTACTACCACATGGCTAGGACCATCCCTTATGTTACATTGTTCCTGACAGTATTCCTAGATGTACTACCACATGGCTAGGACCATCCCTTATGTTACATTGTTCCTGACAGTATTCCTAGATGTACTACCACGTGGCTAGGACCATCCCTTATGTTACATTGTTCCTGACAGAATTCCTAGATGTACTACCACGTGGCTAGGACCACCTCTTATGTTACATTGTTCCTGACAGTATTCCTAGATGTACTACCACGTGGCTAGGACCACCTCTTATGTTACATTGTTCCTGACAGTATTCCCAGATGTTCGACCACGTGGCTAGGACCATCCCTTATGTTACATTGTTCCTGACAGTATTCCTAGATGTACTACCACATGGCTAGAGCCATCTCTTATGTTACAATGTTCCTGACAGTATTCCTAGATGTACTACCACATGGCTAGGACCATCCCTTATGTTACATTGTTCCTGACAGTATTCCTAGATGTACTACCACGTGGCTAGGACCATCCCTTATGTTACATTGTTCCTGACAGTATTCATAGATGTACTACCACATGGCTAGGACCACCTCTTATGTCACATTGTTTCTTACAGTATTCCTAGATGTACTACCACGTGGCTAGGACCATCTCTTATGTTACATTGTTTCTTACAGCATTCATAGATGTACTTCCACGTGGCTAGGACCATCCCTTATGTTACATTGTTCCTGACAGAATTCCTAGATGTACTACCACGTGGCTAGGACCACCTCTTATGTCACATTGTTCCTGACAGAATTCCTAGATGTACTTCCACGTGGCTAGGACCATCTCTTATGTTACATTGTTCCTGACAGTATTCCTAGATGTACTACCACGTGGCTAGGACCATCCCTTATGTTACATTGTTCCTGACAGAATTCCTAGATGTACTACCACGTGGCTAGGACCACCTCTTATGTTACATTGTTCCTGACAGTATTCCTAGATGTACTACCACGTGGCTAGGACCACCTCTTATGTTACATTGTTCCTGACAGTATTCCCAGATGTTCGACCACGTGGCTAGGACCATCCCTTATGTTACATTGTTCCTGACAGTATTCCTAGATGTACTACCACATGGCTAGGGCCATCTCTTATGTTACAATGTTCCTGACAGTATTCCTAGATGTACTACCACATGGCTAGGACCATCCCTTATGTTACATTGTTCCTGACAGTATTCCTAGATGTACTACCACATGGCTAGGACCATCCCTTATGTTACATTGTTCCTGACAGTATTCATAGATGTACTACCACATGGCTAGGACCACCTCTTATGTCACATTGTTTCTTACAGTATTCCTAGATGTACTACCACGTGGCTAGGACCATCTCTTATGT